TTGTGAGCAATACTTGACGCGCTAGTGTTTTGATCTTAGAACTATCTTGTGGATTTTTGTAAATAACCATATGTGTACAATTCAAACTGATCAATCTGTTTTGACGTGTTTTATTAAATAAATTTTTTTGTAAATATATCAACGCCACGTTTCTATGACTCGATTTCTTTACAAACCACCTTCGTAGTTCTAATTCCTCCTCAGAGGTTATATCACCCAGAAAATCATCCACGACTAACCAACTATTCTTTGGAATGAATCCCTCCGCTTCTACCACCCTGTGCACGAAATATACAGCGACACCGTGTCTTGCGCAAACAGCCTTTTATCGTACAGAGGCTGATGCTCGCCGAATACCCATTCTATGACATCCGGTTGATAGCATGAAGGAAAAAATCCATCAAAACTTTGCAATAAGTTATATACAAAGGTGGTTTTGCCCACTCCACTACATCCACTAACGAGCAGACGAAATGGATGTTTGAACATAATAGTATCCCAGGACACAAGTGTATGGCCAGCCATGTCAAGTACCTAATCTTTAATGCTAAATGTTTGGGTTACATTCTGGACACATAAAATAACCAAACTGGTTCATGTGATCCTTCTGCGTGTAGCAGGGCACAATGTTCAAATGTTCAGACACAAAGTCCGGCATGATTTTAGAGCAGTTTAACAGCTGCTTCATCTGATCCACATCCAGCTTGATTCCCAGTCGCTTGTATGGTTTGATGACGTTTTGCTTTCCACACCAATACCATTTGCGTATGTCCAGTGCAGGGTATATAATATCCATTTCTGCATACATATTTCCTACTAGATGGCATTTCAATAGTCCACCACTTTCCATTGTTTCTTCAATTCTAGCTTTGTTTGACACAAGCTCCATCCAGCGCTGTAACATTAATGTGATCCCTCTTTTCATAGGAAACCATCTCCTCTTTCTTACTTATATTCTTTGATGTGTATTCTCATCTTTCAATGCCAGAACTTTGCCACCTTAAAGACGTTGTTTCCAAGAGCCAGTTGACATTGTTGATCATCCTCTGAGAACACTGCTGAACTGTCTAACATTTTCAAGTTGATAACAAAGTACAGTATACAGCTTTACTTATGCCTTTGTATGAGTTGTAGACATGTCCTGACACGCGGATCTTGCTGAGACATGCAAGCATGGTAAAACATAAGATATGGCTACCTGTATATATCCCTGCTCCGTGCCATTGTGATAATTCCAAGCTTCTAGTTCATCATCATGAGGAAGTAGAACACCAACTAGAACAGGAAGAAGATGAACTTTTAGTCAATCAGTCAGTAGAGGTTGAAGGAGAGTTATCCATGGTGCAGCATTTTGATCAAGTAGAGCTGGAAGTTAAAGACGATATGTCCCTACTTGAACATTTGGAAGAAATCGAGGAGGAACTGGCATTAATTCATCATATGGATGACATAGACCGACAGCCCGAACAGCTAGGAGGGGGAGCTGTTACACCTTATTTTAAGGCGTGTGTCCAGGCAAAAGGCTCGACGATTTTGAGCCAATGCTGTAAATTTTAATGTGCAATTTGACCCTGCCTGGTTGCAACAACAGAGACTCGAGGATTTACCGCAGGCACTTCGGGAGCATTTTGACAACATCATTCAAGAACTAAGACTCGATGTCAATGGGCAAGATAACGACAGGCTTGGTCTTGCCTTTACCATCCAGGATTAAATGTGCCCATTCGTACACCATTTCGTCGTTTGGGCGATTTGCGTGGAGAAGATATTATGGGTATGGTTGAAAAGGTACATAAAAGCAAAGACAATCCAAGGATTGATGCAGCCATGGACATTGACTTTCTCCATGTGGAGGACCCGGATCGCCTTGGCGAAGGACGAGGCCATCGTTCAAAGCACAGTCCCAAAAACCTGGATACTTTCTTGGAACAAAAAAAGTGCATAGTAAGAATAAAGAACCAGGACGATTTATGCTTTGCGAGAGCAATAGTTGTTGCTCTCCATTGTGCTAAAAGTCCTGCGCCATTTCAACGGCTGGATCCCATTTGTAAAGTGTGGGATACAAGAAGTGCCTTGACGAGATCCAACAGGGCTGATGTTCAAAAACAGGAGGCAGTTAGACTGTTTAGTGAAATTGTTATAGAGCCTGGGCCATGCAGCGGTAGGGATACTTGGACTGTTTTCAGCGATTACCTGGCACCAGAATACAAGCTGAAAGTATATTCTCAAGATGTCTACAATAAGCTTTTGTACAAGAGTGAAGTGGAAAACCCCTCTAAGATCATTCACCTTTACCACCATAATAGTCACTACGATGTGATTACATCAATGGCAGCTTTTACTGGGTAAAGTGAATATTGTGAATATTGTGACATGGGCTTCAGTAACAAAGAAGACCATCGCTGTAACAGGGAATTTAGATGTCATCAATGTAGACGGCCTGGATATTGTGGTAAAGGTGAAAAGGAAGGCACTCCGGATCCATGTCTCGATTGCAAGAGGTGGTTTCCAACAATTTATTGCTACCAGCGACATCAACCTGTACTTGTAAATCCCTACATCGGTGTAGCAGCTGCAATCAAGAGAACAATGCCTATGCACATACCTGTTCTGAACAGCGCCTTTGTAAGAACTTGAAGGAACCCATAACCCCAAAACACCTGTGCCACATTACAGCCATAAAGGAAGACAATGGTACTACATCAAACATTGCAGATCCTGTCCATGAAAAACAAATGTTTATATCTTATGACTTTGAATGTCAACAGGAGACGGGAGTGCATGTTCCTAACTTATGGTGGTACAGCTTGGACGTGGCAGGTGTATTGGGAACAAATCTACCAATCTGTGTGAGGGGTGTCCATGGAGAATGGAAGATGAAGGGCCTTCAAGAACGAACGTATTTCGAGGAGACAACACTTTGGAGGACATGGGAGGGTGACTTCTAACCCTTGTTGACCAGAAACGAAACAAGAAGAGGAAGAGGGATGCGGAAGATACGGATGAGGAACGAACATGGGTGAGAACATACACAACCATTGAGGTGCAAACAGCCGTACGCTGGATACAAGGGTTCTACACATATTCGAGCCCTGGCATTTTGATAATTTTTCCGAATACAGCAGAAGTACCCATCGATGAGGATTATTTGCCAGATATGTAGACAACTTTTTAAAAGTAAAACAAGAAGCAAACGGCCTCCCTGAAAGATGAGCCGACCCCGAAAACTGCATTCAGCAGATATATCAGAAAGAGGGGGTGATGAAGAATCCTGGGCTACGTACATTGGTGAAAGGATGTTTGAATAACCACTGGGGAAAGTTCAGGCAAAGGCTTGGTTTTGGAAAAGCTAGCTATGTGACAGAGCCAGGCCTATTATTTGCCATTTTGAGAGACAAGCGGCATTAAGTCAAAGATGTCCTCATTGTGAATGAAAACATGCTGTTCGTCTGCACTGAACCAAGGAAAGACTTCCACAGCTCGCATCCTGCCTCCAATGTCGTCATCGCTGCCTGGGTTACAGCACAAGCCCGTCTCAAATTATACATGTAAACTATTGCATTAAATTAAAATTGCTATACAGATTTTAATTTTGTAATAATTTGGTTTCAATATGAATAAGTAATATGGGTATTTTCATGTTATCTTTCAATTTTGTTTACACAGCTACTTGATGCCACTTGAGCGGAGGGTGCTGCACTTTGACACGGAAAGCATCAATTACGCCCACAAGGCTGATGTTACATTACAGCCATAAAGGAAGACAATGGTACGACTCGACAAGCAGAATCTGTTATTTTTAAGTGTAGATCCTCCATTGGCAATACGTTCATTATTATTATTATTATTATTATTATTATTATTATTATGTAGATGTACAGATTAGAAAAGAAACCTGCAGCAAAGAGGGTTTTTGTGATCCTGGCAGTAAGGCTGATTAGGCTCATCATCAGATCAGGGTCCTTGCCCCCTCTTCACGCAACACAGACAGCGAATGGGACTTCTCCCAGGAAGCGCTGCCTAGTCGAACCAACCAAGAAATTCTCGGAGAATGTGAAGATTCCCCAACACTGCAGCCTTCTGCATTACCCAGATTGTCAGAAATGCTGTATTCCTGGCAGTAAACCCGGATATTCACCCAATGTCAGTCAACAGATTGGGAGGTACCAAACCTAAGGCACCGAAAACGATGGAGAACTTGGGATGCAAGCGTGAACTTTCGTAAATGATTTACGAAATTTTCTCTTGGTCACAAATAATCACAAATCATTGCAAGAACCTTTCTGGTTCAGTTTCATACGAAGTTTTTATATCACGAGACACGTTATGCTTGGTGAGGTTTTTTCAGATTTTAGAAGTCTTGGAACCAAACGAGCTGATACTTTTTAAACTCTGCTGCCTTGTATCCTCATATCTTCATGGACCCGTGAAGATCTGGGGTAGAATAGGTCTTCAGCAACCCATGCCGTAAAAGGTGACTAACGGGATCGGGTGGTCAGGCTCGCTGACTTGGTTGATGCATGTCATCGATCCCAATTGTGTGGATCGGTGTTCATGATGTAAATCACTGGATTGTCGGGTCCAGACTCGATTATTTACAGACCGCTGTCATATAGCTGGAATATTGCTGAGTGCGGCGTAAAACAACAAACCAAACCATATCTTCATGAATGTGGGTTTTTTCATCTGAAAGTACTTGATATCTGCACGTTCCTGAAGTTGGTCAATTATACATAGGTCACAGGTGTTTGTCCATGTGTAGATGTTGGATAGATACTAGTAGATAGATAGATCATATGTGCAGGTCTAGATGTGGGTGCATGTCCAGGTAGATGTAGGTGTATGTGCAGGTGTAGATGTAGGTACATGTGCAGATGTAGATGTATGTCCAGGTGTAGGCGAAGGTACAGGTATACGTGCAGGTATAGCATAGCTGTTGTACATATGTTTGGTTTGATACCGTACTGTAGCCAATAGGTAAGTTGAATAAATTTAAGGAGTCAGCGTTATGGTTTATTTCCAGAGTGCATCAGCCGTTTATATATTTTATCCAAATGTTAGGCATGTCACAACTTCTACAGTTATATACATACACAAGGATATGCCGCATTACTCACACCCAACACCTGTAATTACCCCAAATTCACAGTTAATTAGTTTCTCGAATTTGAAGAACAGAAAAGTCTCACTAACTACCAAGGTACTACGGAAGAATGTTCTTCTCTTCCGCTGTCTTAGCGTCCGTCTTCTTATGCCATGCTTCCACGTCGTCCAGGGTTTGCGGGAGTGCTCTCCCCATCGTCTCTGGCAGGATGTTCACTAGGACGGTAACCAGTAGACAGCACACACCGAAGATGGTTCCAGGGGCCCACTCAACGTACTCAGCCTGAGTGTATGTACGAAAATATGGCATTCAATCGAAAGAGGCCTAAATGGTGTCTAAAACGGCCAAATGTTGATTTCAAATGTAGCGTGATGGTTTTCAGCAAGCCAAGCTTGTGAAAGACGACATGGGATGGGGATGATGCAATGTCATCGTATCCCAGTTGCGCAGATTGATGTTCCTGATGTCAATCACTGGATTGTCTGATCAAGACTCAATTATTTCCAGACCGCAGCCATATAGCTGTAATATTGCTGAATCCGGCGTAAACCAACAAACAAATAAATCAAATCTAAAACCACTACCATTTCACATTCTCAGTCCCTTCTAACATGGTTTTACATAATCGTTTAACACACTACCTGGGGAAACTGCTTGTTTGATAGACATCTATCGTTCATATCATATATAATAAAAACTACATACATTCATATACACATGTCCATGACAATAAACCATTCTTGTAAAAACAATGTACAAAATGTTATATTCTTTTACCCATTTGTTATATATTTTGTTTAATCGATGTCAGTCCGCGTCGTGAACTTAAAGGGTTGAGGATAAGAAGGCCACATCAAGGATTCATAGCCAAGTACAATAGCTTTTAATTTGCTTCAAAGTGACATTGGTATAAGACTTTGACTGACTGACTGTATGTTCTGAATGTTCTGAATGCCTACCTTCTGGCGATTAATTACCATCAGAAAGTTCCGCAACCGATGCTTTCCGTAAAAGGAGACTATGCTTGTCGTAAGGGGCGACAAACAGGATCGGGTGATCAGGCTCGCTGACATGGTTGATGCATGTCATCGTATCCCAATTGCGTGGATTGATGCTCAAGATGTCAATCACTGGATTGTCTGGTCCAGACTCGATTATTTACAGACCGCCGTCATATAGCTGGAATATTGCTGTGTGTGGCGTTAAACAACAAACAAACAACTAAATGTTAAGGAGCTGGAAGCAATTGGTGATATTTCTACCACCACCGACATCAAACAAACCATCAGAAAGACCATCAGAGAAGACAATATTGTGTATTTGAGTAAAACTGGTACATATGTCATTGAATTTCAGTAGAAGTGACATAACCGTTTTGAGATACTCACGCAACGGAGTAAATGTGTGGTAGCCGACTGATTAAACGTTCGCTTGTCACGCCCAAGGTAAACTATGTGAGGCTAATTTCTGGCGTCTTTAGCTGGAATATTGGTGAGATGGTGCCACAATCGGCACAGAACCGTAATAACTCACTCACTCACTCAAACATACAACTGAACTGGAACGAACTGCATTTGATACGGATTTAGCAGTTTGATACTCAACACCTGGTAATAATGATACAACTGAGAGTTCGCGATGCAACTGGTGATACTTACAAGGAGACTCGAGAATGGAGCCAACATTCCCCCAAGTCCAGCACAGGCAGAAGAAGTCCCAAGACCAAAATTTCTAAAATGACATATTTCAATGAATTGTTACATCAGGTCCCAAGGTGTCTATCACACATGACCTAAAGAAGTGCGAATTATCATTTCAAGAATTATTGAAATAATAAATATTATCATAATGATGAGACCAGGTCTTAACGAAATGTATTCGCAAGTATGAGTCGGATGTGAAGGTTATGGTTATCGATCACCTGACTTCAGGAAACACTTAAGGAACGAAGACACACTCCCATAAATCGTCGGTTACGACTTTGCCAACCATTCCCTCGTTATGATCACGTATTTGTAAGTTATTGATGTACTTTCATCAAAGGCACAATAGGTTACTTCAGAATTCTACATGACAAGTTCAAATGTAATAATATAAATGATTGCTGAATGAATATTGTACAGGTAACATTAGTTGATGCGAATCAGCCTTTTACAGCACACTGTATTTCAGATCGCCTCGGCTTAGTACTAGTGTAGCACGGGTATGGTGCTAACAACGGACCATCAATGGGAATCTCAGATTCTAATCCACTTTCGTCGCCTCCTGGCAAGGCTAAGGGACGCGACTCAGTGCAGTAAATTACGGAGCCTGAAACAACTGGCTGTCTCCCAATGTTGGGATGAGTCATAACGTTATACTCATTGATATCAATTAATGAAAAAAGTTTCAGTTGGGAGATAAACATACTGTGTTTTCAAGGTCGAGCTGCGCGTTCGGATCCAAATTCAATTTAGCGCGGTTAAATGTACAAGTAACCTAGCTCTGCATTGATAACACAGGATGTTACTCTCCATTCTACCATGATAAAATAAAACACGAACTCTTTGGTGTTAGCAAATACATTGACTCAAGCGGCATGGATTGAGTTCACTGTTTTGATTGGGTTGTCGTCACTTGTCGATCAGAATTTACTGAATCACCGACAGTAACCTTTAAATAAACTACGTTGCACTATATGCTCAAGCAGTTGGTTTGCACCATTATACCTCACTCAAACTTATGACAGGCACTGAAAGGATGTACTACGGCACCTTAGGAAGTTAACATGAGGTTGGCACCTCTAAAGAAAACTAAGCAAGCCTTGCAAAGGTTTCGTAATATACAACACGTCACTATTATGACGTCATATCTCCAATAGTGACGCAAAAGATATGGCGTTGCAGTCGTTTATAGAAAGGCGCCAAATAGCGAGTTCTCTGTTGTCCTCCAAACTTGAAATACAATCTTTGGAGTTTTCTATCGTGTTTCCTCCACGAAATGTATTGCCAAACATCATTTGAAAAATGTAGTAACCTCAACTTTGCATTTTGCAGCCTATAATTGTACATATTATTATTATTTATATAAGCTTACCGACAATGATTGTAATTAAAGTACTTTTCCAAAAACATTAGCTTCCGCGGTGATATGGCCGTCAAATCGGCTGTTTCAATCAGAAGGATTTAGTATGATTTGATATCTCTGATTAACCAATCAAAATGGAGTATTTTCAAAATTCATGGTAGAATGGAAAATATGGATATGTACTGCGGGTTGATGTAACATTTAAAACAAGACTGACCTCAAATTGGTTGGAAACATTTCTGGTGTGAAAAAGAAGGACGTTCCCCATGCTCCCGACGCCCCGAACATCCCGATACAGGAGAACACTGTGACTGTAATCGAAGACCATATGCTGCCTCCTGGAACCATGTGGTAATAAAATGTTCGAAATACAAGCGTGCTATACGATCAAGATCGAAGTGTCATTCAACGCTGACCTCACCGCGCGGCCCTGATATCTACAGGAACAAAGCATTACGATCTAAACATGGTGAAGATAATTTAGGGATAACACCGTTTAGGACAGTATTGCAGTCATATTACCACGTGTCAGCTTCCTGTGGGAGGAAAGTCTCCAGTGGTACAGACGTTTTCTACTTTGGCGAAGCCCACTTGCACGGTTATGATGCTAACATACCTATGGGACGCAACTCTACACGGCTCCATAGATGACTAGGCCACCCGAGTACCCGTTTTAAAATAGAAATAAAACTTATATATTGTTTAGTGTTTTCAGAGAGAGAATTATTGCGCTTTTTATCCTACAAAGAGTATGATTAAATATTTAAATTCGGGACTTACCGCCTAGAGATTTGCAGACTGTGGCCACAAGCAGAGCAATGCCAGCGATGCCATGTAGAGTCATGCTTGTTTTCTTACGACCATATCTGCCAAATATAATAAAGTAGTATTAATACTAACAGCGTAAGGAAATATGAGTTTCATTATCATTATAAATGTATGCGCCATTTCAATGCTTTTAGAATGGGAAGCTAAGGTGAGTTGGGTTCAATGTAGATTGGGGCGAATTGTGTGCCACCGTGTCGTAATGTCTTTGATGTTGATCATGCTGTCAGTCACTGGTTTGCCTGGTCCATTTCGATTATTAAGGGGTCGATGTGATATGGCTAGAATATTCCTGCCTGAGCCATTCAACAATTCACTCCTTAACTCTGTACTTATTGTTCAACGTGTTATTATCAATGGACAATTAGGTTGTCGTTATACTAATGGGATCTCAGCAAGCAGTCAAAACCTTATCGCACATATACATCTGTAGTCAAGTTCGCACTTCATCCATACAACTACTACCGCCGGGCCACTCGGACCCCTTAAACATGTTGTTACATGTAGCAATATATACACAAAGAAAAAAGTTAAGCACATCATAATATATTTCATTATTGTTTGGTCCCAATATTTGTAACAATGATGAAAGATATATTACGGGAAGAATTTGCTTTCTGGAGATGATGTAATCAGCCATGCGTGACGAAAGCTCACGTGCCATTCATGGTATGCCCGTGCAGCATGCTACCCTCGAGTATCTCTAAAAGCAGTATATCCAAACGTAAAAAGTGTTTTCTTCAGCTCGGTTTTAAACAGTTATTCCATGACATTGTGTGACCATAGCACGAAGGCGATTATCAAACGCCTAAAGATGGCAGATAATCGGCATGCATAACGCAGAAATGCCTTGTAATGCCATTGGTCGGAATTGTGGGTATCATCACCCTGTCGATAGCCGTTTTGTCAAACATGCTCAGACCGGTGATGTACAGGACCGTCCCGGATCCGGAAGACATCCTGTGACAACACATCGCGAAGACAGGGATCTTCGTCTCATACGCCGAGAACCCTTTTTAACAAGTACTCGTCTGAAACAGTTGTGGTTGCCCAATCGTCGTTTCAGCCCCAGAACCGCCAGGAACCGGCTGAAAGCAGCAGCAGCATTGGGGCTAGACGAGTCACGAAGCGTCCCTTGTTGAGAGATCACCACAAAGCTGCTCGTTTAGCATGGTGTAATGCGCGACAGAACTGGAATCTGAGAACTTGGAGACGGATCCATTGGTCAGACGAAAGTTGCTTTCTGCTCCACGTCACTGATGGAAGAACGAGCGTTTGGAGGCACCGGAACACGGCCGACACCCCAGGAACATTAAACTGACTTGCATACGTTTTTGGGCCAGTTGTCGTTCCTCATTTTGACAACCACGCTCTTGCTACTCGACCTCAGTACATGGATGACAATGCCAGGACTCATCGTTCGCATGGAGTAGTGGATTACATGAGGGCCAATGCAATAGCGACTCTACCCTGGCCAGCAATGAGCCCAGATTTGAACCCCCTTGAACATGTTTGGGATATTCCGGGGCGGGCCATACAGGCACGAGATCCTCCTGTACAAAATGTACGCCAATTGGAAGCCGCATTGCATCAGGAGTGGTTGTTGTTGACCCATCAACAGATCCAACGTCTGACTGGAGGCACGAGACGTAGGGTGGAATGCGTCATCCGGGCACGTGGCGGTTATACCCGCTACTGAACGTGTCATGTCAAGTAGAGACTTCCAGGAACATTTTCACAAGAAACATCAAACGTAGCCCATTTACGTAATCCTGCAGCCAATACCTTTTTTTAGGTATTGTCTAAGGTCAAAAACAGTACCTGTGTTCCATGATGTTTTGTCTGTAAATTTCAATCACATCTCACCAATATGTTCTTTATTTGTTGTCAAATGTTTGTTCTATCCGATGATATTGGTATCGCCCAGCTCCTGTGGTCAGTCATCCCATGCCATGATTTTTGCCATTTGTCATGGTTCAGAAATAGGAGTGTGCTTAACTTTTTTCTTTGTGTATATAATACATCAACGCCAGCGAATAACCTGTCTCGATTATCAGCTGAAAGATTGGGGGTAAATGCAAAATAGCAATAAATATTACATGAATGGATCACTGAAACTCAGTGAGTGAGTGAGTGAGTGAGTGAGTGAATGATTCATCTAGGATAAACACGATTTCAACTCAATTTTAGTTATCACGACATGTCAGCTTGAGTTTAGAGGAGACCTCAATGTGATTAAGGTCTCAGGCGGTCATCATTTAAGTGAAAGTGCGCACCTGTCCACCATGAAGTAGAAGACGAGAGCTGACGGAGCCTCAAGGAGAGCGTAGAGCACGAAATTGAGGTGAGGGCTGCCGGCGAGAGAATGTGACGTCATGAAGAGACCAAATACTGTTAAACTGTCTGTTATCCTGAAACATCATGAACTGGTACTAGAACAAGCATCACAAACTGACATTGCAATAAACATAATAAACTGGCATTACAACAAACATCAAACTGGCATTACATTATTCTTTCCTAGTGTGTCACTGAGACCGTTTTGCTAGCATCAGTATGCGCATGTAGAAACGTCACAAACGGACGAGGACAACATATATTTGGAGCTAGGATGTTTAACTCGATCAAGTGCCTTGAAGTTGTTTTATCATGCAACTCTTAAACATCAAAATGGTGTCGAAAATGAAATATAGCCTATCACGCCATATCGAATCTGTTTCGGAACAATTGTCCAGCCAGTCATAGACTCCACACGTTGAATTGATAAGAGGAATCGAACCGAGTCATGGGAGTGGCGGACGAAAGATGTTGCCACTGGGCTACCCCACCACCCCTTTACGTGGAAGACCTAACAAATTACAGAACGCATTAAGAAATGAACAACATTATGCCACCGCGTGTAACAATACCGAAGTCAGATATTGCCCTGAAACCACACGAGGTAATAATAAGTAGATATGGAGTACTTGACAATGATGACGACTCTTGTTACTTGTGATGAAAGGAATAATAACGCTTGTTGGCATTCTTCTGACGGATAGTTTTATTGAAGGCTTGGTTGAGGTCACCAGTTGGATTTTGTGCCGCCATGTATATTATTTCTATTATATACGGCATGTCAGCTTAATGAGGGAAGAAAGTCCAACGTGAAGCAGAACCAGGACGTTTACCACTGTGGACAAACACTCGAGCTCGGATATGGTGCTCACAAACCAAGAATCAGGTAGATTCAATGATTCAAACACACAATTATCAGATTCTGGCAGGAGTATGGGACGCAACTCAGCTGTATTGTTTGCAGTAACTCGAAATGCAAAGAAAGTGTTTATTTCCGGAAGGGACATTCTTTCTATATTGTTGATTTTCTTCTTGATTTGAGCCAAGTATTACAATACCAGTAAGCACGTGCACATTCATTATGGCTGAGCAAATGGAAAATGGGGCTGACGTACCATATGAACCACAATACAAACACATTCGCGGCCAGCCGTTTTCTTTTCATCAGGTCTAGAAAGGATGGTTTGGTTTTATCCTTCTCTTTTAGATCCGACTTCTCCCCATTTACACCCTGGTCTTTGCTTCCCAGTAAAGACGCAGTGAGGCTCTTCTCAGACTCCTGTTTCTTCTGTAGGTTCTTGTAAACATTCAAAACAGTTTGATAGTCTTTACCGCTGATGCGAGCTGCTTTTTTTAGATTCTTGGTGACCTGCTTGGTCTTGTTGTTGGTGATCAACCAAGACAGAGACTCGTCCAGAATGCTGGAAATGGTAGAATGAATTTAATGAACCATTACGGATGCCCTAAAGTACAACAATGTCCTGTCATTGCCGGTTTAAGACATGAAACATATCGATGTATAGCTGTAAGCAACTGTCTGTATTTTATCCAATGAATCCGATCTATCTATGTTTAATTATATTGTATGTTACAAATAGAGAGGCCATTACTATCCGATGTGGCGTCTTGGCAATGCAGGGTGTCAAACATGTGTGTAAACAAAAAGGGTAAAACAGAGTATTCTGTATAGCTTTGTCACATATCAGGTCAAATGAAACATCTCTAAGGCATTCATGTGTTAAGCTGTTTGATTTAGTTTGCCCCCTCCTGAAAACAGTAGCCCCAGCAGGTAAAAATAGGGCTCCTATGAGAATCACTGGGCTGTGGAGTATAATACCACAAGGGATGACTGAAATACTTTCAAGAAAAGGACAACGATACATTAGCAAATTAAAAAACTAACACCCTCAGTTCCAAACTGAAGTATGATTACTCACAAGTATTGGACAAAGACGTATAAGGACACAGAACAGTAGACAAGCTGTGTAGTTCTCCAGGAGTAGGTCTGCATCAAGTAGGCGATCAGAGCGATTAAAGCGGTGCAAGTCACCCAAAGAAAGTTGCCAAAGAGCCCGCTTAGCTTTCGATGACGGGAGGGGAACATCTCAATGCTCATTGTGCTTTTGGACAAAACGATTCCCTGCAAAACACGTAAACTACATGTGTGACGGTAATACCATATCTCATAGGTTTTTGCTTTTAATACGTTAAAAGAATTGATTTCCGCTTAAAGTACCGGTTTGTGACCTAAAATGCGTTGCTCTTGTGGAAGTAGAAATTCGAGATCAATCTTTCTCGTAATTTCTGTAAAGTGCTGATGAGAAATCTATCATTTAGATCGGAGGCATAAAGAGAAGTCAAATCAAATTTACCTGTTGCACAATTCCCAAGAACACCCGTATCACAAGAAATGCAGTGTAGTCAGGGGCGAAGGCGACGCCCACGCCTAATGCAAGAAAACAAAGGTGGGAGGCAAGAAGCACAGGGCGGCGTCCATAACGGTCCGAGAGGGCGGGGAGACTGAAAGCTCCGATGCCCTGCCCTACGATGAGCAGCGTCTGGGCAAATCCACGCAAATGTGACCTGTCACATACAATGTCCATCTGTAATTAAAAAAAGCAAAACCCTATTCATAATCCTATCAAACTGACGGCCAAAATAAACTTTAGCACTTTAAAAATAAAACTGTAAAAACTAAATCAATGCTAAACACTTCGTCCAAATACAACATTGCTCTGTGCAGAAAGTGATACACGTCCACGGCACGTTTTTTTGTATAGGAAATTGCGAAAAAGTGAAAAACACGTTCCATTTGGGCAGCTGAAACTAAACGTACAATAAGACTATAAAATGATACGGGCTTCATTGTCAGACACTAACACTGATTACAAACCACCACAGAAATGTCACGCCTGACACCCGAACAAAGCGAGCGGGTCCTGGTTGTGATACAGATGGGAGCCACCCATGCCCACATCGCTAGCACGTTTGGTTGCTCCCATGATGCTGTAACTAACCAACGTTACAGACAGAACAGGCAGACCTCCGACAGGCGAAGAACAAGCACACCCAGGGTATCAACGCCGAATGAAGACCGGTATTTGCGTACTTTGCATCTCCGGAAACGATTGCTGACAGTGACAACATCAGCGACGAATGACTTAGAGCATATAGTTAGTCGACAGACAGTGACAAGGCGACTCAGGGCTCAAGGAAGTAGCTATAGGGCTTACAGATCTCACAGAGGACAGTTATTGACAGCCAACAATGTCAACGTGTTGCTGTTGCCTGCACGCTCCATAGGACACCTATGGGATGTCATGGATCGTCGAGTTCGACAGAAACTACATCCTCCAGCCAACCGACAAGAACTGATCCAGGCCCTCAAAGAAGAATGCCAACGTATCCCATGTGACGTCATAAGACGACTGACTTTTTCGGAGCGCCGAACAGTCTGTGCGTGTCTTGTAGCAGGGGGTGGTCATACACGCTATTAATCTGACATGTCATTGAACTTGAGCAAAGTGTGTGATGTGTGTGCTCATTGCCCATTACGTTGAAAGCTCGGGCAACTGTCATGCCAATATCGAATGTTGTATGGCTGTCATTTTAAATGCAGATCTCGTTGAGATTTTGATCTTTTCAATACATTTTACTCGGTGCATCTATCTTTAATGGATTCAAACTGGAGTGATTTACAACTATGGTAAAGTCATTTGGTCGTCTGTTTATTCTCTTGCGTCGACGTTTTATATAAACAGTCTCGATCCGACGTAACATATTTCACTGGGCAGAAACGGCAAAATAGCGGTGAAAATTATATGCTTCGATCACTGCAAATCAGTGATGCCACCAGATGTTCGCGCGAAGGGTAAGCATATCCTGCCCTACTGGTAGCAGCCTCGACTCTTACAAACTGCATAAGAAAGTATGTGTTCTTTGCCTGACACCGCACATCAGAGCCCCTGCCATGCGATGGCGACATGTCACCAAACCAGACGATCGCGTGAAGATCAGATACACACGATTTTACCGATTTAATTGAAATTTAAAAAGAACATCTCTACCAAAGGTATCTGATTAAAGCAGAGTCCATTGAACGATTACGATTGTAATATGAGCATGTGTTTATGAATCACTATCAAATAGTAACTCCTATACTTTAACATAGACGTACAGTAATTGTAGCAGAGAGACTGTTGTGACTCCTATACTTTAACACAGACTTATATTAGTTGTAGCACAGAGACTGCTGTGAGTGCTACACTGTAACATAGACTTTCAGTGGTTGTAGCACTGAAACGGTGAAACGTCGCTTGGTTTGATACAGTTTCTGTGATTAATGACAAAGTGAAAAAACGAGATGAAGGTTTTAAAGTAAATATGAACTTAATTGTCTCTGTGTTGAGATATTAAATATTTCCAATCAAACTGTAATGTTTCATTGTTTTTTGCACTTAAAAGAACCAAACCTGTAACTCACGTCAGACATCAACGAAGTCTCTTTCCCTTCCTCATACTCGTATCCATAGATACAGGACAAATCGGAGGTGGAGACATTGCCAGAAATATTGGCTTCCAACCGTATGTTACATTTCTCAAAGTACACGATACTGTTGTTGGCCTGAAAGAGGTCATTGTCAATGACCCGGTAGATATCAGATATATTCACCGGCTGCTTACAGGTATGGGCCACATGTCTACCTACAAAACAAAAACATTGAAATAATTAAAAAGGTATATGTAAATGAAGTCATTTGGTTTATTATGCTAGGTATAAACTCATGTTCTTGTTGGTTTACGGTTGCGTTGCGATAATAATAAGGAAATGGTCATTGAACGTCTCGATATTTTTGTTTCCCGTCATTATCAGTAACACATGATTTGTGGTACAATCTAGTACAATAGAGAACAATCGTCCACATGAACAATTCAGAAACAAAACTTCAAAACCACCATAAAAGGTATCAGTGGTCTAGCCACTGATTTAATCAGCCGATTCTATCAACAGTTCGATTTCACACAGTTGGTATCTAAGGATTTAATGTCATTCAGATAGTACTGAATGAGGTCGTTATCTAATACGAATATTTACGTAGTAGATGCTGTTTCTGCATTCCTTGGTCAAGTTTATGAAGCATAATGAAATACGAGTGCAACCACCACTACAACTCGAATCGAACGCAGAACTACTTCAGATTGTGATTCCGAAAGATCATCGATCTGAATGTAAATATAAAACATCAACGCCAGAGAATAATCAGTCTTGATAATCTGATTCATTGGGAAGCAAAAGGCAAAACAACGGTGACAATTGTATAAATGGATCACTGAAGTGATGACACCAGGTGTTCACGAAAAGGATAATTTTCGGCCCTACCGGTGGCGACCGTCTAGCAGGAAACATAATTTCGGCAGAGAAATCACAGAAGGTATTTGTGGTACACTCTAGATTATATCACTGATTTTATCAACACACAGAGTATCCAAGGATATAAGAGTATTTAGATAATACTCAAACACTCGTCTCACCTCAACAAGATCAGTCAGTTGCTTATACGCTTCTGAGTGAGATGTCTTGACTGACAGGGAACCTGGTGTCATCACTGATTATCGTTGGTCCATTCATATGATTTTCATACCTTCACGCCAAATGGAATCTGTTTCAACTGGTAATTTCTTTTGCATTGGCATTGGCATTTTATATAATTTTACCTATTTATCCGAAAATTATTATCTAAAAAAATGAAAATTGAAAGTAGGGATGTTATATTGTACACAGTTACACTTATGATGCATGACATAAATATGAACAAGAAAACAGCTTGATCACTATCCCCCGCCATGGGGCACATTAGAATTGTGTTTGTTCATATTGTAGTGAATAACACAGAAGTTAAAGTTAATGTTACTATTATAGTGAATAACATAGAAGTTAATGTTAACTGTAGAAAAGAGTCCTATATATCCTGAAGAAGAGTGAGTGAATTAAGATTTAACGTCACATCGGCAATATTTCAGTCATACCGTCACGATCCCGTAGAAGAGATAATGTGACCTTATGTCATGAGAAAATCGGATTTTCGAACTCTTGATAAATATCTCTTAGATAAGTTTGCATTCATGAAACTTTCTGTCTCTGAGAGAACTTTTCCTATTGCAGACACCATTCACTAAATTAAAAATGACATGGCTCAAGGATATACACAAAATCTAAACACATTGAAAATCTCAATTTATGGCACCAATTTTGAAACTCAGTTGTGATAGGTTTCTCTTACTTAAGTATGCAAACTTTCTTTCATGTAATTTCAGTAGTTTCTGAGAAAACTTGCCCCCATTGCAGACACTATGAACTAAGTGCAATAACATAGCTAAAAGGCCATAACTCTGTACCAATAATTTACGGTACTAATTTTCGAACTCAGTCTTGATAATTATCTCTTAGATATTAAGCATGAAAACTTTCATAAACCTGTCCCCATTTCACACAGTATGCATTAAGTTGAAAAGCCTGTATCAAGAGTTACTCTGTAACTCTGTAAAAACATAATTTTTCGAACTCCAATCATGTCCAGTTTGAGTAAATGTGTCACCATTGAGAAGCCGACGGACGGAAGGACGAACGGACAGACGGACAAACTCGTTTCCTATATCTCCCGACCCTCTTCGTGGCGGGGAATAATAACGTTAGTCAATACAGCTCTACTTACCCACAAACACAATGTTGAGGAGCTGGAACGATGCTGAGAACGATGCCAACATACACGCGAAGTATTGAAAAATCTGGTACCGTCCTCTACCTCCTAATGCTTCAAGCACCAGGTCAACCGAGGGTGTTTTGCTTGCCATTGTTGATCGCCTTTACACCGCCGAACTCTATCCCCGCTTCAATATATCTGGCTTGTTTGCTTCAGTTATATCGCTTTAATATGATGCGACATACTAAGTATCTCTGGCTATGTTTATGCATGATCACATTCCTCTTACCTAAGGGTCAAGCTAAAGCAAGTTGAAACACGTGGTACCTTTACTTCAATGGCGAGTGGGGGTTAAATATGTAATATGTATTATACATTTCAGATGCAGATTTTGAGAAAATAGATTAGGGTTGGGGTTCGATGGTTGTGTTTTGGGTTGGGTGTTGGGTGTGGGTGGGTGTATTTCGTGATCATATATCAACATACAATTGCGAACGTAAAATAACGTGCAAATCTGTTGATGGTCGTAAAAATATCAAGTGCTTCTAGTACGTAAACATTTAGATGATTGTTTGTTGAACGCCGCACTCAGCAATATTCCAGCTATATGACGGCAGTCTGTAAATAATCGAGTCTGGACCAGACAATCTAGTGATTGACATCATGAGCATCGATCCACGCAACCAAGTCATCGAGTCTGACCACCAAATCCCGTTAGAATATTAATACAAACACTTCACGAACACCTCGTGTAATCACTGATCTTTAGTGATTGATTCATTTAATTTCACTGCTGTTTTGCCTTTTACGATCAGTGGAACCTGCTTCGTCGGATAATCGAGACTGTCCATTCTCTGGTATTTACGCTTAATAGCTACATACGCAAATAGACGTGTTGGGCCAAAGCTTACTATCGTACGGTTGGAATTGATATAACTGTGAGGTGTCGTCACTCCAGAGCGACATTTGAATTTTTAGACTGAACGCGAGAGCGACATGCGGTAATGCTTTGAAGTTTTCATCTGTTTACGTAAAGGATCAATATGTTTTAATATAGGATTAGTATGTTCACCATGACCACATCTCAGTAATTAATTATGATTTGGTAATCATACTTATCATTGTGGCACGTTCAATCTGTGTCAAGCGAAGACATCTGCAGTGGCAACCACAGATGTTCCAGGTATTTATATATACGATACAACTATAATTATTTGTAATTTGTTTAAGTATAAATTAATATAAATAAAATTTTACAATTTGATATTAACAATATTTTCTTTTAATAGATGGACTTCGAAGATGCTGCTCGCACAGTTCTGGGATGTGAATGGAAGCGTTGTTTCTTCCATTAATGTGCTTTATATAAATGCACAACAATTAATTGATATTTCTAACATATCTATCACTACGATGTTACCCTAAATGATGCTACATTCAGTCACTGGAATGAGAACAAATTCATGTTAACCCTGAAACAAAATCAGATTGAATGTCCTGAGACATTTGAATGCATATGTTTACATTTTCAATCTGATTAAAAATCTTTTTGCCATTTATGTGTGAGCTCCGGTGATGTGTACCGGTCACGTTATGTTGCACATATATACTGGATATAAATAAGTTTGATTCCCAGGACAGTTGTTCTGCGACCTATAACTTGAAAACTATGTATAGATTCTTTTCAAACTTAGTAAACACTTTCCATACCAATAGGAGAGGTGCAGTGATATTTTGATATGTGTATTTTCTTTTTAACTACAGCATTTGTACGACCTATAACTTAAACACTACTTCGTGCATTCTGTTCCAATTGGGGGTACAGTTTCTATACCAATATTAGAGGTGCAGTGTAAAGATTGATTTCGATAAGTGAATTTTCCTTTTTTCATGTTTTGAACTGAGAAATATTTTTATACCCCCGACCTGAAAGGTATAGTTTTACCAAAGAATTCCTCCTTTTCTTCCGTCCGTCCGTCCATCCGTCAGTTGAGTTTCTGAAAATAACACTGTGTTTATGTTATTGACTTCAGTGCGCCATATCCGGCGTAGCTTGCGGCTGAAGCTCCAGTGCATCTTGGAATCATTCCATTACTATGTTATATTATTTTATTGTGCTTTTAAGAGAAACCGACTCACACGTTAAGGCATCAATATATCTCCAATATCAAGATTGTTCTTCAGGTGATGTTGGAGTCGAGGTCAGGGGTATCAGTGAATGATTTCTTCGCATTTTACATTTATGACTACAAAAATATGAAACCCACCCAACCACTTTAATCCAGGATTCATCTCGGTCAGCTTTGCTAGGAATTTACTAGTTCACGTGACTATCACGCAACCCACACAATCTGGCCTCGTCGTGACATTTTTGCAAACATTGTTCGATACACATTTTAAACCTTTACTTTGTTAACAGATGATTGGTCGGCATGCGGTTAACAGTGAAATGTACCCATCCCAAGATATATACATACTCTCCAACGAACTGTTTTATTTAGTAGATCCAGATAACTAGTGTTGTAGTGTTAAGAAAATATATCCTCCACATGAGTACCAAACACCTTTTGAAAGCATTACTAAGGCTTTGATTGTTGAAACCCCGAACCCTGATTGAAGCTCGTTTCTGATGAAATTGTTGTAGGTGATTGATTGTCACCAATAGCTGTCATTGTTTACTCACAGGGACGTGCCTTGGGAACTCAAGTAGGGTCAACAGGTCAGCGGTAAAGTGGCAAGAGCTGAACGGATGTCGAGACACAATCCAAACCGACGGGTTATGTAAATGACACGCGTGTTCACCGTGGAGTGTTCGCCGTCTATTGAATGGAAGCCTTCAAGATAACAACTTTAAAGTCTTCCAGCTAATATTTCGTCTGACATATATATCTTCGAATTTCTCATCCTATTGTGTTTCATAGTTGCGTCTTGTGGCAGTGCTGGCAAATATTTTCTTTCATAATTTGTAAGCAAATATGTCCATTTCGGTCAATGACCTTTTGACCAGACCTCCTGTTTAGATCAAGCACATGAGGAGAAGCGAAATCCTTTGTATTTAAATGATTCCGAACAAACAAATAAAGTTCATGTATCATTTCTTTGATGTAAGTTACAAAACTAATTATTTTTAAACCAATTTCAATGTTTGATGTTTTGCTGTTGTAAAAGTGTAAATATCCATGCGGTATGTTATCCAAATAATATGGACACGGTGCGATATTCTATTCTTAATGTTAGGCATACACGACGAAAAGGCATGGGAATATTAATGGAGAGTCTGCTGTGCAATAAGTACCAAAATGGATCCATCTGCATGCGCGCGCATGTTTCTAATTCCAAATATTCAATAAGAGTGCCCTATAAGCACATTTTTATTGTGCACGTAGTAATGAACAGAGAACATTTGTCTGCGCCACTTACAAAACCTTCAGCTTTGTGTGGTCACTGTTAGATAAACATGTTATTTGACAAGAAAAAACAAAGATCTTCTTTGTGTTTGGAGAATGCCTTGTTAAACGCTGTTTACTCAGTATTAATTAAGGAAAGCACACCTAAAACATGGGTTATAATGCATCTGCTGTACCTCGTCTAATAAACACTTATGTCACTGAGAAGGGTATTAAATCACTCAACTGCGGTGTGCGTCCCTTAGTCGTGACAGGATCTGGTTCTCTCTCGATTATTTACATTTAGCTAGAATGTTGCTGCATTAAATAATAAACAAACAACTTGATAGTGATTCAAAAACAGAAAAATACTTTACAGAGCGTGGATTAAGTATAGTACTCACATTGATCAGCGTGAGTAGATTGTACAATTTGTATCTATAGGGAATGTGTAGATTTCATACAAGTCCAAGTTTATTTATAGGGCTCGGGCCAGATACAAATAGCAACACCGTATACATCCATGCGGACAATGCGCGGCTCAACATTTCAGATTAAACAAGACTGGAGACTTGCTCCCCTACCAATCCCGACGCACCCACCCAACTAGTTGCCTAAGTCTATACATAATTACAAATATTTTCCTATCTTGATCATAATGCATTCTTTCTTTCATTCATACTTTTCCAATCGAAAAATGACGTTTCTGCGACAGTCTTGCATTAACTGGACAAATTTGAAAACACTAGGGTGTACACATGAGTAACTTTGCAAATAGAGCCGTCTTAATTCCATATATTTTGGACACATTAATTAAACATGGTATTCGTCCTCTATATCAGTTACATAAAATGAACATAGACGCTGTTCTAGCTGTAATTTGGTCCAACCCATCTCCCCTTTTAATCATGAACATATGTGAACTGAGACTAAAACGTGTTAGAGCTACTCGGTATTTCATAACATCAATACTATTAAGTTACATTTCAAAACATAAGGAATCCTTCATTTGATAGGTACAGTCTGGTTTCGCTGAGGCTTGATAATTGGTTGGATGCAGAGACACATTGTCATTTGATGGTGGTTGCAGAGACACATTGTCGTATGATGGTGGATTAGAGACACATTGTTGTATGATGGTGGATGCAGAGACACATTGTCGTGTGATGGTGGATTAGAGACACATTGTCATTTGATGGTGGATGCAGAGACACATTGTTGTAAGATGGTGGATGCAGAGACACATTGTTGTATGATGGTGGATGCAGAGACACATTGTCGTATGATGGTGGATGCAGAGACACATTGTCGTATGATGATGGATGCAGAGACACATTGTTGTATGATGGTGGATGCAGAGACACATTGTTGTAAGATGGTGGATGCAGAGACACATTGTCGTATGATGGTGGATGCAGAGACACATTGTCGTATGATGATGGATGCAGAGACACATTGTTGTATGATGGTGGTTGTGAACTGCAGGCAAACCATGGACTACATTTATGGATTACAACGTGTTCTGATGTAGCTCAATTCCACAAATAGGTAAGGTTTATCCTTATGTTCACTTTTCGTGTAGCCTTTGAGGGTTACAAGGTATATATCTAAATGTATGTTATGTTACTTGTGGAGTGGTGACTATGTTAGATACATGTGTAAAAACTGTTTTTGTTGTGATTATTGGGGCAACACGTTATTTGGTGGTAATATTATCACCCTTGGTGTTATAATTAAGTTTTTTACAGAACTCCATGTGTGTTCATGACCCTCCTTGGTGTTTATTAATTTATATCACAGATCACATTTATAGTTGTCATAAGATGCCATAGTACCAAATCATTTGTGTGATGAGAAGCTACTTGTGATATTTAAGTAACATATATATAATTTATGGCCGTTTCGAGATTGTTTTACGGGTTTTTTCTGGGCCATGGCTACATGATTATGGGACTACAGGACTACCTGAATCAGTCAGTCATCTGAGTAAACCGATTACAACCTCACAGCTTGTATCATTGGTGGCCTATAACAACTGCAACGTACTCGGTAATCCATATCGTAACATCATACTGAATATCATTCACTTAAAACATTTCAGATCGCATTCAAAGGTTTCCATTTCATTTTGAGAAAACCTTCGAACATGTCTATCCCGTGTATAGAGTGTTCCAAAGACGTGCGTGATCGTCAAGAGGCTGAAGCTTGTGACCAGTCAGACAAGTGGCCGCTTCGAACCTGTCGTACAAGGATTAGTCGTGAAGGCTACAGGTAGGATGCCAAAAGTCTGATGAATTTGGAATGGTCATCTCTGCCATGCATATCTACTCTCCTGCAAGACCAATAACCTATCACCATCATCATCACCATCTCCGCCGACCTAATGGAGACCGACAACATCGTGAACCGACCCTCGACGCTCCCGAAGATGACGATTCCAAGATTCCAAGAAGATGCCATGATCAACCCAGTTCCAGACACCGTAGAACTAGGTCACTTCGACCTCACCGACTATAGAGAGACTTCCAGCACTAGAGGAGAATCCAAGTTGGTCGACCGTAATACTTAGTATCATCATTATTTGACAGTGAATCATAAACAGATGCTCATGATATTGTCGGAATCGTACACTGGACTCACTTCTATTTACAACTTGAAGGAGACGACGTCAACCGGCGCAATTTGATGATGTTCTAAGAAGTTGAGGGTATCATAAAAAAAACGCGAAACAACTACATGTGCAAGTGTGTAAACAAGATAAATTGAAGATCATGTCATTATTAGTTTTTTGGACTGCATTTGAGGACTAAAAAGGTTCCACAGTCACAAATTCCAAGATCAGTTTGGTCTGAATTGTCATTTATCAAATAGATAAAGGTCATCGGAACAAGGATCGCGTAAATGGATCACGAGGTATCAGATGCATAAACTATGAAAAATGCTAGATAAATGCTTTTCTGGCATCATTCAATAAATAGGAATTCTAGGTCAATGGAACTAGCATATATCAAAATAACGCAAATCTACCTAGTCTAGCATATCATAACTGACACTGTTAGCCTAAAAAGGTTATTTTACAGGTTAACTGATGCTAAACTTGTAAGGCATGTATGAAACGGCCTATACCCTGAGGAAAACACCTCTCCTGGCCCGTGCATTCTTACAGGTGTAAGTGTCACCTCAGTAGGGGGTGATGGTCTGATATACTTTGACGGGTGTAGCAATTAAGATACCTGTATGTACTTATTATATTTGCTTTGAAAAAATATGGAATCCTTGAAACAGGATGAGTATTGGAAGGTTGGACTTTTGAATGAAGACGTATTTGTTGTTCTCAAGACGATTTCTTTAGTCCGGATCTGACTCAGCTGATGGCGTATCTGAATCTGTAATATGCCCCAAAGTTATGCAATACAGCTGATATCTTCGCCGTCACCTTATCGGTGCTGATGTTCTTTTTCAAGGACGTGATCTTCAGCCTTTTGCTATACATCTGGTGTGATTTTAGCAAAGGCTGAGGTGATCGCCATTTTGACATGTGTGAGTTTGAATGTTGTGTTATGTCTTTACAGTTAACCCAGATAGGGTTATACTCACAACGTGACCGTGCTGTGCAACCAGAACATTTGTACTTTACTGGTTTCTTATTCAGGTGAAAATTCTCCATGAGTTGAGGACCTACTCGATGGTCTAGTGGTAGAGCATCAGACCGGAGAGCGGAAGGTCCGGGTTCGATCCCCTGGCAACGGCATACCAAAAGACCTTAAAGGATGGTACTTTTTGTTACCCTGCCTGACGTTGGGCAGTAAGGGGCTAAAACAAAGACTGGTCGGCTTGGAGTCAGTATACTGTGTCTGAGTGGGGTATTCATGTTAAACTGTGGCATGGTATCTTAGTGGGATAGCATTATAAAATCGGCATAAGTCGGGACTAGTAGAAGCAGCCACACACGTTCATGCACGTCGCTTTATAAGTGCAATACTTGACGACGCGGGGTTAAACACTATTCACCTCACTCAGCCCACCATGAGTTTAACTTGAACCTGCTGTAAGTCATGGATAGAAGGTATTGGCTACTAAGTCATATCTTTACTGGATCAGTTTGGTTCCAACAATTTTGGGTGACTGGAAGGTATTGAGAAATAGCCAACATTGTGCCGGACGTAAAAAAAATCTTGGTCCAAGAGTGCTTAGGTTTAATCACTGCTACCTGGGTGAGTCATTTGTGCTAGAAATGAAGATTAACTATTTCTTTACATTATGTCTGTTCACAATTGCTTACAAAAGCATGATAGCTCCATGTGATGCTTATTACCAAGCCGTGGTTATGAAAACATAATGCTTATTATATAGGCGTGCAATGAATAAAAGCATAAACGTAATTTCTGTCTAGTCTAAATCTGTCCAATACACGGCCGAGGTACATCTACCTACTGTTGCGAAAGACTTCAGATTCCTTGAGTATCAGGTTTCTAATGCACTCAGTATGTCACTCGTTCATATCTCTGACTTGAAAGATGTGTATTATAGGTGCAAACTTTACTCTCAAGTACTCCAGTTGACATCTGACAAATAAAAGGGACAAAACCCTTTCCATATTCATCAGAAATCTCTGCAAAAGCAGAATCGATTGTACGAGTCCGACTATATAATGAACATGTGTTAATGAATCACTATCAAATAGTGATGATACCAGGTGTTGGCTAAAAGGTGAGCGTATCCTGCCCCAACGATGGCAGCACTCGTCACTAACAAATGCAAAGTCAAGTCAACTGTTCATTAAAGAAATAAGGTACAAGTCAAAACAGAGAATTGCATGGGACATATTTGTGGTCACTTATGCGTCAAATTTGTAAATGTCCTCCACGTGTTTGCCATAAAAAGCATGGGACTTTCTGTTTCAATTTTGTACTGCATTGGTCATTTGTTTTCCAAAACCGGAAATGACATCGTCTAATGACCCACAGGTCCGTGTGCAAACCTTAGTCCTGTCCTCGTCATGCCAGATTCGTCCCAATTATGAGTCTTCGATTTATCACTTTTGGCTTTCGTCCCACATAAATCTAAATTGAAATACCGATAAAAAAGAAGAACTAAATTTACTTATTCACTCACTCACTCATCACATTTACGTCACAGTGAGTCGTGAAAATACTGAATCTATCTCTTTTTGTCGTGACACAGATCCGAATAAGAAAGGTCGGTGTGTATATTGGGTAAAAGGAACCGGTCGTAAAGGTTGGCTGGGGTTGAGATATTTCCGCGAGTGGCGCCTGGTTGTTAAGGATTTTGGAATGTGGTGTAGTACTTATTAACACATACGTCACTCATTCATCACAATAGGCACTGTGACTCTATATGCGTATGGATCGGTGGTTTGGGCCTCATCTGGACTGGAGCAGACAAACGAGTGGGTGATAGCATGAACAACGATTTCCACCGTCAGGACATTGTAACCACATGATCCCTATTCAAGTTGGCTCTTGTCCTCTCCTGAACATTGTGTGAGTGGAGGATGTTACCGGTAGAGCAGGACAGGCTTATCTTTTCCGCGAAAACATGGTGTCATAAATAATTTTCCGTGATCCATTTGTATACTTTTTGTCACTATTTTGCCTTTTACGCCCACTGGAACCTGTTTCGGCAGATAATGGAGACATTCTCTGGCGTTGACGTTCTGAACGTTACACAGATATGGGTAACTTGGAATACGTTTTAGTCAAGAGTCCGACTGATTCTGTACTGATCCAGATCTGTCTTGATGACATTGTCAGAACCACATTCAGTTTATAAGGTTGAATACGGGAGCAATAGTTGTATCAATCAAGACGTTCTCGTCATGTCAAAATGCTGCAAACATATACTAATTCATCTTGTATCTTAGTATGTAAGAAGATAGTACGAACTATTTTATTTTGATCACAATCGACGGTTACACAGTCTCAAAACACAATATTAACGAACTTATTAACGACCATTTCTAAAGGCCACTTATTATTTAAAGCGTCTCCATAGCGCCTTTTGTATGAAAGGATCCTCAATTGTAGAGCTATTATTGTGTGGTGATGTGGTTACAATTAAGAAAGAAACGTATCTGGCAAGTAACACAGTCGATCTATGTTCGATGTTTAACTGTATATTGTAGGGCTGATCATAAGGCAAGAACGGGATTACGTTGGGCGCTAAAACACACAGGGGCCGTTATGTGAGAAGAGCAAGACAGCAACACATGGCCAATGTCGAAAATTTGAACGGGACAAATACAAGCAGAGAATTTCAATTGCAATTGGGCATCATATAAATTAATGACGAAATGTTTCTTGTTCAATATATTGTTTTTACGTATAACTAGCACGGAAAACGCAAAACACATGGCAACTAATTTTTAATAAATCAGTGTTGTATTAGCAGCTTAACTTTCAGTAATTATATTACTCTGTTTCTTCTTCGGCGTTTCCCTTTGCTGCCTCATCCACTGCTTCATCTCCCGGATGGTCTGGGGCAGCTCCTGGTTGTTTGTTTCCGGCAGGTATCGCATCAGGAAGGTCACCACGATGCAGCATGACCCGAACACAGAGCCAGGGGCCCAAGGGTAGTGTCGATACTGCCACACAATAGAGACAAAGGGCATAGAAAATATGCTTCTGAGATCTGAATATGCTACCATCAACTGAGGAAAACAAAGATTCTTCGAATTCCGTATTACGTAATCATATTATTACATTATCTATGCTAAGTGAAATTTCTGTACCGAGTGGGTTTGCTAATACAAACAGAATATGACTTAAGCTATACACTATTTCCAGTAAGACATGTACAAGAGTTTTAACTCCATGTCGCTTTCCTGGCGGTTCTAATTACAATTAACAACATGGTAAAATAACTAAAAATTCAGGTAACAAAAAATACGTTTCAATGCCTTGTTCGTTCAGATAACACCAATGATGAGTCGTAGTCGTAACATCACGCTCACTATGTAACGCTGAACATACACCATTATTTTACTTTTTAATATCACACATGGCATCGCAAATGTGTGGATTTTGTTGTCTAACCCGGAATCCCCTCGGATGTCATAAAACATCTACATGCATTACCATGTATTACAAAATCAGAAAGTCTTACCAGTGTCCTTGAAAATGGAGCCAGTAACCCACCAATTCTAGCGGCCAGTGATGCTAATCCAAACCCTACGCTCCTGAAAATTTTACACAAAAGATGGATATGATTCATGATACATACGTAGATGGAGGCACAAGCATGATACATGTTTGTATGAAGGTGCTAGCATGAGACATGCGCGTATGAAGGTGCATGCATGATATTCGTATGATACGTGTGTACATGAAGGTACAAGCATGATACACGTGTGTATGAAGGTACAACCTTGATACACGTGTGAATGAAGGTGCAAGCATGAGACATGCGTATATGAAGGTGCAAGCATGAGACATGCGTATATGAAGGTGCAAGCATGAGACATGCCTATATGAAGGTGCAAGTATGATGCACGTGTGTATGGAGGTGCCGGCATGATACACGAGTGTATGAATGTGCAGGCATGATACATGTGTGTATGAAGGTGCAAGCATGATGGACGTGTGTATTAAGGCGCGTGCATGATACACGTGTGTATGAATGTGCAAGCATGAAACATGTGTTTATGAAGATGCAAGCATGATACACGTGTGTATGAAGGTGCAAGCATGGTACATGTGTATATGAAGGTGCAAGCATGATACACGTGTGTATGAAGGTGTTAGCATGATACACGTGTGTATGAAGGTGCAGGCATGATACATGTGTGTATGAATGTGCAAGCATAATACATGTGTACACGGATAAAAATCTGCCATTCGAGATTATCGCCACCCGTCCCACATCTATTTTAAGACAGATCTACCCAACCTACAATGTACTGAAACAGTTCGTCAGAATACCTTCCCGTCAAATAAATGTCTTTATTACAAAATGGTAAAAAATGATTATTTTTCCAGGAGAGTATTTATCTTGTTTTAATGTCAAATAATTTCAGGTTTCCTCAGCAAGATTTCGATGTTGTTCACATGACCAATTTATTGAAACTGGGCGCTACATGGATATTATAAGAGAAGAACACATTTTTCAATTGTGCGCCCTAAATGCCATTGAAGATGAATATCACTTTTTTATATACACAAAGAAAAAAGTTAAGCACACCCCTATTTCTGAACCATGACAAATAGCAAAAATCATGGCATGGGATGACTGAGCACAGGAAATGGGCGATACCTACTATTTTTTACCTTAGACAATACCTATAATGAATATGGAGCTGCAGGATCAAGTAAACGAGTTACTTTTGATGTTCCTTAAAGTCTCTACTTGACATGACACGTGAAACAGATCAGTAGCGGGTATAACCGCCACATGCAAGGATGACGCATTCCACCCTACGCCTCATGCCTCCAGTCAGACGTTGGATCTGTTGATGGGTCAACAACAACCACTCCTGGTGCAATGCTGCTTCCAATGGGCGTAAATCTTGAACAGGAGGATCTCGTCCCTGTTTGCGCCGCCCCAGAATATGAGGGTTCAAATCTGGGTTCATCAAATCAGACGTTATTGCATTGGCCGTCATGTAATCCACGACTGCATGCAAACGATGAGGCCTGGCATTGTCATCCATGTACTGAGGTCGAGTAGCAAGAAGGTGGTTGTCAAAATGAGGAACGACGATCTCAAAACGTCCCGGAGGTACCGAGCCCCTGTTAAGTTGCCCCTTATGGTGACCAAATCCAACCTGCAATCATGAGAGATACACCCCCGAACCATTACCGAGCCCCCGTCGTATGCAACAGTCGGTTTAATGTTCCTGGGGGTGTAGGCCGTGTTCCGGTGCCTCCAAACTCTCGTTCTTCCATCAGTGACGTTGGGCAGAAAGCGACTTTCGTCTGACTCCAGTTCTGTCGCACAATGCTAAACGAGCAGCTTTGTGGTGATCTCTCAACAAGGGACGCTTTATGTCTAGCCATCAGTCCTGCTGCTTTCAGCCGGTTCCTGACGGTTCTGGTGCTGAAAAGACGATTGGGCAACCACAGCTGTTTCAGACGAGTACTTGTTCAAAAGGGTTCTCTGCGTATGAGACGAAGAAGTTTCCTGTCTTCGCGATGTGTCGTCACAGGAGGACGGTCCTGTACATAACCGGTCTGAGCATGTTTCTCGACTCAACTGCTTACGATAGTGTGATGATACCCCCAATTCCGACCATTTGCATTACAAGAGATTCCTGCGTTTGCCATCTTGTGGCGTTTGATAATCGCCTTCGTGCCATGGTCACACAATGTCATGGAATAACTGTTTAAAACCGAGTTTAAGAAAGCAATTTTAACGTTTGGATATACTGCTTTTGGGGATACTAGAGGGCAGTGTGCTGCACGGGCATATCATGCATGGCACGTGGGCTTTCGTCACGCATGGCTGATTACATAATAGGGTGTGCTTAAGTTTTTTCTTTGTGTATATATTGCTATATGTAACAACATGTTTAAGTGGTCCGGGTGGCCCGGCGGTAGTAGTTGTATGGATGAAGTGCGAACTTGACCAAAGATGAAGTGCGAACTTAATTTTTTTTGTGTGTGTGTATGTCCATTTTATTCAATATTAAGAAGTATATACCTGAATATTATAATGTCAATTTCTTTAAATTCACATCTCGAATTGCTTACTTTTAGAAAAAATTGTCTATGTACATATGTCATGCAATGAGACACAGGAAAAATGTTATGTTATAGACTCTACTGCTCTGAATGTGTCTGTTATAAATTTACTATAGGCCTGTGGCCTCATTACGGAAATAAAGAAATCAAGTCATATCGTAATTGTTGTAACGTCTGAGTATCGGGTCGCCAGTCAAAGTGTCTTACCGTATTTTTGTTGGGAATATTTCAGGAGTATAAAGCCAAAGAAGATTAAACGTAGTCGCTATGGCAAATTTTCCAATAAGGGAAAATGTGGTAACAGCCACGCTGAAGGAGGGTATTTTATCTGAAATAAATGTAGAAGTTTGAATACATGAGAATGCACGCATGAAGACAAAGGTAAAACCTGTATAGGATTAGACTGATGTGGCTTTAATTCATGCGTATTTTTTTACAGTCAGTTCACGAACATATTGTTCATTGAGAAACTATAAAACAGATTGTCCAAACTAGATGGCAGTGACTGATGTAAAATTGTTTAATATACAGGATTTTTTGCGGCAAAGAAAGAGAAAGAGATAAATACATTTGACGCAGTATCACTAAAAAAAACTTATTTCAAGTCAAATTATGAAGTCATAAAAAGATATATCTATTTGCAGAAAACTTGTTGCCATATAAAATAAACTTTAAAAATACTTTCAGAGAAAAACATATATATTTAAATAAAAATGAGTTCAAACATGTCATGCAGTCATTCACAGATATATGAAATATCTGTTTTAAATATCACGACATTGTAACGTCATCACTGTAGTTAGAAAAGGATGCAACCTGTAGCACTATTCATCAACTTAAAAATAAATTTAAATTCAAATAATATTGGAACAATCTATCCAAAAATATATTTTGAAATATTTGATACACAGGTAATACCAATATTTGTATATGGTTCAGTCACAATTATGAGGTTACCGGCTGTATGAACAATAAGAACGAGTGCATCTTTTGGCATGTAAAAGTAGTTTATAGATTGGGAAACAAACGCCAAAATGCCATTGTCTACGGTGAATGTTGACGCAGTCCGCTTTATGAATTGGTTAACATTACCTGGAATGCACGAAGGGCGTATCCCCCCCAAAAGTATGTCACATGTTGATGTATTTCGACAAACGCCAAACAACTTGGTTCGTAATATATATTTTTTAGCATGGTTTGAGATATGTATGGCTAAATCAGACAATATAGCTTTAATATATAATATAGCAATTAGGGTATTTAAATAGATATTCTCTTACAGATGAATTTCGTCAAAACTGGATGTCAACACTCAACAATTATAGCTCCCTATGTGATGTGTAAAGAATATAACACAGTGCTTGAACCTGAAAGATAGTGGAGCATTTACAATGGCAAGAATGTACGCAATGATTTTATTTAATTAAGATGTAATGTTTTACTGTCACGACACAACTATTGAATAGTGTTTACGTATGTGTCCTGTTTGCAATATATCTGTTGAAGATGAATATCATTTCGTTTTGATCTGTAAACAATATATTGAACTTCGTAAAGTTTATTTGCAAGAACTGTTTTGGAAATTTACAACTATTGATAAATCCAAAAGTTTGTTGTGTTCAACTCAGGATGATTTATTAAAACGTCTGCAACATTATGTATACTAAAAACACATGACGTCGTAAACTCCATGTTTCAAATTGTATTATTGGCATTGCATGTCTTGTATATGGACGAAAGTCCTTCAGACAAATGAACTGTTTGTGACCTTGACTTTAAGATATGCAGCGCAGATCAAACTATTACACTCGAGCGTAAAGAGATGTAGATGAACACAATATGCATGCACATTAGCTCACGATAAAGTCGATATTCTTTTCGCAATTTATCCTTTTCGACATCTGACCACATAATTTGAAACTATACTCTTAAATATTATTCTATTTCTCAGACACTATTTAAAATGGGAAAAATATTGTTCGTGATAACACATCATTGATAAAATTCAAAATAAAAATCTTACCCTTGTAATTGTTAAATATCACTGATGCTATCAAGGATAAGCCGGCTATGAGGTGAAAGACTAAGCACGTTCTTCTCCTCCCAAATCTGCGAGACAAAACAAGTTGTAGAACATAAATACACATGGCTTGATTAGAAGCAGGATAACAAGCTATTAAAGAGATATAATTACCGGTCTACTGTTAGCCAGAACATGATCGAAGCCAATAGGTCCGTGATGGCACTCAGACCAAATCCAATGTATTTGTCACTGTGAAACTTGGTAGAATTGAGCTGCAGTCCATAGTATGTGAGACAATCTATTAACCTAAAAATATAATCATTGGTGTAAAATTGACGTGGAGATTACGTTTAACAAATAGACAACTGGAATTGAGGCGAAAAGTAATTAGAGAACTACTATGTTTGCAAAAAAAGGCATATTTATGTCCACAAATACATTGTTGCAATGGTGCGAGGCTACTAATCAATGATGTCACTTTTGAGTGGTCCTTAATTGTCTTGTTGATCTACATATAAACTAGAAGGTTAGATCATATATCATTCCAGTAAATTCTATAAATGTTCAGTGAACATACCATATAAACCATATTATTGCAGATACCGTTAGAATCTGCCCGTCCTTAAATATCTGTAGAAAAGGTTTTTCCTCTGTTTGTTTTGATAAGACGTTTTTAGAATGCCTGCAGCATGCACGTTCGCCATTCGATGAGTGTGTAAGGAGGGGTAGATGGTCATGCAGTCTAGGAGACAGCACCTGGTCTCTAAAAGTTGTTATGACAACATTAGCATTCTTGGAATTCATGCGACTGGCCTTCTTCAAATTGCGTTCTATAACATCATACATGTTGTTTGCTGCAAGCCACCTGTAGCTCTCGTCTAGTACCCTGCAAAAAGCATTCAGTCCTGAGTTTATGTATTTACTATTACGAAATAAAGGTTTGACGTAAAGGATTGTTAAGAAGCACGCCCTGTGTGTAACAAACAAAATTGCACTATCATCAAAGGCTGATGGAATTGTAATTCAACTACAACCTAACGTAAGAGTTGCTCACCATGGTACAACTATATAGTAGGTAGATGTAAGACCTACAACAAGTTGGTGGTACCGCCAGCTAAGATCCTTCATGAAGTATGCTGCCACTGCATAGATTACTATTGACGCAGACCATACAATAGTGGCGAACACACTCATCTTTGATCTGTGTCGAGTTGGGACAATCTCAAGATAGAGTGTTGTGGACGTTAGACTGACACCCTGAAATAAAACGACTGGACTTTTCATATTACCAAGGACACTGGTTATGTTCTGCGCTTACCGTCTTCAATGAACGAGATAGGGGCCATGCATTTAGCAATATTACAAAGGAAAATATTTTGTGCCCATGACAGACACGCGAGAAAAAAGAAATGTGGTATTTTAAGGTATCAACTAAAGAGACAGTTTGTCACCACCGTTATTTATAATGACCACTTGCACCTTGATGGTGGCTTTACTTTTGTGTAATTGATGTTTGCACATGCGTTTCCGTGACCTCAAATTGGGTCATATGATGCGATGATGTTTATAGCGTAATCATACAATTGTCCGACAAATATATCATTTGCATTCTTCTAATTGAAATTACGTGTGCGTCCTCAACTCACTGTAATCATACGTAATATTTACATGTTTTCTGGTATGTAATTTAAATTTAAAGATAATCTGATGTGAATATAGATAACAGTCGAAACATCCACCCACCCACACATCCACCCCACCTCTTTGAGTTAGTTTTACAACATATCTAACACGGCCTACCATCTGTGTTGCTCCTTGTAGAACCCTTAACACTGCAAAAGGAACAAATGTGGGTATAAATGCCATGCCTGTGCCGACCACGAAGAAAGAAAGCCCAGCCAGCACATTGGAGAACTTGCGTCCGAACCGGTCAGCTACAACTGTGAACACAACTGCTCCGATTCCCATGCCAAACATGTATAGGGTCTGCAGTAGGTCGCTCAGTCCCTCCTTCTCGCAGACTATATCCCACTGAATCAAAATGATCACAATGTTAATGGGAAGGTGAATAGTTTTTGGTAGATTATCTGACAAATGAAGTTTGGTGAAAATTGATAAGTAATGTAACTGTTAGCGTTTGAGAAAACGGATAAAAAAGGTTAATATTATTATGACAAATGAGATGATCACGTATTATAAGCAATGAATGTTACAGTAAACTACGTTTATAACGAAGACGCTTATAACGAACTGACGGATATGACGAACTTATTTCCTTGTTCCGGCCATTTGCTGTAAATATGCTGTATATATGCTTATAACGAACTACGGTTATGGCGAACTAACATATGTGGCACCTTTGAGTTCGTTATAACCGTAGTTTACTGTATATGAAACACAAGTGTGATTCCATGTGTAATTTATCAATGTATATTAGCCCTACAAACGTTTATTTCTTTGTTTCACCTGGTGGAATCGAGACAGGTTGTTCTCTGGCATTGGCATTTTGTATTTGTAGTCATCTCAGCCTTAAAGCACTAGAAATTACTATAGGGTAAATTGAGTTCTGTCTATTGAATTTAAAGAGAATAATCTGCGTGTTACCTCAGATACCAGAGATAGTTCTCTCGGCTTTTCATATTGATAACCTTCAATGCATGAGAGTCCTATTCTGTCCACACGATCCGACATGTTGGAAGTAATGCTGATTCCACATTCGTGGTACGTGATATTCAAGTCTGACACATCTGCTTGCAACACAAGACCTTCCAGCACAGAGGAATCGTTGAGCTCTTTACACCGACTTGGTACATGAAATCCTACATAAAACAAAACCAATTTTACTCAAGATCATGAAGGTGTATTGAGGTAGGGGTATCAGGAACTATGATAAATACATTAACCTTGACTTTGGAATTTACTCGATTCTGATTGATCAACCAGAAGTTCAAATAACAATAATCTCCTCTAATTGACAAACCTGATTTGACGTCCACGGATGCTAATATTTATAAAATAGGACTTCTGTCTCAATCGTTGCCGGTAGCCATTGCTAAAAGTTTTATATGTTCGTTTACAGATTACAAACTGCAAAGTTATGGTTACTACAACATTCAAGTGAGTGAGTGTGTGAGTTTGATTTTACGCCGCTTTGGGCAATATTCCAGCATTGTCACAGCGGGTAACACCAGAAATGGGCAACTTTTGAGATACAATCGAACATGCTCTTTCTACCAAGATTTCAAAGAGCGTCATACGACTCTTGCTCAAAAGTTGTTTGATCAAGGTTACAACATTCAAGGCCTCAGTAAAGCTTTCAAAACGTTTTATGGTAGTCATATGGAGGACATTTCCAAATTTGACGCACCAGTGACAAAAATGATGTCCGATGCAATACATTATTTTGACTTGTACCATATATTCCGATATTTTTTCGGGTGAACAGTTGACTTGCCTTTGCATGTGTTTGTGACGGGTGCCACCGGTGGGGCAGGATACGCTCACCTTTTCGCGAACACCTGGTATCATTACTATTTGATAGTTATTCATAAACACATGCTCATGATATAGTCGGAATTGTACAATCGACTCTGCTTTGTGCAGAGATTTCTACTGGATATGGAAAGGGTTTTGTCGCTGTATTCACACATTGTACCCATGTCGGGAATCGAACTCGGGTCTTCGGCGTGACGACGAACGCTTTGAACCTTGGCTACCCGACCGTCCCTACAATATTCAAGGTTGTGTGGGAATACATTTTGATCAGAAAACACGACAGTAATCGACAAAGAGAATGCATTTCAAATTTGGAGGACAACGAAATGTGTGACATTTTGCGCTTTTCTATAAACACTGTGACTTGGTATACTAGTATTTTGCGTCACAAGGAGTGGTGTGACGTTACCATAATGACGCACGGTGTAGAACGAAATCTTGCAAGGCTTGCTTAGTTTTCTCTAGTGTTGCCCTCTTCATGTTGGCTGACAAAGTTGCTATGCTACATGCTAACAACGCCTGTCATATATTCGAGTGAAGTGTTAACAAAAGATGATTAAGGATATACTGTGCCCTTTTTTGTTTAAAGGCTGTTTCCGTAATTAAAATCGATACTCCACTCAAAACAAGCTAATTTGCAGGTCACAGATGTTTACCATGTTTGAAAATCTTACATAACTGCTTCAATACAGAATGACGATTCTTCTCATTTGACCGGCCGAACGAGACTGACAGTAAGACCAGAAGAAAGTGTTTGATAAATGAAAGTAAAAGGGTTTCTTATTTGTCGCAAACTTTGCCACTAATCTCTGCAACATATCTTAAAAAACACAACACCTTGTTATTACAAGAAATCGTTGTCTTTACATAACAAGGTAAGTAGTAGCTTCTAATTCGATAAACAATTACCAAACAAAAACTTACCTATAAATATGATGCTCATTACATGAAATGCGAAAGGTAAAGACGACAATAAAACAAGACCAACTTGGACAACTTGATATCTGCCATTCCATCCCAGAGCATTGAAAACACTGTCAAAATTTACATCTTCCTTCGATGTCATGTTCTTCGATCTTTGTGCTCAGTGCTCAACTAAGCATTGCAGCTTCTTGTTATGTTCATTCGAAGATGTTGAAATGATTGCGACACTTGTTGACCCTTTTGGAGTGAACTATTCTTTAATTCACAGCCTTGTCCTACCGATAACAAACTTCACCACAGGCAACGCCATAAGCTTATCCTGTCATGTATATGAATATGGAATATAACATACATTGCTTCTTCAATTTTCGCCTGTTTGATTTAAAAATACTATATTGTAGTGGAATACGTACAATGGGTTAACAAAGGCATGCTAGCTTCATGCAACGCTAATTACCTGGACGTGGTTATGAAAACATAATGCTATTTACATAGGCGTGCAATGCATAAAAGCATAAAATCATTTCTGTGAAGTCTAAATGTTTCCAAATACACAGCCTGATATACATGTTGCAAAGGAAAAGTTAATTGTATCCCTTCCTTTCCCCAAAGCTCGATGGGGATTCCTTCGTATGGCTATTGTAAGAAGTATTTGTTTAAAATAAAACTTCTACTGCAGATCTCGTCAGAGAAGCGGTTTATCTGTTTTAAAGATTAACTAAACCTGACTCGCTGTAACAGCAGTGATGGGTCTGATGCAGCTGTCAATGATTATATGACGCATGATGATGATGAATGTACATAGTGTAACAGTATGGATAATCTGTCAGAAAGTATTATTGGAGATGAGATTGAGAAAGCGATTGAGAGAATGGGCAAATCCCCGGGTATTGGTGGTACACCCCCTGAATATTTTAAACATGCTTATTCAATTGCACCATATTTAGAAATATTATTCAATGCTTTATTGGACAGCGGTGTTTTTGCGATAGTTGGAATGTCGGCATGATTATACCATTGTACAAAAAGGGGATGTTTATAATCCAAATAAATAGAGGGATGTGTCAGCAACCTATGTCCATAGGTTCGATATGAGTTCAATATTATAATTGTGAGTGAGGTGAGATAAAATTGGGTTTAACGTCGCGTCCAAGATTATTGCCCTTTTATAGAGACGTGCATGCACGTGTGTGTGTGTGTGGCTGCTTGTACTACTCCGGACTGATGCCGATTTATAGTGCTAGCACAATGAGATACCATGCCACAGTTTAACATGAATACCCCACTCAGACACAGTATACTGACTCCGAGCCGACCAGTCCTTGCTTTAGCCCCTTAATGCCGAGCGTCAGACAGGGTAACAACAAATACCATCTTTTAACGTCTTTTGGTATGACGCGGCCGGGGATCGAACTCTTGACCTTCCGGGGTCTTACCATGAGTCGTGAGTGTAGGGATATTAATGAGTTACTGTACAACTTTCACTTGACATGAACTTGTTTTAGGCATTAAACGTTTGGACTGTCTCTTCTGATTAATTATTTGACATACTTTGGCAGTGGCTTGAGACATATGTATGTGTATTATTTCGCAGGCTTTCGTATACATGCAATTCAACAACTGTGATTATAATCTACTCTGTGTCCACATCACTCGCTAAAGAAGACAATTTATTTCTTGTAAATCTCCATGAACCACAGATTAAATATGTCTAATCAGAATGCATAATCATTATTCATGTGCTTGGTACCTCACTGATTTACAATGAATACTATCTCACGTAAGTCTCATTATGTTGGTAATAATAAACCCCAATATAACCTACTATAACATATTGCGGTTGGAATATGATTTGATAGAAGTGCACATATCTATTGCCAGCATCACTATTGTTTCTGTAATTGTCTAGCGTTGTTAACATCAATACAATGTATATCTCTGCCTGTATCAACCCTTGTCATGCATTGCTCTTGAGGGTCGTGCATCGTCACTACTATCCCAACCCACCACCGTCATGTGTCCAAAGATCATAGTGAAAACACTATGCATAGTTTAGTGTAGGAATATTTCCAGATGCGTAGAAACTACTTAACCATGACCAATAGATAGTGTAGTTTCCCGGCAAACATCGTCCTTATACAAGTAGCCTGTGTAGAAACTACTTAACCATGACCAATAGGTTGTGTTGATTTCCCGAGCAGATGTCCAACAAGTAGCCTGTGTAGAAACTACTTAACCATGACCAATAGGTTGTGTTGATTTCCCGAGCAAATGTCCTCCTTATTCATCATGAAGCCAGTGTAGAAACTATTTGACCATGACCAATAGGTAGTGTAGTTTCCCGGCAAACATCGTCCTTATACAACAAGTAGCCTGTGTAGAAACTACTTAACCATGACCAATAGGTCGTGTTGATTTCCCGAGCAGATGTCCAACAAGTAGCCTGTGTAGAAACTACTTAACCATGACCAATAGGTTGTGTTGATTTCCCGAGCAAATGTCCTCCTTATTCAACATGAAGCCAGTGTAGAAACTATTTGACCATGACCAATAAGTAGTGTAGTTTCCCGGCAAACATCGTCCTTATACAACAAGTAGCCTGTGTAGAAACTACTTAACCATGACCAATAGGTCGTGTTGATTTCCCGAGCAGATGTCCAACAAGTAGCCTGTGTAGAAACTACTTAACCATGACCAATAGGTTGTGTTGATTTCCCGAGCAAATGTCCTCCTTATTCAACATGAAGCCAGTGTAGAAACTATTTGACCATGACCAATAGGTAGTGTAGTTTCCCGGCAAACATCGTCCTTATACAACAAGTAGCCTGTGTAGAAACTACTTAACCATGACCAATAGGTCGTGTTGATTTCCCGAGCAGATGTCCAACAAGTAGCCTGTGTAGAAACTACTTAACCATGACCAATAGGTTGTGTTGATTTCCCGAGCAAATGTCCTCCTTATTCAACATGAAGCCAGTGTAGAAACTATTTGACCATGACCAATAGGTAGTGTAGTTTCCCGGCAAACATCGTCCTTATACAACAAGTAGCCTGTGTAGAAACTACTTAACCATGACCAATAGGTTGTGTTGATTTCCCGAGCAAATGTCCTCCTTATACAACAAGTAGCCAGTGAAGAAACTACTTGACAATGTTAGGGAACAGTGTAAGTTTGCTGCTAGGGGAACAAGGTCATTAACCTGTAACTACCCAGTGTCCAGGTATGAGAGATGGCCTGTGACTTGTAATGTCCACAAGTGTACTTATTCACCCATATCGCCGGACTACACATAAGCTTGATCTGATACAATGATATTCTAGATATATGTCGACTATCTCCACATTCCATGCGTATACTGAAGAACTTTACATAGATTGTGGTAATGTATTAACATTCAGGACATTTGTGGACGCTTCAGGAAAAGCGGATTTTTTTTCAATCATTTATAGTAGAATATACCTCAATACCTGTCACTGGTCATATTTGTGTCAAATGTCATGGTAACCTTGAAGGTCATTTACCCGTGAAATGACTTATACACAGTTACACACAGTAATGTCGGTATGGTATGGAGACGTCAACGCAAGAGAACAGTCATCCTCGATTATCCAGCGAAACAGATTTCAATGGGCGTAAAATGCAAAGTAGCCACGAAAATTATATAAATGGATCACTTAAATTCAGTGACGATACCAGGTGTTCGGGAAAAGGGTTGGCATGTCCCACCACCATGTTTTGGGTGGCACTCAAAGTCAAGGTCACAAAATGTGAAGTAGACGTCCCACATAGCGTCTGAACACAATATCTTGATCACTTATGACTGAGATGTGACGGGAGTAACACACATACATACTATGCAGTGTTCTTAGTTTGAGAAAACGATCGGTTACCTATCATGCAGGTAAGGATCGCAAGAACTCTGTTTGGCCAAACATGAAAGACGCGACTTTAGTCCATTACGATACAAAACAGGCTTGAATGATTAGTAGTATATAATCACTTTATTCCACACTTGCTGTGTGTCAAGGTCATTGGTACATTGAAAAACCTGCAAACAGTATTATTGAGTACTCTGTGTTGTTCAGACACACCCACCTTTTCGTCACTATTTGATAATAATACACATGCTCATGATATATACGTATTCGCACAATCAACTCTGCTTTAAGCTGCGACTTCTTTTGAATATGGAAATAGTTTTGTCGCATATATTTACATTTTAAACCATCTATGTTTCCACATTGAAGCTTTCTGCCAGCTCAGGGCAGAGCTTTAAGGTCACAGTCGTATTGCATTAGACAACATTGACGATCAAAGATGAACCATGATATTTATTAGTATAGCAAAATGGTTCATGGTGCATTTTTCGGGTGGGATGATTTGGGGCATTACGGAATAGATGTGATAGGTTTGTTTCTGTTTCGCATGTAATGCAAATAAAAGCGGCGAAGCTCCTTCCATATTCATATGAAAATCTCTACCAAAAGAGTCCACTGGTTCCGATTCCGTCTATACAATAAGCAAGTGTTCATGAATGACTTTCAAATAGTGATTTCACAACGTGTTGGCGAAATGGTGAGTGCATCCTGAACAAACTCATGTCTACCATAAAATGTTGCCGTTGGAATATTTTTCAACATCAAGGGAAAGTGTACTATTGGAAAGCTACAGCAATCCCTCTTGCCATTCAGTCTTGTGGCGAGGTTTTTGTCATTCTGAATATTTGTGTGTAGATCTAAATATGAAACAGATGTGGCAGTTTCACAGGTCTTTTTTATTCCTTGGTCAGGTGGGTAAATCCATAAAAGGAGATTGGCTACTTTACCATTACTGAACGAAATCAGACCATCGATATACCTGAAGCTAAGACTTCAAGACCAAATTACCATTTATTTTATTTTGCCAATACCAGCAGACACTCCGATTCAATCAGTTTATATTGACACATATACGGAAAGGCCACAGATCTATAGTACAGGTTGCATGGGTGGTGTATTATACATAAAATTAAATATTCATTCAACAAACATTTTCTACAATTAGTTGCATGAAGTACATATGATGTCAAACATTTTACCACGATGATACTTTCTGTATACATTAGTACAATAAACTTGAAAATATTTGGTGGTTGGTACATACAAGGCGAAACATATCCAATACGCAAATTATCTTATATTCTGGGCATACAAATAGAAGATGGTAGTCTGGGCAATTTCCTGCTTATTGCATGGTTTACAATCGCTATGTTCTTTTTATGTCTGTGTGTATCAACCCTACTCCACGTTAAGCATTACATTCGAGGTTGGGTTTTTTTGCAAAAGAGGTTTCAAAAGATGTTCTAGTTTTAAATTTAGTTACATTACATACTATGTACAGTTTGGTGATACTAATAGTACAGAGTACTGTATATACACATCGTTTTGTCTTTGAGTGACTATTTTAATACAATGTTCAGGGTGTTCTACCTTCTCACTTTGCAAAATCGAAATTATTAATAGTTTTCTTAACAGATGGCACCCAGCCTAATCTTCCAAAACTATCATACAGCAACATTTTTTCAACATTAACATTTTCTTGGATATCTATAAGAGAGCATATGCAATACCTTTACCCAATACCTTATAAATTTAATGTGCATACATAACAATGACCTACCAAAATGATTCATATGCATAAAGAAACAGATAAGCAAGGAGGGTAGGACAACCATCTCTGCAGTTAAAACTATAAGCTTTTCACAGTAAAGGGATACAGTAATGTTTTCGTACCTATGGGAGAAACTGTGATCTGATACATCCATCCTGTCTCAAACAAACTGTGATCTGATACATCCGTCCTGTCTCAAACAATCTGTGTAATATTACATTGGACAAATAGATATAATCGGAACCTCCATTGCAAAATCATGTTAGGAATCATGATGCACATACTGATTAATGTGGATACAAGTTTGCATTCGTTTGATTCAAGTTGTTTTCTGTTTTTCTGAATGATAAAATCAATTATAACCAGGTGCTCAACAATATCAGATTTTCAACTTTTCTGCATACTGTTTAATCGGGAATATTAATACTCAAATGTTCATTCAACATAAACTTTGCCTTAAAAATATTATTTTCTTAGTAACATGCAGATATAATTTGAATGACGGGGAAGAAATGGTAAAACATGTACGAAATTGCAGGTAATAGTCTGCAAAATAGCTGCTGGAATGGTGGATGGTGAAAAACACATTGGAATCCAGAATGAATAACGACAATATCATGTTAACAATTGTTGATTTCCTTTCACTTATACAACTTATACAACTATATATGTACAATTGTTTGCATTCCTAAAATCTGAATGATTATAATACATTACTTCAGTAAATATAATGTACAAGTACAAAAAACCAATCTGAGATCCAGGATCGCGCTGCGATATCATATAAAAATAATTACATCAATGGTAGATTAGTGACAAAACAGAGAGGATTGACAAACTGTTGGACCACTTATTCGTGATTAACGGTATATATTATTTGCTAACAGGGAACTGTAAATGTAGACTATATCCTTATTGTAGTTCAGATAGTTTCATTTTTCATATCAACTACCACATTTATGTATTTATTTAATTACCATATTGTGGTGCCCGTAACACCTTAATTAGTTTCGTTATCACTACAAAGAAATGTATCAGCACCATTTTCAGTTATTGAGCTCTTCTTCTGTTTCTTCTTTTGAGTTTCCCTTTGCTGGTTCAGCAACTGCTTCATCTCAGTGATCGTCTGTGGCAGTTCAATATTGTTTGTTTCTGGTAGAAATCGAACCAGGATGGCCACCACGATGCAGCATGTGCCGAACACAGTTCCAGGTGCCCATGGGTAGTAGCGATACTGTCATATAAAACATATTATTTGTGAGGTGATTTTATAACTAAAATACTGCTCGATGTGTCTTTAAAACACACCTCACTTACAAATATGGAAACAAGAAATTCGTATCTGGAACGTGACGAAAATATCTAAAACATATTTGTTTTATTATTGGTTGTTCTTTTATATCAATAAAACAATACACGCACCTGTTGTATATTAAATGCATACAGTGAATATAAATAGTAGTAGAACTTAAATATAAGAGAAGAGTTTGGTGGACAGTGGAAAGTGGATAGGTAGAGAGGAAGCAGGCGTGGTTGTGGTGGTAATGAATACTTGATGAGTGTGATTTCAGACATTCTTATTTACTATTGAGTATCGTGCTGTTTTCTCCAAAAATGTATTTTTCAAGATTAAAATAATACCTTATTTATATTTCAAAGATGCGTCATAGGCAAGTCAGAACAATTATATCTGGAATTATTTATGTATTGTTTTATCATTAGAAAGAGATGATTTAACAAAGTACAATCTTTGGGGTTCCCAAGCATAAAGGATCTAATGTCTTTGACCAAATTAGTTCCTGTTTGATTAGAAACCAATTTTCAAACTGTAAAATGACGTTTTTTTGTTTTAATACATAAAAACAAAAGGCGTTCTCTATTGCAAAAACTACAAAGATCATCATAATGTTTTCCTATTTTATTAGGAAAGTAGTTTTTTGTTAATATTCGATGTATTAATTTTTATTGAAAGTTTCTTGTCTTATTTTTCAAAATAAAAAGGGTCAATGATTCCAAATGGATTTAGAGATTCGTGAGCTAAATGCCACCATGAGCCCTTAACGGCGTATAACTTTTTAAGTCAGTCAAAGTTAGTGGCCCCACCCCTTTGCGTATTCATTTATTCATTTATCAATATTTTCCATTTAATTCTGTCTCGCTTGCCCAGCAAACTGGAAAGAAATCGAACTTCAATAGGAAAAATGCAGTTATAAAAACCATATAGAAGACATATTCAGGAAAAAACATGGCAAATATCACATATTCATGGCTGTCAGGTGTTATGAGATATACTTTTTGGTGTTAGAGAGCATGTCATAATAACCTACATGTAAGTTGGTAATGTGACATATCTATAGATAGCAGTCTCACCAGTATCCTGGAAAATGGAGCAAGTATCCCACCTACTCGTGCAGCAAGGGATCCAAGACCAAACCCAACATTCCTGAAAATATATACAGATTTATATGTTCTCTATGACTGAAATGAATTTACCATTTCGTGTTCTGGGTGGCCGGGTAGCCTCGCTCGTAACGATTCCCGACACGGGTACAGTGTATGAAGCCCATTTCTGATGTCCCCCGAGATATTGCTATAAAACCAAACTCACTCACTCACTCATTTCGGGTTCTAGTTCGAACTTTGGTTCCTTTTTGTGGGGTAAAACATTTTTTTGGCTCTGAACTGTGTCAGTTCATTGAATCATTTCTTAAAAACATAACTGAACATAAAGTCCACACATTATGCTTCTTATTTTATCATTGTACATTAAATATAAGCGACAAAACCATTTCTCTAATCATAAGAAATCTATGCTAAAAGCGTAGTTGATTGTACGATTCTGAAGATATAAGAAAGTCAAGCTCTTAAGTGTTCACTGAACGCGGGAACATAATATTATGATACAAGTCAAAATAGGGCATTGCATCGGACATCATTTTGGACATCATTAACACATGTCTTGGTACAACGTCATACAGGTAAATACAAGTAGATATCAACTAGTAAAGCCGGTGTTTCTTACCGCATTGTAGTTGGGAATAGTTCTGGAGTATAGAGCCACAGCACATTAAATGAAGTCGTTGCTCCAAATTTTCCAATCAGCGAAAATGTGCTCACAGCCGCGCTGAGGGTGGGTACTGCAGCTGAAACATACGTGCCTACATTTACGACATATCGTGTCAGCTAAGATCATTCATAGGGTACAATCGACGAAGAAAATTATTATAGAGACGGATGTTTGACTCGGTTTGTTGCTGATATTAAACTTTGGGGAAAAGGAGCATGTGTGATTTCACGCGGTAATTAGAAATAGTCCAAACGCCATGACAATGCCAAACAGGAACGATCTCGACATTGTATCTATGAACGCTTCGGCTGGCATTAATAAGCAAGCGCACAAAGCTATCCGACGGACCTCTGAATGCACATGCAAAGCCTTGGCTAGTGTGTGTAATGTGAAAAGTAAACAACTGGAGAGGCTAACCTACGAAATGGTTGAATATGACCGATGCTATCAGCGACACTGCTGCTATCAGATGACAGGCCAAACATGTTTTCTTCCTTCCGAATCTACGGAGAAATACATTTGAAATACATTTAACTTGAAACGTAACAGAACTTCTTTTCCAGGAAGATTGTAAATTAGGTCGAGTTTAATCAGTGCGGGTAATAATTAGGGCTGACTGAAATATTGATGTATTTAGTAAAAATATCATATGCTGGCTTCATAACTATTACATTAAAGATTACATCCCTGTAGACTGAGCTAACCCACTGTTTACTTCCCAAGCAACGTGCTCAACCGAGGCAATGGTAAACTTGCATGTTAAATATCACCAGAAATCTAAACATGTACAGTTCAACATTCTGTTGCAATACGTTTGACCCAGTGATGTTTCGTGTAATATTAACTGGTATTAAACAAATTGTATCAATACTTAATCGTGAGTTTGACCCAGTTTATATTTCAATGGCAATCATAAAATAATAAAAATAGTTCACATAGGTCGCAGTGAAATACGTTTAAGGGCGATGGCATCATGTATGATGATATACGCTGACCTCCGTTGTGTATTCATTGACAGTGAAAACAATATTCAACACATGGTTATACCATTACCTGTCAACTGTGAGCCAGAAAGCAACAGCACCAAAAACTTCGGTGACAGCATTTAGACCAAAACCAATGAATTTGTCACTATGGAACTGTGTGGCGTTGAGACTAAGTCCGTAGTAGGTCAAACTATCTGTCATCCTAATAAAAGAAAAAGAACAGATGAACAAATACTTTAACGCCAACCGAAAGGTAAATAAATGCAAGGTGTTTAAAATCACATAATCAGCTTATTTCTTCGCCTGTTTCTTACCTGTTACCATACATATAAACAACACATAACTAATGATACATCGATCATTACATTAGTCATACGTTAAATATGTATATTATCTAGCCATCTTTGAAAAAAGAAAGTTAATATCAAAATTTACATAAGATCAAGTGCTCACTTAATAAAGCGACAAAACCCCTTTCCATTTTCATAAGACATCTCGACTAAAAACAGAGTCGATTGTACGATTCCGACTATATATCATGAGCATATGTTTATGAATCACTATCAAATAGCGATGATACCAGGTGTTCGCGAAAAGGTGAGAGTATCCTGACACACCAGAGTAACCGTCACAAACACACGCAAAGGCAATGCGATTGTTCAACTGAACATATAGTACATGTCAAAATAGGGAATGGAATCGGACATCATTCTTGTCACTGATGCATCAATTGTGGAAATCATACTCAATACTATCATGAATATGCATAATTATTTTACCTACCAAATAAAACACAAGATTGCTGTTAAGGTGAGTATTTGTCTGTCTTTAAAAATCTGCATCAGTGGCCTTTCATCTTTGCCTTCAGTGTTTGCAACATCCGGAGTGTGTTTGTTTTGATCCCAGTGTGTGTCCGACGATAAAAGAGAGGTTTGATCAGGAACCTTTGGGGCTTTCACTTTTTCTCTGAAAAGTGTTATGATATCGTGTTCGTCCTTGTTATTCATGCGGCTAGCCTTCTTCAAATTGCGTTCTATGGTACTGTATTTTCTTCTTGCTGCCAACCATCTTGAACTTTCGTCTATTACCCTGTAAAGAGGTTAGCAGTCAATGCTCAAAAGGGTACCCAGAGTGAAATGGCATATAGAGACATTGAGAATACGACAGGAAACAGGAAATCATTCACATGCGCACTATCATCATGATGTCCCCCATAAGCCATAACTACCATCACATATGCTCCCAGAAATTGCCGAAAAATGCATTGAATAGCAGCAACTTTTTGGTAAATGTATCATTAAAGACTGTATGAAACAGGACTATATCGTTACCATACATCTGTTTTGTCTTTTCTAGGAACATCCTATTTCTGCACATAGGCGTACACACGGCTTAGGTAGTGACACTTACTTCAAATCGAGACATATTCCCAAAGTAAAAATAATATTTGAAAGTGTGTGTGAGTGTGTGTGTGTGTGTGTGTGAGAGAGTGTGTGTGTGTGTGTGTGTGAGAGAGAGAGAGAGAGAGAGAGAGAGAGAGAGAGTGTGTGTGTGTGTGTGTGTGTGTGTGTGTGTGTGTGTGTGTGTGTGTGTGTGTGTGTGTGTGTGTGTGTGTGTGTGTGTGTGTGTGTGTGTGTGTGTGTGTGTGTGTGTGTGAACGTGTGTGAACGTGTGTGAACGTGTGAACGTGTGAACGTGCGTGTGTGACAGCGGCCTGTGAATAATCGAGTCTGGAATATCCACGGGCCAATGATGTCACAATATAGTTATATCCTTATCATTGGACTTTCGACTATTTGGGAGATATGTTAAGACGAGGGGGAACTCATACATAAAATACACCGACGAGCAACATAAACTATACCAAACTATATATCAGGCGTGACAACAGAAAAAACATATTCCTCATGAATGGTTTGTACATTGTATGTAAACGAGTGGAAATCAATGATACAGACGTATAATGCACTGGGAGCGAAAATACAAGACCCACCAGGAAAACAAAGATATGGAAGTCTATTGGCCGTTTGCAGTCGCTGAAAACACAATATGGTTGAGATTAAAGTCACTCTGAATGGATTGAATATAATGATCACATTCAATAAGCGTGTGTACCCCGCCACCCCTGACCGCCTCCGTGGTCTAGTGGTAGAGCGTCCCAGAGCGGAAGGTCCTGGGTTCGATCCCCGGCCGCGTCATATCAAAAGATTTTTAAAGATGGTACTTGTTGTTACCCTGCCTGGCACTCGCGATTCGTGACAGGTCGGCTCGGAATCAGTATACTGTGTCTGTGTGGGGTATTCATGTTAAACTGTGGCAGCGTATCTCAGATGGCTAGCACATATAAGCAGCCATGGACGTGCATGGACGTCGCTATATAAGTGTAATAATCTTGGCATGTTACTGTAGATTTCTGAATTTTATACCCCGTGATTATGCTGCAAGTGCATATTCATTTACAGCGAATAGTTATTTCACATGGAATTCAGTGAAATAAAACAAGATTTTAAGTTGCACCCATGTCTGCTGCATATCTATGATTGATTGTACATGATTTGGGAACATTATTTCGTGTTCTAATAATTAGATTTTGGTATAGTTCCTTTTGATTGTCAGTGTATTTTCTATCAAATGCATTTCTTAAATTCGATGAGGGGGGAAATGTTAATGTTAATTTTAGTAGGAGTGTCATAAAGTAAATAGAAAACATCAATGGCGAGTTCCATTGTCTGCCGAAAATGAACTGTGAAAAACTATATGAATGGATCACTTGAAAATCGTGATGTATTATTACATGATGTGATGTGTAATTATGAACAAACTAACAAGTGCACAAATTAGACATCCAGATACGACTGCTCTAACCCATATGTGAAAATAATCAAAACTGTATGAGCTGTTGTTTCACAGTGCATCAAAACCTCTTCGTAGAAAATGAAGAAAACGTTATGATTCCTTGTCCAAACTGATTGTGGTAGTAAGTCATAAAATATGTATTGGTCTTAAAAGGAATATTTAAATTAATTATAATTTGATGTGATTCAAACTCACCATGGTGAAATTAAATAGTGTGCCGATGTAAGGCCCACAATCAATTGGTGATACCTCCAGTTGAGATCCCTCATCAGGTACGCCGCAAAAGCATAGATAACCACGGATAGTGACCAAAACAGCGTGTTTAGGATACCAATCTTTGATCTGTGCCTAGTTGGGACAATTTCCAGACAGATGGTTGTTGACGTCAAACCAACACCCTGAAGCAAAGACCATGTCACACACAAGCTACACGGAGTTAATGCTTGCACTGCATATGAGGGATTTCAGATCATTATTAGAGTTGTATTACTTGTCTAAAATGAAAATACGCATTACTAAATAGAGGTGAGTTACCTAATCACCGAAGGCCCTTTGGTAAAATTCTTCGTCTACCAATGTTATTTCTTCGAGTCTTTCTCAAACATTAGACTGACAGGTCTTGATATAACTGACATATAGTTTAAAACTACGTGAAACCAAAGTCACTCACTACATTTAAACAAATATTTCAGTCGTTAAAATCTTAAACGTCAGTATTATGTGTACAATAAGCTTGACGCCCTGACCTTAATAATAAAATCCATGGTGACAGCTTCATGAACCATATACCCGCTTATTACTTCAACAAGGTAGCACAACGCGAGGAAAATAACCGCCATATAACATTAATACCATGTTCGTAGAAATCGATGAGTACTATGTAAAATTGTATATACACTACCATCTGCGTTGCCCCCTGTATAACCTTCATGACAGCAAAGGCAGCGTATGTCGGTACGAAGGACATGGCAGTGCCTGCTGCGAGGAAACAAAGTCCAGCCAGTATGTTGGAGAACTTGCGTCCATACTTGTCAGATAGGAATGTGAACAAGACTGAGCCTATGCCCATACCAAACATGTAGAGGGTTTGAAGGAGGTCGCCAAGACTTTCCTTTTCACAGACGATATCCCACTGAAAACAGACGAAAACAATTTTACAGTCAAAACTGTATTCTGTAAAATTATACAAAGGGTCTGTGTAATTACGAATCGTAACGAGTCAATTTTTAGAAAATGGACATGTTGGATGTTCATTAAAGAATTGTGTTGTGAATAGATAAAAGTGTTCGGCGACTCCTTTGAGCGACATTTTAAAATATTAATTTATTTTTATTTCAAAACCATGGAATTTGAGATAGAAGTTGAACTCAAGCTTCAGGTCTGTCTGATATCTGATAATGGTCAAATATTCAATTCCCTTCCAGTGGTTTACCCACCTGAACCAGAAATAAAAGAGACAAGTGAGACCGCCTTATCTGTTTCATATTTAGATCTGTTCATAAAAAGAGTGACCAAAAACTCTCAACAAGATTGTGTGACAAGATGAATACCCTGCTGGTGGGGCAGGATACGCTCACCATTTCGGGAACACCTGTCATGATTCATAGTTGACAGAGATATTTAAACACATGTTCGTGATGTAGTCGGAATCGTACACTCGACTCTGCTGTCAGCAGAGATTTCTTATGAATATGGAAAGGTTGTTGTTTGGGGGGTTTGTTATTAAACGTGATGGCCATAGATATAGCTACATATCTATCTTCACAGCTTCAAAACAGTTTGCGAAAAATGAAAGCAAATGCCATCGGAAGTTTACTGAGGAAATAATGCGTGATATGCTGGACTTCCTCATTGATAACATCTTTGTAAAATTTGGCAAGAAGACATTAAGGACAGAAATTGGAAGCCCCATGAGAATTTCTTCTCTGATTGGCAAAGTCAAAACAAGGTAATTTCGCCAAGAAGTGTAACTTTCAGACCATCAAAAAAACATTTCCCTATCTCTTATTTACCCACCTTAACTAGAAATAAGGGGGACCATTGAAACCGCTATGCAGTCTGTACTATTGGTCTGTGGCCTTTCCGTATATGTGTCAATATAACAACTGATTGAATTGGAATGTCTGCTCGGATTTGCAAAATAACATAAACGGTAATTTGGTCTTGAAGTTTCAGCTTCAGATATATCGATGATCTGATATCGTTCAATAATGGTAAAGTAGCCAATTTCCTTCCACTGATTTACCCACTTTAGCTAGAAATAAGAGGGACCACTGAAACCGCCACATCTGTTTCATATTTAGAGCCATGAATAAAGATTCAGAGTTACAAAAAACTCTCCACAAGACTGTGTGACAAGAGGGGTGATTTCAACTGTCCAAAAGTCAACTTTCCCTTTATGTTGAGCAATAATTCAGCAGCTCCAGCCTTTGGTGTCTACATTTCACAACGTGGGTGAGTGATTGGACGAAACGCTTCAAGTCCGAAGTGATCAGGACTTCCAGTGAGTGAGAAGACGAACCGCCACTATTAACAATATTTCAAGTATAACATGACATGACAGCTTGATGTGTAAGGAAAACAGAACGCGATGTAGGTCTTAGATATTACCTCATAAACAGTACATAGTTCAAATGACATGCCCATGGAAAATGATTTCTTTTGTGACAGGCTTTTCAGTAATAGAAGATGATAGATGATAAAAAGTTGATAATTCCTTTCGTTCAAGGTATATATTATATACATACCTCAGAAACAAGTGAGAGTTCTGTTGGTTGTTCGTAATGATGTCCTTCTATGCACGCCAGATCTTCAGAATGTCCAGACAAGGTTGAGGTGATGCTGATCTTACATTCATGGTATGTGATGTTCAAATCGGAGATGTCTTCTCGAAATCCAAGAATCTCAATAGCAGTTGATTCATTCTTGAGGACTTCACAGTGGCTCGGAACATAATGTCCTACGGAAGAAGATGATACCTTTTACATGGTATTTTGTATGGTTTGTTTGTTTGTTGTTTACCGTCGCACTCAGCATTTTTCCAGCTATAAATAATCGAGTCCGGGCCAGACAACCTAGAGATAAGCATCATGGGCGTCGACCTACGCATTCGGAATACGATCACATTCATTAACCAGGTCAGCTAGCCTGACCACCAGATTCCGTTTGTCGTCTCGCATGACAATCATTGTGGCCTCTTACGGCAAGCATGGATTGCTGAAGATTTATTGTAACCTGGATCTTCACGAGTCGTTATGTTTGGTAGTGTCATTGTCATTATTTACACCAGAAAAAGGTTAAACACTCCTTGTTATTTTGGCCATGAGGTTTCCCACTATGAATTCCTGTGGAGAGAATGTCAACAGCATGTGCAGACGTCACGTGCCCGGATGGCCAACCAATGCCTCCAGTGAGACGTCTGATGCGTTTCTGAAGTATGGTCTCGGTGCAATGCATGTGCAACAAGAATCTGCTCTCATCCGACTGGTGAATCTTCCTCCATGTCCGTAGGTTCCACCCTCGTCTCGCCAAACACTACTCCAAACGGTCCCTGTGATGACAATCTGGCAGCATAGGATGCTTGAACACTCTCTTTAACATCAAACCTTATGATTTGAATCAATTTCTCTTAATTCTTACGATGACACTTGCCTGTGAGGCATCCAGTTCTTCTTAAGACAGGTACTTGGGGCAAAGGATGTCCCCTAACCAAGCAAAGCAGGCCGCAATCTTCACACGACGCCGTCCAGACCTTTGACGATCCTTTACCGCATTACTTTACCCATGTTCTGTGCATTTAACTTATATGACACAATATACTTATAACCGAATGGTGGTAACAGAGCATACAAAAGGCAGCTTTGTCGGACATTCCTTCATTAATAATTGATATTATTCGCTATCGTTTGCCGTCTGACAAATTCCCACGAGCCACGTTGAACAGGTATTGAGATCAGTTCAGGAGTTCACTTGATTGTACTTTTAGCATCGACTGCACCAGCCACATATCTATGCCCAACTGTTCGAGTCAGGTGTATGGTATAATCCGCTGACTTACATAAACAAATAAAATAGAAGGCTCTCTCTATTGGCTCCCCTGTATAACATATTCAGGTCCAAAGTAGCACATCCAACTAATGATGATCCGCTTTTTACAGTTTATGATGTGGCTGGTTGAATACACTTGATGATTGAAAACAGCCAGGGGAATGTTGTTCCAAATATCTGAGCTAGCGTTACCGGCTGTCGTAGTCTTGTCCTGTCGTAGGCGTCACCCATCTCTTCCCAGGCATGTTCTTTGATGGGGAAGGGGTCTGGAGAAAGAGCCGGCCATGGCAGTACAACAATGGAATGCTGTCACAAAACGCCTGATACAACACGTGCTTGCTGTGGGCGGACATTATCCTGCTGCAACCTGATGTTACGTTCCTGTATTTGCACTGAGGGTAGAACATGACAATGGCTTCCTGGTAGCGTACGCAGTTCAAATTGCCATTAACAATGACGAGTTGTGTTCTCTTATGAGTTGTGATACCACCCCATACCATTCCAACCCAAACTGACCACGTTGAGTAATGCAAACGTTGTGCGACCATTAGAGCTGTCCAGATGAACCTGGACTCATATGTGAACAGTATTCTGTCCCAGTTTTTTCCTTCAGAACTTCAGAACCACAAAGCTAGGTGTACCTGACGGTGATGTGGAAGCAATATTTAGGCGTATAGCTGGATGTCGGGGTATATTTGGTTTGTTGTCATTATGTAACAGAGCGACAAATGTGAACATAGTAACAAAGTGCACAAATCAACTTGACACTCTTGCCTTCATCTGATCTGACATCGGAATATATCTTGATATGTTTCTTGGACAAATATTTGAACTGTGGCTATATCTCACAACAGACACCATGTCACATCTGTCGCTTTAGTCACTTCAGGAATTTCCTGATACGGATATTATCACATCTATGACATTAATGCTTTGAAAAACAATATATGTGATAAAACCTTTCCATAATCATAAGAAATATCTGCTAAAAGCAAAGTCCATTGCACAATTCCGACTACATCATGAGCAGGTGTCATTATCAAATAGTGACAGCTAGGTGAACATATCTTGCACCACGGCCAACACCCGTCACAATCTCATGCATAGAACAGTCAGTGGTTCACCCGAGAGACACTAGAACATATGGTGCACATCAAAATAGGGAATTGCATAGAGGATCCTTTTTGTTACTGATGCGTGAAATTTAGAGAATGTCCTCCACATGCCTACCACAAAGGTTTTTGAAAGCTTTACTGAGGCCTTGAATGTTGTAACCTTGATCAAACAACGTTTGAGCAAAAGTCGTATGACGCTCTTTAAAATCTTGGTTGAAAGAGCATGCTCATTGTATAGCATTATGCCTGAATGTCCTGTCCCAAAATACCACATATATGTTTTCTATGAGAAAATCCACTATTTCGCATATATCACCACGTTAAGTGTCAAATGTCCAACAGATACAACAGTATTATATTTCAATATATATATATATATATATATATATATATATTTGCTTCTAAACATTGTAAAAAGTAGTAGTTTAGGGTGTCAAGTGATCTTGGGCATTAATGATGTCTGTTGTGTGCATGAAATTCATATTACGTTATTCTTTCGTGCGAATGTATACATATTTATATATGTTTTGAACCACACAATCAACTCCTATTACAGATTTATCTTCATGACATACATGTATCGTCTTTCATGCCGTAATACCACCATGGTGATATACCACCACATTCCATCAGACATACGTTTAAATTGCATTTGTTCAAGGTTCTTCTTTCTGCCAAACATGTAAGACAAGGGACAGTTCTTGCAGCTCAAATACAGAAACCCCTAAACACACTTCACTTCCCTGCTCTGAATTTTTTTTAATTAAAATTAGGAGGTTTTACGTTTCTAAGGCAATATCAAGTTGGACCGCTGATCAGGTGGTTACATGGTCTGATCTGGCTGATAATATGTTATCGTGCCCCGACGGTGAGTTTGGCGTTTCAAGAACCGATGTGTCTATATATACAAGGCATCTCGATTTGTTTCATATATGTGGCTTAATATCGTTTGACCTCACTGGACTACTTATTGTGCATTTTAACTTTAGAAAACATCTTTAAATTGTTTGATTTTACTGTTGGCTTCGTGGAACTAAAACTTACCTATGAATACGATGCTCATCAGATTGAATGCGTATGGTAACAGCATTAGTGAAATAAAACAGATCTGAATCACTTGATACTTTCCCCTCCACCCTAATGCGTCATAGATGCTGTCAAAATTAACTTCTTTTGTGGAAGTCATCCTCGTCGGTACGTATCCTCAGTTGGTCGTGAAAAGGTGTCGTTATATAAATCAAGATCGTTACAAATACAACTTCAGATGAGTGCACGATGTATATACATATGTAATTGGGCCTAGTGAAAACCTGTGCTCAACTGGCTGTCCAAATAAATATTTCGCTCGTCACGTCACTCCGTTATGGGGTCAGTGTGCACGTGAGCGAAAGACGCAAGGTATTGACAAATACAAAACCATAATCTCGTTTTCAAACCCAGGATCAGTGTTTCATTGCACGACTAAGGGACGCAATTGGTTACAGGTGACCCCAACCTTTAATGGATAACTTGGAATTACCAACTGCGTGCTTCCTTGCATGTCATGGGTGTAAGACAGACGTGTATCTGAATAGAACTGCCAACTGTCATCTGGCGCATGGTCAGTTGGGTCGTACTCAGCATAGAATATCGGTGGAGAAAGGTTTGAATCAATGAATGAATTTAGGCTCCTCTGCCAATACAATAAACAATGGCATAGACATCAACGCACAGCTGAGTATTTAAAAATATTATGTTCATAAAGTCATTGTCAAAGATTGTAATTCTCGTAATTTTGATTTGTCTTTCATTATTAAGTTTATTTTTTTATAAATCGAAATTACGAGTTTTTCCTCGTCACATTGATTGTACTTTCGCTATTTCGATTTGATTTGGTTATTTCGATTACGTTTCTTTGCAATAACGAGAAAACAGAGTAAATAATTGAAATAACCTCGAAATATATTCGAAATTTTAAATTATGCCACCAAAGTGGCAATATCAGGCTTGGAAGAGATTTGGTTATGTGATATGAACGATATCAGATCACTGATATACCTGGAGCTAATGTCAACGTCTGGGTCAAATTACCATGTGTTGACTTTATCAATCCGAGCACACTTGTGTCTATCGGGATACTTACTTCTTGCCTAAATGTCTTACCCCAAATTTTTATTGAATGTTTACTTGTCAAAGAAATTATACCGTTTCAAATAAAAGTGTGGCTACAAACGTTCCAGTCTCGAATGAAGGAAGTGCATTATGGAAGTTTCTTGCGATCTGCATAATTATTTCAAGATGGTCCAAACAATGTCATCCAGTTTATACATTGTTTTATTGTGAACGATTCAGATCGATAATATGTGAAGCCTCTCCCTCAATATGAAATATATATCAAAAAACCTTTGAGTATTGATGTCGCCAGTTAAGACGTGTCTGTCGATATCTGGCTGACATAAATAGTGTCATATATCGCCTCCGAGCTAAAACAAATCTGTATGCAGATTTAGATCCCCCTGTTGCTTGTGTACAGTCTTCCTGCAATAGGTAGTGTCAAATATCCCTTCGTGCTTACAAGAAAGTGCCCATGCAGATTTAGATGTATGTTGTTTGGGGAGGGATCTACTGGCAGTCACGGAGAGTCGGTCTTCCGGTGCATCTTGAACGTCCACTAGTGTCTGCCCTGCACAAGGTATGGCAGCCGGGTGTTGACGGACTTCAGTTCTCAGACGTTTACCACTTCGGTGAAACCCACGAGCACGGGTTTGGTGCTGACAAACCTAGAAAAAAGATCGGGGCGAATTGGAATTCGAACCCACGATCATTGGTTTCTGGCGACCCCAAAGGACGCAACTCTGCACCGTGAATTGCGGCGCCTTAGACGACTGGGCCACCTGGGCCACCTGTGCCCCCTGTTGTGGGAATACTCACTCAATGTCTTTACACATATTGAGTAGCACTGAGATCAACCAAAACAAACCATACTATCACAGTTCATTTTTATTCATAAAACTACAATTATGCAACAATATACAGCCGGTATATAAATAGGATATGTGTTATTGGAAAATGTTGGTGACCTGATATTCGACAAACGGTGCGTCAAAACGCAGCCATTGTCGATTTGCAATGTCTTAAACGGCATTGTTTTCACACTTGTTCAAAAATGTCATGGAGGAAAACAGTAAAGCAAAATGCACGTGTAGGTTATGGCATTCGTAACTCTCGGTAGTGGCTATAAAAAGGCATGCATAAGCCAATAATTTGTCATTCAATTGTCAACATTTTTCAAGTTCGAAAATGACCAGACTCAGCGCTGCCGATTGGAACATCGCCAAAGGACGTATCTAAAGAGGGAAATCGTAGTCTTCTGTTGCACGCCACTTCAACGTCCACCACAGCACCATTTGCCGCCTTTGTGACCGATACACACAGTTCAATTCCACTGCAGACCGTCCGAGAAACGGCCAACCAAGAGTTACCACCCCTGCACAGGATCGCTACATTCGACAGTTCCACCTACGTCATCGCAATGCCACAGCTACGGAGACTGCAGGACGCATCCCTAGTTTGAGGAGGATATCGGATCAGACTGTCAGGAACCATCTTCGCGATGCTGGAATCCGCTCCAGAAGACCAGTTATCGTCCCTGTTTTGCAACAGATCCATCGACAGCGACGTTTGTGTTAGTGCCACACCTTACAGCCTTGGAATTTGAGAAACTGGAGACGGGTGTGGTTTAGCGATGAATCACGATTGGGAGACAAAGTGTTAATGTCGGTGGCGGTTGTTGGGGGCCATATCCTCCCAATCTGACTTGGTTGTGGTTCACGGAAATCTGACAGCAAATCGCTACATGAATCAAATTCTTCAACCTCACCTTCTTCCAATCATTGACCGCCAGAGGGAGCTGTTTCAACAGGACAATGCTTCACCGCACACAGTTCGTGTCACGGTAGACTACCTTCCTAATGCCAACATCAACGCCTTGCCCTGGATATCGAGATCTTCAGATCTTCACCCAATCGAACTCCTCTGGGATAAACTCGATCGACGTGTACGTCAAAGTCAGAACACGCCGCAGATACTCCCACAACTGGCCAACTCGTCCGCAGGACAGTTTTCGTACACGTATCCAGGCAGTGATGATGAGATGCAGAGCCGTGATTGCTGCCCGGAACCTTGTGGCCTTTTGTGACATGACAATGAACAGTTTTCAATGCCTTTGTACAACGACAATCTGTGACTATCGAGCTCCCAAATGTGATATTTGTATCTATGATATTAAATTAAATATATCGACTTTATTAGGTACAATAAATTAACTAAAATTCTCCCAGAGCGTTTCTTCTTTCGAAGAGTGTAAGAAACATGTCCAATAAAACGTTTCTTTCTTCATATGAAAAATATAAATATAGTTATCACAAATCAGGGCTCTACCATCACCAAATACATGGTATATGTGAATAAGGCATTCTCTTTAAGGACGGGTGGTAGAGTACCCTAACGGTTATACGTTGGTACAATCATGTGTTAAGCCCATTTCTAATGTCTCCCGGGCGTGATATCAAATGGAGTATTGCTAAAAGCAGTGTAAAACCCCAGTCACCTACCCACACAGTTAATCACTTAAGGTTTTACCATGTGGACCCGGATAGACACTGTACCTGTCCTCACATGGCATATAAGTTAGAATGAGAGGACCTATTAAAGTATCCTGCAAAGTCAACTGCCAGGACGGCTACAGAGTATTTTTGAGAAAATGCCATATAAATGAGAGTGTGAGTTAATATTTAACGTCGCATCGGCATTATTTCAGCCATATAGCGATATACCTAAATATAAATACATAAATAATGACATCAAAACTCAGGAAATGGCTCATTTAACAAAACATATTCGTATTAAACTGATATTGCATTTGTGACACTTTACGACAGAACAAATTCACATCTGAAAAATATGAAATAAATGCGGCAAAACCGGTTCCATATTCATCAGAAATGTCGATTGTACGATTCCGACAATACCATGAGCATGTGTTTAAGAATCACTATCAAAAACTGATGACACCAGGTATTCGCGAAAAGGTGACCACCCCTACAGGTGGCACCCGTCACAAACACATGCAAAGGCAAGTCAGTTGTTCGCCTGTACAAACACGGGAACCACACAATAGAATTAATGTTTCTGTATCTGTTAACGATGGTTCTTCAGCAAGAGGTTTCGATATAGACTGACATTCTTGGTGGTCGGGATCCTTTCTTAGTTCGACGACTAACTGCTGTGCTAGGTGGCGTGTAAGCTACCGGTCGGATAATTGGTGGAGGTTGAGCGACAACATCTTGTAGGGGAATGTTGCCAATTATGACGCTGAGATAGAGAACAAGATCGGAGCATGGCCCCGCAGGTGTAACATCAAGCTGGAACATACCAAAGTGTGTTCAGAATCTATAAGCTTCTCAAGGGAACAAAGAAAATACATGAGAACAAACCGACACAAATTACAGTTTAATGAAAATGATATAGGCTATTTTTAAGGAGGGCATGGGCACGTACGCGTCTAAGGCGCCGCAGAATTATCATCCCTAAAACCTATGATCATCGGTTCGAATCCTTGATGATTTTATTAGGTTTGTTGGCACCTTACTCTTAATCGCAGGTCTTCAGAAAAAGTGGTTAACCTCGAAGGCCCGCATCATTTTGAGCTTTCCTCCGACATGACACGCCGTGATATGACTGAGATATTGTTGAAGGCGACATTGAACCAATCTCACTCAATCTCTAACAGAACGTTAGTCCGATTGTTGCAGGAACATAGCTTCAAGTACTTCCGGTTTCTCAAAGTTTAAGTGGGACGGTGGGGTAGCCCAGTGGTTAAAGTATTCTCTCGTTCGCCGAAGGCCCAGGTTCGATTCCCCACATGGATACAATGTGTGAAGCCCATATCTGGTGTTCCCCGCTGTGATATTGCTGGAATATTGCTAAAAGCGGCCAAAAACCATACTCAATCAATCATTCAAAGTTTAAGTCGCATCTCACCATCACAGAGTAGGTGATGTTGATGATGCTGCAGCCCTTGAGATAAGACGGCGTCAGAGGCGGAACAACCAGCTGCTCGTCATTCCAGTAGTGCGTTTCCCCCTGGCTGATCTCGCCGTGCTTCAGCTTGGCAACATCACGAATTTTAAATTTTGTCTCGGTGGTGGCATGATATTCTACCTCCTGAAATGGGAAAGTCAGGACACTATAGCCCAAATGTGTGTTTCAAATGTAAACACATCTTTGGACACATAATGGTTAACTTGAAAAGATACTTCCGTATGCACTTCAGTCGGTATCATATTCCAAACGACCAAATAAGGGGACATCAAGTTCATAGTAACTAGGCCAACTGCCTTTCTGTGTATTTGACCATTCTCACGTGCATGGCCACACTCCAAATCAACAAGTTGTCTTCAGTGGATGAATGCAGCCATCAAATAAATAAAAGGAACAAAATGATCTATAATCATAAAAAAATCTCTATTGTCCATAGTATGATTCCGTCTGTATCATAAGCATGTGTTCGTAAATCAGTACTAATCAGTGATAATACCAGATGTTGGCAAGCCACTCACACACCTCTTTTAGGAACACTTTTGATTTCTTTATTATCCGGTTTGACAGGTTCTCTATTTCTGCATTAATAATGATGGCTTCCCCGGGAACATATCCCTGTCTGTTGATGGAGAAGTTAGCAGAGATTGGTCCTGATGCACAGCACAGGCAGCAAAGTGTTTTGGATTTGCTTAGATGAGCAGGTTTCTGAAACAAAGAGTGAGTTCGTGAGTTCGTGCGTGCGAGAGTGCGTGCGTGCGTGCGTGGGTGAGTGAGTGAGTGACTGAGTGCGTGCGTGCGTGGGTGGATGAGTGAGTGAGTGAGTGAGTGTGTGGGTTGGTGGGTGAGTGAGTGAGTGAGTGAGTGAGTGAGTGAGTGAGTGAGGTTGGTGCTGTCAAAGCAAGAAACATAATCAGGGCGATTCTGAAATTCGAACAAGTGAGAATGACTTTCAGGCAAGTAATTCTGTAAAAATTCAATTACTGCATATATCTCCATACTATAAACATAAAAACTTACATCCTGTGAAAATTGGTATGAATTGTTATAGTATCAATCCCACATAATTCTATATTCGCGTCCAGCTTTGGTTCCGAATGTCTTACGTAACGTGAAAGATATGTATGTCATTGCTTTCTTCTGACAAATGGCGTTAACCACATTCCTCCAAACAATGAAAAGAAAGATCTTTAGAATATCTACAGGTACAATGACAGAGTTAAATAAAAGCGACGAAAATCATTTCGATAGCCATACGACATCTCTGAGAAAAGCAGAACTAATTGTACGATTACGACTGGATCATGAGTGTATGTTAATGAATCACTCTCAATCCCTGTCCACACACTTAAACCTGAAACAGACGAGGCTGCCTCACTGGTCTCACCTAATAGATCAGGTGAACAAATCAGTGACTTGGCTATTTGACCGTTATCGAACGACATTAAACCATTGTAACACCTGAAGCTTAACTCAACTTTCTTTGTCAGATTGCTTTGTTTTGCTTTTGCCAATGCGGGCAGAAATTCCGATTCATATGCATAAAGAAACTGATCAGTAAGATCAGTAAGAAGAGGAGCACAATTGATATTGCCTAAATACATTACCTCCAACTTTCATATTGATGCTGGACCCCTGAAGATCCGGGGTAGATTAGGTCGCCAGCAACCCATGCTTGCTGTAAAAAGCGACTATGCTAAGCTTACGACAAGCATAGTTGCCTTTTACATCAAGCATGGGTTGCTGAAGACCTATTCTACCCTGGATCTTCACGGGTCTACCACCATAGTGAAAGCCACGAGTACCGGTATGGTGCTGACATGTCTAGAAACATAACCTGTGCTATCCACAAACATAGGTTTCTGGCGTGCCCAAGGGACGCAACTCTGCACAGCTAAGTGAGACATTAGAATTGCACAGGATCCAGTATATGAACATCGATGATATTCTACAACTTTATCAGATCTGAACGAAAGGAGGTGTGACTGGATGTGTTGGAAGTGGGCCAGGTAAAATGGGGTTTAACATCGCGGTCGAGATTATTTCATGGACGTGTATTACATCCCGTCTGCCTATGAAGAACTAATCAAGTCCAATCAGCTTGTTCAACTTTTTGTATCCTGTTTTATCCTAACTGTACATCTGGCTTCATTACCCGTGTAATGTTTGGTATTCTTACTGTACATCTGGCTTCATTACCCGTGTAATGTTTGGTATTCTTACTGTACATCGGGCGTCATTACCCGTGTAATGTTTGGTATTCTTACTGTACATCTGGCGTCATTACCCGTGTAATGCTTGGTATTCTTACTGTACATCTGGCGTCATTACCCGTGTAATGCTTGGTATTCTTACTGTACATCTGGCTTCATTACCCGTGTAATGTTTGGTATTCTTACTGTACATCTGGCGTCATTACCCGTGTAATGCTTGGTATTCTTACTGTACATCTGGCGTCATTACCCGTGTAATGTTTGGTATTCTTACTGTACATCTGGCGTCATTACCCGTGTAATGCTTGGTATTCTTACTGTACATCTGGCTTCATTACCCGTGTAATGTTTGGTATTCTTACTGTACATCTGGCGTCATTACCCGTGTAATGCTTGGTATTCTTACTGTACATCTGGCGTCATTACCTGTGTAATGTTTGGTATCCTTACTTTACATCTGGCTTCATTGTCCGTGTAATGTTTGGTATTCTTACTGTACATCTGGCGTCATTACTCGTGTAATGTTTGGTATCCTTACTTTACATCTGGCTTCATTATTCGTGTAATGTTTGGTATTCTTACTGTACATCTGGCGTCATTACCCGTGTAATGTTTGGTATCCTTACTTTCCATCTTGCTTCATTGTCCGTGTAATGTTTGGTATTCTTACTGTACATCTGGCTTCATTACCCGTGTAATGTTTGGTATTCTTACTGTACATCTGGCTTCATTACCCGTGTAATGTTTGGTATTCTTACTGTACATCTGGCTTCATTGTCCGTGTAATGTTTGGTATTCTTACTGTACATCTGGCGTCATTACCTGTGTAATGTTTGGTATTCTTACTGTACATCTGGCGTCATTACCTGTGTAATGTTTGGTATTCTTACTGTACACCTGGCCCCATTACTCGTGTAATGTTTGGTATTCTTACTGTACATCTGGCCCCATTACTCGTGTAATGTTTGGTATTCTTACTGTACATCTGGCCCCATTACCTGTGTAATGTTTGATATTCTTACTGTACATCTGGCGTCATTACCTGTGTAATGTTTGGTATTCTTACTGTACATCTGGCGTCATTACCTGTGTAATGTCTGGTATTCTTACTGTACATCTGGCCCCATTACCTGTGTAATGTTTGGTATTCTTACTGTACATCTGGCGTCATTACCTGTGTAATGTTAGGTATTCTTACTGTACATCTGGCTTCATTGTCCGTGTAATGTTTGGTATTCTTACTGTACATCTGGCGTCATTACTCGTGTAATGTTTGGTATCCTTACTTTACATCTGGCTTCATTATTCGTGTAATGTTTGGTATTCTTACTGTACATCTGGCGTCATTACCCGTGTAATGTTTGGTATCCTTACTTTCCATCTTGCTTCATTGTCCGTGTAATGTTTGGTATTCTTACTGTACATCTGGCTTCATTACCCGTGTAATGTTTGGTATTCTTACTGTACATCTGGCTTCATTACCCGTGTAATGTTTGGTATTCTTACTGTACATCTGGCTTCATTGTCCGTGTAATGTTTGGTATTCTTACTGTACATCTGGCGTCATTACCTGTGTAATGTTTGGTATTCTTACTGTACATCTGGCGTCATTACCTGTGTAATGTTTGGTATTCTTACTGTACACCTGGCCCCATTACTCGTGTAATGTTTGGTATTCTTACTGTACATCTGGCCCCATTACTCGTGTAATGTTTGGTATTCTTACTGTACATCTGGCCCCATTACCTGTGTAATGTTTGATATTCTTACTGTACATCTGGCGTCATTACCTGTGTAATGTTTGGTATTCTTACTGTACATCTGGCGTCATTACCTGTGTAATGTCTGGTATTCTTACTGTACATCTGGCCCCATTACCTGTGTAATGTTTGGTATTCTTACTGTACATCTGGCGTCATTACCTGTGTAATGTTAGGTATTCTTACTGTACATCTGGCGTCATTACCCGTGTAATGTTTGGTATTCTTACTGTACCTCTGGCCCCATTACCTGTGTAATGTTTGGTATTCTTACTTTACATCTGGCTTCGTTGTCCGTGTAATGTTTGGTATTCTTACTGTACATCTGGCGTCATTACCCGTGTAATGTTTGGTATTCTTACTGTACATCTGGCCCCACTACTCGTGTAATATTTGGTATCCTTACTGTACACCTGGCCCCATTACCTGTGTAATGTTTGGTATTCTTACTGTACATCTGGCGTCATTACCTGTGTAATGTTTGGTATTCTTACTGTACATCTGGCCCCATTACTCGTGTAATGTTTGGTATTCTTACTGTACATCTGGCCTCATTACCTGTGTAATGTTTGGTATTCTTACTGTACATCTGGCCCCATTACTCGTGTAATGTTTGGTATTCTTACTGTACATCTGGCCCCATTACCTGTGTAATGTTTGGTATCCTTACTGTACATCTGGCTTCATTACCTGTGTAATGTTTGGTATTCTTACTGTACTTCTGGCCCCATTACCTGTGTAATGTTTGGTATTCTTACTGTACATCTGGCGTCATTACTCGTGTAATGTTTGGTATTCTTACTGTACATCTGGCGTCATTACCCGTGTAATGTTTGGTATTCTTACTGTACCTCTGGCCCCATTACCTGTGTAATGTTTGGTATTCTTACTGTACATCTGGCCCCATTACCTGTGTAATGTTTGGTATTCTTACTGTACATCTGGTGTCATTAGGCGTGTAATGTTTGGTATTCTTACTGTACATCTTGCTTCATTGTCCGTGTAATGTTTGGTATTCTTACTGTACATCTGGCGTCATTACCTGTGTAATGTTTGGTATTCTTACTGTACATTTGGCTTCATTACCCGTGTTATGTTAGGTATTCTTACTGTACATCTGGCGTCATTACCCGTGTAATGTTAGGTATTCTTACTGTACCTCTGGTCCCATTACCTGTGTAATGTTTGGTATTCTTACTGTACATCTGGCGTCATTACCTGTGTAATGTCTGGTATTTTTACTGTACATCTGGCGTCATTACCCGTGTAATGTCTGGTATTCTTACTGTACATTTGGCTTCATCTAATTATAAGTGTGCTACTTGGTATCTATTACCTGTTGTTGTTAATGTTCATCTGCTGCTGATGTGATGTAGATTGGCCTCTCATTACCTGGTTGTTGACACCCCAGCTTGGTCACGGTGTGAGAATCTACATCAAACGTCGCTAAACGCAATAAGCCAGAAGTTGTTATCCATAAAGTTGTATGTTTTCTTAGTAGTTATACTGTCTGTCTGTCTGTGCCTGTCTTTCTGTGTCTGTGCCTGTCTGTCTGTGCATGTATGTCAATGCCTGTCTGTCTGTCTATCTGTCTGTGTCTATGCCTGTCTGTCTGTGCCTGTGTCTGTCTGTGTCCGTGCATGTCTGTCTGTCTGTGTCAGTGTCTGATTGTGTCTGTGCCTGTCTGTCTGTATCTGTGCCTGCCTGTCTGTCTGTGCCTGTAAGTCTGCCTGTGCATGTCTGTCTGTCTGTGTCAGTGCCTGATTGGGTCTGTGTCTGCCTGTCTGTCTGTGTCTGTGCCTGTCTGTCTGTGTCTGTGCCTGACTGTCTGTGTCTGTGCCTGTCTGTCTGTGTCTGTGTCTGCTTGCCTGTGCCTGTCTGTCTGTGTCTGCTTGTCTGTGCCTGTCTGTCTGTGTCTGTCTGTCTGCAAACATAGTACGTCCAAGGGGAGATTCGAATCAAGAAGAGTTCCCCGAGTCTCTCCGGCTCTTCGACCTCGTGTACACAAACAGAATATCGGGGAGTCTCGCCTTACCGTAGCTTTTCGTTCACGATTTAAATCCAGACGATTTTGGACTCTAAATGACGTGATGGCTTCGTTGTTAAAGTTCCAGGGTTTTTCAATGGTGCACTTAGCATCATAGTGCACAAATCCACAGTCTCCTACGAAGGAAGACGGAAGTTGAGATGGAAGGTTATATGAAAACGGGAAAGTGTGTCGTCCAGCAGGCAGATTGATGTCTTGTCCCGGCTCATCATTCCCTAAATTGGAAATAACAAATACAACTTGCAACTGTCTTTGTTGTTGTTGTTTTTGTTTAACGTCGAACTCAGCAATATTCCAGCGGTCTGTAAATAATCGAATCCGGACCAGGCAATCCAGTGATTGACATCATGTGCAACGATCTACGCAAATGCATCAATTAAGTTAGCGAACCTCACCACCCGATCCCGTTAGTCGCCTCGCCTCTCACGACAAGCATGGGTTGCTGAAGACCAATTCTAACCCGGATCTTCACGGGTCGGGAAGATTATGTAAACATTTTGACACAAATCGTGATTTTATTATCCATTTCAAGCATACAACATGCTGTAGCTCACCCCAACTACTTGCTGTACCTCCAGCGTCCTCCTTTCCGCGATGAGAGAGATCTTTAGACACGCTGAACCAATGTTAACCACGTAGCTTGTTGACCTGGTCACGTTTGGTCTTGTCTGTATGGCCATAAAACTTGATCTGTTGCCAATAACCCGTCCACTGAATTTAGTCCACATCATAAACCTTTTCGGTTTTGTTTATTTGTTTCACTTAGTCTGTTAACTATTTTATGGATGTCCGTCTGTCCACAAATCAATCAGTCAGTAGGATTCCCTTTATAAGGGGCGGTCGGTAGCCAAGTGGTTAAAGCGTCCGCTCGTCACGTCGAAAACCCGGGTTCGATTCCCGATATGGGTACAATGTGAGAAGCCCATTTCTGGTGTTCCCCGCCGTGATATTGCTGGAATATTGCTAAAAGCGTCGTTAAACCTCACTCACTCACTCATTATAAACATCACAGCGTGGACGAAATCCATCAAAAGTCTTCCTAGTTGTTACACGGACATAAATGATACTGTTTATATGAGCAAAGAATATTTAAAATATTTCATATGGATGGGATTGCTCTCACCTAAGAGAGGTTATAAGGCAGAGTAGGTCCCATGTACATGTAGCCCATGCTTGTCTCAAGAGCCCTGGCCAACTCGTCTTAGGCGCCACAATTCCGAACGCCAGAAACCTATGACCGTGGGTGCCGGTTCGCCCCGATTATGTTTCTAGGTTTGCCGACCCGTGAAGAATCCGGCGTAGAATAGGTCTTCAGCAACCCATGCTTGCTGTAAAAGGTGACTATGCTCGTCGTAAAAGGCGACTAACGGGATCGGGTGGTCAGGCTCGCTGACTTGGTTGATGCATGTCCTCAATCCCAATTGCGTGGATCGATGCCCATGATATTAATCACTGGCTTGTCTGGTCCAGACTCGATTATTTACAGACCGCCGTCATATACCTGGAATATTGCTGAGTGCGGCGTTAAACAACGAACCAATTCAGAGTGCTGAACGTCTGAAACCCGCATCACTTCGGGCTTTCATCCCTCAGTAAGTAGACACGCCGTGACATAACAAATCTTCTGTTCAAAGCGGCGTTAAACCCAACTCACGCACTCACTCTAAAGGCCCAACTTACGTGAGTCCTGACTGGTACGATGTGTAATCGTTGTTCATGGTGTCAATCACGGGAGTGCATGGACTAGACCTAATTATTTATATTTGGTCTGTTGATACGGCATTCAAAGTTAGTTACTTGAAATGTTACTCTAAGACCTTATTTTTGAAGACAATATCATCTCTTTACCTTTTAGCATTATTCCAGCAAGATCACGGTAGAGGACACCAGAAATGTGGGGAATCGAACCCAGTCCCTCAATGTGACGAGGGAACCTATAACTACACAGCCCTTAATCCATTAGTAATCTCAAGGCAGCAATTTAAAGTGTCTAAAAATAATAAACAGGAAATTAAGCCTTAGTAACTGTCTGAATATAAGATGAATATATGCAGCTATTGTTGTAAATTGGAAAGACGAGCTGCTGATCATCACCCTGCAAACAGAACATTAACCCTCAGTGACACTGTCTGAAGTAGATGAATATATGTAGCAATAATTCAGAACTTGAACTGGGGTTGCTCATACGTACATCTCCCTGCCAACAGGAAACTAGTTTTGAAGTACTCTTCCTCCGCCGAAAAATGTTCTGTACGTGACCCCCCGGAGCCGGATGATTTTCTCTCTGTCCAGTGGACACGTGCCATTCCCTTCAGCCGGAGTCGGATTCCTGACACAAAATGAATTCAATCAAAACCTTTTAAAAAATCAACATAATTTGATGGGAGTGGTAACACTTGTAATTTTCATCCGGAAATATATCTTAAAGTGTTTGTTTGTTGTTTAACGCTGCACTGAGCAATATTACGTAATAGTCTTGACCAGACAATCCAGTGATTGACATCACGAGCATCGATCCGCGACGTCGAGGTACGATGACACGGAATCAACAAGTTACATCTGAGCGATGGCACACACCAGACCCAAGTAGCGATTCAACGCAGGTCCATCTTGTCTCAGTCGCGACTTGTCGGAAGAGGAGTGTGAGTGAGTGAGTTGGGTTTAACGCCGCTTTTAACATTATTCCAGTTATATCACGGCGTGTCAGCTTAATGTGGGAGGAAAGCCCGAAGTGATGCAGGTCTCAGACGTTTACCACTTCGGTGAAACCCACGAGCACGGGTATGGTGCTGACAAACCTAGAAACATAATTGGGGCGAACCCGGGATTCGAACCCACAATCATAGGTTTCTGGCGTGCCCAAGGGACGCAACTCTGCACAGCGAATCGCGGCGCCTTAGACGACTGGGCCACCCGTGCCCCCTGTCGGAAGAGGAACTTGTCTGACTCTCCTCAAAACAATTTAGGGGCGGTCGGGTATCCTAGTGGGTAAAGCGTTCGCTCCTCACGCCGACGACCCGGGTTCGATTCCCGACATGGGTACAATGTGTGAAGCCCATTTCTGGTGTCCCCCGCCGTGATATTGCTGGAATATTGCTAAAAGCGGCGTAAAATCAAACTTACTCACTCACTTACTCAAAACAATTTAATTATGCAGTCACAGTTGATCATACGTACTTTCCATAACTCAACGGTCAATTCTTGAAGTTGGTTACATGGACGAATAATACTCGGGGTGTCCATAACATGTGACGAAGGTGTAACGTGGTACGAAATCCTCATATCAGGTCTCCATTGAAGTTATTTTTCAAAGGGCGAATTCGGTCATAACAAATATGATATCAGTCTCATTGTTTACTTTGAGTGTTGTGATGGAGAATAGTATGAGTGTTATTATAACCCTTAACCGCTAACCGCAAGATAAGGTTTGAGAACTTTTGAACTACATCAAATAATTCGCATCCTCTGTTGATTTGTGACTGGCTTGAAAATTCCATGACGTGAATCGAACCTGCAACCACATATAACATATTTAGTATAGTTGTTTTTTTACTGAGCCACCGGCGATGAAATTAAGGTTCTCTGAACACGTTTTGCGACAACGCGCCTCACCCACCATTTGGGGCACATGCAAGGAGAGTAATGAGAATTAGACGAGTCCATTTGAAAATAGGGACATAGGAATCAAATAAATACAACATATTTGATCGATGCGTGTATCAATCTAAGAAGATGTCGGTTTATGGGTAAGTGAAAACACTCCTCGGTTTTGGCTGCAAATGTAAACACGCGGGAGAGGGAAATCAACCTCGGAGTCGTGTTTTCTCCCATACATTGAACAAGGGAGTCTGAGACGGCACGGAGTGCAAATTGTGGTAAGAAAAATCAAAGTTCAAAGACAACACAATACACAGTCGAACCTTATTGTGTCCAGGTTGGATGTGTCGAATACCCGGTTATATCGAGATCGCATTCATGGCCCTGTACATCACATTGCAAATTTCTCAAAAAAGTAAAACAAATTCGAGAGACTTGAATCGCCACATTGATGTTGTGTATTTTCGTTCACAGTTGTCAAATATTCTGCTTAAGTTTGAGCAGCAAATTGTTTAAATTTAAACTAAAGCATCCAATACCTGTGTGTTTGATGTTTGTTTGTTTATTTGTTGATTAACGCCGCACTCGGCAGTATTCCAGCTATATGACGGCGGTCTGTAAATAATCAAGTCTGGACCAGACAATCCAGTAATTGACATCATGAGCATCCGATCCACGCTATTGGGATACGATGGCATGCATCAACCAAGTCAGCGAGTCTGACCACCCGATCCCGTTAGTCGCCTCTTACGACAAGCATAGTCGCCTTTTACAGCAAGTATGGGTTGCTGAAGACCTATTCTACCCCGAAACTTCACGGGTAATGACATAGGTTTGCTTTTGTGATTGCTGCACCTTGAGAAACCACACACTTCTTTCAATTTATGGATAGGTATACATGGAATAATATATGGGTATTGGAAAATCGTTCCTCAAATACTTAAAGACTTTAACACTTCCCACGACACCTCTTCCTCATGAATACTCAAACAGTTTTTCTGAAGTTACGAAAGCCAAATTCGTCCCTAAAATAATGTGCCCAATAATTCATGCAGTTATTTTACACAAAGACATATGTTATAACCACATTTAACTTAATCATATATATTCCTCATGTGTTAACACATTAATGTGTTCACTGCCATGTTCAATGCATGCATGTACAGGTGATGTGTATGTACGAATTATTCCCTAATCACACGTGTCTGTGATAACAAAGCATATACAAGATTTCTTGGTACCTGTGCAAACAGGTTATGTGTAAGTGAAGGGTAAAGCACGTCCAAGAGTTTTTATGATTTTAAAAACCGTCATCCGCAGGAAAAGAGTTTTTAAAAATCATAAACACCGTGTTTTATCTAACTTATAAACCGAGAAAAGAAACTTAAAACAACATTTATCAACTTTTTTATGCTTCAAACATACTTTCCATGAACCATAAGAAACGGGCATAAAATATCTATTGCTGGCGTGCGATTCTTGATTAATGAGCGCCCATGAAGTCTTGTGGTACACTGGATATTATATTATAACATCGCTGTTTTTAGGATGACGTCACTTGAGGTTTACAAAAGGTATAAAGGAGTGGTGATCGCCGTCACACTTGACTGAATTGTCAAAGCCCTCAGTCGCGCTTCGTTTTATCGTAAAAGTTGCGTATCACACACAATTTATTATTAACAGCCACATGGAAAAATGTCGTTTATTTGTTGGACATAAATAAATTTCCCCGGATTCGACACTGGCGAGGAGTCTGTAGTTTTGAAGACCCACTGCTGACGACGAGAACAGTGTTTATTTAGCCTGTCATATCACGGACATTTTGTAAACTGTTTTGTCTGATAGGCGACACCCACCTCTTATTTTCATTGTGTCGTTCAATTCCACCGTGACCTGCCCCTGTACGGGCTGACCTGGGAAGTATACCGGCCGTTCCTTGCTGTAGGTAACCACAAACACGTCCAGCTTCCCCATAACTGTCGCAACACATGGCAATACCTGTTGTCCACAACTGTTGTCTATCACAACAGTAAATCAATTCAAGGGAAGTAACTCGTTCCGCAATGCACATGGACACTTTTTTCAAAAGACACGACTTGTAGTTCGAGCAAGTCGTAGACTCACACAAATGCTACACCCTTCCTGTAGTGTATGGACCTTGTCACTGCGATTGCAGTGAGTTAGTGGATGTGAATACAGTCAGCAATATTCTATCTATGTCACGGCGACATGTTGTTTGTTTGTTTGTTTGTTTGTTAATAAAAAATTAATTGTTTATCTAGAGTTTTAAATGACTGTTGGCGGGTCTTTGTTTGTCGATGAATTTAATGTATCTTGTCGAGGTAAAAATATGCACACGGTTGAAAGACAGTTGCAGCTTTGTCTAAAAAAAATCAACGATTGGTCAGAACGTAATGGCTTTAAATGTTCCAAATCAAAAACTAATTGCATTCATTTCTGTCGAAAATATAAGATACATGGTGATCCTGACTTACATCTAGCGGGCACTCCAACTGAAGTTGTAAAGGAAGCTAATTCTTGAGGAGTACGTTTTGACCACCATTTAACTTTCTTATCACAAATTAAACATCTTAAATCAAAATGACCGATGGCACTAGATCTATTAAAAGTTGTTTCAAATTCCAAATGGGGAGGGGACCAATCAACCCTTCTTCACTTGTACAGATCACTCATCCGTTCTAAACTCGATTATGTCTCCACCATCTATGCAAAGACAATCTTAACTTTTAGATTCTGTTCAGCATCAAGGTCTAAGACTCTGTCTTGGATCTTTCCGAACTTCTCCCATTGAGTCTGTGCGTTAAGGCCGATTGTCTCTTCAACAACGTCACATTAAACTATCTTTACAGTTTATCACAAAACTATATTCTAATGAGTCTAATCCTGCTTACAACTGTGTATTAATCCCCATTATGAGGTTCTGTATAATAAGAAATCATCTCTTATTCCACCTCTTGGACTAAGAATTAAACCTTTCATTTCTGCTGCTAATATTGAACTATATCTCCTTTCAGGTTGCTGTCTTCTCCTCCTTCTCCTAAGCCTCCTTGACAAGTAGACTTCTCATTGACCAAACTAAAGAAGTCGGAAACAAATCAATTACAGTATCAACAAGAATATAATCATTTACGAAATACATACAATACTTACAAATCATTATTTACAGATCGATCCAAGGATGGTAACGCTGCTTCCAGCGTTACTAACGTTGGATCCAGAGCTCTTTCAACTAGGTTGCCAGGTTACTCTTCCATTTTTACAGGCGAATCAAATGCCGTTTTAACAGCTCTAGAATATACCAAACAGTCTAAACATCAGCAATTCATTAATTTTCAGACTCTGTCCTGTCTTCGGGCTATTCCAAATAATCCGTACCAGCATCCAATTTTACTTGACATAATTGAACTACATAATGATCTTGCTACTGGCCAAACAACATCGACTTCTGTTGGTTGCCTAGCCAGGTTTGTATCATTGGCAACTCGTTGGCTGATGCTGCAGCAAGATTGCAGCAAGGTTGCAGCAAACGCAGCCCTCAACAAATCAGTAACACCACTTCTGATCCCATACACTGATTATAAACCAATTATTAGATTTACTTCCGAGATCTAATGCAGAAGAAGTAAGTTACATGAAATTAAACCAAATATCGGTTACACCTACTTTGGAACAGTTAGCCACAAAATCCAGAGACTCTTAAAGAAACAGGCCAACATTGGTTGCAGTTTTCAAGAGAAGTCATACCATTCAGAACACAATTAAAGCCACAGGGAAACCACCATCCAGCCACAAGCTAGAACCATCAGGAGCAGTGTACCACATTCCATGCACTTACTTACTTACTTACTTTGGAGATTTAACGTGCGCTTTCCGACTGATGCGTATTTCGCACACGGGCCCGGCCAGGCCATTTATTGTGTTTCCGAAAGGGGCGAAGGTGGTCTGTGCAACCCAAGAGGGGGGTTTTAGGGGTTGCTTATATAGAATTTGGGAATTTTGAGATTTGGAATAGATGCCGATGGGATTGGGGAGGAGAACTAAGGGAGCTGGGTATGGTGGATGTTTGTTTGTTTATGTGATTTTGATTTGGTACGTTATTGTGTTTTTAGATGCGTTTTATTAGTTCCGTTTTTATTAAGAATACGCCTAAGGCCTTGAAGTTTTCTAGTTTATTTTGTGGGTTTAGTATTGCTTCTATAGTTAGAGCCTTGTTTAGATTGAGGGTGGTTCGTAATGCGGTTCGATGTGTTAGGTAGTGTGTGCAGTGGATGAGTGCGTGTTCTGGGGTTTGTGGTTGTTTGCAGTGTGGGCAGTTACCTGTAGTGTGTTTTTAAAAAAAAAATAGGTGGTTATTTAGGTTGGTGTGTCCTGTTTGGAGTTTAGTGATTACTCTGTCGATTTTTTTGGATGGATGGAGAATTTTTGGTTTGGTTAGTGGTTTGCTGAGCACTTTTTTGGTTTGGCTATTCGAGTTTAGATATAGGTTATGCCATTTTTTGTGATTTTTTGCTTGTTTACACTTTTAATTTCTGATTTTGAGATGGGTAAGTTTAAGCTTATTTCTGGGATTTTGAGGGATAGTTTAGCTGCTTTATCGGCGTTTTCATTACCGTATATTCCTACGTGGGCTGGTATCCACAAGAAGGTTATTTGTTTGCCTGCCTTAGTTAGGTCGTTGGAGCTTTTAAGTATTTGATTTATTAATTTAACATTCCATGCAATTGTGGACAAGCTTACATAGGAGAAACATCTAGGCCCCCCAAAACCCGAATTAAAGAACATCAAAGCTCAGTCTCCAAAGATGACTCTAAATCAGACCACATCCGTGACAACCCAAGCCACAGCATTCAGTGGGAGAGAGTCACAACCCTCGCCACCAACCTCAAAGACTTCAAGATCAGGAAACTACCAGAAGCCATCAACATCAAGACACCAGCCGTCAATCAACCGTAACCAAGGCTATTACATACCTCCGGCGTACCATCAACTCATCAAAGACCCAATTCAACCATAATCCCGTTGTTTATATTACTGGCTTCATCCTTTGTTTGTGTGACGTACTTCACCTATGATTGTCACCACTACCCCTGCGTGTACATAACAGGCTTCTCTACTCTAGTATAACAATTTCTACTCTACTGTATAAACACTGCCTCCTACTTGTATATATACTTGCCAACCACACTCTGTAAATCACTTGCTTGATAACGGTGTTAGAACCTACACCGAAACGTCGCTCTTAAAATGTAATAAAGACGTTGTTCATCCATAAATTCTTATCCTTACTTAAAACAAACATTGCTAAGACGTAAAATGTCTTCCTACCATTGGATAAAAATGTTTTTAAGTTGTATCTATCATTGGGTCCTTTTTAACTGAATCACCTGTAGATGCGGGAGGAAACGTGTATAAACGTGTATGTGTGTTGCTTTAGCCCAAGATGGCGGACGTTTCCGAGCGTATATAACGAACAACGTATATAACGAACTGATTTCTCCGGTCCCTTGTAGTTCGTTATATCCATGTTCTACTATACTTGGGTTGTCAGTCCTGATTTGATGACGATGTCGTATTGGCCATTCCAGATATACTTATGAATATTTATTGCAAACTGAGGATCCTCCATTTTGTATCCCTTGTGATGAAAGAATCACCGTCAAGCATGTGCTGGTTGACTGTGTTGATATTTCCATCAGAAGAGATAAGTATTTCAAACTTTCATCCATAAAAGGATCTTTTTTAAATATTAGTTCTCATTTAATTGTTGGGTTTATAAAAGAAATAGAACTGTATAATAAATTGTGATAAAATCAATTACCTTTTAAAATTGGTAGAATGAATTTATTATATATGAGTTTGTTCGTGGCTGTATCCTCGAATGGGTTTGATTGTAAAATTATTGTCCCCCTGGGAGTATGTCTTTAGTCCATGTCATTCAAAGAATATTTCTGCCAACTACTCTTTTAAACGTAGAATATTTGTAATTACTGCGTACAATTGTCAGCCACTGAACTGGGACCAACAAAGGATGTTGCAGGGTGCTGGGTGGCAACAGGATGTTGCATGGTGATGGGGTCCAACACAGGATGTTGCAGGGTGCTGGGGGGCATCACAGGATGTTGCAGGGTGCTGGGAACCAACACAGGATGTTGCAGGGTGCTGGGGTCCAACACAGGATGTTGCAGGGTGCTGGGAACCAACATGGGATTTTAAAGGGTGCTAGGGGCTAACAATGGTTGTTGCAGGGTGCTGGTGTCCAACACAGGATGTTGTAGGGTGCTGGTGGCCAACACAGGATGTTGCAGGGTGCTGGTGGCCAACACAGGATGTTGCAGGGTGCTGGTGGCCAACACAGGATGTTGCAGGGTGCTGGGTGGCAACAGGATGTTGCATGGTGATGGGGTCCAACACAGGATGTTGCAGGGTGCTGGGGGGCATCACAGGATGTTACAGGGTGCTGGGAACCAATACAGGATGTTACAGGGTGCTGGGGTCCAACACAGGATGTTGCAGGGTGCTGGGAACCAACACAGGATGTTGCAGGGTGCTGGGTGGCAACACAGGATGTTGCATGGTGATGGGGTCCAACACAGGATGTTGCAGGGTGCTGAGGACTAACACAGGATGTTGCAGTGTGCTGAGTGGCAAAACAGGATGTTGCGGGGTGCTGGGAACCAACATGGGATTTTAAAGGGTGCTAGGGGCCAACAATGGCTGTTGCAGGGTGCTGGTGTCCAACACAGGATGTTGCAGGGTGCTGGTGGCCAACACAGGATGTTGCAGGAAGCTGTTGGATGTTGCAGGTGCTGTTGACCAACACAGGAAGTTGCAGGGTGCTGGGGACCAACACAAGAAGATGCGCTGTGCTGGTGACCAACACAGGAAGTTGCACGGTGTAAGGGAACAACTCAGGATGTTGAAGGGTGCTTTGGATCAACACAGAAAATTGCAGGGTGCTGGAGCCGTCTCAGGAAGTTGCAGGGTGATTCGGGCCAACACAGGAAGTTGCAGGGTGCTGGTGACCAACACAGGAAGTTGCACAGTGGTAGGGAACAACTCAGGATGTTGAAGGGTGCTGGGGATCAACTCAGGATGTTGCAGGGTGCTGGGGATCAACACAGAAAGTTGCAGGGTGCTGGAGCCAACACAGGAAGTTGCAGGGTGCTGGAGCCAACTCAGGAAGTTGCAGGGTGATTCGGACCAACACAGGAAGTTGCAGGGTGCTGGAGCCAACACAGGAAGTTGCAGGGTGCTGGGGATCAACACAGGAAGTTGCAGGGTGCTGGGGATCAACACAGGAAGTTGCAGGGTGCTGGGGATCAACAAAGAAAGTTGCAGGGTGCTGGAGCCAACACAGGAAGTTGCAGGGTGCTGGAGCCAACTCAGGAAGTTGCAGGGTGATTCGGACCAACACAGGAAGTTGCAGGGTGCTGGAGCCAACACAGGAAGTTGCAGGGTGCTGGGGATCAACACAGGAAGTTGCAGGGTGCTGGGGATCAACACAGGAAGTTGCAGGGTGCTGGGGATCAACACAGAAAGTTGCAGGGTGCTGGAGCCAACACAGGAAGTTGCAGGGTGCTGGAGCCAACTCAGGAAGTTGCAGGGTGCTGGGGATCAACACAGGAAGTTGCAGGGTGCTGGGGATCAACACAGAAAGTTGCAGGGTGCTGGGGATCAACACAGGAAGTTGCAGGGTGCTGGGGATCAACACAGGAAGTTGCAGGGTGCTGGGGATCAACACAGAAAGTTGCAGGGTGCTGGGGATCAACACAGAAAGTTGCAGGGTGCTGGAGCCAACACAGGAAGTTGCAGGGTGATTCGGACCAACACAGGAAGTTGCAGGGTGCTGGTGACCAACACAGGATGTTCATCATGATCATCATATACATAACATAACAAGAATACCAAAGTGTATGACTTTATTTGGTACAACATGGTAATAGAGAGTTAAACTTTGTTACAAAAGGGTAAACTTCAACAAAATGTTGTATCTTGGGCTAAGAAGCACCTGTACATTGGTAACATTGAGTCTCAAAATATTAAATAACATATTTTAAAAAATTCTATGGCCTATTATAAAACCTGACAGTACAAATGACATGAGTATGATGAACACATCTACGATAATTACACAAATATTGTGGTCCGATTCACCCGTTGTTATTCACACTGATATACCACTGAGTGGTTGTAAAACACAAGGCAGGATAAGGAATTAATCTTCCCAGTAAGCAAGAATGAGGGATGAACAGGTAACATTCAAGGTGAGTATGAGGGATCCTACGAGGTGGCATCCTACAATTGCTCAAAACAATTATCACTCTTCCCCACCTCCTCATGGTTTATAAACAACACTGTGACATGCATCAGGAAGGTTAGACAAACATTTAGTTCCAGAAATAATGTTATCATATTTAATAATATATGTCTACAAAATGCAATCCAAATGGAGCACAGAATAATACTTAATTTCGGAGCTAGAGCAGAGGCACTCTCCACTTGCCAAATCATTCTAGACTTAAATTGGAATCATTTTTTAATTTATTCTGCAGGGTCTGAGTGACTGACAACAGGGTGGAATACAGTTGGACCTGAAGCTATCGGCTGTGATAGTTGTCACAAAAGTGAGCATCGTGAAGTATCACTGAGCACAACAAAAACATAAATAATAATAACACACACAAGCTTGTGTGAACACATGAGAACTGCCTGGTGAACGTGAAGACAAAAGAGGGTCTTCAGTACAGGCTTCCATTAACTATGCGTGCATAACAGCTCAAACGATTGTCAAAAAATGTAGATAAGTTAAAAAACAACAGCCTTACAATTACTAACAATATCAACTTACCACTGCACAAATCTGCTGATGTAAGATACATGACATAGTTGTAGCTATCACAATTGTAGGTGTAATAGACCTTGCGATTGATGCTTCTTACTCAGTGATCAGTGAAAGGTCATACCCATCTATGTACTGGTCAAACAGCAGTATGCCATTGATCATACACTGAACACTGAACACTAAACACTAAAATTAACTGATTTCGTGTGCCGATACGATACACTATACATTTTTTTCTGTAACGATACAAAACGATACACTTGCTTAAATTGATTACTGCTCGTTTAATGACCACCCAACGTATTTGTCAGTAAAAAATCGCAAAAGGTGTTCTAATTAAGTTCACTACTAAAAATAGCCACAACGAACATGTGTCTACAGCTAGCTTTGCCTTTTGAACCTGCTCTGAAATATTTAAAGTCAAGACATTTCCACTAGATTTGACGTAAATATGCATATCGCGATATATATCGTGACCTTGCTGTATCGTTTCACCCCTACTGCTTAAACCTTGTAAAATATGATAATATCTTATGAAATCTGATTATCCATTCACTAGTATTCTGGGCATTCAGAAGACACAAAACAGGAAGACAAAAGCAGTTTTGGAGTTCATCTGTTTCACCTTAAAGGTTGTAACTGAGCATTAGCAAAAAGCTTCCAGAACAGAAGCGTCTTGTGACATGAATATATTCTTCTGTCACATGACATGTAAGAGTAAAACCTACTAAGGACATTTTGGCAACAAATATGAAAACTAGAACATTGAATCAAAAAATAGTTTTGACTTACATCATCTTGCATCACAAATGTTATGTACTAGGAAATCACATAGCCTGCCACTGCAAAATCTGCTTGATGGCTGACAAAAAATATAACTGCAAGAACAGTACTATAGTATAACAGTAAAGTTATGTTATACAGAATATATTTGTTTTAATAAAAACATTTTTTGAAAGTGAGAGCTAACAGTTTTGAGAGTACCAACATCACACTATTTTCAGAAGATTAGGCATGTCCAGTGAGGCATTTATTTATATTTTACAGCATTTTCGTGCAAACATTTTCTATTGCAAAAAGAAACCAGGGTCCCCTCCAAATATCAATTGGTTGCCCCTTACTTGTATACTGACAACGTGTTAACAGTCTATTGACAATTCATGCTCACCATTTTCCTAATGAAGTCAGACACACCCTAACCTATTCATTCCTTAACACTGACAGAAAAAGGCACAATAGGTCAAATGTCAAAAAATAGAAACAGCAAATTAAATATGTTGCTATCCCAGGCATGCATATACCACAAAACAATCAAAGGTAATGTCAACAAGGAAGACAAAATATGTCTTTGGTTGCCTTCATATATATATATATTTATATATATATACACACACACAAGTTTATTAAATAATGACATGTCAGAGAACAAAATGTTTAGCAATTTCTTCACAAAATGGTACTCATATAAGACCAAACCTTTTTTCACTTGCTTTAAGGGCCTGTCATCTGTAAATATTGTTGAAAAGGAAAACAAAAATAAATCAGAATTTGCTCTATCTTATATCCAGCCTATAATTTTCTAAACAAGGACCCACTGAAGTTTACATCTATCACATTGGAATCAAAAAAATGTTTGTTGGGTTTTGCTGAAGTTGATAGGATACATATATACACAACAGTATTCTCACTTGATTCGTCAGGTTTGTATTGCTTATAGCAACAGCTGTGTCTCAGGCTCTTCTCCCACTTTAAACCATTTCTATTTTTCATACCAGGCGACCTGCAGTGGAGCAGAAATTTAAAAGAAAATTGAATTCTTTTTCCCACCTACTGACAGGAATTTTCCTGCAAAAAAATTGGTAACGCATGTAAAAAAACGTGTGGCCTTACCAGGATGATGAAAGTGTACAGAGCCTTGGTGCTGACATTGATTGCTTGTATGAATCCTGAGAATCTGAGCTAGAACTGGCCTGACTGGATGATGACTGACGCTGACCAATTGGACAACACACATACAGCCCCATCCATCAAATGACACATCAGAGCATGGAGTACAAGTTTCGGGAAGATTTTGCTATCTTGTATATACAGTGGAATCAGTCGAAACTAAACTGAGACCTTGATTAAAGTCGGATCAGACAGACTCAAACTACGGTATGTTACTGATGAGGCCATTCTGGGCATCAGTCTACATTGTAAAACATATTGTCCATTGATGAGAACAGCTTACCGGATGTACGGGTGAGATGTGTAAATACATGTAGTATATCACGGCGTGTCAGCTTAATGTGGGAGGAAAGCCCAAAGTGATGCAGGTCTCAGACATTTACCACTTCGAGGAAACCCACGAGCACGGGTATGGTGCTGACAAACCTAGAAACATAATCGTGGTGAACCGGGATTCGAGACCACAATCATAGGTTTCTGGCATGCCCAAGGGACGCAACCAAGGGACGCAACTCTGCAGTCTGGTTTAGACAGAATCCACTGTATTAAATGTACAGTAAAATTAAATTCATATTGCTTCAGATAAACAAACAGGAGAAAACAAACTTGGTGAATGTAAATATTGCAATGAAAGTCTAAATATGATGATTTACAATTTCAACTCCACTTCCTATAGTATCAACATTGTCCTCATGATATTAAACTGTGGATATATTTTTATAGTGTAAACATACATCATTACACTGGACATTCAAATAGGAGCAATGTAGTTCCTTCACTTTCAATGATCATGACATACACATTTTTCTACAACTGCTGGGAGTGCAGGTAATACAAAGTTGACATTCACTCTGTCAAATCACTTCTGCTTCAGGCATTTCATAACGAATTTGAGCTTCAATTAAAAAGGTGCATTTTGAATATTACTGAGTTTCTCCCTCTTTCATTCATAAAACTGTATTTTGAATAACAAAAAATGTTATTTGTTACTGAAATATGTTTAAAAAAATCTCATGTTCATGGCTAAACAAAACAAAATAATAGAGTCATCACAACATTTTTCATATTTGTGAAACACATGAGAACCACAACATAAAACGGCCTGAGCAGACAATTGTTTGATAGGCATTACTTAGAAGCTGACTGATGACAAATCACACACAATTTATGGATAACAGTAAACTAAAGAAGTTGTTATCCATAAATTGTGTCTGAGCAGGCAAGGACAATGCAACAGAAACTTTCCCATCTGAGCAACCATCACTAGGGGTACTGTATTTAAGGCCTTGGTATTGTTTTGCTTGGTTATGGATCCAATAACCATAAAACTTGAAAATCCAATACAAAAAATATTGAAATCAGAATGACAATGGGTTTTCTTTACATCACCAACGGTGTTGATTTGACAATAAAACCAATTCATGGGATGAATACATAACAACAATAAAAACATTCCAATGATAAATCATCCCAACAAGTGTGAAATTTGATTAAAAATATTTATGAGGACCCAGACAAACACTTACCAATCCAATTCAACCCCCGAAGATGATTAATAAAATAATGTACAATGCATTTTGTTTTACCTTAAAAAAAATGTGTAACCATCAAAAACCATGAACTAAGAAATAAAGTGTGGCTTGAGTAAGGCGTGGTGGATATAACATAAAATTATTTTGCTTTACTTATTAAGTAGAAACTACAGTAATATTATAACATATAACATGTATATAAAATGTAAATTATTTGCTTATCAGGCAATGGCTGTTGAATATCTGATTCAGCTATTTACATGAGGTTCAATCAAAGTGTATGGATAAAGGATGACAATCTGTAGCATAACAGTTATATGATGGGTGTCTGGGCCAGACAATTCAGTGATTGATATTATGAACAAAGATCAACGCTGTCGGTACATGACACACAATCAAACATGTGTGTGTGTACATATATATATAAATATCAGCATAATAAAACAATAAAAATACTGAATAAAAATGTCAATACTGTCACACATGGACATGGTACATTGACTGTTTGCTTGACTGGTGTATAGCCTGTCAACACAATGTTATTTCACAGTTGGGAGTGTAAAGATACACCGATGCAGCAGATGCGGGAAGCAAGCTTAATAACATCATCTACATAATGACTGATACATGGCAAATATAAATTGCAATATGGTTACCATGGAAACATGAATTTGAAATATGTTCATGAAGTCAGTCAAAATATTGGAGTCAGTAAAACATAATGAGAAAAATAGGTTACCAAACTTGCGGGATAGGGGACTTTGAAGATAACTTGTCCGTCTGAAATATCATAGGCACAGGATAAGGGCAGACAGTTGGTTTAAAATAGTTGTACCTCAATTCAAGAGTTATTATCTAGTATACCCCTCCCCTACTGATAACTACAATATTGACTTCATAGCAAGAGCAGCTGTCTTGTGGCCCCTCTCATAGTACATGTATGCAGGTGTTATTATCTAGTATACCCCTCCCCTACTGGTAACTACAATATTGACTTCATAGCAAGAGCAGCTGTCTTGTGGCCCCTCTCATAGTACATGTATGCAGGTGTTATTATCTAGTATACCCCTCCCCTACTGATAACTACAATATTGACTCCATAGCAAGAGCAGATGTCTTGTGGCCCCTCTGATGGTACACATAGGAGTTATAATCCACCTCAGCTCCCCTGATATCTACTCTGTTGGAGGGGCGGAGGGCTTGTGGCCCCAGTCGTAGTACGTGTAGACGGGAGCATATCTGTTGTCTCCCTGCAGGTGCTCATTCTCCCCTTCCTCCTTGATGTCGACCTTGCCGAACACACACTCTCCGTAGGAGGGAGGCGCTGAAACGATTAATGATACTCATTGTGTTGCAGTAATGTGTAGTGACAGAAACAACTCGTTCTACATGGACGACATGATAACTAGAACAAACAATACCAGGTATCCTAGCAATTGTATTGCAGCAATCATTATGTGCCCCTTGAACTCATAAGATATTTGTCTGGCTTAACTGAGAACAAGACACTGAATCTGGCATACAACAGTCAGTATTTGTAACTGAGGAGACCACAGAACAGACGAACCCCTTCTCACAATACGTCAAGTTGTGAAATCTACATTCGACAACACAAACATTACAATAGCTTTTTCCAACAACCAGGGTTTAGGGTGGTGCATCCCAATAATGAAGCTGTGCCACAATACGAGTATCATATTGACAACATTCATGACCAACTCATGTTATTCAGGGACAAGACGAATAGCAGCTTGTGCCCCTCTCATGGCCATTTTTTTCAAATGGGTTCCATCTAAGCGCAAACGAGCATACCTAAAAGAATTGTCAACTTGTCGCGTAATGATTTACATATATTTCCCCATATGTGTATATTTATTTCCACGTCAGTACTTATGTTATTATACAGCATGTTTGAACACATTAAACTGAATGTTGGGGATATTTTAGGTGCACGACATATGTAAAGTCAAAAATTATTCCTGATGGACTCTTAGAACGAAGTACTTGAAGTCAATCACACAGCACATAACATTTATCAATAGGGGACGAGTCTTCTTGCAGGTTACAGAAAAGGGCGAGTGGTGACGAAAGATATTGATAGTTCATGTATCGATACAAAACTATACAAAACTTGAAGTACTATACTTTCCTGTGTATACAGGTATAGTGGGCACATGATTATTATGCGATTCCGCAAATCCTAGCTACAAGTTTTGGCAAAGATTGTTTTTCCTTCAGGTTAAACATTCATTTTCAAATTGAAATGAGAAGTATCTAATCTATGCTTTTGACTAGCTCAAATTTCAAAACACTGCAGGTATACTTCCTAATTCAATCCCTGTTTTCGACAAATTCACATACGAAGTAGTGCTACTCACGCAAATTTGGCAAATCGGTTGGCATCCCTGGAGGATAGGCTGGTGGGGCTCCTGGGGGCAGAGACTCTCCGGGGGGGTAGGCTCCGGTAGGAGGGGGGTAGGCTCCTGGTTGGGCCGCTCCTGCACCAGTAGGGGGGTAAGCTCCTGCACCAGGATGGGGGTAAGCTCCTGCACCAGGAGGGGGGTAGGCTCCTGGCTGGGGGGCTCCTGCACCAGGAGGGGGATAGGCTCCACCAGCACCTGCAGGATTTGGCATGATCATGGGGGCCCCTACCGGAGGTGCCATAGGAGGATGCTGAGCAAGGACACTTTGTAGAGGGATGGTGCCAATTATCACTGGTAGAGGGATGTCAAGATCAAAGCTTGGTCCTGAAGGAGTCACTTCAAACTGTGAATAGCAAACATATCGCAGATCAGTGTCTGACATGGGAGAACCTGTAATTGCTCTATAAAATCTTCATTCTGTCAGCATGAAAAGTAAAAACATTTACAAGTGTCCAAGCAATACACACAGAAACTAGTACATGATAATGCCTTATCCCTTGTTGAACAGTAAGACGGCAGTGAAGTGAAATGAGTTAATGTTGTTTAACTGCAGTCTGAAAACTTACAGCAAAATCATGTAATGTTTCACTCTGTGCCACCATACGAGAATCGTGGAAAAAAAAAAAAATCAATTGTAAAATATTATCTTTACAACAAACCTGTGTTCAATAAATTAACTTGACTACCTGTGTTGACTGCGTTCATTCTCTTGGATGATGGAATATGTCTCCTGAAATGGCAGTTTTCCTGTATCGTACTGTGCTTCACGTCACAACCTTACTATATAGATATAACAACACAACAGTTAGTAGACATGGATAAAGAGTTTTGCGAGTATCCCACCTGTACATTGTATCTAATGTCGATGATGTTGCAACCAGCAAGAAACGATGGCGGCAGTGGTGGAATAACCAGCTGGTCACCATTCCAGTAATCGTGTCCCCCTTCTTCGATCTCACCATGCTTCAGCTTGGCAATCACACGGCTTGAAGTTCTTGTTTTGCTGGTAGCATGGAACATTGTCACCTGCAAACAAATATTCTTTGATATGGGATAATATAAATACAAGTCCACTTGATAAGAAACTTCAGCGTATATGTAAAACATGCATCATCTACAACAGAAATATAAGTGCCTATCAATGATTACTCAGCAAACCTGAAGCTATGTATTTCATTTTCATTAACACAAAACATTGAATTTTGTCCAATGACCATGATGACTATAAACAATACAAATCAAAAAGTAAACCTGAAATAATATTTTGTAATCTAGTGGAATTATTTTCATATCATAATGTACACAATACTGAATTACAGAATTATTAAACTCACCATTGTCATTTTCACAGACGATGACTTTATTCTCCTGTTTGACTGGTTGTCAATTTCAGCCTTGAGAATGATGGCTTCCCCGGGAACATATCCCTGTCTGTCGATGGAGAAGTTAGCAGAGATTGGTCCTGATGCACAGCACCAGCAGCAAAGTGTCTTGGAGTTGGCACCTTGAGCAGGTATCTACAAGAAATCCGCAGTTCTGTATCTTGAAATCAACAAGATGTCCTCTATCTTGACCTGACATGTTTATTTGATCACTGAGGAATGAAGTCAAATTTCTTCATCATGATCAAGAAAAAACGTAGTTGAGTGTGACAGACAGCTGCATAGAAGTCAAACTAACAAAAGGGGTGTTAATGCTGCAGTATTCCAGTTATATCACTGCTTGATCTGGAGGAATGCCCAAAGTGTCACTGGTTGCAGACACTTACCACTTTAGTAAACCTGCAAGCGCAGGCATGGTCTTAAGAAATTAAAGATGATGATTGGGGCAAATGTGGGATTTAACCTGGATGCCACATTTTTTTTCTGACGCACATATTCCTAGGATCGGGAAAGTGAAGGTTGTGCTAGAATTGCGCTCACGTGGCATTGGATCTACCTCTGGCCATAAAATTACGCACAGATGTAGAATATTACATTTCCTATATGAAAGTGTAAATTAAACTGCAGATATTAAACCGGTTTGAAAAAAAAGACACTGTTTAGGCTTGTTCAAGAATTGATTCTGTGTTGAAAAAAAGGAAATATCTCTGCTTTTTAAAGTACACCTATAAAAGTACTGTGCGATTATTTTTTGTATTGAGCAGCTTTACAGAAACAAAATACTGCCTGATTCATGAACGACATAAATATATATAAAATGGAGTTATATGCGTATGTATAACTACTAGATTTTCCTCTATGACGTCAAAAGGCGACAGAGAGGTTACACACATACAAAGAAAAGGGTGCATAACTCCGCTACGCTTAGCACTAGCTTATTGTAACTCTGGTCCCTTGTTGAGAATTAGCTGTGAGTAAGGACAATATATTCTGGGGGTGTTTTGTTCAAGAGGAGCCAAACTATTCCAACACAAATATTGATATTGAAACTATACATTTAGGTATAAAAAAACCCATAAGGAATGATGAAATCATACTTCATAAATAAAAGAAGTAATGGCAAAATGGATGGCTCTATCTGACCTATAAAGTAGTCCTCAGATTTCAAAGTTCTTCTGATTGTATTAATGTAAATTGACTGATGTTGCACCATTATTAATGCAGCACTATCTCATCATCAAACGTAATGAATTACTAAAAAAATGATACCACTCTATTTGACGTTATGGTTCATTTAATGTCTTTGAATCATTGGAGAACGACGACACTGGTATTTGATTAACATATATCTCCCCTAATTTTCATTCATGGTATGAAAAATTTTGATGTGTAAAACAGAATTTGACGCTTTTTTGACACAACATAAAATGACTGATTTAACCATGTAAATAATGTCTTGTATAGATAAACAATTATTTCTCTTCATCTCATCTCAGAACAACATAATAAAAGAAGCGACAAAAGCTCTCTCTCAGGGTTATCGTATAAGGTTCCATCAGTAGGGTACATATGGCACAGGTTATATTTTTATACTTTTTACAATTCTTGGAGAAAAAAAGTAAACAGTTTAATATCCTGTGACCACAATATTTAAAAAAGGGTGAACCCATTTGTTATATAATGCAAAATGAGAGGAAGAATTCGTAAATCATTTGACTTACATGCACCTGGCAAATCATTAGATATCACTGTTCTGTATATCGAAGGACATTAAAAACAATTCCAAGACCAAGACAAGTCTTCTAGAAATGTGTGCATTTATTCAAAGTAAAGTTATTATCCATTTTGTTAAAGTAATATATTCAGTTTTAGTTTTAAAATCAAATGAAACGCCTATTTATGGACATTGTTTATATGAACTTATAATATTGACTATTACACTCCCAAGAAATATGTACATGTAGCAGCTACATTTACATTTCATCTTGTAACACTTGTCTGAAGAAAAGAAACATTGTATACAACACCATAAACTTACCAATTTCTCATGTAAACAATGTTTAAACAAACAGGAGATTAGCAAAGGTTCATATATGTTGTGGCCTATATCTACGCATGATATATTGAACATTCAAAAAATGAAATTAATTGTGTGAAATTTTTTATCAAATAAATGCAAAAACTGCATCATAATTTAAACTATAAACAGCAGGATACAATGAATGTGTATGCTTTCATTCAAGGACCTCTAAATCAAAGAAATTACCCAATATGTACAACAATGTTGACATATGACATCACTACAGACCGACTTTTACAAACAGCACCTGGATTTAACAAGGTTGATTCACTGATGGTACATACATAAATGTGACATGTAAGTAATCAGAAACATTCAGACAATCTGTATACTGTTATTTGTTGTTATATTTTTCACTGAAACCAATGGAAAGTCAGAAATTCCAATAAATACAGTTGTTATTGTGTGTGATTTTGCGTCAGCAACTGGTCAGTCATGGGGTCACACAGGCCGGAAACTTTGAGAATTTCTGTTGAAAATATCTAATTGTTGCAATGTATCTATTTTTAGTTCCCTAATTTTTCCTACTATTATCTTCCCATGCATATTCTGAAAATGTTGCAACGAAAATATGCAACGAATAGATGAATGGATAGCTCAAAATAGCAGAAAATGCTACACAGTGTAAAATCTGATTTTTGCTTTGTTTACATTTCAAACAAGTGCAGTTTTTCAAGCACAGCATTTGCTATCATACCTTATTTATTTTTCAGTAATTTTGCTCAGAATATAATGCCATCACAGATGATATCACAGAACAGGCAATTTCCAACAGTATTAAAAAAATGAAGAGTATCTGTGTGTGTGTGATATCTTAAAAAAATTTATTCGACTTTAAAGTGAGAGTTGAAGAGGAGGCACATATACGTCCCTCTGCTTCCAGGGGATTAAGCCCATGAACATCAGACCCTCACAAGGGAGAGAATTCTGCACAGACATTATTGAGGCATTTCTCGAGATGGCTTCCTTGTTGAGACCCAAACTCAATTAATAGTCCAGGCAATCTAGGTAATTTTCTCAGTCAACTTTGAACAAATTGCAACGGAACTTATTTCACCACAATGCATTTCTACAAGGTCCCCAAAACAACACACTAAAAGTCCCAAACAATCCCAGTTTGGGGAATATGTCTAATTTGCATAAACCTCTCACGCCCAAACCATAACCAGTTGTTTCAAAAGAAGTCGATGATGTGTTATCACCCTTATGGTTCATCTGCAGAAAATCCAAAATAACCACCAAATACCCATCTGTATTTGAAAATAAATCTGAAAAATGTTTCATCCACTGATCATTCAATCACGCGATTGTCTGACTCATGAACATTATTACGTGGTGAACAGTGAAATTTTTGTCACCGTGACTCCTGGAGATAGACATTGCAGGGTCATTATATCAAAGTGATCTTAGCGCCATGGCTATCACAAGTGTTTTGGCAACCGTCATAGCACTAAGATTGATTGATTTGCCCACATAATCACCACATAATGTAACTCTTTACATAAAAATGGAGCAACAGTCCATTTTTACCTAACATGACCTCACTAAAATGACTTACCATGGCATTTGGATCTCTGTTAAGGTCCAGCAAACAAATCACTGTAAATGGCCTTTTCGTTTCGTGGTCGAATTTCCATGGTTTATCAATGATTCCTTTAGCTGTGTAACGAACATGACCATGTTGTCCTTCAAAGGATGATGGAAGTTGAGGTGGGAGTTGAAACGCAAACGGGAAGGTGTGGCGGCCAGCAGGCAGATGGATGTCCTCCCCAGACTGCTGCTTCCCTACAAGGAACAGACATAAAAAGGACAGAAATGAAAAGTGGCACTATCCTACCCAGTGTTCTTTGAGTGAGTGAAGATGTTTTACATTGCATTCAGTTTTCCAGTAATATCACGGCGGTGGACACAAGATATGAGATTCACATTTTGTAATCATGCGAGGATGTAATATTGGTAATATTGGTATTCCCCGACATTCCGTAGTAATAAAAGTAGTCAGCTTTGGTGGGCGTGGCTTATTTTTTTTTATATTCATTGAGAAATGAATGCAATAACACGTGACCAATTCAGCTGATCAGAATGCAGGAATTTCAATGATCACAAGGAAAATATAATTATTTGCTCTTACGAGTACAAGGACCAAGACCTCAACAGCCAGCTTCTCCCGGGTCCTACCCTTGGATCCTCCCTCTTAGGCATGTTCTTGAGATTTGGACAGTACCCAGGTGATATAAAGGGTATGTTCCACCTGAAGACAAACCCATTCTCACATTCCTGTGGTGCAACTGTTAATGTGGATCCTTCAGTCCATGTTGGGCAACCTTTGCCCTACTGAAGCATGCGACTGACAATCAGCAACAGAACCCTGAAGTTTATAAGTGTGTTGGTGAAGCTTTCTACGTAGTCAACTGCCTGGATAGTCTGATGAATCCTGGCCAAGCGAAGAAACTAGTTACAGACCTGAGAAAGGTGCTTGCTGAAGGTGGCTTTGACATCCGTCAGTGGGCTTGCAACGTACCTGAGATACTAGAAGACTTGCCTGCAGAGGCCAAGTCTGATACATTCGAGCTGTGGACTGACAATGAAAGTAGTGTATCAGATCCTTGCCACACAGAATGATCCTATCAGCTACTTGACACCATTCACGTCCAGAGCCAAAATCTTGGTGCAGGATCTATGGAGATCGAAACATGAATGGGATGTTGTGATAGAAACCGGAAAACTTCATGATCAATGGAGTAAGTGGGAATCTGAACTGTGTGATATCCTTCTAGTGTGTCTACCAAGAAGCTACACATCTAGAAACCACGATCCTTCTCAGTCACAGAGACAGGTGCACATATTCTTTGATGCTTCGGAGCGTGCCCATGGTTCAGTTGCCTACTTGAGAAATGAAGATAATAACGGTAACATAGCTGTCAGTTTTGTGGCAGCAAGAAGTAGAGTGGTCCCTAAGAAGCAGCTCTCAATGCCTAGACTCTCTGCTGCCCTTACTGGTACACAGTTAGCCGCTATACTTCACAAAGAATTGAGCTTGACGATCCAAGATACCATATTGTGGAGTGACTGTCTTGACATGGCTTCAGTCAGAGTCCTGTCGGTACAAGGTGTTTGTTGGGACTCGGCTCTCTGAGATACAATCCCTGACTCCTGCAGACAGCAGGTGTTATGTGAACACAAAGGATAACCCAGCCGATGATGTCACAAGAGGTTTAACCTAGCAGGAACTCTGTGTTGCCTCCCGATGGAGGAACGGTCCTCCCTTCCTTCTAGAATCCTCTGAGAAATGGCCGACACTCATAGACAAATGTGATATACCTTATACTGCTGAGGTAGCAGATGAACTGAAGAAAAGTTTCTGTGGCAATATCTCAGCTGTAAACCTTTCTGATTGTTCTCAGTACACCAACTGGGAATCACTAGTCAAGGCTACCAAGGAGTGCCTTGACGGGGCGACCGCAAGTGATCAATTAGATAAAGTTGAATTCATAGAGAAAGCGGAAACACTGTTGTTTCAACAACTTCAGCTGGAATTCTTTCCTATTGAAATTGCATCATTAAGAGGATGAATCTAGAATATGACCCATCTGAAGGCCTGGTAAGAGTTGGTGGTAGACTGAGACAGGCTGAGGGACTCCCAGACAATCTCAAACACCCTATAGTCCTCGACCCTAAACATCCCATAACAAGACTCATCATCAAGGACTTTGATGAAAACTTTAACCATTATGGACCGGAGCGCCTCTTGGCAGAAGTTCGACGAAAGGTCTGGATACTGAAGGGATGGGAAGCAATCAGGCACCATCAGAGACTTTGTACAGCCTCTCAAAACCTCTAGGTTATGTCCCGACTGATGTGGCTGACCTTGATCATGTGACACCTAACTCCTTCCTTATTGGGAGGCTTGACCCTGCACTGCCACAGGTAGTGTACCAAGAAGAGGAGCTTTTGGGAAGGAGGCGCTGGTGGCACAGTCAGGTAGTCAGGTAGCACAGGCAATGAGATTTGTCAAGTGACTTTGCACCTCAAATTTGTAACAAAATTTTGGGGCAGCTGTGAGAAAGTGTTTGAAGCGCCTTGATTCGGATTCCGTTTCGTGATTACCTGATTCCAGTTGATTCCAAGTTTTTGTAATCTTATTTTTAGACGAATAAATGGCAACTTCCATGAGGTGTGTGATTCCTTTTGATACCTATTTGACCCTACTTTACAAATTATGTACCATGTTTATTATTCTGTCTTGTTCAAGGATCTTCACCGAAACGTTGCTAAAACAGAATGATAAAGAAGTTGTTATCCATAAATTGCTTCTACTTTGTCATCAGACAGCTTCTGAGAAATGCCTATCAAACAACTCATCGTTCAGGTTGAAAATTTGATGATACAATTTATCTGAAAATAAACCTGACTTCCACCACAATATACCAGTAGTCAACATAATAAGTACAGTGTTTCCGTTCTCCGGTAATTGCCGGCTTTTTACCGATAAAAATATCAACAAGCCGATAAATATGAACATTGTCAGCTACCATGTCCGATAAAACATTGTTTGTTTTAAGATATGATCATGTCAACAGTTACTTGCCTCATATAAATTGATAGGCTTTATTCATCAAACACAGAAACGCAAGCGTCTGTCTCGCATTCCAGGGAACCCCCCATCTATTAATAGCATGACTATCCCGCACCAATTAACGTGCTTCGCTTTGATTGGATAATATTGTCTTGATAGATGACATTGGTAATCACGTGATCTCTGACGCCTCATGGCACGAGATTAAACATGCCGAAGGCGAAGCAGACGAATCTTTCCACTTTCTTTGGGGTGGAGACGTCTAGTGCTAATCTGAAACGGAAACATGCGGCTGACGCGAGCGAATGTATTGAATCAAACACTCCCTCGACCTCGAAATCTTCGGACACAATGCCTAGCGAACCAGACTTGAAAAAGAAAACGAAATCTGTACTGCGAAAGTTTAATGCAGAGTGGTCGAATGAATTCAAGTGGCTTCGTTTTGAGGAGGAGGGCGACAAAATCACAATATTTTGCCGAATCTGCGAGGCAGCAAAAAAATCTAACGGTTTCACTAAAGGTTGTATTAATCTCAAGAAATCTGCTTTGAAAGATCATAGAGACAGCGCCTCTCATCATCAGGCCGTTACAACGATGTATCACAAAAATGCAATGGCAGCGCATATGGAGGTGGCAGCAGACAAATCTGACAAGAAATTAACAGCAATGTTAAACACAGTTTTATTCATGTCTCAAGAAAATATTGCTACCTCCAAGTTTTCTAAACTAATCAAACTGCAGTAGCGGAACGGATGTGAACATTTACAGGGAGAAACGTACACTCATTCGGACTCGATAGACGCGATGGAGAATGCACTTGTTGAGAGTACTAAAGAACATTTAAAATCTAAACTTGAAAAAAGCAAGTTTATTGGACTCATTATCGATGAGACTGTAAATATCACGGTTGAAAAAAAACTTATATTGTTTGTGAAAATCGTTAACGACGGAAAGGCAGAAACAGTGTTTTTAGGAAATTTTTCAGTTCATAGTGGTACAGCCGAATGTATCATGGAAAAAATTCTTGAAATTTTGCCTCAATGGAACATTCCTTTGGATAAAGTGGTCGGTCTAGGATCGGATGGTGCGTCTGTTATGACCGGGAAACACACAGGAGTTGGGAAGAGGTTGCAGGATCATAATTCATATCTTGTGCACGTCCATTGCATAGCCCATTGTGTCGCACTTGCTTCAGCCGATGCAGCGAAGATTTCGAAGGTCGTAGCGGACTATAGAAGGACATTGAATGATATCTACAAACTGTTTGAATATTCAGCAACGCGATACAACAGATTGCGAGAACTTTCAGAGGTCCTTGAAGATTCTGACTTTTCAAGTTTAAAACAACCATGCAGTGTTCGATGGCTTTCCATGGGACAGAACCATTTCTGGAGCCGACTCGTTCGAACAAAGTTGCAAGACAGTGATTTCTGAACTTTCAGATATTTATCCCGACTTTTCCACTCTGTGCTCGATAGCACTTGCTATCCCAGTTAGCAGCGTTGATGCTGAACGTGGATTCAGTTTGCAAAACAGGATACACTCTGCCAGTCGCAATCGTCTTTCCCAACAACGGATAAACAACCTGATGCTGTTGAATCTACACGCAGACGTCAACAATACTGTCAAACAAGCTACGAAGATCTTTCGTAGAGAAACGCAAATTTTAATAAACAAGTCAGTATGTTTTATGTTGTATTTTATTGAATTTATTAATGACTGACAAAAATCACAAATGACCGGTATTTTGGTACACTGCCGGCTCATCTGTCTGGCAGATAAAAATATGACCGGAAACACTGAAGTAACACTGGCCCAGTTCTAGTGTGGTATGTCAGTAATCACGGAACATAAGCTGAATAAAGAATGAAATATTTCCATTTGTACTGCTCTGACATTTCAATAAGAGAGTAGACTGTTCATGTCATATCTAAATTAGCCAGTGCCAGTGGTGAAAAGTCATGGCTGCACCAGTCAGCACAGCTTATTCCAGTGGGACGTCATTCACCATGGGCAGGAATCCACATTGGAACTAATTGCGTGTAAATGTCACAACATAACATGGTGGCAGCTGTGAACATAACATGACTGTTTCCATTAGTCTTCAAATCAAAGTGTACAACTACCATATTCGACGTAATAAGCGCCCAGGGCGCACTCAAAATTAGAAATAAGGGGCTCTTATTAGAATGTTATTTTGGTAAATGGTGAACGTAAATTTTGTGGTCTATGCTGACACCCTGAAATGTTTTTTATACAACAGATAACTTTTCCAGAATTTAATTGCCCATAATTAAGGGTACATATAACACACGAATGCGTATAATACACAAATAAATAAGTCTCGTGTACATTGGTCAATCGGAAGGGGTGCTAATTGGGATTGTTCACTAGCCAATATCGCCATGGGCGCTTATTACGTCGAATACGGTAATTTCTTTTTTCCCGGTACAAAACAACCTGTCTTCAAATATGTCTGTCTTATTATCATGGTTACGGACGACATGTGCTGGGATCTGTAGTGGGGTGATGAAATCTGACAAGTATCCATGAAAATATTTCCTATGGCATTTTTAGTACAATATGGCATCCATGCTAGAAATGTTGCTAAGGGGTCACTGATCACTAGTTGCCATTCCAGAATTTGCATTTTTTGTATTGTAGGGGCTGTATAAAAAGTAAATAGTCAAGTTTTCAAAAATGTTCAAAACAAGAATATTTTAAGTATGAATTCAAAATTATTACATATTTTTATTTTATCTGTTAATGTATTGTTACAAGTGAATTCCTGCTAATATTGATGTCATGTTCAAAAACAAGTTAAGTCAGGACTCACACAAGTATCATCCCAGATTTCATAACAAAAGTAAACTCCTAATGAACAAGTAGACCCAGTTAAACACATTATAAATTTACCCTTCACTAAATAGATGCACTATTTCATTATAAAGCAGCATTAGATATTGGCACTAGTCCTGTAGTCCTTGCCAAACTGCCCCATTACTTAAGGTATCATAAGGACCAGTAGAAATATGCCATTTTTAAGGGTTTTGCTACATGTTCTCATTATAAGGACTAGTGGACTGTTAATATTAGTTTCTACGGCTGTAAAGCTGTCTGAGCCACCACTGTACCAACAACAAATGAAAAATAAAGCATTGTTGAATCCTTCACTTAACCACATGGATGGCTTTTCCTTGTTTGAAACAAATCTTATCGATCGAGTGAACAAAATCAGACAACGTCTGTAATATTTTCGTGCATGTTATTATAACTACTAATGAATTTGTTTCAATTATTCAGACAACCACAGTGTTCTGTTGAGGCAGCAGCATTATGGGATTCTCGCAATATTTCATTGATTGGCGCATGATATTTACTCTCAGTGGGTAGATGGGTTTATTTTATATAATTATGGGAACCCATAACTTCTCAAAAAAGTTTACATCACATGACAGCTGCTTCTATTATTGAATGTAAACGTCGTTATTGTCTTGCCTTATGCGTCTCAATTTACTATCAGCACTTTTCATTGGCTGAAAGTCACAAATGGTCCAATCATAATCAAGTATACACATTTTTCAAATATAGTAGTCATAATTCTGATAATGCCAAAGATGTTTCTGTTTCAATTGACGCCAGTGATACACAGAATGTGTTGCTTGGCTCACCTGAGAGTGACCATGGTGTCAAGACTGCGAAAAGGCAGAAAAACCGAGAAAGATAAATATTTTCTGCGGACCTGATTTCATGACTACACATGGTTGCAGCATAACCCAGAAAGAAATACTATGTTATGTCAGCTTTGTATAAATCATGTGAAATCTAATTCAATGAAAAAGAAACATTCTAATTTCATAACGAGAACAGCAGTGATCACAAACAAAACTGTTGAGGCTGAATATATGACATCGGATGTTAATTGTTGCTGGAATAAGTAATATCTGAGAAAGATGCCCTGTGAAAATTCTGTGCATTGCTAACATTACTTGTGGACAGTGATTCTGCATCTATAACCGGCATACCATGGGGTTATAAGTTTCATATGATCTGTCAGTGTGGCCCCATCAGTTTCAAAATGGCCCCATGTAATTATGCAAAAGGGGTCCCTGTCCCCACTTTTTCAGTTTTTTGGCAGAACACTGCTGCCACAGAATATTTATTTATGTGTACAGGACGCAATATTTTGTATATTGTATATTTGTAAACATGGTAAAGCCCTGGTACTTACATCTACCAGCCAGCAAGATGTCCTGGTTGAAGTACTGTTCCCGAGCAGAGTAGTGGCGAGTCTCTGTACGTCGGTTGTCTCCAGAACCAGTTGTATGCCTCTCAGTCCAATGTACGTAGGCCTTGCCTTCAAATCGAAGACGAATTCCTGAAAAGTGTTTATGGAGATAAGAAAATGGTAGACTATTTCACTTACAACAGTGGCTTTGTGCTTGATCTCTTAACAATTCTATTGTAATGTGGCAGTAGAGATTGTTGTATGTTTATTTGTGGTCATGGTCAGTTGCCGCCAATGGTTGAAACACTTGTACAATATTGAATATTGTAGTGGTCTATCTGTACCAGAAGTGTGGTTTACTGTTACCTCCCATGGTTTTTGTAAACAAACTATTCAAATAGTTTCGGGTTGGGACAGTTTCTAGAAGGCTGGCATTACCCATACAGCCTGACTTGCATCTTATCAAGTATCTTATCAACACTTTCACAGATTTATGAATGGAGCACCTGCCATTTTAAAAGGCATTCGACAGTGGCAACTTCTTGACATCTGTTATAGAGACGGGTACTTATTGCTCCTGCCACTTATTTGTCCCATTGCAGTGTTTGTTTGTTGATTAACACCACACTCAGCAATATTCCAGCTGTATGACAGCAGTCTATAAATAATTGAGTCTGGACCAGACAATCCAGTGATTGATATCATGAGCATCAATCCATTGGGAAAGGGCTTAAAGTGGGGATGAATTCATACAAACTAACTGCTCAACAAAGTTAACTCTCATTCCAAACCTGAACATTTTTAACTGTAAGGTATCAAAGTAATGTTTGATACCTCCTACTTGTTACAGTCATTGTGTAAAATGACTGTCAATTTACAAAATGCCTAAAAATATTTTAATAACTTGATTAAAAAATCTGTCCACTTATTATTATGGTAACTAATTCCAAACACATTTTATGTTGAATTTCATCACCCAGTAACTGAAAATGATAGAGTAAGTAAAGTAAGCAAGTCAATTAATATTTTGTTAATCTTTTGGCTTCTGATCCCAGCATAATATAGTTGCTTTGAAGCTTCTCAATAATTTTTAATCAAATAAATCAAGTTGTTTAAGTTAGTTTCTAAAATGACTGAAATATTAATCATTGTGTAAATTGCCTAAGTGAATCACATTTAATACATTGACTGATTGTATACATTATATACCATAGTTCATCTCTGAGCACCTACAACTTGCTGACCAATCGCAAACTGCTGGAAAAACTATCAATAGATCTACAAGTATACATAAGTCAAGTGCACAACCGTGTATACTAGCAGTAAATTCAAGATCAGCAGTACATATGAACAATTACTGAAGATTCTGGAGGACACAATTAATTGGGAATATTGAACATTTTGTTTCACAGGGTGTCGTTTGTCATGTTGCATAATCATATTCCATTAACAGCAGAAGATGTGCACCAAAGAAAGTATTGCAAAACAGGGGTTCAGTTTCTTTGCATTCCAAGTCACACAGAACTGTTTCTAGATTGCACAACTACAATATGATATTTCAACATTTCCGAGATGACTCACATATAGGCCTAGATCTAGATAGGCCTGTCTCATCAACACTATGACCCTCTCCAATACAGTGAAGCCTTGTTAATCCATACAGGACAGTTTCCAATGAAAGTCCATATTTCAACAAATTTCCAGTTTAATGAAGCAGAGGTAGATAGAGTATCCTCAGCACAGCATTATGATGTAGACATTCCAGTCCCAAGTGTGCAGTAAATTACGCAAGGCTGTCACTAGTCTACACTTTGTGAATTTTTCACCCCTACCCCACACCCCGAACATGACAGAACGTAGACGTCTACGGGTCAGTTGATAAGAATGAACCTAACTATACCCTGCAGTTCTTTAAAGATCGAGTATTGTTTCTTTAAACCGTTATCTGCGAGTGTGAAATTCCCGCGTCAAGCCCACATAACTTAAATACGTCAGATAATACCTCTCATTTTCATAGTGTCTGTAAGTTCCACCGTGACATGGCCCTGCACGACCTGGCCTGCGTAGTAAACACCCTGCAAGTTGCTAAAGGACACCACAAAGATATTCAGCTTCCCCATGTTTGTAAACAAATTGGTTGCAGCGTTGTGATGAGCTCGACCTTGTTTGATACCCACGAAAACAGTGGCAAACCAGTAAGGCCAGGGGGCGCAACTCTTCCTGTCTCAGGGCGACATTTCGAAATAGCTGACGTGTAGTTGTAGTTAGACATGGATCGAATCCAACGTAACTCCATATCAGTTACACTTTTCTTGTGCATATTTCACATAGAATATTTTTATATGATAACAGCCATAATCAGAGGCATAAGATTCGCTGACGTCAGTAAGAGCAGAGACCTAATATACTTATGGTCTCTGGTACTTGAGTCAGTAGTAGATGTTGTAGCCTAGTTGCGATAGGCCTACTCACATACGACAACACATTAAGCCTATGTGCCCTCGATTACAGATATCATGACAATCTATGTTGTAATTCCCCAACCTCTGGTGAAGGACTTACATTCATTCATACGTCCGGAATATTTTTTTCCGCAGTGTCACTATGTTCGCAAAACTCATAGCAGACGACACAAACGAACCGAGTTACTTCCCTTTATCCAATGCATTCGGTTAAACATCGGTTCTCATTCGAGATATGTAAGTTACCTACGCTGTTTTCCGGTTGATTTCTCAGCGGGTTACATGGAAAATGATTGCCCGTTCCTTTTAGCAATCAGATTGGTTTGGTTGGTTTGTTGTTTTACGCCGCACTCAGCAATATTCCAGCTATATGTCGGCGGTCTGTAAATAAATCGAGTCTAGACCAGGCAATCGCGTGATTGACATCATGAGCATCGATCCACATAATTGGGATCAATGACATGCATCAACCAAGTCTGCGAGCCTGACCACCCGATCCTGTTAGTCGCCTTTTACGACAAGCATAGTCGCCTTTTACGGCAAGCATGGGTTGCTGAAGATCTATTCTACCCCGGATGTTCACGGGTCTAGTATTTTAATGGAAGGTTAGCTAATGGGAAATGTCTGCGAGTTTGACTCCATTCCCGTTCACGGACATCCTCGCTTCAAACCATCGTAATGAATAAAACGAAACAATGCACGTCTAAACTATCGACTCGATCAACCTGTGGACTCTCGTCAATATCTATTTGACACATCTATTTAATAACCTTTCAATTGATCACTAATGACAAACACTTATAAATTAAATTTAATTGCCACAACAACTTCAGAACTCTCTTCCGTCACGTTTATCATATCAGCCATTTTGTCCTTGTACTTTCAAGAGCTTTCGACGCGCTGTCACCGTGACTGACTTACTGATCATGAAGTAGTTCTTATTGACAGTCCTTTCTCCCCCAATGATGATATTATTTGAATATACTTGTTGCAACCAAACTACAAAAGCTGTTGCTTGAGAGAAATGTCAGCATACATACGGCACCGACCATGTCACCTCTCTTTCTGAGAAACTATTTTATTTAAATAAACGACGAGTGAGATTTGTTTTAAACAAGGAAACTCCCACCTATGTAGTTACTGTAAAGGTTCAATGATGTAAGAACTTACACTATCGACTAGAAACTATAGTCCTTGGAATTGCTTTGAAACATTTTTCCCTAAATGTCCCGAAATATTTCCAATTTTGGTAACCACCAGTTATGGAAATGTATTTGAGAACGTTGACGTAGCAGCTCGCGATGTAAATTCCACTACCCGTGGCTGCCAAGACACATCCTGCCACTACCAACCTATAGTCACAGGAGACTTCTCTATTGTTTACAAGCACAACCTTCGTTAGATATTCAAAAATGGACTAGCATTTTGTGAGCAGCCTCCTACAAGTTTGGGACGCTCATTGTGGATGCTGTCCAAATGGCCCAAACGAGAAGATAAACCTGTTGAATGACTTCGGCGTGGGGTTCAGTCAGTGTCGGTTACAAAATTGGAATAAAGTCATTCTGTCCCAGCCAGCTGTCATCCAAAGTCTGGCTGCCCTACATGAAAAGTTTGTAGTTGTTCCTACTGACAAGGCACCAAATGATATCACCATTATATGTAAGCATCACTACAAAGAACTTGGCATAAGTGACATATCAAATAATACCACATGTAAGGCCAGTTTGTTAACAGAGAAAGAAATATGCCCAAACCATTTGTCAGACTGAGTACTATCGACTTTTGACTTGAATCTAAAACCTAAAGACATGCCCATTCCTCTTGTGTACTGGATTATAAAGTTTAATAAAAACAATAACAATCCCTACAAAAAGATACATGTTGCTGGGTCCAGAAAATGTACTGTCTAATCCCCATCTCAAAGATTAACCAAAACTTTTATACATCAAGTAAGGACTTTCTCTATATTCACAGAACGTACTTGAGTAAAGTGGAATCAATACCAAGTGGATTCTCAAAACCTCAAAGGATTTGCATGAATGTTTGCAATCTCAGAAATGTACCAAGTTCAATTATGTCAAAACATTTGATTTTAAAACAATTGTACCCCACAATCCCACACGACCAACGTAAGAAACACTTCACTTTGATCTGTGGGATATGTGCTACGTATACTGCTGACCATAGATATAGTTCCATCTTCATAGGTTCAGGACAATTTGTCAAGAATGAAAGCAAATCTCATCTGAAATTTCCCAACAACACAATATGGACTTACTGGAAACGCTGTACTTGCTAACAGATAACATCTATAGGAAATGTGGGGATAAGACATTTAGGCAAGAAATATGTATCCACATAGGCACCAATTGTATTTCCCTTGTGGCTGATTGGTGATCTGTTTTGTATGCACGTGAATGTCTTCTCGAATTGGGAAAATCGAAACACGGGACTTTGCCAAGAAGTTGCACTTAATCACGATGGGGGTAGCGGTATCGTCCAATGATAGTCAAATAGCCAATTTACTTCTACTGGTTCACAGATTCAATTATTTACAGACCGCCGTTATATAGCTGGAATATTGCTGGGTGCGGCGTTTAACAAACAAACAAACAAACGTAGTCCATGAAGGCGGTGATCTTAGGTCCTGCAGGGCTATCGGCAACCGTCACCAACCTCACCTCTTCTACCTCCCCGATTGACACAAGGGGAAGGGCAGGGCAGCGACACGCCTACCTACCCCCTTCACCACAGGGTCGCCCTTGTAGGCGATGCAACTGTAAACACAGTCAATTACTCTTTTATAGTTTTGATCTTCTTAAGCTTTATCTGTAAACACATCAACATCGTGTGTAGACTCACTAGCTACTACTGTAAACACAGTCAATAACTCTGAATAACTCCTTTATATCATCAAGTGTATTTCTACTATGTATTTCGGTGTGCCTCGTTGATAGCATAAAACGGTACGCATTCACGGTTCACCGCACTCACGTGTAATCCGTCGATTTGGCACTCCCGGAACCAAGAGCAGAATCTCTCCCGGGAGTATCTGAGATTCAGATTTGGCGTTCCCAGCCCATAACCGTGTGTGTGTGTGTGTGTGTGTGTGTGTGTGTGTGTGTGTGTGTGTGTGTGTGTGTGTACTGAGATATCATGTCGGAGCTTAATGCCGAGCGCCAGGCAGGGTACCAACAAGTACCATCTTTTAACGTCTTTTGGTATGACGAGGCCTGGGATCAAACCCCGGACCTTCTGCTGTCCGGGCGGACGCTCTACCACTAGACCACGGAGACGGTTAATTCTGTAATGAATCCGGCCGTAAAGTAGTTGAGTAGAGAAGTGACTTGGCATTAAGTCACTGTATACATCAGATCCCTCCCGCATGCTATTGCATATCACAACAGTATTTTTTTAAGACAGGTTAAGATGTTATGTGTGCACTTTGATTTTAAGACAGATGGAAACTTCCACGTTATGTCCACAACTGCCTACATGTCATGAAGCTAGTTCCTACATTGATTCCTGCCTGTGCTGAAAAAGTCCCATTGGACCGAGCCGAGCTGACTGGTGCGGCCATGACATTGACATTTTACCAGTGACACAAGCTAATTTGCATATCACGTACATGACCAGACTACTCTCTTGATGCACATTCCCATTTTGACTTGAACAATGTGTTCCCATGTTTTTTCCAGGTGAATAATTGACTTGCCTTTGCATGTGGTTGTGACGGGTGTAACCGGTGGGACAGGATGCATGGGACATTGCTCATTAACATATCATCAATCACTAGTTTGTCTGGTCCAGACTCGATTTTGTACTGGCCGTCGACATTTAGCTGGAAGATTGCTGAGTTTACCAATGATCACCAACAATCCATGCCGGTTGTAGGAAGCGACAACTGCGAGGCTAGCTAACTTGCATGTCATCGTATCCCAATTGAGTAGATCAATGTTCATGATGCCAATCACTGGATTGTCTGGTCCAGACTCGATTCTTAACAGACGGTTGTCATTTTGATGGGATACTGATTAATGAGACATTAAACAACAAAATACCAAACATGATCAACTGAAGAGTTATTTATCGTTACACACTCTGCCAAACATCCTTAATTAAAGGTTTATATTTGCATTGATTGGCTTACTGCTTGACTGATCTGAATAATCAAAATATATATGTATTAAAATTATACTATGCAATTAAAACAGGGGATATTTTGTTTTGAGGTGAAACGACAGGATAATACACCAATGTCATTACACATTTCCGAAGAAATCAAACTCTCAAACACTGCATTGTATTGCGACAGTCATGCAGCTCGTGACCTCTGACAGCACGTGCAACGGGTGGTATGCCAGATTTACCATTGTTACTCAGACTCGGTTGTGAGCAGACGCTTATTGTTTGTTTTGGGAACCGAACGCTCAAAGACACTTCATCAAACACGATTTATCTTAAAGGACGTAACAGATTTGATCATGCGACGTTTGCAACGAGCTGACTGTTTACCTGCCTTAGGCATGTTGCAGGAGGGTAGACGTCAGAATAATGTTGCCCAAACGCTGCATGTTTCTCTTCTGTCAGATCATCAGATTGTGGGTCCGATACCACCAAACACATTACGCGATGATCGACGCCGATCTTGACGCCCAAGGGCAACAACTCCACCCCAACTACAACAGATTAGTCAGAGCGATGGCATTAAGAAATCGGTTGCAAACTGCCACTCAGATAAGGTTGCAACAGGAATCCCCAACTTACTGTACGTCATTTGAATCAGAAGCGTCAGTGGTGTAGGGGGCTGGGATCATCGACGTTGGACGTTGACGAAGCAAGGATCACTCTCGACTTCCATGGCCGAAGGAATTGAGCTTGAGACGTCCTAATGAGCGTTTTGTGGACGTTAACGCCGTGCAGTATGGTCGTTTTGGGGATGTGACCATAATGTTATGGGGTAGATCAGAAGCTGTGTCTTGATGATTCCTACTGTTCTCTACTTTTTGGTCATAGTATATTTGCCTTATTTATGTATGTGAATTCTCAACCCAGTTTAAACGCGGAACGTTAGTGACACTTGCACAAGATAGTGTTGAATCACGTTCAGACTTATCTACCAGATATTTTGCAAAATGTATTACCTTGACCTACGATTTATGGATGTACACGCACGAAGCGAGATAGGTCACATTACATATACTACAAAAGGTACTTCACCACAAGCGTGAAATGGATTTGGAGATTGACAAGGAATATGCTAAGAGTGAAGAAGAGGGGTGTGAAACTGTGACAAAGGAAGGCGACGTTAACACTGCGGATAACCACTTAGCATCATCCTGCATGGATCTGCTAAGCACCACCACCCAGCACTTGAATGAAACAAGGTTTGCATTCTTATCGTTCATGCACGTTGCAATACAAGTGAAATAATTTGATCGCCATGTTATACCCACTTTCACTTCACCACCTGATAAGAATCTTTATTAATAACTAATTGAAATCAACGGAAAGCAATGAAGCAATTAAATGTGCTTACTCTGATTACAGAAAGTTAATTTCATATCTTGAGACAACCATGTTGGCGGATAAAGGTCAACTTTACTTCTCGAATGCATATGATAAGGTTATTATAATAACATATTCAGAGTAATTCGCTGTGTATTGTTGCGTCCCTTGGGCACGCCATAAACAAATGATTGTGGGTTCGATACCCGCGTTGCCCTGATTATGATTCTAGGTTTGTCACCACCATACCCGTGCTCGTGTACTTCGCCAAAGTAGTAAACGTCAGAGACCTGCATCCTTTGTACTTTCCTCCCACAGCGATAACTGAAATGCTGTTAAAAGCGACGTCAACCCGAACTCACCAACTCAATCCTATACAGAACTCTTCGTTTTCGATATAAAGAAATCAGATACGCTTCCCTGAATGCTTTGCTTGCTCTTTTCGAAAATTATGAAGCCTCAACGCTCATTGGCTAAACTGGGTTATCATATCGTCGTGCAGATATTTATCGAAGTAAAATATCTGATTTTAATTAGATCACAAATATTTTGTGAGTTTTTGTAAAATTCGGCAATAAGAGATTGAATTATTGGTGCATGTGTCAAATATATGTTCACTGAAAGTATCATTTATCTGTACCACAAACGTATAATCACCGCAATACAAAAGTATTGCAAATGTCACTTTCAGTGATATTGGTTTCAGAAAGACCCCGCCCTCAGCCATGAAGTATGAAAGCAGCAGCAGCAGCAACAGCAAGAAACTTGTTGTGTTTATAGGTGCCTCCTACAACACATTTGTGGTACTTGGATTTCCGTTCGCTATTGGCGCCCTCTACACAGAGATACTGGATACATTTAATTCGTCGAGAAGAGAGACATCTCTGGTGCCAGCGTTTTGCGTAGGATGCACGTTTGGCGTTGGTAAATATTTTTGATATAATAGAAGCAGAAACGAATAACATGTATCTAGTCTGGTCACATTCCAAGGTACTTCTTATTATTCTTTTAGAATGACATTCGAGTTTATTTGGGGGAAAAAAAACAATGAAAACCTTTGACTATACACAAAGAAAAAGTTAAGCACACCCCTATTTCTGAACCATGACAAATGGCAAAAATCATGGCATGGGATGACTGACCACAGGAACTGGGCGATACCAATGTCATCGGATAGCACAAACATTTGACAACAACTAAAGAAGATATTGCTGAGTAGTGATAGAAATTTACTGACAAAAACATCATGGTAACACAGGTACTGTTTTTGACCTCAGACAATACCCAAAACAGTATGGAGCTGCAGGTTTAAGTAAACGAATTACGTTTGATGTTTTATGTGAAAATGTTCTTTAAAGTCTCTACTTGACATGACACGTGAGACATCAAATTTGGGCTCATTGCTGACCAGGGTAGAGTCGTTATTGCATTGGCCTTCATGTAATCCACGACTCCATGCGAACGATGAGGCCTGGCATTGTCATGCATGTGCTGAGGTCGAGTAGCAAGAGGGTGGTTGTCAAAATGAGAAACGACAACTGGCCTCAAAACGTCCCGGATGTACTGAATCCCTGTTAAGTTGCCCCTTATGGTGACCAAATCCAACATGCAATCATGAGAGATACACCCCAAAACCATTACCGATCCCCCGCCGTATGCAACAGTCGGTTTAATGTTGCTAGGGGTGTAGGCCGTGTTTCGGTGCCTCCAAACTCTCGCTCTTCCATCTGTGACGTGGAGCAGGAAGCGACTTTCGTCTGACCAATGGATCCGTCTCCATGTTCTCTGATTCCAGTTCTGTTGCGCAATACACCATGCTAAACGAGCAGCTTTATGGTGATCTCTCAACAAGGGACGCTTTATGACTCGTCTGGCCCTCAGTCCTGCTGCTTTCAGCTGTTTCCTGACGGTTCTGGTGCTGAAACGACGATTGGGCAACCACAGCTGTTTCAGACGAGTACTTGTTAAAAAGGGTTCTCTACGTATAAGACGACTAAGGTCCCGTCTTCGTTAATGTGTCGTCACAGGAGGACTTCTGGATCTGGGACGGTCCTGCACTTCACCAGTCTGTGCATGTTTCTCGACTAAACGGCTTACGACAGTGTGATCATACCCGAAATTCCGACCAATATCATAACAAGACATTCCTGCGTTATGCATGCCGATTATTTGCCATCTTGTGACGCCTTCGTGCCATGGTCACACACTGTCATGGTATAAGTGTTTAAAACCGAGCTTAAGAAAGCACTTTTATCTTTTGGATATACTGCTTTTAGAGATACTCGAGGGTAGCATGCTGCACGGGCATACCATGCGTGGCACGTGAGCTTTCGTCACGCATGACTGATTACATCATCTCAAGAAAACAGTTCTTCCCGTAATTTTATCTTTCATGACTGTTACAAATATTGGGACCAAACAATAATGAAATAAATTAGGGTGTGCTTAACTTTTTTCTTTGTGTATATAAGTTTTGTTTAAAACGTTATCACTTTGAGGTCCAGGGTCATGATAATGATAATGCTAATGATAATAATGCATCGAGTTAATGTGCAGTGTGTAGGGAAGAGCATCAAACCTGCAGACTCCTACGCTTGGATGAAGTCGGCTGGCCTGAAAAGTAAAACAGTTGGCTTTCTTTTTGCTGCTCAGGACCAGTCACTTACCACCCGAAACCGTCAATGTGTGATTTTTTAAAAGGTGCAATGAATTTAATGAGACTGTCCAACACATTGTCAGTGGGTGCCCAGCTTTGGAACAAACACAGTATTTTAAGCGACATGATGGAGGGGCTCGATGATTTTATTACCGTCTGCGCCATTCGCATGGTTTTGACACAGAGGTCCATTCATGGTACGCCCCGGAATATGTAGAGGGCGTCATGGAAAATGATAAATTCAAAATTGTTTGGAATAGGCTCGTTTACAGCCTCAGGCATATCCAGGTCAACAAACCTGATCTTGTCCTTTTTGAAAATGCAATGGTATCATTTATATCATTGAATTTTCTGTCCCTTTTGACACTAATGTGATTGACAAGATTCAGGATAAACATGGTAAATATGCGGAAATCGCTTTCGAAATGTCACGCATGCATCCCAAGTACCAAGTTGTCCGACTCCCCATTGTTCTCGGTGCCTTAGGTTTGGTACCTCCCAATTTGTTGACTGACAGTACCCGGGTTTGCTACCAGGAATACAGCCCTTCTGACAATCTGGGTAATGCAGAAGGCTGCAGTGTTAGGGAATCTTCACATTCCCCGAAAGGTTCTGGGTTCGTTTGACGGGCAGCGCTTCCTGAGAGAAGTCCCATTCGCTGTCTGGCCTGAGTGTAGAAGGGAAAGGGCCCTGAGCTGATGATGAGGAGCCTAACCAGCCTGACTGTGCCAGGATCACCCAAACCCTCTTTGCTGCCTTTTTTTATTTTTATCTGTAAATAATAACAACAACTTAACTTTATTTCTGCCCTGTGCCCTTTGCACAGGATCACATGCCGCCACAGCGCTAAGACGATCCTCAACATAACATCCAAAGATAGGCTTTCGATGTTAACAAACAACGGATAAGTCGAGATATACAGGACTTCGAGTTAACGATGCTAACAAAAAAACGGATAAGTCAAGTTGTACAGGACTTCCAGTTAACGATGTTAACAAAAAAACCGGATAAGTCGAGATATACAAATCTTCGAGTAACCAAAGTTAACACACAACGGAAAAATCGATATATGTTTTTTGCTAACATCGTTAACTCGAAGCCCTGTATATCTCGATTTATCCGTTGTATGACAACTTTGTTTACGTGAAGTGTTGTATATCTCGATTTATCCGTTGTGTGTTAACATCGTTACTTCGGGGTAACGATGTTAACAAACAACGGATAAGTCGAGAAATGCAGGACTTTGAGTTAACAAAGTCAAGATAGGAGAAGTCGAGATATACAGGACTTCGAGTTAACAAAGTTGAGAAAGGAGAAGTCGAGATATACAGGACTTCGAGTTAAGGATTTGTTCATTTTCTCAGGTTTCCTGAGTGGGCTGTTCATCAAGAGAAGTGGAATGAAGACCGTGCTGACTGCGGGAGGATTTGTCAGCTCATTAGGGTTATTCTCAAGCTGGTTTGCTCAGTCGGTTGTGCATCTGATAGTTACTGTTGGGGTGTTAAATGGTGAGTCACTGTGCTATCCTCGTGACATGTTTATGGTTGATATGTTGTGATATCGTATGGGTACTATGTTTCCAAGAGGTTATTCAGCATTAACTACCTGTCTTTCAATGTATTTCCTAACAAATTGGACATGAAGGACGCAATATGTTAATTTTTTTTCTTTTTTCTTGTTTGACGCCTCATTTAGCAATAATCCAGCTTATATGACGACGGGCGGTAGATAATGGAACAAAGGACCAGACAAAATCCAGTGGTCGATATTGTGAGCAACGAACGTTACCAAACATGTCACGGAGCCTGACCACAAGAGGGGGGACGGGGGATTCGCTTGTTTGCATGTTCGATCTTGGCATTTGTACTCTACATGTCAATCAGCCCCGTGAAGATGCCGGGTTAAAATAGGTCCCCATCAATCCATGCTTGTCGGAAGTCATCCTATTCCAAATGCATAGTACGATTCTCGTGATGTCATTCACTTGATTGTCTGGTTCAGACCTGGTTATTTACAGCCCGCCATCATATAGCTGGCATATTGCTGAGAGCGACGTTAAACAACAAACTGCATGCGTAAACAAATAAATAGAAAAAGCCATGTCAATCACATTTACGGCTGAATGTGTCGGGATAGTGGAGTGATGTCGCTTTGTATATTACCGAAGCGTTACGAAATTACTCGTCCAGGATGTTGCGGACTTGTTGGGTGGCTCCACTGCAGATAGGATTGATAGAGTATTTTAGGCATTGTAGCTATTGTTGTCATCTTTTCTTGATAAGATCAATAAATTATCCTACGAACAAATAATCCACGTATTGTTGCCTGAAGTAAAGCTCCTAGTTTACAGCAACCTCATGTGTTTCAGGAATTGGAAACAGCTTCATATTCATGTCCACCACAACACTGGTTGCAGATACGTTCAACAGTCGCGGACGTCGAAGTCTTGCACTGGCAGGAATTATGTTTAGTGGTGGAATCGGAACTATTCTATTCTCATACATACTCACTGCACTCAACAGTGTGTACGGATGGCGAGGAACGTTTCTCTTTATCAGTTGCTTTTATCTTCAAATCATCGTTTCAGCATCAGTCACAACATCCAGTGCTGGGAATCTCCAATTCTTCAGAAGGCAGCAGCCTAAAGATGACAAAACAGGAAAGGACTATAAACCCAAGTGGAAGCAACTCTTGAAGCCTGTTTTCATATCCTTCGTTATAACATCCTGTTTATCCTTTGGAACAGGAAACAACACCAGTGGTATTTTATCAGATTTGGCTAAAAGTAGATGATTCTCGGAGGAAAGAGGACTTGCACTCATTCTTTACTTCAACTCGGTCAACACAATGTCTCGACTGTTAAGTGGCATTCTGAAGACGATACCTGGACTCCACAGTATCGTCATATTCACAATGGCCGCGGCTCTTCTTGGTAGGTTTCGAAAGGTTTAACTTATCTTGGAACAAGAATTCAAAAATATACTGAACAGCAAAAGAAACGTCACCCAAAGTAACATTGCATGAAAAGTTGTCATTTAAATACCTGGGTAATTTTTGTCAAAGTTTCTAAAAAATTAACATTACCTTGTCCGGAAAAATGAAATTTGATGATAAAAAACAAAGAAGATCGCAGATCGCCGAAACGCATAACGGCAAAGGCCATGGTTACCTGATGCACGTGAGTTCCGTGCAAATGGAAATGCACATGCGTTCCCCCATTTCTTGCCCTATAAAAATCTACACAGATGGGATAACATTCATTCATTATTGAATTGCTACCACATGCTAAGATTGACAAGAAATCAGCGACACCAAGCCCTTGGACGATTGCAAGCTGGATAAACCGCCCGGCAAGTAGCCAATGCATTTCAAGTCCACGGAAGGACCATATACAGGTTCCAGCAACGGTACCAGACCACCAACACTGCAGATGACCGACCACGTAGCGGAAGACCAAGGGTCACCACCCGACGTCAGGATCGTCAGATTGTGCGACAGCATCTTTAAGATCGCTTTGTTACTGCTGCGGAAACTGCTCGACTGCTCGACAGACCATGGGTACACACAAGCGATACCGTGCGTCGACGATTGACGAGCAGACACCTCCACTGTCACAGGCCACACCGAGGACCCATTCTGACACCACGTCATCGCCGTGACCGTCTTCAGTGGGCAACACAGCACCAGCATTGCCGCCACCAGCAGTGGAGAAGAGTCCTCTTCTCAGACGAGAGCCGTTACTGTATCTCAACAGTAGATGCAGAGAGAGTGAGTCTGGCCGTAGGGAACGTTTTTCGGATGCTTGTGTTGTTGAGAGAGACTCGTGGGTGATCCGAGCATCATGATGTGGGGTTGAATTGGTCTTGCATGGAGGGTCGGCCCTGTGGTCTTCCAGAACATCGGTCCAGGGAGAGGCAATGGTGTCACAGCAGCTTGGTACATTGATCATGTCTTGAGACCACACGCCATACCTCATTTGGCACGTCGCCGCAACCACGAGTTTCAGTATGATAACGCCCGTACCCAAACTGCGAGAGCAACAAAAGACTTCCTATAGCAGAATGGCATCAGAACCATGCAGTGGCCTGCCCGCAGTCCCGATTTAAATCTTATTGAGCACCTGTGGGACGAGATTCAAAAACGGTTGAATGACGTCCGACCAAGGCCGACAACTGCAGCTGAACTTCGTCAGGCGTTCCTCAGAGTGTGGGCTCAAGTGCCTATGGCCTTCATCAACCGCCTCATCCTTTCCATGTATCGACGTTGCACGGCAGTCATCAATGCACATGGCGGACACACGAGATACTTGTGATGCCATTTTCTCAGAGAACATTTGACACTTTAATTTCAACCTTGATGATCAGTTTTGCCAAGTTTCATCTTTTTAATATGTCTCAAAGTATGTTTACAGTGTTAAGACAAATAAGGTTTCTCATATATCTATCCATGGTGACGTTTCTTTTGCGGTTCAGTATATAAAGTTTTAGCTTGACGTAAGACGAAATACACACGTTTGTTTGTTTGCTTGTTTGTTCGTTTAACGCCGAACTCAGCAATATTCCTGTTATATGACGGCGGTCTGCAAATAATCTAGTCTGGACCAGATAATCCAGTGATTCACATCATGAGCATCGATCAAAGCATTTGGGATACGATGACCTGCTTCAACCTAGTCAAGGAGCCTGACCACCCGATCCTGTTAGTCGCCTCTTATGACAAGCATAGTCGCCTATTATGGCAAGCATGGGTTGCTGAAGACCTATTCTACCCCGGATCTTCACGGGTCGTAGATCGTAGACCATTTTGTGCATGGTTATCATGCCTTACCAAAGGTCACAGTCTGTGGTGTTCCCACCTATACTGAATTAAGGTCCCTTAGAGCACTAGGCAACCCGTGAACCCAGTAGGTCTAGAATTCCTCATGTATTGTGGAATGTGTCACTTTTGTTAGGTCATTATATATTCAATTGATTACTTATGACACATTCCTGTTTTTTCCTCACAGCAAATGCTTACTGTTATCAAATGATATTTACAGGAGTTTCATTGATATTTCTTGGAGCCTCTTCCGACTGGGTGCCGTTAGCAGTGTTGACATCGACAGCTGGTGCTGGTATGGGAGGGATGCAAGCCATGCTTCCTGTCGTGTCAGTGGAGGTTCTTGCGCTGGAGATGCTACCTATCGGTCTCGGCCTCTGTGGGATGATGAATGGTGCTGTCACTCCAATTTTCGGGACAGTTATGGGTAGGTTACTTGCAATATATAATAGCAATATAGGAGTTATTCGTGCATTATAAGGTAGTTGTTTTGATTTTTTGTTATTCTGGCAGTATTCGTGAAAGATTAATCAAATTGGTACAAATTGACACAAAGGCCCCATTCAAAAATGGGACCTTAGAGCTGCGGCTGTCTTAAGTCAGTGTGATATGGGATCGTTTTTAGGTTCAAATATGTGTGTATCAGATCTAGGAACAATACCGTGTACATTCAGGTGAGTAGTTTCAGGGGGAGTAATTTTTCAGTTTCCCGGGATGTACTAAAACGTGGAAAGAAAATCCGGGTGACACAAGTCGTGAACATTCGCCGGCTTTCTGGAAACTCGCGATCACGGGTACCGTATGGACAGACCAAGGAACATAATCTGTTGGAATTGACAATCACTGGACTCTGGCATGGATAAGGGGCGCAACTCTGCACATGTCATTGTCTTGCCCTTGACAGCTGGTCCATCTGTGACTCTAGTCTGCCATACAGCCCATGCAAGTCTATAATGTTTGGCAAGTCTAGATTACTGCAGGATCAGGGTTTGTACAAATCTGCTGAATTCACAAGCCAGCACAGAGCACGTAATTATCAGTCAATCTCTTGCTGCCATTAGTGTTTAGTATTAGCACATGAAAAGCCTCCCACCACCACCACTTCCCAACACCCGACACTGAGCCAAAACTGCTCCTGCTCTTGCCCCTTCCTTAGTACAGTCTCTGAAACAAATATATCCAATACAGCCCATGCAAGTCTGTAATGTTTGGCAAGTCCAGATTACTGCAGTATCTGAAAATGAAGAAAATCCCTAGGCTCCTTCTAATTATATAATTTAACAACTGTTTTTTCGGTAAAATATGTTCATTTCAGAGACTACATGTTAGTCTACTGTGACTTCTGTAAGTAGGAATATGCACGTGTGTTTGTGGTGGGTGGAGCAGGATTGTCGCGGACACCATGCTTATGATGAAGGCGGAATGGTGCAAATGAGAAATTTCTTATGATTACGGTAAGGGTTTTGACTCTATTATTTCTATTTTTGTGCATAACTGTATTGCAAAGTCATTATTCTGTTTCAGGTTTGATGTTTGATAACAGCGGATCGTATGAAGTCCCGTTCTATGTCAGTGGGAGCATTGCCGCTGGAGCAGCTGCGTTGACGATGATTGTGTTTACAATATTGGAATGTCGGTGTAACAAACAGCGTAGTCATTCTGTGATAAGACTGTAGTAGCAGAAATTCTTTGGCAATTGACAATGAAAGTTTTAAGTACACCTGAACCCCGTTGTCTCGAACTCGGAAGTGTCGAATTCCCGGTTGTGTCGGTCCCGGTTAGGTAAAGTATTAAATGGTCGAGTCGGATGAGTCGAACCCCGGATAAATCGAACTAGTTCTGGGGCGGTCGGCTAGCCTAGTGGTTAAAGCGTTGGCTCGTCACGCAGAAGATCCGGGTTCGATTCCCGACATGTGTGAAGCCCATTTCTGGTGTCCCCCGCCGTGATATTGCTGGAATAATGCTAAAAGCGGCGTAAAACCATACTCACTCACCCACTCGAACTGGTTCTCTAGTCCTCCAGGAGTTTGTGACAACATGATTCGACTGTAATTTATAACTCTTCCTTTAAAACTGACGTTTGTGCCAACTAGTGAGGACCAGATGTTGCAATGTGACCTGGCTGATTGTGTCATCGTTGCTCATGCTGGTAACTACTTATGTATACTGATGAACTTTCAAATCCCTGACAAAACCATTTAAAACGTCCTTACTTTCTCTTGATGATGAATTGCTCCAATGCATTGACGTTTGAAAACCTGTAGGCATTGCTAGATCTCCCGCAGCTATGTAGGCTCATACTTTACCTTGGCGCCTAGAAAAGTGCAGCTTTGTTTTCGAAATGTATGGATAAACTTTAAACTAAAAAATTACCACGATTGACGAAACATTCCATGCATGTGACTGCATGTGGCCATAGTTATAGATATAATCAAGTATTATCACTCTTCTTGGCTGATGAAGAAAATGAAAGAAAAGGTATTATACTTTGACAAAAAAGAGGTCATTAACACTCGAGTGAATAAGGTAGGTCTGTGAGGTGTGCCTCCTTTAAAGACCACCACTTGCATCCAGTGAATAAATCACGGTTTGTATAAACGTTTCGTTTGATGTAATGCCAGGAACTGTGGCCTGGAAATATAGAATTCCAGATTCATATATACTTCGTTTTGTTTCAGTTCGTAAATTTTAGGGGCGGTTTGGTAGGCAGGGGGTAAACTATTGGTCCTCCCTCCTCACTCACTCTGACAGCGAAGGGTTGAGAGAGGAGGCCGGATCAAATTATTCTGATTCGTATTGTTACGTGTCGATTCCTAAATTGAAACAATATGTTAACAATATGTGTGAAACCAACAAACAACCAACAAGCTGTTTACAATCAACAAATGTATTACAAAATTCACTAAGTTTACAAGTTACTGCACAGCAATTACAAAGGCAGTACACCATAAAGCGGTAGTACAATATTAAATGACAGTATATAATATGCTGGCATCGCTGCCTACAGTGTGGGCGCGGCCATTACAAGTATCTTGAAATTTGCCCTCCAGCCCCAAATGTAGTGACGTTTATATTTTTGTCTATGTCCTTGGGAATGCCATCACAGTTAATTTTGAAAATGATTACGACTGACCATATATCCCAGATGAATTTACTTTTTTGTTTGTATAATCCGATTGGTTCGAGATTGCAGACGAACGGAAAATCAACCAACGTCTTCCTTACATTCTTACTATGCCAATAACATGATAGTTGTACTGAAACAGAAATTCAAACTGACAAACAAAGAAAAGAATTAACCAAGGGTAAGAGTATTCGGCGTCATGGTAGTCCTCACTTGTTTGTAAACATAACGGTCAGTCGGTTGCGAGTTTAACTCCAAGCACATTTGGGAGTTTTGACTGGTGGCAGTGATAGTATAGAGACCTCCACGAACGGGCTATCGCTGTGACTTCCTAACGACTGATCACTGTCCAAATTCAATGCAATGAGCGTCTACCGACTCCCAACAGAAACAATGCAACACAGCTCCAATAACTGTTAAACAATAAAATACACTGCCATAAAACAGACTCTACATATAGATATAGACTGACTGACAGTCTGTGTCTTGCAAGAATGTTGTATAAGCACCTTAATTACTCATGGCGTCGAATAAACGGAAAGAAAAGAAAAAAATAAAGTGGGGTTGCTCTTATTACTACGGAAGCGTAGTAGGGACAGGGTGAAATTTAAGTCCTACGGAGGAGATACTGAGTCCTACGTTGGAGATAGTAATTCTTGGCCATACTAAGTCCTACGTAGAAAATACTAAGTCCTACGTAGAAGATACTAAGTCCTACGTACGAGATATTAAGTCCTACGTAGAAGATACTAAGTCCTACGTAAGAGATACTTAGTCCTACGTAGGAGATACTGAGTCCTACGTAAGAGATAGTAAGTCCTACGTAGGAGATACTAAGTCCTACGTAGGAGATACTGAGTCCTACGTAGGAGATAGTAAGTCCTACGTAGGAGATACTGAGTCCTACGTAGGAGATACTAAGTCCTACGAACGAGATATTAAGTCCTACGTAGAAGATACTGAGTCCTACGTAGGAGATAGTAAGTCCTACGTAGGAGATACTGAGTCCTACGTAGAAGATACTAAGTCCTACGTAGGAGATACTGAGTCCTACGTAGAAGATACTAAGTCCTACGTAGGAGATAGTAAGTTCTAGGTAGGAGATACTAAGTCCTACGTACGAGATATTAAGTCCTTCGTAGGAGATACTTAGACAAAAAAATTCACCGTGGCACCACTACGCTTCCCAATATTACAGATTTTATACATGCACTAATTTTGGACACTTTAAACCCCGTTTCATCTTGCCTGTCCTGTGCTGTGATTATCGTAACTACAACATCTACCACTGATACCTACTGACGTTAGATAACCTTCTACCACTGATTATGATCGAATGCCATTACACAAAAAAATCGATGTGAAATATGCAAAAAAAGAGAAACTGATCTTTTACCTACAAGTCGCTCTGAGACAGGAAGAGTTGTGTCCCCTATCAAACAAGGTTGAGCTGATCGCATTCAGTCGATCTGTTCACTCATGGGGAAGCTGAACATCTTTGTGGTGTCCTTTAGCAACTTGCAGGGTGTTTACTACGCAGGCCAGCTCGTGCAGGGCCATGTCACGGTGGAACTCACAGACACTATGAAAATGAGAGGTATTATCTTACGTATTTACATTATGCACGGACCAAAATAGCTGGTGTTTCAGGTGCGTTGTTTATGTGGGCCTGACAGGAATTCGACATTCCACACTAAAGGGTAAAGTAATATTATCAACTGATGGATAGACGTTACGGTGGAAGATAGTCTAGTAGATAATCTAGAAAACACGTGTAACAGACCGATCAGTGTCAGCAAGTCTGAAGGCCGAGCGCGATTTGCGGAATGTCAGAATTACTTCCGGGTTCAAGCGATAGCTGTGTACAGTTTGTGCTCACACGCGACATATAGACCTTTATAACCCACGTGGTGGAGATACAGGTGGTAAGATACTAAATCCGTACATCACACATGTGTCGTACAAGGTTGACCTTGTTTTATTCGTTTTGATTGGATAACTGTGACCTCTGTCACATCGGGACTACTTTTTTCATTCATAAAAAATCACTAGACGTCATTCATTTTGCAACTACAAGACAGAGCTGAAACAATCTCATGAGAGCGAGAGATATTTACAAACACTTTATAGTCACACGCATCAAATTCGGTTTGTATTCCATATAAGTTATGCACATACATTATATAATCGAGCTATATCCATTTACAATGTACGACTACCGATCAAGGGTCCGGATGAGCCATTCGTCACCACTCGTCCCTTTCCGTAACCTGCAAGAAGACTCGTCCCCCAATCGATGAATGCTTTGTGCGAAAATACAACAAACCAATCAGAATGCGCGTATGGTTTCAAGTTCTTCGTCAAAGAATTCCTCAGAAATAAGTTTTGATTTTACATATGTCTTGCATCTATAAATATACCCAGGACACAGTTTAATGTGTTTATTCATACTGTATAATTCTGCATGTCCCGATATGCTTTAAATTGCATATGGAATATATATAATATGGGGAAATATATGTTAACCATTACGCAACGAGTTGACAATTGTTTTAGGTGTGCCCGTTTGCGCTCAGACAGAACCCGGTCGCAAAAATGGCCACGAGCCGCTATTCGGCTTGTCCCGTAATAACACGAATTGGTCAAGAATGCCGCAAGAGCGTGACGCACCCGACCACTTCGCAACTTTTGATTTGATTTAACGTAAAAGGATAGGCGTGGTGAAATGAAGTCAGTTTAAGCTATCTGGACAGATCTCTGGACTTACTTAAGATGGTCCGGTTGTGGCATCAGTGTCCCCTTCGAAGCGTTTTTTTGTGGCACTGTTTCGGGAGTTGTTTGTTCACGACTGCACTACCAGATCACTCAAAGTGAACATTTCCGATACAAATCATTCGAAAACTCCATAGAAGTGTGCCTGATTTCTGATTATGTGGCCCAAAATATCCCAAATGTGAACAATAACATTCCCCATCTCCAATCTCATTAAAATCAGATCCTAGTTCTCGCTATCGCTCAACAAAGATCTGAGGACATTCCTTTACCGGTCACGTCACAACGACCTTTCATCCGACCAATCAAAGCGTCGCTTACCAGATCATGAAAGCGACAGTCGGAATGTGTTTTCTAATCATGCAACGTCGAAAACGTCAACTCGGGGTGTTCCGAACGACAGTTACGACCCGTACGACTGATTCCGTCAAAACTATCGTCTATCTCTCGCTTCAGTGGGATAAACATTTGAACGGAGGAGGCGTTGAACAGTATGTGAGAAGCATTGCTATACAATCTCAACCATATATTAGACATTCCGGAATGTTCGTTTGTTCAGTTTTCAAAATTTGAATCGAGAACTGTGTCAACATATTTTTCAAGCGTAGACTGGCTTCAGTTGTATAAACGCAGTTCAAAATAAAGCTTGCCGTTTCTTTCTCGGGGTGGGTAAATATACTGCAAATTTAGCTGTCCGGGGCGAGATGGGTTGGCCTGCTCAGCTCACTAAACAGAAAATAGAAGTTTTCCGATTTGGGAGAAAGATAAACTCCGTTCCGCCATCTAGACTTGTTTCACAGATTCGAAATTGGTCTCTTACCTTCCGCAAATCATGGGATAAGACAGTTAATGCAATGTTTATATCACTACAACTTCCATCTATGGATTTGTTTAATTTCTCTATTAATGAATTCCATCTAATCACACGCACTTTGAGATGTAATGACGCCGATTGTTGGTCACGTGATTTATGGAATGACACTGGTCATGAACATGGGGAGTAAGTTGAGGACTTTCAGACTCTTTAAGAATACTCTAAATACGTCGACCTATGTCCGCTCTGTTTTAGACAGACAGCAACGTAGTACCTTGGCAAAACTAGGCTGCAGTTGTCTCCCTTTGGAGGTTGAAGTTGGTCGTTACTCCCGTCCAAAGACACCACTACACCTCCGTTTATGTAGGGTATGTGACCGCCAGTGTGTCGAACACGAAGTACATTTCCTCACAGAATGTGAATACTACTCTGATCTACGATATGACTATTCTCATTTGTTTTCTCCAATACATATTTGTCTAAGAAGTTAAACCCCAGAAGACCAATTTATATAATATTTATGTTATGCAGAATGATAGTCTAGCTATTCCCCTAGCCGCAGTTGTTACTGCTATGTATAAAAGAAGAAAATTTCAACTTGCATTGTAAATAGTGCACTGCTGATCCACAAGTAATTGTTATTCTTCCTTATAGGATTTAACCACATGTTTATACAAGTCTAAATATATTTAGTTTGTATGGTATTCTTCCTTAAAGGATTCCTCAACAGTTACAAAGATATTAACAATGGGACATTTTCAAATAAGTACTTATAAAATAGTTCTGTTACCACAGGTTCGTATATATATTGCATTTGCATTTCACTAAACGATACAAGTATAATCTCTTTACATAGAACTGAGGGTTTTTTTATCTCTCGTGTCTCATAGGCCAACTGGCCGGGTGGTATATTATATATTTTGTCATGTACTTTGAATGTATGTTTTTTATACTGCGTGACACGCAAAATAAAATATTATCTTATCTCATCTTATCTTATCTTAGCTATTACCTTTTATCCAAATCAGGTGTTGGGAGGGAAGTTGTAAACAAGAGTCCACTCCCATAAGACTTCAAACAGAACATTCGTGTCCAACTCGTGTTATTCCGGGACAAGCCGAATAGCTACTCGTGCACCTCTCATGGCCATTTTTGTGACCGGGTTCCGTCTTAGCGCAAACGGGCATACCTAAAACAATTGTCAACTCGTTGCGTAATGGATCACATATTATTTCCCCATGTATTATATATATTTCAGATGCAATTTAAAGCACATTGGGACGTGCGGAATTATAAAGTATGAATGAACACATTTAACTGTGTCTTGGGTATATTTTTAGATGCAAGACAATGAAGACATATGTAAAATCAAAAAAATATTTCTGAGGAATTCTTTGACGAAGAACTTGAAATCATACGCGCATTCTGATTGGTTTGTCGTATTTTCGCACATAACTTTCATCGATAGGGAGACGAGTCTTCTTGCAGGTTACGGAAAGGGGCGAGTGGTGACGAATGCAAACAGAATTCACAGTATCTCTCATCACGAGGAATGATTATTGTCTTCATATAAAACACATAGTCTAAAATTATTACACATACATGTTAATTGCCACTTACTAACTATATTGAGGTATGTTTGTAAGATATGTTTCAACACTGAGAAGTGATGTATTGTGTTGGTAGTAGTTGCACTTTGATCAACCAAGGATGAATGCCAGCGTTGATAATTGAAATGAATTGTCTGAGAGCCTTTGTTGAAATTCACATTATAAAAAATTCAGCATCTCTCATATTCTGCTGAATCGAGATTGAAGCAAGTCTTAAGTGAAATATACTTAATTGAAGAAGCCCATGTAGGTGTATGTTCAAGCATCGCCAAGACGTTTGCATGGTGTAAGCCTGATATGCTAGCCCGTTACTGTTTAGGTGAACTAATGCTCTTTTATTGCTCTTGTCGTGTAGATATACTTTAGAGAGGATTCGCCACTCTCCAAGAACCATGTTATTCGAAGTACTGATAAACATTTGAAAAATAAAGTCTGTATACTTTCTTTTAACTTGTATGAAATTCACCAGATTTTAGCACCGTAAAACAATATTGGAATCATTACACAGTCAAATAGTTTAAAGTCATCTTCATTTGATAAATATCCAAATTTCTTTCAACAGTTATTGATGTTGATTAGTGATGTGTGGCTTGAGCAGTGAGAAAGCTGAAGGTTTTGCTCCGCGATAATTTAGGAGTGAAAACAATCCCTCTATCAGGGGATAAGCGCTGTCCATGACAAACCGGATGTTGGTACATGTAGGTAGCAACTACCATTTTCTCGCTGTTCAGTAAGAAATGTGAATTCACCCGACCACATGGAGCATGGTTTAGGTCAGCTTTTGGTCCTATTACTTAATGTTTTCGACTATATCAAACTTGTATCATGCACCGGGCTTATGACCACAATCGTTGTAGTATTTACACGCGACATTCAATAATAAGTTCAATATTTCTCACTTTCCTTTTGGTGTCATCTGCCGCGATAGTGACAAGTCGAAAACAAGGTGCTTTTCAGCGTAAAAATGGTATACTTACTTCATACCAGCGCAATTAGGTGTCAGTTGTTGTTTTAATAGGCTATCTTAGGATTTGTGTCAATGTAGTACCTTTGTGTGATGAATAAATTCTGCGATATTGAACAAAACAAAACCTGTACGAGATGATGGTAGGAGGTTGCGAGAACAGATTTACTGCAAGGTTGTTGCCATAATCTGGGTAGTTGGTGTAAGAAAGTTACATTGATTTAAACAGATCTGAGCAGCATTTAGATGATGAAAACATTTTAGGACGTTTTGTTAGGCCATGTATTCTCTCATAATATTTCAACTGCCTTGTTCTGGCCTCAAAATAGCATTAATCGTCCTCCAGTAGCTTTAAGCAGTTATGCATATTGGATAAAATACATTTCAGTGATCATAAATCATCTCTCCTAAAAGCAATGTCCATTGTACGACTATAATATATTTGTTTGTTTTGTTGTGTAACTCAGCACCAGCAATATTCTAGCTGAATATTATTCCAGTTTATTCGTATGCAAATACTAAGGTCCAGTTATTCCAATATTCCGGCCAACTATATAATACGCCTTTGTTTATGAATCATTATCAAATAGTGATGATACCAGGTGTTCATGAAAAGGTGGGCGTATCCTGCCCCACCGGGGCCAGTAAGTCAAATCAGGTATAACTAGGGTATTTAAGAAAACGCCTTTGATATAAACTAAATATGTTGTTTATGAAATTCTACAAAATTCTAGGTTAAACTGTGAAATGGAGATAAGAAGGGAGACTGTACTGGGATCATGCGTTGACCTGAGGTCAAAGATGAGACACTGGCCTTGTACGTAGCGTTATTTGATACGTCACGTATACCAAGTTCTTTCACGCGTCTATAGTACCATTTGTGACACAATTCATTTTCTTTCAGAATCAGTGGCATCGAGGCAACGGATTAGCCATGTGTGTCTCTTAACGTTAAGCACCGAGGTAAAAAAGAAACATGATGTTATCGGTGAATCATATCTGAAGACAAATCTAAATATGGCCTCTCACTGCATAAATCACTGTTATCAGTTATAGCCGGGGAAATGGCGTCTATCATTTCTAGAATAAGCATCCTGAACATGTAGCAAATGTAGTTGGGATTACTCCTTCTGTGTAAAGTACAAATTCTAGTGCTTTTGGAGGTTGAGCCCCATCCGGGATTCGAACCTACACCCTCAGAGTTAGGCACCAAATTGCTGGCGATGTAACCCACTCAGGGACCGGGACGTGAACAACTGGTAGTCCAGATCACGTACTTTGTGCTCTGATAGATGTAATTTGGCACTTGGACGGAAGTTAAGAATACACATGATCAACTACACGTGAAGATCCGGGTTAGAATTGACCTAGTCCAACCCACGCTTGTCGTAAAAAGCGACTATGCTTGTCGTAAGAAGCGACTAACGGGATCAGGTGGTCAGGCTCGCTGACTTGGTTGATGCATGTTTTCGTATCCCAATTGTGTGGATCGATGCTCATGATATCAGTACACCGGACTGTCTGGTCCAAACTCGAATATTTACAGACCGCCGTCATATAGCTGGAATATCGTTGAATGCGGCGTTAAACAACAAACAAACAACCATGATTAACAAACATGAGATTTGAGTGGGTCACCCTGCCCCATTAGCCTATGTGTAGAGTGAGGACAGCGCACGTCGGTCATCCCGAGTTTTCTCTTCAGAGCTCTGTCGTTGTTGACATCGATCGCAATGTTTGTGACATTGCCACCTAACCTTGTAGTATTCACTGTCTGCAATTGGCCCTGAATCTTCAATAAAGTTGCCGCGATGTCTTTATTCTGGTGGGTGCTACTGGTAGGGCAGGACATGCTTACCCTTTTCGTGAACGCCAGATACCATTATTTTTAGTGATCCATTCATATAATGTTCACCTCTGTTTTGCCTTTTACGCCCAATGGAATCTGTTTCGGCGGATAATTGTGACTTGTTATATTCTGGTGTTGGCGTTTTATATTTTGATTATTGGAAGGGTTTGGTTGTTTTTTTCTGTTTTAAAAAATGTTTCTTTTATTTATAAAGAGGGCCTCATTATGTTCACTTGCGATATATCCTCTTTTTAAACATAGCGTAGTGGATAGAGCATCTGTACTGATATCGGAAGGTCGGTGGTCTCGTCTTACCAGAAGATGATCAAACATGGTACTTGTTGTTACCCGGCCAGGTGCTTGGCATCATGGGGATGAAACCTGGCATGTTCGTCTCGGATATTCCGGCAATACCACGGCGGCACGATATGTCAGTGGGCTAGCACCATAAAACTGCCTCAGGGATCGACCATGTGAAATCATGCTTCAAGTTGTTTAACAAAAAAAGAAATTGCCTGCCACAAAAATGACATTGTTACAAGGTATATTTCTTGAAAAAAATTCAAGGTCATGGCTTTAAATCTCTATACGAAATCACACTGCTGATGAAGTATTGAGAGTGAGATATGTACAATGTTGCCTTCACACAGTAACTGCCACCAGTCATGAAGTACTGTGTTTGGGATGGGATATACACGGTGTTGCATTCACAATACCTTTACGCCCAATAAATTCTGTTTCAGAGGATAATCGACGCGTTGGTATTTTATATTTATTATTATGGAAATGGATTTTATATCGCTTTTTATTTCATGTGTTCATCAAAGAACTGTGCCAAGACAATATATGATTTTGAAATGATAAGTTTGCAGGTGTTGGATAATACGAGGGATTTGTCTAAACCTGCCCAGACGCTGATATTCGGCGCCAAATAAGTAGCAAATGTCAGTTGACATTCCCAGATTGAAATTCTCCTGTTCAAGTTATCAAAGTTCTGGCTAGAATTATGGCTGTGCAGTGGGGAATTGTATTTCACTGATAACAGGTCCAGTAAAAACGAAGAGGCTTTGATTTGATTGAGCGAATGTATATTTGTTTAGGTCAACGCATGTTTGTATGGACATAACAAAATGATTGACAGATTATAAGATATTGTTTTTGTCAGTTCCAGACTGGTCACATACGGGTCTATGTATGCACACAACTATAAAGAAACTGACCACGAAGCCGCAGTTGTAAGTGAAACAGAAAATCATATTCTCATGTCAATAAACATCTTTTTCAGGAATTCGTCTCCGATTTGAAGGCAAGGCCTATGTACATTGGACAGAGAGTGAAACCGTAGGCACTGGGGACGACCAGCATACAGAGACTCGCGACTACTCCGCCCATGAACACTACTTCAAACAGGACATACTGCTGGCTGGTAGATGTACGTACCAGAGCTTTACCATGTAAACACACGCAAGATACTGCATTAAGGCCGTAGTTAATTTTTTTCATATTAGGGGGTGGGGGCAAATATTTGTACAAGTATTGTACAAGTATCCCCAAGTTATCAGTTATCCCCAACTTGTATTTTCATGATTCAAATAAAACTAAAAATAAAACACACACACACACCAGCTGGCTACGGTACTGTGCATCCTTTGCACGTATTGCAGAACGTGGACTTAGTACCCAGAAACGTTCAAGGTGACTTCGTGAATATATTTAGTGGCTAGGTTGATTGGGTGTCTCTTTGACTCGATTATTTACAGGCCGACGACATATTACTGTAATATTGCAGAGTCTGGCATTAAAAACGAATGCTGTAACAAAGCATACGTTTCTTTCGTTTACATTTGGGAAGGTAAATATATGAAGAGATTTTAGGAATGAAAGGAATTTTAATATAGGTAGATTACATTGGCACGTCAACTCTCTAAGATAACTAGTGGTACTTGGTTTACCGCAGGGAAAACTCTGGGGCGACTGGATGGTGTTATGTGGTAGTGTCATTTATTGTTAATCAGTGTTGTCAGTGTATTACATTGCTTCTGTTAAGATTCAGAAGCTGTTCATGACATTGTGTTTTAACCATAATTAATTGTTAGGAATGTATTACAATCTAACGTAAGCAGTGGTGTCGAAGTTACTAGTTTTAGATGATTTTGGAGTCAAGTGAAATCTGGAATTTTCTGGGACAGCAGGACTAAACCAGGACTGTATAGAACCTTCTAGAAGGTATTTAGACTTTAAGAGGGCAAAGGCGTGTCTCTTTCGCCTCTCATTATTTCATGACCAGCGGTTGTGTGTAGATCATCTTTTCACCCTGGATATCCAGCCTAGGCCTATTTTGAAAGCTTGACCAATGTTGCTGCTAAGTAAATATTATTATCTCTGATTTTATTGCTATAACCACTGCTATTGTATTTTATACTGTCATTGTGTTTGTACAGACATTGCATAGTGTACTGCCACTCTGTTGTGTGATGCCATTGTAATTATTTTCGGTAATTTGTAACATTCACAGAATCATTTGTAAACCGAGTTACTTTTATTATACAATTGTTTTATAATACGATTTCTCTGTTGTGTGCTGTTTTCTCACAGAATTCTTTTGCGTATAGACTTCTGATTTCAATTTGGAAGTCGACACGTAACAATAGTCTAATGGTTAAAGCATTTGTTCATCGCTCTAAAGGCCAAGATTTGATTCTTTATATGGGTACATTGTGTGAAGCCCTTTTCTGTGTTCTCAGCCGTGATATTCCTGGAAAACTGCTAAAATCAATGTAAACGTAAACTCACTCAAAGAACAGTGGGTAGGATAGTGCCACTTTTCATCTCTGTCCTTTTTATATCTGTTCCTTGTAGGGAAGCAGCAGTCTGGGGAGGACATCCATCTGCCTGCTGGCCGCCACACCTTCCCGTTTGCGTTTCAACTCCCACCTGAACTTCCATCATCCTTTGAAGGAGAACATGGTCATATTCGATACACGACTAAAGGAATCATTGATAAACCATGGAAATTCGACCACGAAACGAAAAGGCCATTTACAGTGATTTGTTTGCTGGACCTTAACAGAGATCCAAATGCCATGGTAAGTCATTTTAATGAGGTCGTTTTGGGTAAAAATGGAAGATGGCTCCATTTTCTTTTTGGTGTAGAGGTAAATAACATGCTGATTATGTGTTCAAACCAGTTCCTGGGCATGTTCCACAAAGCGATCTTAGCGCTACAACTATGAAGCAATCTTAGCGCTATGACTGTCGTAACTCACATGCCATGAAGGACTTTCGATAGTCATTGCACTAAGAGTCCTGTGTACGATTCCAAGTACACCATTGGCATGTGTTGTCCATCACTATCAAATAATGATGAAACAAGGTGTTCACGAAAAGGTGATAGTATTCGGTGACAACCATCACAAACACATGCAAAGGCAAGTCAATTGTCCACCAGACGAAAACACAGAAACGTATGGTACAAGTCGAAATAGGGAATTGCATTACGATATCATTTTGTTCACTGATGCCTCAACTCTTGAAATGTCCTCCATATATCTACTATGCAATATTTGAAAGCTTTACTAAGACCTTGAATATTGAAGCCCTGACCAATCAACAAGAGTGGAGCCATGCTCTTTGAAATCTTTGTATAAAAGGTAGTTCCTCAATAGTTGTGAAATAGGGACACCAAAGGCTGGAGCTGCTAGAATATTGCCCAACATGAAAGGAAAGTTGATTATTGAAGAGTTGAAGTCATCCCTCTTGTCAAACTGTCTCGTGTGTAGCTTTTTGTCACACTGAATCTTTATGCGTAGATCAAATGAAACAGCTCAGGTGGGTAAATCAATAGACTGGAATTGACTATTTGACCATCATTGAACATATCAGATCATCAATATACGTGAAGCTTAAGCTTAATAAACATCTTGGCCAAATGTCCTTGTAGTGACGGTCAATGAAACAGATCAGGAAGACGAGGAGCACACAATTGGTGCTGAGGGAGATAACTACTGCGAATTCTTGCCTAAATGTCTTATCTCACAATTTGACGAAACTGTTATCAAAGAAGAAGTCCAGTATTTCATGTATTGTTTACTCACTAAACTGCAGATCATATTTGCTTTCAGTTTTGACAAATTGTCCTTACCCTCTGACTATGGAGATGAAACACCACATTCAATGACAAATGTTCCATGGATCAAGGAATGAAGTTTTCCCTTGAGTTTGTTGTAAAAAGTTAAAGAATATAGTGTTTTACAGAATTAAACTTGATCCTTTTTCTGAAATTGCAAAAATTAAAGCAAATCCGTTTGAGTTTGTGAGAATCTGCACGATGGTAATTCCACCTGTCTCAAATATTTCTGTGAACAGGGCGTTGGGGTAGCCTAGTGGTTAAAGCGTTCGTTCGTCACAAAGAAGACCTGGGTTCGAATCCCCACATGGGTACAATGTGTGAAGCCCACTTCTGGTGTCCCTCTACGTGATATTGCTGGAATATTGCTGAAAGCGGAGTAAAACCATACTCACTCACTCACTTCTGTGACTATAAAGAAAGTTGGTTGCGTGAAGGATTGTGGTTAATCTTGGAGACAGAGATTATTTAGTACATTTGAAATGTGTCTCTCTCTTTATTTATATGGAGTTTTGTAATCCAGCACAAAGGAGGAACGGGCGTCTGAAGGTTGTAGTCATGGTTTTAGTACTGATGCATGGTTTGGGCCGATGTCTTCCTCAGGTATCATACCTATCCCTCAGTGCTCAATTAAACAAGGTCAAGGTAGAGGACAGTTTGTTGATTTCAAGATACAGAACTGCTGATTTCTTGTAGATGCCTGCTCGAGGTGCCAAGTCCAAGACACTTTGCTGCTGGTGCTGTGCATCAGGACCAATCTCTGCTAACTTCTCCATCGACAGACAGGGATATGTTCCCGGGGAAGCCATCATTCTCAAGGCTGAAATTGACAACCAGTCAAACAGGAGAATAAAATCATCGTCTGTGAAAATGACAATGGTGAGTTTAATAATTCTATAATTCTGTATTGTGTACATTATTATGTGATTTGTTGTGTTCATAATCATTGGATAAATTTCAATGTTTTGTGTTAACTACAATGAAAAGTTTCAAGTTTGTTGAGCAATCAGTGATAGGCACTTATATTTCTGTTGTAAATTATGCATGTTTTACGTATATATTGCATGTTCTTTACCTTTGGGGCTGTATTTTTATTATCTTTAAATATTTGTTTGCAGGAGACAATATTCCATGCCACCACCAAGTCAAGAACTTCAAGCCGTGTGATTGCCAAGCTGAAGCATGGTCAGGTCGAAGAGGGGGGACACGATTACTGGAATGGTGACCAGCTAGTTATTCCACCGGTGCCGCCATCGTTTCTCGCTGGTTGCAACATCATCGACATTAAATACTCTGTACAGGTGGGATACTCGCAAAACTCTTTATCCATATCTACCAACTGTTGTGTTGTTATATCTATATAGTAAGGTTGTCACATGTAGCACACTACGATACAGGTAAACTAGAAATTGCCATTTCAGGAGACATATTTCATCATCCAAGGATTGACAGGATTGACTCCTTGTACATACAAGCACAAGTTAATATTTTACGATAAAGGTTTATATTGCAACATATATGTGTATTGTTTTGTATGCATGTCCCACTATCCTCGTATGAAAGCACAGAGTGAAACATTAAACATTTGCCATGATTTTGCTGGACATTTCAGACTGCAATTAAACAACATTAACTCATGTGACTTCACTGCCGTCTTGCTGTTCAACAAGGGGTCATGCATTTAGTTATGGAGTAATGTTGCTACTTCTCATGCAGACAGAATGAAGTGTTATTGCAGGTTCTCCCATGTCAGACACTGATCTATGATATGTTTGCTATCCACAGCTTGAAGTGACTCCTTCAGGACCAAGCTATGATCTTGACATCCCTCTACAAGTGATAATTGGCACCATCCCTCTACAAAGTGTCCTAGCTCAGCATCCTCCTATGGCCCCTCCGGTAGGGGCCCCCATGATCATGCCAAATCCTGTAGGTGCTGGTGGAGCCTATCCCCCTCCTGCTGGAGCTTACCCCCCTCCTGCAGGAGCTTACATCCATCCTACAGGAGCCTATCCCCCAGGAGAGTCTCTATCCCCACCAGCCTATCCTCCTGGGATGCCAACGGATTTGCCAAATTTGCGTGAGTAGCATCACTTCAAACATCAATGTGACTAAAAAGAGGAATTAAGGGTGATTGTTGTGCCGGTGTCCCGGTATAAACCCTCCCCTGTACAAATTCTCCACCCAGAAATTTTATACCAGTACAGATTCTCCCCCGAAGAATCTTTTCTGCAATAAAATCTCCCCCGGGCGGATATATTTCGCGCCCCCCTCAGTATAAAGTCTCCCCCCTGATTATTCGGTTTGTTGCAATGTCTTTAAGTACTATATTCTTTAAATAGTTATCTTTAATGTAAGGAGGGTTACTTTAAAAAATAGATTATGAAATATGGTCATAATGAATTGATATTTCAGCATATTTTATTTGGTAACTGTACCTTTCATCTTGATTCGATATGTATCTCAATGTAAGGTCTCAATATATTACTTGACGCGACAACACTGTTGTTTTACACATAAAGATCATCAAAGGAAACGAATAAGTTCCCCGAATAAATTCATAGTAATTTTAAGTCAGTTGGGTAAACCGTGGGTTAGACATTTTTATGAAAATAACTGATGTCAGGGCCAATTTGTCACATGTCACCTGTATGTGTATACTTGCCTCGTTTTGTATCAATGTGGTACTCGTGACATGTCACAGCAAGAGTATTCTGGTGAACTGAAACATTCTGTGAATTTATACATGTAGAACGAGTTGCTTCTGCCACTACACACTACTGCAACACAATGAGTATCATTAATGGTTTCAGCGCCTCCCTCCTACGGAGAGTGTGTGTTCGGCAAGGTCGACATCAAGGAGGAAGGGGAGAATGAGCACCTGCAGGGAGACAACAGATATGCTCCCGTCTACACGTACTACGACTGGGGCCACAAGCCCTCTGCCCCTCCAACAGAGTAGATATCAGGGGAGCTGAGGTGGATTATAACTCCTATGTGTACCATCAGAGGGGCCACAAGACATCTGCTCTTGCTGTGTAGTCAATATTGTAGTTACCAGTAGGGGAGGGGTATACTAGATAATAACACCTGCATACATGTACTATGAGAGGGGCCACAAGACAGCTGCTCTTGCTATGAAGTCAATATTGTAGTTACCAGTAGGGGAGGGGTATACTAGATAATAACTCCTGCATACATGTACTATGAGAGGGGCCACAAGACAGCTGCTCTTGCTATGAAGTCAATATTGTAGTTACCAGTAGGGGAGGGGTATACTAGATAATAACACCTGCATACATGTACTATGAGAGGGGCCACAAGACAGCTGCTCTTGCTATGAAGTCAATATTGTAGTTACCAGTAGGGGAGGGGTATACTAGATAATAACTCCTGCATACATGTACTATGAGAGGGGCCACAAGACAGCTGCTCTTGCTATGGAGTCAATATTGTAGTTACCAGTAGGGGAGGGGTATACTAGATAATAACACCTGCATACATGTACTATGAGAGGGGCCACAAGACATCTGCTCTTGCTATGAAGTCAATATTGTAGTTATCAGTAGGGGAGGGGTATACTAGATAATAACACCTGCATACATGTACTATGAGAGGGGCCACAAGACAGCTGCTCTTGCTATGAAGTCAATATTGTAGTTATCAGTAGGGGAGGGGTATACTAGATAATAACACCTGCATACATGTACTATGGGAGGGGCCACAAGACATCTGCTCTGCATGACCAAATGTAATTTGAAATGGAAAAATAGCGTAAAAGAATTAGATAGAATGACAGGCAAAATCGTCCCCCAAATTAATAAACAGTTCAGAACATATCCAGGTGAGCTACAGTGCCGTGGTACAATTTTAACATTTTGATGTTGAACACTTGTTGAGCTCACGTTTTCAGTTTTTAAGGACCTAAGCAAGCCATCTGAACCATATACTTTACATTGTGCTATATGTATTTGTTCTTATTTAGATAATATATGTTATAACATAAATATATTTTGATACTACTGTACTATTTTGTATGAACTCAATACTCAAATACCTTTCCCTGTTCAAAGTTGCTTGGATGAGAGAATTTATATTGCATTGCCCTTGACTAATTATGTTGTGTTCCTCATGCGTTTCACAAACGTGAAACATATAGAGCTGATACATATTTCCATAAGATATTACGTTTCATGTTATTAATAATCAACATTAATGGTAATCCATACGATGACATGCATTAACCTGAGACCATATATGGTCTCTGCATTAACCAAGTCAGCTATCCTGACCACCCTATCCCGTAAGTCGCCTCGGACGATAAACACAATCGCCTTTTACGGCAAGCAAGGGTTGCTGAAGACCTATTGTACCCCGGATCTTCTCGGGTCTGAGGGTGTTGATATGCCATGGATGTTTGTCATGAACCGGAGTACAAAGGTTCAGCAGAGATTAAGATACCAACTGTTCATAAGGATACAGATTTGATCTTTGGCTGACTGCACAGTGTTGCTAATTTGGACCCGTGAAGATTCCGGGAAGAATAGGTCTTCAGCAACCCATGCTTGCCGTAAAAGGTGACTATGCTTGTCGTAAAAGGCGACTAACGGGATCGGGTGGTCAGGCTCCCTGACTTGGTTGATGCATGTCATCGTATCCCAATTGCGTGGATCGATGCTCATTGTATTAATCACTGGATTGTTTGGTCCAGACTCGATTATTTACAGACCGCCGTCATATAGCTGGAATATTGCTGAGTGCGACGTTAAACAACAAACCAACCGACCAATGCTAATTTGAATGGACTGTTTTCCTTGAATAAAGGCTTGTTAATGAATTTGAGAGATAACCAGTTGCACAATACCCAGACTAGTTTTGTACTGGTGAAAGAGTAAGGAAAAACAATATTAAAACTCCACTTTAATGATGCTTATACTAAAAAGGCATCCACTGTTTAATATCACACAGGCAAATTTCCACGAGATACCGGTAATCCGGGTCAGGTTGAACCAACTCACAAGACACAGTTGGAGGGAGATAACTTGTCCCATATTTGACATAAATAATGTCCAGTATTTCACATATTGTTTACTCAGTAAATTGTCTAGTTCTTTCATTGCAATATTTACATTGACATGTTTTACATTGTTATCTTCTGTTTGTTTATCTGAAGCAATATGAAGTAGTTTTTATTTTACGTTACTGTGGAATCTGTCTCAACCAAACTCTTGACTAATCAGGATATCTGCCAATACGGACCAAATTTACGGATCCAATTTTACTACGTTCATTTATCATCAAGAGAAATCTCTCTAGTCGTCCTTCACTGCATATTCCAGACAGACATTGTGTGACAGTAGGTCAATTCATCATGTAATTTATCCTCTCTCACCTGGATATACTGTTTACACATCTCGTGTGTCAGGTAAGCTGTTCTCATCAATACACAATGTGTTTACAATGTAGACTGATGCCCAGAATGGCCTCTCCAGTAACATACCGTATTTAACCGCATATAGGCGAAATCCGATCCGAAATTGTTTGCGAGACTGTCAAGCCCCTCAGGTGGTTGGTTACATTTGGCATGAGATAGCAAGGGAAGTAACTCTATGATGGACTTTAATCTTTGTCAAGTTTCGTTCAGGCTGGTTCCATTGTACTTACAAGAGAGCAATTCTTCCCGAAACTTGTACTCAAAATTCTGATTCATCATTTGATGGATGAGCCTGTATCGACAAGTGTACATCTGTTGGTGACCACTAAGTCAGCATCAGGAGCGGTGCTGGTCTGTTCTACCTCGTTTTGTCCTCATGTCATTATTCAATCATGTGTGCAGTTCTCGAGAGCCAAAAATATTTTATATAATCCTAACTGATGATTGCTTTGATTGTGTTGTGGTATATGCAAGCGTGCCTTGGCAACATATCTAATGTGTCCACTTGTATTCTGTTACATTGTTGTTGTTTTTCTGATACAGAACTTGTCAATGCCGTGGTATATAGGTTATGAAGTTGTGTCTGACTCAATCTGGTAACCATGGAAGGGCAATAGATTGTTAACCATTGTTGTTTCTTTTGGTATGTTTTAAAGCCCTGATTGAAACGATATTCAGAATGACATTTCCTGAAAGATGTGTGTTCATACAGTAATATACACTCTAAAAACAAACGTTTACTAGAGACATGTTGAAGTGCTTGTTCCTAAACGCTAGTGTATATCTTATGTCACTGGTGCTTAATAATCACCACAGTTTGCCATACAGCCAACACACACATGTGCATTCATAAATGCACACCCGTTTGTTCTTTTTCGCACCACAAACAAGTTTTTAGTACAGACATGTTGAAGTGTTTGTTCCTGGACGCAAATGAATACTTTATGTCACTGGTGTAAAACAAGTTTGAGATACAAGATACACACACACGTATTTTTAAGTGTACATCCGTTTACTAATATTACATTTTTGATCAAAATAATAGAAATAGTTATGTCGACTATTATTTCTAATTTATTTAAAACAAACTGAATTTACACTATTAAGCTTATCTATTTAGATCTATCTCTCGTCTGAAAGCTGAATACTTTTCCATGGACCTCTTACGAATGGTATGTATATAAATTGTATATATCGGCAGATTTACTTCGTGTGCCTCATGCCGCATGCATCTATCCAACAACACATCCACGCATACATCAATATATGTTGAGAAGTCAAAATGTGATTTTTCACCCGTAAGGTCCTTTATCTCATGGTTGGTCACATGAGATGATTTATTAACACCAGTGTTTATATACTATCAGCAGTGTTGTAAAATATATGACGTCACTAGATGACGTCATTATACTAAGTGGTTGTCGCCATTTTGTACTAAGTGTTCCTGCACAAGATAACTCAAAATTGCGTAAGTAGTATTGCAAAACTGAAGTGAAATTTTATTATATTAACTAGTGGAAAACACAATATCAGAGTTCACGCAAGTCTTGTTTGAATCTAGATTGTTATATAGGCCTACCTAGATTGTTGTTGTGTATATCCTTAATTTTCTAAACAACTGCAGGTTCACCTTCCGTCTTCAGTGAAGGTAGGTCTACTGGCATGTGGGTATGTCTCCCTTCACACAATATTTCCGATACAGAGAAGTCACTGTTTCTAATGACGATCTCTTGTCTGAAGAAGAATATTCTGTCAATCTCAAAGAACTTGAAGCTGAATGGGACAAGGCCAAACCAAGTAACACTCACATCAAGCTGCTTCTCCGGCACCTACGTCAGTACAGAAAAAGGTGGATGACTTCTCTACCAGACGGAACGATCCAGCCCATAATTGAGGCGTATCCCTTTTTCTCAGAAGGACAACATGTGAGTATTGAGTAGTGACAGATGATAGGAACATGCTGTTGGTAGTCCACGATGTCTCCAAATATTATTATAAAAACACTGTACAGTTTCAGAGAACAATTGTAAACTTCATGTGCAAATGAAGGAATGGATTATATTCAATAGATTACCTGTAAAATGACTTGACTTTTGTCATTTCATACTCTGTTATTTATTCACAGGTGCTGTCGGAATTATTTGCTATGGTGTACCCAGAAAAGGAGGAGGAACAGGCCAGACAAGATGTCTGTCAGAAGGTTGAATGGCTCCTGTGGCATGTGGCGAATACAATGAAGGCTAACGTGAGCACTCTTATTATCATTTAAATAATGTGTCCTGAATAGCTTCACATATCAAAAGTACCATATACCCCCTAAACCGCAGAAATTGACTTACTGGTGGGCATGGAAAAGGCTGTGGCAGTCGAAAAAGGACGAGCTAAGAAGTCCAAGTCAATCATTAGTGTCCATAAGGTTCGTCTCTCAATCCCTCAAATAGTATGCTGAATAATAAGGTGGTCTGGGGCCTTAAGGATTTTTTTCCACCTGTGGTTAAAGTATGCTGTGACCCCTAAAATTTTAGCTTTTAACATTATGCTATATGGAAATGACCAACTGACTTTCATCCTTAGTTAAAGATCATATCATTTTTTTAAAATGCAGACGTTTTTACAATTTTATCAAAGATTTTTATACCAAAACTTAAATTTAATGTTTAACTTTCAGGTGGATTGTGTGGCTTCTGTCAAAGAAGCATTTTTTTAATCCAAGGAATTCACCTCGCCACGCCTCATCATTGTCGTCAATAAGGACGACAACAGTTTCATGACAGCCTACATTGTGGTGGACAGGACGAAGATAGCTTGCCAAGCTGCATCTATCTTGGATGCAGCAGTTGTGCTACTGGCAGCGTATTATGTATTTGATCTGAGCTACCCAGACATATATACGCGTGCGCTTGGATTGCCTCAGCAGTTTGTGGTGGGAGACGCCTACAGTGGACCTAAAGGAACAAAATGGATCACTTTTGTGAAACGTCACACCCTGGACTCTCCCTAGTCTTACTGACTCAGTCGTTAGTGTTTATCACTGAACATGTATTCTTACATAAACATGTACAAGTGTCTATATAGTGTTGCAAGAGTATAAACATGTTTTTGTGTTTATTTATAAACGTCTCAATGTGCATTTTATTTTAAGCGGCCCTGTATCTACATAAACACGTCTGTTTATAAATATACATGTGGACGTGTCTATAAAGTGTTGCATCATCAGTTTTTATTTCTGTGTTTAAACAAAACACTTGTTTTTAGAGTGTAGGGGCGGTCGGGTAGCCTTGTGGTTAAAGCGTTCGCTCGTCACGCCAAAGACCCCGGTTCGATTCCCGACATGGGTACAATATGTGAAGCCATATCTAGTGAATATTGCTAAAAGCGGCGTAAAACCATACTCACACACTCAGAAGTAATATTGCTATGGCCATCAAGAAGAATGTATAATCAGTAATGTATCTTAATTGTCAAACTTATAGGTTCGTAAATAATATGAAAGCAAGAAATATTTTCTAAATACTTCCCTGTCTATTTTGATGGTCATATGACAGAGCACGAATTATCTCATAATTATCCTGTAAACTGTAATTAGTTTTGCAGGTATAAACCAGTATATTTATTTCCAGCCTCGTTTTCACGTAATTCAATCTTTTCAAATTCGCTTTGGAGAGAAATATATCTGAGGATCATAGCATGCTGTTATCTCCTAAAATGAATATATGTCAATACCATCATGTTTCGCATATTGTTAAGGATATGTCAGTACCCCATAGGCGTCAATGTCAATAACGGGCCTGTCAAAACGATCTTGTTTTCCTTTCAAAAGTTTTTCAATGACCATAACTTTTGAAGAATTTATCATTCAAAGCATACAGTTACGCAAATTAACCATCAGATATTGGTTAGCATACCTTCTTTCTTCAACAAACAGGGGAGGTCGGGTAGCCTAGTGGTTAAAGCGTTCGCTCGTCCGACCGAATCCCTCCATGGGTACATTGTGTGAAGCCCATTTCATGTAATCTTCGCTGATGTATACATGCGTGGCATTTTATACATGGCACGTGGCATCACTATTTATTAACATGTTTTTCATATTTATGACATCCAGTGCCACTGTCAGAGCATAAACGTCTTATTTATCAAATAAATTCCAAATGCCTCCTGACATTTGTAATCTTCCTCTTTGAATTGTCTCTTGTTATTCCCAGTCGACGTTGCTTCTTGTTAATACGTTCTTTCGGCAGGCAGCATGGGTGTAGTTTGGACGTAGCATGACGTAATTATTTATCTTATGATATCGGAAGGCAATTAGTGAATCAATTAGACATAATTAATTGATTGGTATAAATACTCATGTTTATACCAAATTACGTCCTGAGATGGTTCGCTTTCCTCTTTATTTTAGTGACTTTACGTTGTGCAAGTAGATCTCTCAAAGAACGGAACGTTATTTCTCGTAATTTGATTCGTCAAAAACAGACATGTAACCACTTTCTCACAACTTCTTTCAGTGGCATTTAGAAGTTGGTGTGATGAAGTAAGACGAGTTCTATGGATGAACAACTTCATTATTACAATTAGTGCGACGTTTCGGTATAGATCCTAACACCTTTATCAAGCAAGTGATGGATAGTGCTTACTTACTTACTTACTTTGGAGATTTAACGTGCGCTTTCCGACTGATGCGTATTTCGCACACGGGCCCGGCCAGGCCATTCAATGTGTTTCCGAAAGGGGCGAAAGTGGTCTGTGCAACCCAAGAGGGGGGTTTTAGGGGTTGCTTATATAGAATTTGGGAATTTTGAGATTTGGAATAGATGCCGATGGGATTGGGGAGGAGTGCTAAACAACATAGGTATATATACTTATTAACATCAAAGTTGATACAGTAAATGATTGATGGACACAGAGAGCTGATTAAGATAATTGGAAGCCAGTGGATGACTAATGAACACAGAGTCAACAAGCAGACTGATAGAGATGATGGAAGCCAGTGGATTAATTGGATGGACATAGGGATTTAGCAATTAGGTGATGGTAAGCAGGCGCTAAGCACTTTCTCACACTTAAAAATACGATGACATCCATACTGGGTCATACCGGCTGTCTACAGGTCAGTTTCAATCCAAAGACAGTTAATAATGCGACAAAATCCTTTCCATATCCGATTGAAATCTCTGCATAAAGCAGAGTCGATTGTTCAATTCCGACTATATCATGAGCATGTGTTTATGAATCGCTTTCAAATAGTAATGATACCAAGCATTTCGCGAAAAGGTGAGCGTATCCTTCCCCACCGGTGGCTCCTGTCACAAACACATGCAAAGATAAGTCAATTGTTCACCTGAAAAATACACGGGAACACATGTACAAGTCAACATAAGGAATTGCATCGGACATCATGTTTGTCACTGATGCGTCGGATTTGGAAATGCCCTCCACATGTCTACGATAGAACATTTGGGAATCTTTTCTGAGTCCTTCAATGTTGTTTGTCAAACAACTTCTGAGCAAGTGTCGCATGACCCTCTTTGAAATCTTGGTAGAAAGAGCATGCGCATGCAATCGTATAAATTGAGCCGAAAACTTCCCCTTGTCCTTACATATTCTTTTCAATTACCTAACCTAAACAAATTGCTATCTAAGTAACTGTTAGTAAGTAATAACATACAGAAGCCATATATATATATAATTATATTAAGGCAATAATCATATTGCCTTGACACTGGTCCAAGCACAATAAACCTTAAACCTCAGAGGTATCTACTTATGAGAAAGCATTGTGTAATCAAAATGAAGGTACTGTTTTACCCACATGGAAAAGTTCCGGGCCGCTGCAATATGTTAGCCACCATGCAGAGTTTGCAGTGGCAGACTGCACCCTGCAACATCCTGTGATGGCCCCCAGCACCCTGTAACATCCTGTGATGGTCTCCAGCACCCTGTAACATCCTGTGATGCCCCCCTGCACCCTGTAACATCCTGTGATGCCCCCCTGCACCCTGTAACATATCCTGTGATGCCCCCCAGCACCCTGCAACATCCTGTGATGCCCCCCAGCACCCTGTAACATCCTGTGATGGTCTCCAGCACCCTGTAACATCCTGTGATGCCCCCCAGCACCCTGTAACATCCTGTGATGGTCTCCAGCACCCTGTAACATCCTGTGATGCCCCCCAGCACCCTGTAACATCCTGTGATGGTATCCAGCACCCTGCAACATCCTGTGATGGTCTCCAGCACCCTGTAACATCCTGTGATGGTCTCCAGCACCCTGTAACATATCCTGTGATGCCCCCAGCACCCTGCAACATCCTGTGATGCCCCCAAGCACCCTGTAACATCCTGTGATGGTCTCCAGCACCCTGTAACATCCTGTGATGGCCCCCAGCACCCTGTAACATCCTGTGATGGTCTCCAGCACCCTGTAACATCCTGTGGTGGTCCACAGCACCCTGACCGCTTCATACCTAAATGATGAACCTTGCATGTGTTACCGAGAAATAATTTAATAAATAAACACATTCACAATAAACTTGTAGAATATACTTTGGTTTGTTTATGTGATGTCTCAATTTTTCATGATATCAACAATAAATAACGATAGCCACAAAACAACTATTCTTATCATCAATGCATACCAATGTCAGGCACATTGTAGGGTAACAATAGCAATATTACCTCTGATAAGATACCCATTCATACATGAGCAGTCATCTGTAGGAATCACTGGCGGATCCAGATTCAACACATGGTACCTGCGTACTCGGCATGTCATTTCCACTTTTTGTGCACCCCATGTGCATGCCTGATTCACCATAGGGTGGAGGGGAAATAACTCTTCGTGCCAACCTTAGCGAATAGTAGTGAGTGAATATGGTTTTACGCCGCATTTAGCAATATTCCAGCCAGATCACGGCGGGGAAGACCAGAAATGGGCTTCACACATTGTACCCATGTCGGGAATCTAACCCGGGTCTTCGGCGTGACGAGCGAACGCTTTAACCACTAGGCTACCCGACCGCCCTTTGGCGAATAGTAGTTGAAATATCACGGCACTGGTAATGATGCATTGGACAATATTTTCCGAGGTTTTGACAAGGTAAGGTTGCCATGTATATCTGGTCCAGCAAGCAAGAATACACTGTTTGGGCATTTTTCTTTACACACAGTTACGAATATGTATGTATTATGCACATGTAGATGGACAGATATGTGTCTGTAGTCAGATGACTGCTGTTCTAAGTATTTGTTTGTTTATTATTGTCATAGAGCGTTTGAGATGGGATTTATAAATCCAACGGTGAATGCCACATCATCGGTAATACCCGCCTCCGCTCTACTGATTAATGAGAGTGATACCAAAATTTTGCATTTTTTCCAGGCTACATGTAGTGTGAATATTTATTTACTCAAAGTCAAACGGAAATGTGACAATACATACATTTTATTGATAAATCGGTACAGAGACCATGACTATTATGGTCTATGATCGGTACAATGCCAGACGATCCCATCTTTCGATCGGAAACCTTCGGTTTTCGTCGATATAGCACCGGGGATGTCGCGACGGACGAGGCCGAGCACTGCCGGACTTGGGGTCGTCTGCAGCAAAGCTTCCAACAGGTAAGGGCGTGTTCTGAGCGAACCTTATGTTCTCATATATAACTGTATGCGGATCGCTTGGTGTCATCACTTGTTCATCATACGCATCCATTATAGCGGCTTATCATAACATTGTCAGCTGAGGTGATAATACTACAGTGGCCCTACGAACAAAAAATATACTATTTTTGCTTTTGAATTGGCCGCCATTGTGAGTGTTTTGACAGTTCCCAGTGATCTAAAGTTGGGAATTGTGTTATACGATGGGGAGTCGTTTTCCAAATGTTGTATTCATTTGTGTATGTCGGGGAAACCCGGGAGATTGAGAAATGTTGACAGTTACGAGCGTCAACAAAACCTTTGATCAACATTTCAAAGGTATGGTTGACGCTCGCATCTATCCGTGTCATTAGACCTAGTATTACGTTTATCGGAAAGAGTTGGTTGGTTTGTTGTTTACGCCGCACTCATCAGTATTCCAGCTATATGAAATAATAAAAATAATAAAAATTGCGAGCCTGAACACCCGATCCCGTTAGTCGCCTCATACGACAAGCATAGTCACCTTTTATGGCAAGCATGGGTTGCTGAAGAGCTATTCTACCATGGATCTTCATGGATGTCATTGGAAAGGGGATCCCAGAGTTAAGGATAGAGTTGGCATAGCGAAGCGATATAGGCACAGTCGACAGCCTGAACCAGTCTAAGCTGCACTCAGTAAACAGTGGTAGAAACGAACATTTTTAGTCCACAAGTCCTTATGATGATAACATATAGCAAAACCCTTAAAAATGGCAAATGTCTACTAGTCCTTATGATACCTTACAGGGATAGAAACTAACAGTTTTTGTCCACTAGTTCTTATAATGATAACATATAGCAAAAACTTAAAATGGGCCAATTTCTACTAGTCCTTATGATACCTTACAGGGATAGAAACTAACAGTTTTTGTCCACTAGTTCTTATAATGATAACATATAGCAAAAACTTAAAATGGGCCAATTTCTACTAGTCCTTAGGATACCTTTACTATTGGGCCGTTTGGTAAGGACTATAGGACTAGTGCCATATTCTAACGCTGCCTTAACTACTGGGCAGTTTGGCAAGGACTACAGGATTAGTGCCAGTTTCTAACGCTGATTAAACTGTATTGTTACCGAGAAACATTGCTCACTTTCACAAAGTAATCTCAGCACAACGAATGTGCTAAGTTTTAGGCAATGCTATGGGAGTTAAGATCACGTTAGTGCTAAGATCACTTTTGTGAAAAAGTCCCTGTCTCACTCTCGACCTGAAGACACCCTGGACATAGTGTGTGCTGGTCGAGGATCATCTGTTGTCTCACTTGCCAAGGAGCACACAGCGCCAAGGTGATTTTGCAGGGTGCTGGGGACCATCAATGGAAAGGCAGTTCATCAGAGTTGGGGTTAATGATTAGGACCTCGTTAGCATCGACAGGCTTGCATCTCCCTGTAAGCACACCAGTCACCTTATTTCCTTACTGGATGTACCAAGTGAACAAGGCATCTCAGACAATACCGGATTAGCCATTTGCCTCAGTATTTTGATGAGGGGCAGACTGGGGTGAAATGTCTGGTTCATGTCCGGATGGCGCTGATCTGGCTTGCCAAACAGTTGAAACAGATCTTCAGTTATGGATCTACTCCTGAGGACCTTGTAGGTCATCTCAAGGCTGCACTTACTGGAGGAATACCCTATTTCTTCAAGTTGTTGTACCAAGATGAGATAGTATGAACTGACCATGAAGGTTCCTAATGGAGAGTTCACCTCCATATTAGATTTAAGTAATAGCAATATATCATGATATGTAGATTCTAGCAAGTGATTTCATTGATTAGCAACCAAGAAATTATTTGTGTCATTATTTTTCCATGATACGTTGATATGCTTACATTGAAATATGCACAAAAGTATAATTGATATTTTAGCTACAAGTCACCCTGAGATATGAAGAATTGGATCCCCTATCAAACAAGATCAAGCTGATCACATCGCAGTCGATCTCAGTTCAATCATGGAGAAGCCGAACATTTTCGTGGTGTCCTTTAGCAACTTGCAGGGTGTTTACTACGCAGGCCAGGTCATGCAGGGCAATGTCACGGTGGAACTCATAGACACTATGAAAATGAGAGGTATTATCTTACGTATTTAAGTTGAGACACAACAGGGTAATGTTAATCTTATTGACTGATCCAGAGACATTCACCAAATAAACTGACCCGTGAAGATCCAGGCTAGAATAGCTCTTCAGCAACCCATACCGTAAAAGGCTACTATGCTTATCGTAAGAGGCGACTAATGGGATCGCACCCAGCAATATTCCAGCTATATAATGGCGGTCTGTAAATAATCAAGTCTTGACCAGGCAATCCAGTGATTGACATCATGAACATCGATCCACGCAATTGGGATACGATGACATGCATCAGCCAAGTCAGCGAGCCTGATCACCCGATCCCGTTAGTCACCTCTTACGACAAGCACAGTTACCTTTTACGGCAAGCGTGGGTTGCTGAAGACCTATTCTACCCCGGAACTTCACAGGTCACAAAATGTAGTGAACAAGCTGATAATGCATCTCAATATGGGTCACCCACGTTCTACCACGTGTAGCAAAGTTTAGTTCTGCCTTTTACCCTCCAATCTAACACAATTACAACATTACTCTACCAGTATCTGCTGTGGGCAGCTACACATCTGAAGACCACCAATTACTGAACGGGTAAACACTGTGTCACCTTAGCTCTTCCCAAATTTCCTGCTCGCCCCATGACCAAGTCAAGGCTGAAATTCAAACGCCATTACTGTGGCTTGTGCAGTAGAAAGTTCATTACGTAGATAGTGGCGCTCGATATCCATCAGTCTGTCCATCTGTTGAGACTGAAACTTAAGATCTCTTATTCTCCATATCTACTGAACATATCAATACAGTCGGCAACTTTATCCACTCGTCCCCACTAAATCCCTCTCAACAACAGTCTACCTGAAACAGTTCTCTGGTTTACGCTTCGGAAAAGGAATCAAAAACACATTCTTGTTAAATCTGATGGTTTCCCCCATAAGCACCCCCAAATTATGGACCACGCTTCATTGCAAAGAAGTTTCAGCTGAAAAGGAAAATATCCATTCTCATCCCTGCATAGCATAGTGATAATGTTACTTAGGTAAAACAAATTGTGTTTGTGAATTCTGTTGTAAGCAAATGTAGATCTAATGTATGTCAACACCTGTTTTTATGGACCAGAGAAGAGCATTGACCGTATTGACAGAATATGAGATTTTGTTTTTGTCAGGTCCATTAATACAAGTATTGATCACATACAGGTCTTAGACTCTATATATGCATACAACTATTAAGAGATCAAGCAGGAAGCCGCAGTTGTAAGTGATAATATATGTCCATAAACATATTTTTCAGGGATTCATCTCCAGTTTGAAGGCAGTGCCTATGTACATTGGACTGAGAGACATACAACAGGTTCTGGAGACAACCGGCATACAGAGACCTACCACTACTCTGCTGAGGAACAGTACTTCCACCAGGACATATTGCTAGCTGGTAGATGTAAGTACATGTACCAGGGCTTTACCATGTTTACCCAATACAAAATATTGCGTCCTTTGCACATAAAATTTAAGAAGTTATGCAATTAATTTGCATTGTGAGTTGATGCAAATAAGTAGATGGCTGTTTGAATGATTAAAGCCAATTCAATAGTAGTTACAGTAGATATTTCAGACCATGTCTGATTTGTCTCAGTTTGTTTCAAACAAGGAAAATCCTATACATGGGGTTAAGGTAAGGCTTCAGCGATTCTTAATGTTTCATTTGTTGTTGGTACAGTAGTTCCTCAGACAGCTTTATAATAAAATATTGCATCTGATTAGTGTAGGGTAAATTTATTAAGTGGTTATTTGGGTCTACTCATTTATTAGAACTTACTCTTGTAATGTGTGCAGCTACATGACTGGAATATTGTGAAAGCAACATTAATTTTTAATTCACTTCTGTGCATAAGTTTTGACACATAATTTTGCTTTTGATTGTCGTTCAAAGCATCTTTATGAATTGGGTACTAAGTCAGATTTATTTACGGGCTGCCTTCATATGACCAATATTACTGAGTGGCATTAGAAAGTCTTACAAACTGAACACAAAGCTTACAATCGTTTTTGTTTTCGTTTGTGTAGGTAAAACTATGTTGAAATTTAAGAAATGAAAGGAATAAATCATATTATTATAAACAGGTAGATTCAGTAGATTGCATTGACAGTTCATTTCTTTTAGATAACTAGTGGTACAAGGTTGATATCAAGGAAAACTCTTAGGGCGATTGGATAGCTTAATGTCAAAGCATTTGTTCATTACACCGAAGGCCAAGGTTTGATTCTCCACATGGCCCATTTTTTATGTCCTAAGCCATGATATTACTCAAAAACTACTAAAATTAATGTAAACAAACTCCCTCTGAGAACACTGGGTGGGATAGTGCCTCTTTTTATCTCTGACCTTTTTATATCTGTTCCTTGTAGGGAAGCAGCAGTCTGGGGAGAACATCCATCTGCCTGTTGGCCGCCACACCTTCCCGTTTGCATTTCAACTCCCACCTCAACTTCCATCGTCCTTTGAAGGAGAATATGGTTATGTTCGTTACACGGCTAAAGGAATCATTGATAAACCATGGAAATTCAACCACGAAACGAAAAGGATGTTCACAGTGATTTGTATACTAGATCTTAACCAGGATCAAAATGTGAGGGTAAGGCATTTGAGTGAGGTTATGTTGGATAGAAAGAATTGCTTAGTCTTTATTTTAACTGTTATTGTTGCATTTTCAAGTCAATCAACTTTCAGAACAATTCCACTACTGTGCATATGCAAAAGATGTACTCTTTCTTATTAGGCAATACCTCATTGTAAATGTATATTACATGTATGTGCATAACTCTGCTGTAATCTTCATTTCAATAAAGATATTTCACTAAACTAGATTACAACTATAAACTATGAACGATAAGATATAAATAACATCAATAAATTGTGGAGGCATATATGATTCATAATAAATTTAAAAGAAAGCAGATGTTCAGTTATTTAAAATGTAATCTCTCTGCAATACATTGAGTACAAGATGTACATTTCGCCAAAGACATGGAGCAAACTGTTAGGAAGAGTTGGGCAATAACCAATGCTATTTTAGTTCATTCAAGAGCAACTCTAGAGCGGTAGATGTTTATACACAAGGTGGTTTAATTTCAAACTCAAAAATATGAATACAGTGACTAGTCCCATAGTCCTTGCCAAACTGACCAATAGTATCTTAAGGACTAGTAGAAGTGGGGAGATGCGACTGGTTGCAGCGACAGTATAGAGAGCTCCATGAACAGGCTATCTCTGAAGAGATTCGGTGTGATGATCATGGGCTTAAATCCCACATTTGCCCCAATTATCATCTTTAATTTCTTAAGACCATGCCTGTGCTTGCAGGTTTATGAAAGTGATCAATGTCTGCAACCAGTGACACTTAGGGCATTCTTCCAGATCAAGCAGTGATATATCTGGAATACTGTTCATTACTACAGCATTAAGGTCCCTAATAGCTTGACCTACTTGCAGTTGTGGACAGTCCCACTCAACTAAGGGATGCAACTCACAATTTTTCTTGATCATGAGGATCAAACAATACCAATACCTCAGTGAACAAATAAACAGAGTTTGTTGATTTTTAAATATACAGAACTGCGGATTTCTTGTAGATACCTGCTCAATGTGCCAAGTCCAAGACACTTTGCTGCTGGTGCTGTGCATCAGGACCAATCTCTGCTAACTTCTCCATCGACAGACAGGGATATGTTCCTGGGGAAGCCATCATTCTCAAGGCTGAAATTGACAACCAGTCAAACAGGAGAATAAAGTCATCATCTGTGAAAATGAGAATGGTGAGTTAAATAATTCTATAATTCAGCATTGTGTACATTATGATATGAAAATAATTCCACTAGATAACAAAATATTATTTCAGGTTTACTTTTTGTTTTATATTGTTTTAGAGTCATTGGATATATTTCAGTGTTTTGTGTTATACACTGCATTTCTTTTTCAAGTGGACTACTGGGTCTATATATATTTTTATTATCCCATCTCTCAAAATATTTGTATGCAGGTGACAATATACCATACTATCAGGAAATCAAGAACTTCAAGCCGTGTGGTTGCAAGGTTGATGCATGGCGAGATCCAAAAAGGGGGACATGATTACTGGAATGGTGACCAACTGGTTATTCCACCACTGCCGCCATCGTTACTCGTCGGCTGCAACATCATCGACATAGGGTACATTGTACAGGTGGGATACTCGCAAAACTCTGTATCCATATCTACTAACTGTTATTGTTATATCTGTATAGTAAGGTTGTGACATGAAGCACAGTACAATACAGGAAAACTAGACACTGCCATTTCAGGAGACATATTCAATCAGAATGAAAATACAAGGGTTGATTAAGTTCTGAGTCTCACTAACAAGGAATTACATAGTGGTGAAATCTTTTTTTGTGGACATTACATGATGTCATAGAGGTATACTGAGTCAATTTAGCAAATTGTTTCAATGTGACGAGTCTGTATGTGTGCAGGTGTCAGTAAAATGGACAATCTTGAGGAATGTGCACTGATGAAGTACTTGCAGAAAAAGAGCTTAACATCCAGAACCTTCCATGAAGATATGAGTACAACACTAGGGAAAGAGTCCCTTCCTTTGTCGCTGTAAAGAGGTGGGCAACAGAGTTTAAACGTGGCAGGGAGAGCCTTGAAGATTACCCCTGTCCTGGAAGCCTTTTCCCATCAGCAGCACCAGAAATAATCCAGAGAATCCACAATATGGTGATGCCCGACTTGTGAATGACTGAGCCCCATATTGCTAGTTCAGTTGTCATTTTCCAGGAGGGAGTACATTCCATTATCAGCTTATTGTGTTCCAAAGCTATTGACGTCTGATAAAAAAAAAATTATAAGGCACAATATGTTTCATGACAATCTAGCTCTGCTTGAAGCTGATGCCGAAAAGTTCTTGCAACAGTGTTTAACAATGGATGAAACCTGGGTTCATCACTACCTGCCTTGAGTCAAAGCAACAATCAAAACTATTGAATCATTTGACATCACCACCACAAAAGAAGGCAAGACTGTCCTATCAGCTGGAAAGGTTTTGGCCTTTATGTTCTGGGATGCCAAGGATGTCAAGGATGTCATCATGTCATCATGTCACAAGAAACAGTGCATATTATGCTGCTCTTTTGAGGCAATTGTGTGATGACATCAAGACTATGAGACGTGGGACGCTGAAAAAAGATTTGTTCTTCCATCAGGACAGTGGATCAATGTGGAAGATGATTATGTTGAAAAATAAATCATTTTAATGTCTTTAAGGCAAGTCTTTCTATGTGAGGCTCAATCAACCCTCATAAAGTATATGGGGCGGTCGGGTAGCCTAGTGGTTAAAGCCTTCGCTCGTCACGCCGAAGACCCGGGTACAATGGGTACATGGGTACAATGTGTGAAGCCCATTTCTGGTGTCCCCCGCCGTGATATTGCTGGAATATTGCTAAAAGCGGCGTAAAACCATACTCACTCACTCACTCACTCACTCATAAAGTATATACCCAACCAAAACATTTAGTCGATTTTAGATAATTACTGGAAGACCGGCTTGAGACCTTGTGCATAATAGCAGAAAATAATATTTTGCAGTTAATGTTTATGTTGTACATGTTGCCCTTACTCCTATGGGGGGCGGTCGGGTAGCCTAGTGGTTAAAGCGTTCGCTCGTCACGCCGAAGACCCAGGTTTGATTCCCGACATGGGTACAAATTGTGAAGCCCATTTCTGGTGACCCCCGCCGTGATACTGCTCGAATATTGCTAAAAGCGGTGTAAAACCATACTCACTCACTCACTTACTCCTATGGTGGTGGCACACAGTGAAAAATTACACATTAGCCATGATTTTGCTGAAATTTTCAGATTGCAATTATACAACATTAACTCATTTCATTTCACTTCACTGCCATCTTATTGTTAAACAAGGGATAACACTTTTTCATTATGGATACATTTAAAAAAAAAACGATGAGTGGGAGTTGTTTGTTAAACAATAAAACACTGCAGGGAGAATAAAACATTAGGGGCGCAGCCCTGAGTGGTTTATTCTTTGTGCAGTGTTTTATTGTATGTTTTATTGTACGATAAACAAGGACCGTTTATTTCTTATGTGAGATATAGACAATCTCATCCGAGTGTCTTTTGATATCAAATATACTGAAGCAAATTAAAAACTTCACAATCCTAAAATTTTAACATTTTGACCAGTTATCATTGTGGGCCCTTATTGTGTATTTAAACAGTAATTACCACATACTGTCTTCAGATAACACCCGTTTTTGTGCACAGCACTTTAGTGGCAAAAGTGTTTTTTCACGTGCAACTGGTCACGTGGCCATAATACCGCACATGTCAGCCATACTTGTTAGCAGTCATTAACAAAAAAAAGGAAAACACAAGAAAACAAAAGTCTTTACGGCCATTTGTCATGCCATGCCTATCAAATGTGCAACGTGATCGTGCCATCGACATGTTGCATACGGGAACGTCCGTAGCTGAAGTCAAGAGGACAATGGGATGTAGTCGACGGACTGTTTATGATTTACAGACGCGTCTACAGCAAATGGGTACCACCGCTGATCGCCCCCTGCCAGGTCGACCACGTGTGACGTCACATGCAGAGGAGCGTCAGATTGTTTTACGTCACCTCCGTAAGCGATTTTTGACAGCTACATCAACCAGAAATGAACTTTTTAGGGGTATACTGAGTGCGCAAACTGTTCGAAACCGTCTGAGAACTGCTCACCTTCAAGCACGTAGGCCATACTGCGGGCCGATTCTGACTCAATTACACAGACGTCAATGTCAATTGTGGGCACAGCGACACTTACAATTGACTCAGAGGAATTGGAATCAAGTTGTCTTCAGTGATGAATCCCGATTTAATCTTCGATTTGCTGATGGTAGGGCGTGGGTGTGGAGGCGCCGTCATGAACATTACGCCCAGTGTTGTGTACAGGAAGTTGACAGATTTCGAGGCGGAAGTGTCATGGTGTGGGGTGCTTTCTGTGGCAATGCACGTTCCTGGTTTCTTGTCATCCGTGGTAACCTCAACGCTGCTGCTTACTGCGACCAGGTACTGGCACCAGAACTTCTGCCTTTTATTGCAGCACATGGACCCGGTTTGATCTTCCAACACGACAATGCCAGACCCCACACAGCAATTTTGACAAGGAATTTCCTTCAGAATGCGGGACATCATGGACTGGCCGTCAAGGTCTCCCAACCTCAATCCCATCGAACACGTCTGGGATGCTCTTGGCAGAAGTCTGCGCACTCTCCAGAACTAACCACAGAATTTGCAAGATCTTGGCACCATTTTGCAGCAACACAAGGTCCATGCGGAGGCGTTGTGTGGCAGTTGTCAACGCACATGGTGGCCATACACGCTACTGAACTTGTGTGCCATCAGATTCTCGTGCTTGGGGCTTATGATTTAAACTGTTGATGTTATTACCGAATACCGTAGGTGCTTGGAACAAATTATGGTTACCACCGTTAATTAAAATCCTTTTTGGACATAAATGATTAAAAATTACCTTCTCTGATACATTTGTCCGTTGTATATCATATATGGGATTACTTTTAAAAATGTGAAGTTTTTAATTTGACAAAGTATATATCAACACGAGTTGATAAAAGTGGAAAAATTCCAAGGCTTGCCGAGGATTTTTGTCACTTTTATCAACGAGTGTTGATATATTTGATATCAAAAGACACGAGGGTGAGATTTTATTTATCATTCTTCCAACTTTTTCAATTTATAGACAGTAATTAGCAGTGTCTTCAGTGTAAAAAGTACTGCTAACAGCTTCAGTAGCAGAGCCATTAGTGATGTCATTTGATTGTGACGTCATGGTAACCAGTGACGTCACAATGGTCTGCAAAGCATTGTGATGTAATTTCATTGCAGCGATATCTAGAGTGTAGATATCGCTTGATCTAACCCAAGCGATATCTCCTGTGGGAGCCAGGTTTGGATGATAAATCAAAATTGTCTACAGTCTCTATAAGGATGATGATAAAAGGTACAAGCTATAAAAATATTTACCCAAATTTTAATAATGATGACTCCCTGAATAGAATCCGACCTCGGAAAGGTCAGACAAGGTGACCAGGTGGGTTAACTTTGGTATTTCTCGCATATTCTCACAATCCTCATGTCGATCATCTGTACCTTTTCTCGTTACCATATATCAATTGTCATATCTCTCCCACTTATAGGGGTGAAAGGGATTTATTCTTCCTGTCAGAAATGTATTTCCCTCACAGGCATGATACATAGTATATTATGAAGATCCTGTCGGCCAGTCTGATCTCATCATTCTGACATGGAAGTATGATAACAAGTTTTGTTAGACTTTTTTCATTTAAACATTTGCATGACCTATGACTTGAGAACTACAGCATGGATTCTTTTCAAATTTAGGGAACAGTTTCCATACTAATAGAAGAGATGCAGTGGAAGATTTAATTCTGATATGTGGATTTCATTAGAAAATATTGCCTTTTTCATGTTTTGAACTTGTAAATGTTGTTACTTCTCATGCTGACAGAATGAAGATTTTATAGAGCTATTACAGGTTCTCCCATGTCAGACACTTATCTACGACATGTTTGCTATTCACAGCTTGAAGTGACTCCTTCAGGACCTAGCTTTGATCTTGACATCCCTCTACCAGTGATAATTGGCACCATCCCTCTACAAAGTGTCCTTGCTCAGCATCCTCCCACTGCCCCTCCAGTAGGGGCCCCCATGATCATGCCAAATCCTGCAGGTGCCCCCCAACCAGACACAGGAGCCCAACATTCCCCTGCAGGAGCCCCTCCGCCAGGGTCAGAAGCCCCACCAGCTTATCCCCCAGGTATGCTTTCTCAGATGTAATGTTATGAATTGAAGTAACAAAGTATGATTGCATATATTTAGCCTCATGTGCTTGTTTGTGAGCACTTCCTTAGCATGTATCTGCAAGGTATTCATTATAATAGTTTTCTCATGATTATATACAACATGTACAAATTTGATATTTTATTTTTATTTTTCTCGATTTCCATGGAAAGAACTTGTGCATAGTCTCAAAAGGCTGAACAACAAATTGAAAACAGTGAAAGACTTTTCATCCAAACCTGGTACATGCATTAACCAAGGGCTGAAATTTGACTTATAGTCTGGAAGTTAATTTAAGGTACCGACGTTTACTACAATATCTGAAAAACTATTGGACCTACTCCAGTCAAAGTTGGTATGAGATTATTAAACAGTCATTTATGGCTGGATATTACATTTAAGGACAATCGGTGCATGAATAAAAAATCTGTAAATTTAGCTGTCACTATGTTTCATCAACAACCAAACCTGTTCGTCACGGGTGGAACGAGCATTCACACAAAAACCAGGTTGTCAACTGGTGCCTTTTGCTATTTAGGGATTTTTGTAATTTATGGGTTGTTTTTTTTCCATTTCCATGGCAACAAGATTGACATGAAAATACAAAGTTCTGAATCCCAATTCCATGGGATTGTTTTGAAAGCTCAATAACTACTTTTGTATATGCACAGACAGAATTTCTCTTTAGTATTTTGCAACTTACATCCATGGCATTGTAAATGTCCTTTTTATACATACTGATGATTGTAGGTCAGATTGAATATCTAGACAGATATCTGTGTTCATAGTATAAGTTCTATGGCCAGCCAGACCTGTAAAGATCCAAGTTAGAATAGGTTTTTAGCAACCAATACTTGCCATAAAAGGCGACTATGCTTGTTGTAAGAGGCGACTAACGGGTTCGGGTGGACAGGCTCACTGACTTGGTTGATGCATGTCATCGTATCCCAGTTGCGTGGATCGATGCTCATGGCATCACTGGATTGTCTGGTCCAGACTTGATTATTTTTCAGACATCTGTCATATAGCTTGAATATTGCTGAGTGTGGCATAAACAGCAAACAAACAAATAAATCTATGGCCAGCCAAGTGTGTTAATATTATGGGTTGAAACACAAATCCAGAGAAACCTGGTATTGTCTGTTCTAGTTATTATGTCATCTACGTTTAAGAAGGAGTTTCTGTCACTACACATTACTGAAACATGATGATTATCTTTATGAGATACTCTCTGTTTCAGCCCTACCATCATATGAAGAGTGTGTATTTGGCAAGGACGGCACCAAGGAAGAAGGGGAGAATGAAAAACATCTGCAGGAAGACAATAGCTATGCTCCTGTCTACACATACTATGACTGGGGCAACAAGCCCTCTGCCCCCCCATCATAGGTTTGGTAGCCTAGTGGTTAAAGTGTCCTCTCATCATGCATAAGGCCCAGGTTTGGGTACAATGTGTGAAGCCCATTTCTTGTGTTCCTCTGCAATGATATTGCTGGAGTGTTCCACAAAATGACATTAAACTATACTCCCTCACTCACTCCATGAGAGTAGATATCAGGGGTGATGAGGTAAACTAAAACTCCCTTCTAGTTGTATTAAGACTGGGACCACAAGCCCTCCACCCCTCCATCAGAGTAGATATCTTGGGTGCTGAGGTAGATAATAATGCTCTTCTAGTCGTATTATGACAGGGGCAACAAGCCCTCTGCCCTCCACCCTCTATCAGAGTAGATATCAGGGGTGCTGAAGTAGACGATAATGCTTGTCTTCTCATTACGACAGGGGCAGAGCCCTCCACTCTCCATCAGAGTAGATATCAGGGGTGATGAGGTAGATTATAATGCTCTTCTAGTTGTATTATGACAGGGGCAACAAGCCCCTGCCCTCCACCCTCTATCAGAGTAGATATCAGGGGTGCTGAAATAGATTATAGTTCTCTTCTAGTCATATTACAACAGTGCCAAAGTCCTCCACCCTCCCATCAGAGTAGATATCAGGGGTGCTGAAGTAGATTATAATGCCCTTCTAGTTGTATTATGACTAGCAACAAGCCCTCTGCCCTCTGCCCTCCACCCTCCATCAGAGTAGATATCAGGGGTGCTGAAGTAGATGATAATGCTTGTCTACTCATTACGACAGGGGCAGAGCCCTCCACTCTCCATCAGAGTAGATATCAGGGGTGCTGAGGTAAATTATAATGCTCTTCTAGTTGTATTATGACGGGCAACAAGCCCTCTGCCCTCCACTCTCCATCAGAGTAGATATCAGGGGTGCTGAAGTAGACGATAATGCTTGTCTTCTCATTACGACAGGGGCAGAGCCCTCCACTCTCCATCAGAGTAGATATCAGGGGTGATGAGGTAGATAATAATGCTCTTCTAGTTGTATTATGACAGGCAACAAGCCCTCTGCCCTCCACCCTCCATCAGAGTAGATATCAGGGGTGCTGAAGTAGATGATAATGCTTGTCTACTCATTACGACAGGGGCAGAGCCCTCCTCTCTCCATCAGAGTAGATATCAGGGGTGCTGAGGTAGATTATAATGCTCGTCTACTCATATTACGACAGGGGCAAAGTCCTCCACACTCCATCAGAGTAGGTGCAGAAGTAGATTATAATGCTCTTCTAGTTATAATGCTCTTCTAGTTATTTACGCTGACCTCCATCAGCGTAGATATCGGGTGTGCTGAGGTAGATTTTAATGCCCTTCTAGTGGTATTACGTTAGGGGCAACGCCCTCCACCCTCCATAAGAGTAAATATCAGAGGTTGCTGAGGTAGATTATAACTCCTGTCTACACGTACATTGACTGACACCACAATCCCTCCACCCTCCCATCCTAGTAGATATCGGGTGAACTGAGGTAGATTAACACTCCTGCATAATGTACTATGAGAGGGGCCACGAAACTTCTTTTGCTATGAAGTCAAAGTTATCTGTTGGGTCTGGGTACACTAGACAATAATTGAAGCTTACATCAACTAGGAGAGGGCCAACAAGATGTCTGTTAATTCTATGAAGTCAATATTTTAGTTATCCAAGGTTCATGCAGGCTTGAAAAGGTCTTGAGTTTTAAATTCCCTCTTGAAAAGCCTAAATTTTTAGTGTCAACCTGGAAAAGCCTGGAAAGTCACCAAAATAGCTTTAAAAGTCTTGACTTTGTTCAAAATGACATAACCTTGTTAATAAAAGTTTTAAGACACACAAAAAGTATAGTTATGTACAAAGAATGTTGAGTGTGTTTAATAACAGGGATAGATATAACAATGTGCCAAAGACCTTGAAGAATGCATAACAGACTTAATTTAAATTATTTGTTGTGAAAATCAATCAATTGCCAATTTGTGATGTTCATAATGCTTTTTAGGTCTTACAACTAATACATAGTATGCTGGATACTGACAGGCTGCTTCTTATAACCCAACTAAAAAAAATGACTTGAAAATGACAGTTGAAGGCCTTGAATGTTTATATCCCATGTATGTATGAACCTTGTTATCAGTTGGTGATGGGGTACACAAGATAATAACTCCTGAATTGAGGTACTGTGTCTGCTTTTGAACCAACTGTGTGACATTTATTACCATTGCCCATAATACATCAGATGGTCACAAGTTTTCTTCAGGGCCCTATTCCACAAGCTTCGTAAAAATGTTCTCATTATGCTTTACAGACTCCACTATTTCAATCTCATTAAAATCAAAATCTTAGTTCTCACTACCGCTAGACATCTTCCTGAGGCAAGGGACTGCAGTCTCCTCCCTTGCAGAACTGGGCTGGAATTATGGGGAGTAGTGCACTTTTTCAGATCCAATTAACGCTGCTTCGCAAGCTTACCAATTTGGCAAATTTGTGCATTATTAGCCGACTCTCTTCCACTGGACCAAGAGCACCATCACATGCAATTAGTGCTCGTTTAACTGGTCATTAGCACCTCATTAACACGCATGCGCAGTTAACTAAACAATGATTGCACATACATGTTACTGACGTCTCCATTCATCTTCTTGAAGAAGCCACGCCTGCTATTGTCCATCAAAATGAGTAACCAATTGAGCGAAATACGTTAAAACGGACTATACTCTAATAGGATTACTCTCATTGAATTTTTGAGAACTATGTGAAAAGGTAATTTATGGCTTACCCTAGCCCTAAGCAGGCTAACCCTATGGATCGGAAAGGGATGTTGGATCAGAAAGTAGCCACACAGCAGCAGTGCTTGGCGTGGTAATTGAGCTGTTGGTAGAGGGTGAAGCTGCACCCAGTAAACTGCATTGTTGCTGAATTTTAAAAAAAACTTTTCATGTTTTTAATCAAAGTCCTCAAGTAATTTGATGGACTTTGTGGGGTAAGCCTCGTTTCACTGCAATAAAGATCCTTATTATCGACCAGATCGTCTTGACTTGGGCGCCGCCATTTTGTTTGAAGCAAATGCAAGTGATATGAGAGGTGGAATCTGCTTGGTCAGTGTGGGAGACATAGAAGGGACATAATTCGCCCTATGATCGAGTCCAGAAATTCTAGCCCGTTTGGAAAGGGTGGAAACTGGATTTTTAAAGTCAGTTAATTCCTTTGCCACGGGAAGATGCTGCTACATGAAGATCTGAGATCATCCCATTATGCATTGGTCATGTCAGACTAATCAGAGCTTTGCCTACCAGATCAGGAAAGGGACATTTGGAATGTGTTTTCTAATCATGCAACCTCAAAAGATTCAACACGGGTATTCTAAACCACAGTTACGGGTTTAAAAACTGAATCCGTCAAACTCATTGTTTATCTGTTCTTACTAACCCTCCCATCTATTAGACATTCCAAAGTGTTCTTTTGTTCTGTTTTCAAATTTTGAATCGAGACCTTGTCCAAAGAAAATTCAAAGCAAAGTCGCATTTTTTAAACTAGTGCCTTCTTGAGACACTGCCGCTTTATGACTATCAATCTGCCATCTATTTTTATGAATATTAGAATTTTGCATAGATGTAGTTAGTTGTGAGGCCTAACATATGTGTTCCATTTCTTGCCATATTATTATTTTGGCCTTGGTTCAACCTTGACAACATTATAGTTGGTGTCACAGGTGAAAATGCTGTCATGAGCAAGTAATTAAAATCAACGTAAATGCTTCTTAGACTGTAAACAAGATTTGGTTCCATGTGTGTTTCGGTGGAACTTTTACTACCAACATTTGTTCCTCTCAAGGTGCATACAGTGTCAAGTTTTGGAGGATACATGAATTTTAAGTATGGTACAAATACTTGCAATATATGCAACAAATCCTCTGTGACAGGAACATTATTATTTTTAAAAAACAACAAATTTGTATATATATATATATATATGTATATTATATCTCTGTTAACCATGGTAAAACAAATCGATCTCATTTTCTCTTAAGTCTTCTAAAACTTAAAACATGCTTACAAGACCACTCTACAGTCTAGCCACACCCGCCTACCTAAATATCTGCATACATTCAGGAGCAAAGACAAAAAGCAGGTTTTCACATGTGGTTGCAATGAAAAACAAACATGACTTTGAAAAGAAAAGGTTCGATCAGCATTGAGAGGGACTGTCTTAAGGGTGGTTCAGGCACAGTTTTACCAGACCACCATGGGGAGAGGCTGTTTTTAGGATGATTAAGGCACAGTTTGACATGATCAACATTGCGAGAGGCTGTCTTAAGGATGATTCCGGCACATTTTGACTAAATCAAATTTGGGTGAAGATGTCTTAAGAGGGTTCAGGAACTGTTTCATCATATCAGGCCAGCAGACATTTTTTTTCAAAACTGCTACTGTTTTCGTTACCCCATGGCTGGTCACAACCAAACCAGGCATTACTTTGAATACTCAGGCAAGGGCTAGGGACCAACAGCGCTTCGCATTTTACTGTAACACTTTGGATTTGTAACTGATAGCTAAATGCTACATGATCCTGTGATGCCAGTAACCCAACGCTAATCTTTGCATTTTTACCATGCTTTAAAGTATCTTCTGTTATTGCTTGACTGATGAAGCTAAACTTTGACATGCAGGTTCCTTCTTATGAATGTAATTTTATTGTATTTTGCTTTTATATAGTTAAAAAGTGTATTTTTAGAAAAGTATAAAACATTTGTTTTTGAAAACCACTGGGCACATGGCTTACATGTTGTAGGAATGTGATGACCATAAGAAGATCCAAGTATGTCCAATGCATCACTATTAATTTCACACTCAACACGGTTGTCCTGATTTTAAATGTTGCAGAAGCACGTATTATGTCTTTCCCCCTTTAGCATCAATTTATCGTAACCTCACAATAGATATTTATACCAAAGTAGGTGGAAGCATCATGAAATAACTTTGCAAGTCAGGTAAGCTATATATATTTGTAACAATCTTTTTGCAGGTCGCTGTCATATTGCTGAATGTGGAGTTAAAAAAACAAACAAGAAATAATTAGCAGGTGTGCTCTTTGTTGTATTTGTCACCATTAAAAAGATTGGATGCCAGAGAGAAGTCCCATGTCACAAATACCCATTGTCGTCCTTCATTCGTACTGTTTTGGCTGTATCTCGAGATATAGAGGTAAAAACAGTCCAAACATAGGTAACAAATTCCCTGTGGGTCATATATTTTATAATAGTTAATCTTGTCTCTTAACATTAAAACAACTGGCATTTTTCACTTATTTTGATGACATATAATGCGGTGGCATATAGTCATCATCTGGTCTGTCCGTCAGTCAATTTCGTTTCCGTAGCTTCAACTTAAAAACCATGAAAGACTTTTCATCCAAACGTGGTACATCTATTAACCGTTTCGAGTGGAACAAGTTTGACTTTGACTCTGTTCACTGTGCATGTTGTGTTTGTCCGACCACATCTCTAAACCTAATAGGTATTCTTTCATGACACTTTGCACACACAAAGACTGGTACCTTTTGATATTTAGGGATTTTTAGAAAAAAAAATTCCGTTTCCATGGCAACACGTTTGACTCTGACTCTGTTCATATTGGTGTGTACGTGGCATAGAAATACAAAGTTCCGAATCCTAATCCAATGGTATTGTGATAGCTCAATAACTACTCATGTAGACTGAAAGGTACTTAGTCAATTTTAGCTCACCTGACTGAAAGTCATGTGAGCTTATTGTGTCATGGCCTGTTTGTCCGTGCATCCTCCATTAAGACGGTAAACATCTCGGAAACCACTAGATCGATGAATCGGAAACTCCACGTGCTTGTTCCTCTTTCTTCACGAATTTCGAATTCCATTTTCAGTAGGTCGTCGCCAGCCAGTGTTACCTGCATACACATCTCACACACACTTACACAAATAGGAAGGAAATATTTGAATTTGAAATATTTCTTGTGAGAATCGTAAGTTTTAGGAAAATGAAACCTAAAGACGGTCACTTTCAACCCAGTTTTACACCAGTAGCCTTCCATCTTCCCGGGCATCTCGTAATGTTGCTTGTTGACAACATGTTACTGATTTTGTATTCACGGATGCGACATTTTCTATATTGTGACCTGTCACTGTCTTATCTCCTTGCTATTTCAGCATGTGTACCATCCCCACAAGACCTGAAAAAACAATACTAAACATCGTAAGACAGCTTCTACTTCTCCCAACCACTTCGTTATAAGAAGGATAATACTTCAAATATCGTCATATACCAATATCGGACATATATCAAATATGTAAGTATTAAAATAGAGAACGTAAGGCGTTAAGAGAAATCACACCGGGGGAGATTGAATAACAGGAATAAACAAGATGGAGCAAATATTCATTTCATCGAATCTATTTGATCACTTTTGAACGTCAAACGATGCAGCACTTGTTGAATTGGACTTCCGAGTCAATTTACGAATTATATAGAAATGCATCACTTTGAAATTCTAAATAGTGGCATAACCACCTTAAAATTGCAAAAAGTATGGTTTAGATTTTGTTGACGGGAACGTCTTCAGATTTAAAACAATAAATATGAGTGACTATGATATAAATTCCACACCGAACGAACTTTATTCATATCAACTATATAAAATCAGTAAATCAGTAGCGCAAGTGTTGGAAAAAAGTCAATCCTGCCGATAATGTATTTGTTGTCTGCTGATAGAAATCAAACAAAAAGCCTTCATAGTGATTTTACAAAAAGCTGATGATACAGCAAAATGCATAACATTGGTATTAAAGGTGGATACGTAAGTACAGCATATGTCTATTAACCTTTTATCAATTATGGTGCAATATAGAAATATACTTTTCGTATTTGTACCATCACATTCGAAGCATAACGTTTAGACAGATACAAAATAAATCGCCTATTTTTGTTTCATGTTCGCTGATTGGGAATAGACGTAAATATTAAGTTTGTGAATGTAATTTTACTGTATTGGCAGTAAAAAAGTTTACGCATTCCTTCCTGGTGACACACCGTTCGAGTTAGAAAAGAAAAGTCAACAACATGAATGGCATCCGGAGTGTTTCCGTCATCCTGTCAGCACTGTCGTTGTTCTGTGACTCAACGACAACAATGTGTATATGTGGAACTGTTATCTACCATCGCACGACGTCCGCTTTACAGCAGACTTCGATCGTGTGTGGACGCTGGAGATAACATGGAGTTCGTGAATGAATGTTGTTTAATACCTGTCAAACTTTGCCGTCTCTATCACGACAGCCTTTAAGTTAAGGTATCTTGCCTAGGGAAACCAGTGAGTTTTAATATGATCAACGCTCCGCGCCATCGGATAGGCAAAGTCACAGGAGTATACTAAGTATTGTTCCATCGGGTAGCATGAGTTGTGTTTAAGCCACATGAATAAAAATTTAATTATATCGCGTCCTGTCAACGTAACGTGTGAGGATAGGCAAGAGTGATAAAGGCCGTAGGCGTTTATAGGATTCGCCACACGAGTAAACTATGTGAAGCCAATTTCTGGTGTCCGGTGCCTTGATATTGCTGGAATATTGATAAAAGCGGCATAATAATATATCCGCTGACTCTTAGACCGAGCATGGTTGGTACTGACCAAACTGATCACGACATGAAACATCAAGAACGATATATTGCACCATGTCGAGAATCGAACCTCAGTCTTCTGCGGAAGATTATTGGTAGGTGGGAAGGTATCTGAAAGTTCATCAGGAAGACTTGTGCAGAGTTCACTGACCATTCAAGGTTCTGTTCCGTGTCGGGTGCAGTGTGAGCACATAGAGAACAAATAAAGTATATCTCGCAAAATCTCGAAATAAATAGCACCTACTGTCCGCCAGTGGGTCCACTGAACTTAATTCCCTTTATGTGAATATAAATACAGCGGTATCTTTGAGGCGACCGTCTGCCAACTTACCTAGCCACTGTCCGAGGGTCAAGTCTCGACTAATACAAAGCATTCCACATTTATCCCTAAGACGAGTCACTGTCAGACTGCAACGTACACATGCGATACAGGACTTTGCGAGCCTGCAGTATCCCGCACCTCATCCACGATAGGGTTTGTTTCTTCCAATAAAGGGAAACAACACTGCAACTTTCCGTCGTCCAGTCGGTGCCATTTTAACTAGCCCGCGTAATCACCAGGATCCAATTAGCGCCAGCGACCCAACAAACTGGGCTTCTGACCAGCGAGGGGCCAGCTGGAATACCTTGCTGACAGTGAGGGGTAGTCCCCTCGAATCCTCACATTTGATTGGATGATGCTTACTATAACCTTTCACCTTGCAAATTCATCTGCGCATGTAAGTGTGTATGTACCATTATGTAGTTTGGTAAACAGAAAATACGTTTACCTAATATTTTTGTAGCAATTAATTTCAAAGGTGTAGCAACGACCCTTCAGACAAATTGCATGTAAATACAACAATATCGACTCCCTTCTTGTCACTCCTGTTTCGAGTTCAATTTTAACAATTTTAGTAGATTATCTCTTTCTTTATTTTTCCGTCTCACAAGTTCAATGGAAGTTAGTAATCACATTCTCTGAGTTCAATTTGTTTTATCTCTTTCTTCACTTTTCCGTCTCACAACACCCCAGTGTCCTCAATGTATAAGTGCCCGTTGTATACATAACGAGGGTACACATCACTGATCTTTTCATTCGCCTTCCCGGTCCCCAGTCCCTTACCCCTCCATTCGCCTTTCCGGTACCACTGGTAAATAGATTTTCGACTTCCCGGGCCGACACCCCTGTTTCATGGTATAGCTCTCCAACTGTGTATTTAATTAGTGGTAGAACTACTCAGACAACTGGTAGTCATGATCAAGTGTGCGTTCGAATCAACCCCCAAAAGTACTAGAATCTGTACTTTGCTAAACCACTTTCTAAAATGGCATTGTGTTTTCATATCTTTCGGTCATGGGAGCCGTGCCAATTTACACCAGTCATTTTTGTGGAAGCCTCCGTGGCCGAGTGGGTTAGATCGCTTACTTTGTGTGCTGGCGATTAGGTGCCTCACTCTTGTAGTGTGTGTTCGAATCCCGGAATGACACCCAACCCCCAAAAGTACTTGAGTCTGTACTTTACTAAGAAAGTGTCATCCCAAAAATAACATTTGTTACATCCTTGGTGGCAACTGTGGCAACAAAAAGTGGTATCCGGAATGGCACCTACTCCAGAAATCAGTTTGATATTTGTCCACAGAAGCAGCGACACATTCACCCCTTTGTGGTGGACAAGGCTTTTGTCAAATGTGGCTGCAGTAAACCCAAGATTTTGTTTGTTTGTTGTTGTTTAACGCCTCACCCAGCAATATTCCACCTATATGACGGCGGTGACATCATGAGCATCGATCCACGCAATTGAGATACGATGAAATGCATAACCAAGTCACCGAGCCTGACCACCTTAACCGGTAAGGCGGCATTTACGGAAAGTTATGGGTTGCTGAAGACCTATTCTACCCCGGATCTTCACGGGTCGTGAACTCAAGAAGTGTCGAACAAACCATGGTCTCTGAATAAACATATGCAAGTGTTACAATACAAAACTGAATTGGAACAGCCCCTGTCCCCATAGTTTGAACTGCTTTAATAAATTACCCTTTAATGACTGATCACTGTAGCCTGAACTGCTCCAATAACAGATGTTCACATATTGGTCCGAGATAACAGTTTTGTCATTTCACGTAATGACTGATTTCACAATCTGGCTGTAACATATACACACTAATAAGTGTGGAATTAATAGCAATTACACCTGTAATCCTGATTATTTGCCCCTTGTGTAATTGCAAGCAAGTAGGTGTTGCGTAATTAATCAACACATTACAACCAATTGCACTAAATTACCGCTCAAGCGCTTCCAATGGCATTTAATTGGCTACCGTTTAATTAATAACGTATGAGAGACATTTGGCTATGTATATTAATAAGTCTATAGAAAAAAAGGACAAAACTGCTGATGTAAATTTCAATTACAATAATGGCTGCTGTAACATGAGCCGATGGCCTACGTAACCTGAATAAACAACGATAATTTATGGATAATTCCTGGAGGGTAATTAACAAAAACATCTGCCTAAACATGCTTTAAGAACAATTCGACTTCCTGAATTTACACGCAATAACTTAATGATGATGCACTTGTTTGGTTTGTGATTTTTCATTAATGACAAGTGTGTATGTCGCATCAATAATCTGTAGGTATGATCGTCGTTAATGGAGTGATTAACCAATAACAACGTTATAACAATAAATATAGCATATCTATCTATGCAATTTCAATTCAAGTGGCTAGCCCGGAATTCTCTAACTTGTGACCTGCACATGACTCTGCCGCTGGTCATGGTAATTAACCCAGCTGCTGTTTACAGCCCTGTGATTGTTTAGGTAGATAGATATATTTAACGCAGGGAATATATACAACATACATTTGCTGTTAAAACCTGTATCCCATCCATGATGCCTGAGATACTTATTAGGAAATGCATATATCATTTTCAAGACCACGTACGTGTGAAAGCTCATTGTGTTGACACTTTCTTCGTTGTGACATTAAAAGAATTAGTTGTTTTTCATCAATGACGGGCATCATGACCGTCCTTCAAATATCACGTTGCTGGTCCTCCCCTATTCCGGGGATTCCGGGTAGAATAATTCCCCAGCAACCTATGCTGGTCGTCTATGTCCATCTGTTCGCGACCCAACAAAAACATGTGCTGTTCCTTAGTGATACCCGCTTGTAATCTACCAAGCACTGTACAGAAACAGTGATGTCACGTCACATGACAACTTTGTTCATTAACTGTCGGTAGTTTCCGGAATGCGAGTACGTTTTAACGTTTTTTGTCACAAATATTGCCTTAAGATTTTTTTCCTTCAAGATGCTTGTTTTAATATGCTTTATTAATAGTTTAATCCCATAGTTCCAGCTTACTGTAAATCCCCTTTAAGAGTACTGTCACTCATTTAGAAAGAAGTACCTTTCATGCAATACATAGTATAGTTTCAGCTGTGGTGCAACCGACTGAGAGAGGTTATTTTTATTTGAAAACCTGATTGTCTATTTCTAATTCCCCTTGAAGATCCGGGGTAGAATAGGTCTTCAGCAACCCATGCTTGCCTCAAGAGGCCACTATACTTGCCGTAAGATGCGACTGACGGGATCGGGTGGCCAGTCTGGCCAATCTGACTTGGTTGATGCGTGTCATCGTATCCCAACAGCGTAGATCGATGATCATGATGTCAATCATTGGATTGTCTGGTCCAGACGCTATTATGTACAGCCGTCATATAGCTGGAATACTGCCGAGTGCGGCGTTAAATAACATACAAAACAAAACAAAAAAAGGCTTTCTAAAATCTGGTCGAATTACTCAAGCAGTATACCTGTACACCACAGAGTACTTATTTGATCTGTACAAAAAAAAGTAATAATTTTAGTAGTACGTACGTACGTACGTAAAGTGTAGTAATTACTCCAAGTCTAAACTTATCAAAACTCTGCAGTAAAGATGGACACAATAGCAATTGCATAACACTATAGCTTATAAAGGAAGGGGCACCCAATTCATGGCTCAGTCATCATGTGGCTACAGGCAGGCTTACTTTCGCTTTGCGCCACAACAGCGCTTTGGGGAGTAGTGTATACCGTCGTCGATGATGTTGCAGTGGACGCTGTGATCAACGCGGGGCTAAGATGTCACAAGACACCTGGCTTAGCGGTGGCAGTGGTGAAAGACGGCAACATTGTCATGTCGCGGGGGTTCGGTGTTAGCAACATCGCCGCAGGAACGCCTGTCACTAGCACAACGTTGTTTGGAATAGCGTCGTTGTCTAAGGCGTTCACCACAACGTTGCTTAGTAAAATACTCAAAGACCGGACAAGGTAGGAAAACATTCTTTTAACCATAAACAAATCATATTCAAAATCTACAGAAACAAACCTTAATGTCTTCATGCTCATTTCCAGGGAGCTTAGGGACAGAACATGAAAGGAAAAGGTTTAAGGCTGTTTTCATGGAGATTGCATTTTTCTGTTCAATTATTCGCAATTGAATTTTTTTTTCACGAGCCGACAGTGACAAGTATGTTCTCTAACTTTTAAAACACACCTATGCTTTTAAACTTTGGCCCAAAGCATTCTTTCGTTCAAAATATTTGAAAATTTGAAAAGTGCCTCTTTGTAGTTTGTATTTAAAATGCGCGCCGCCCTTGCGTATTGCACGTTCATTATGTTCTCGGGTGTTCGTCTCGAGTTGATCTTTACAGTGCATGGTAAAAGGCGCTTTGTACAATTTCATTGGGTCCGAAACGAGTATTTTATCAGTCACTTGCACATGCTGATGGGAATTGTATGAACGGGGCCCCGAACAAGGATATTGATGTTTCTCCTGTATTTTTCAGTATTCTCATCAAAGGGTTATCCAATTATTGTAACACGAACATCGTGATAGGTAAAATATCCACCGCCCAGTTGTTTACGGTCGCCCGGGGGGTAAAAACATAAAGCAGGCGCGTCTTGTCAGATTGCCAGAAATGTGGTGACCTATTCACCTGGGACAGATAATCCGTAATTCACCTTTAGCCATCTGTTGATCTCTAGCCGCTAAATAAGCACCAGTGTCATTATGGCGTTAGCTATACGGCGACAAAATTGATGCCGAGCGCCAGACAGGGTAACAACATTGCCATCTTTTAACGTCTTTTGGTATGACGCGGCCGGGGATCAAACCCCGAACCTTCCGCTCGGACGTTCTACCACGGAGGCAGTCCTAACAAATAGAAAGGTCGTATCGGTTGATGGAAAAGTATCGGTGATGTGAATAGGTTCGAACATCGCAAAAACAATTAAAATAGTCGTATATGAACGAGTCAAATGCTGCATATTTTAAGATACAACGGCAGAGAATATGTTTAAGTCGTTCGTGTTTTCCGGTTCATAACACAAACTCAATTTCCAGTGAATGCGTTCTACGTGTGAAAGCTCATTGTGTTGACACTTTCTTCGTTGTGACATTAAAAGAATTAGTTGTTTTTCATCAATGACGGGCATCATGACCGTCCTTCAAATATCACGTTGCTGGTCCTCCCCTATTCCGGGGATTCCGGGTAGAATAATTCCCCAGCAACCTATGCTGGTCGTCTATGTCCATCTGTTCGCGACCCAACAAAAACATGTGCTGTTCCTTAGTGATACCCGCTTGTAATCTACCAAGCACTGTACAGAAACAGTGATGTCACGTCACATGACAACTTTGTTCATTAACTGTCGGTAGTTTCCGGAATGCGAGTACGTTTTAACGTTTTTTGTCACAAATATTGCCTTAAGATTTTTTTCCTTCAAGATGCTTGTTTTAATATGCTTTATTAATAGTTTAATCCCATAGTTCCAGCTTACTGTAAATCCCCTTTAAGAGTACTGTCACTCATTTAGAAAGAAGTACCTTTCATGCAATACATAGTATAGTTTCAGCTGTGGTGCAACCGACTGAGAGAGGTTATTTTTATTTGAAAACCTGATTGTCTATTTCTAATTCCCCTTGAAGATCCGGGGTAGAATAGGTCTTCAGCAACCCATGCTTGCCTCAAGAGGCCACTATACTTGCCGTAAGATGCGACTGACGGGATCGGGTGGCCAGTCTGGCCAATCTGACTTGGTTGATGCGTGTCATCGTATCCCAACAGCGTAGATCGATGATCATGATGTCAATCATTGGATTGTCTGGTCCAGACGCTATTATGTACAGCCTTCATATAGCTGGAATACTGCCGAGTGCGGCGTTAAATAACATACAAAACAAAACAAAAAAAGGCTTTCTAAAATCTGGTCGAATTACTCAAGCAGTATACCTGTACACCACAGAGTACTTATTTGATCTGTACAAAAAAAAAGTAATAATTTTAGTAGTACGTACGTACGTACGTAAAGTGTAGTAATTACTCCAAGTCTAAACTTATCAAAACTCTGCAGTAAAGATGGACACAATAGCAATTGCATAACACTATAGCTTATAAAGGAAGGGGCACCCAATTCATGGCTCAGTCATCATGTGGCTACAGGCAGGCTTACTTTCGCTTTGCGCCACAACAGCGCTTTGGGGAGTAGTGTATACCGTCGTCGATGATGTTGCAGTGGACGCTGTGATCAACGCGGGGCTAAGATGTCACAAGACACCTGGCTTAGCGGTGGCAGTGGTGAAAGACGGCAACATTGTCATGTCGCGGGGGTTCGGTGTTAGCAACATCGCCGCAGGAACGCCTGTCACTAGCACAACGTTGTTTGGAATAGCGTCGTTGTCTAAGGCGTTCACCACAACGTTGCTTAGTAAAATACTCAAAGACCGGACAAGGTAGGAAAACATTCTTTTAACCATAAACAAATCATATTCAAAATCTACAGAAACAAACCTTAATGTCTTCATGCTCATTTCCAGGGAGCTTAGGGACAGAACATGAAAGGAAAAGGTTTAAGGCTGTTTTCATGGAGATTGCATTTTTCTGTTCAATTATTCGCAATTGAATTTTTTTTTCACGAGCCGACAGTGACAAGTATGTTCTCTAACTTTTAAAACACACCTATGCTTTTAAACTTTGGCCCAAAGCATTCTTTCGTTCAAAATATTTGAAAATTTGAAAAGTGCCTCTTTGTAGTTTGTATTTAAAATGCGCGCCGCCCTTGCGTATTGCACGTTCATTATGTTCTCGGGTGTTCGTCTCGAGTTGATCTTTACAGTGCATGGTAAAAGGCGCTTTGTACAATTTCATTGGGTCCGAAACGAGTATTTTATCAGTCACTTGCACATGCTGATGGGAATTGTATGAACGGGGCCCCGAACAAGGATATTGATGTTTCTCCTGTATTTTTCAGTATTCTCATCAAAGGGTTATCCAATTATTGTAACACGAACATCGTGATAGGTAAAATATCCACCGCCCAGTTGTTTACGGTCGCCCGGGGGGTAAAAACATAAAGCAGGCGCGTCTTGTCAGATTGCCAGAAATGTGGTGACCTATTCACCTGGGACAGATAATCCGTAATTCACCTTTAGCCATCTGTTGATCTCTAGCCGCTAAATAAGCACCAGTGTCATTATGGCGTTAGCTATACGGCGACAAAATTGATGCCGAGCGCCAGACAGGGTAACAACATTGCCATCTTTTAACGTCTTTTGGTATGACGCGGCCGGGGATCAAACCCCGAACCTTCCGCTCGGACGTTCTACCACGGAGGCAGTCCTAACAAATAGAAAGGTCGTATCGGTTGATGGAAAAGTATCGGTGATGTGAATAGGTTCGAACATCGCAAAAACAATTAAAATAGTCGTATATGAACGAGTCAAATGCTGCATATTTTAAGATACAACGGCAGAGAATATGTTTAAGTCGTTCGTGTTTTCCGGTTCATAACACAAACTCAATTTCCAGTGAATGCGTTCTAATCGAAATGGGTTCCAAAATGGTCTTTATATTCTTCCATTTGCACTTTAAATTTATCATAGCAAACGATGTGGTTGTGTGCGCGTGCGTGTGAGTGTGCACGTGTTTAACACCGCATACCGTTGGGGTAATGAACCACGTCACTGAGTGTGACGTAATGAACCACGTCACTGAGTGTGACGTAATGAACCACGTCGTTGAGTGTGATGTAATGAACCAAGTCACTGAATGTGATATAATGAACCAGGTCACTGAGTGTGACGTAATGAACCACGTCACTGAGTGTGATGTAATGAACCACGTCGTTGAGTGTGATGTAATGAACCAAGTCACTGAGTGTGACGTAATGAACCAGGTCACTGGGTCTGGTGTAATGATCCACGTCACTGAATGTGACATAATGAACCACGTAACTGAGTCGGACGTAATGAACCACGTCACTGAGTGTGACGTAATGAACCACGTCGTTGAGTGTGATGTAATGAACCAAGTCACTGAGTGTGATGTAATGAACCAAGTCACTGAGTGTGACGTAATGAACCAAGTCACTGAGTGTGACGTAATGAACCAAGCCACTGAGTGTGACGTAATGAACCAGGTCACTGAGTCTGATGTAATGATCCACGTCACTGAATGTGACATAATGAACCAGGTCACTGAGTCTGATGTAATGAACCAAGTCACTTAGTGTGACGTAATGATCCACGTCACTGAGTTTGACGTAATGAACCACGTCACTGAGTTTGACATAATGATCCACGTCACTGAGTCTGACGTAATGAACCAAGCCACTGACCACCTCATCCACAGGTAATCATGTGTAAAAGTATACTAAAACCCCGCACATCCCGGCATGGTTCACTGGACACGCAGAGGGGTATCGATTTTAAAATCTGATTTTAGATAGAGTGTATAAAACACAGCTCGGGATTTTGCTATGAAACCTGAAATCTGTTCATTCCAGGGGTTTATATATATATTTAAGCGTGTGAAAGGTGCATGTATACTAAAAAACTTTTTTAACTTTTAAAAGAACGTTAATTTAGGACTGGCGTGAGGGGAGAAACACACACAAAATACTGATGGACTAACAACATCAATGTAACACTACGTTGGATGTATGAGTTAATGAAGAGATGGCGACAGATTGGCATATTACCACGACATGGCAGTTTCGATGGTCGCCTCCAGAAATATCACTTCCGTTGATGTCCCCTGTCTGCGTTATCTCCGCCGCGCATACAGCATTACGGATGTCCTCAAGCCTGATTTCCCGGCGTCCCGACACAATATTGATGGGCCATTAATATTGTGTTGGGGGAACGCCGTAATATTTAAACTTAGAATCTAAGAAATAAACTAGCGGGCAAAAGAAACGCCACCAAATAAATAATTGTCAGTTTTCAACAAATTTGCCAAACAGCACGAAAACAGTTGGGAACACATAGCTGGAATGCAACTTATCTATTCCCTGTGAACACGTGCACGTGCTTCCCGTAATTTGCGGGAAAAGTGAATTTAATCACTAAAAATTGCAAAATGTGCAGAAAGTTACCGGAATGAAATTCTGATGTATATAAATATATCTATATATATGCTTTTATTCCTCGAAAGTAGAGTACAATATGCAGGGCAAAATATTTAAAAATATTTAGAGGACTAGATACATGTTTTTAAAGTTCAGGAGTGGATGTGAATGGTGAAAGGTGCTGTATTGCAGTCTTTGCATAGTTTATTGTATCTTCTTCTGGCAGAGGAAGTGGAGGTCTGCACGAGAGCGGAGAACACACAAGATCAGTGTCATTCTTACTGTGGAGACTGACGCTAACTTCTACAGGACTATAGTCTATAATGTCCATCCAGAGACTGTCACGTATATGTGTACGGTACACACACAAACACACACTGTGAACCAGAAGGTCACTGATGTCAGCATTACACAAGACACAGGTTCCCTTTACTTTCCCTGGACTCCAGCAAGCACACAGCTTTACAACTAGTCTGCAGGGGGGCTTCATCAAGGGGAATAGTTCGTCAATCTGCCATGCAAAGTGAGGCTGTATTTCAGGATGAATTATTCTGAAGTGTTTTAGGTCTGGATCAGCAGCTATTCTACTGCTCTTTCTCATAAGTGAAGATAGCTTCTGTGACCATCTTCTTCCAGGAGATGTAAATCACAAAACGTCCAGAGTCTATGATCATTTCAAGATATTCTTTTAGTCCGTACTTCTTCACGAGTCGATAGACATCCGGGATGAATCCAAGTGAAACTGGACTGCAGCTTTTCTTGTAGCAGAAGTGGCAGCTTATGAAGACACTGGTTAAATTAGTGTGCTTTATATGAGAAAGCTTAACAAAGAACAACAGCTGCTTTTTATCAACTGCAGCTTCTGCAGGTAATGTTCCCAAAAGAGAGTTACATAGGTCAGTTCTGATATGTCAGGGAAGTCCTTGTGCCATCTTTAGGGCTAGTCTTTGTGAGTGTTCAATTGCTAGTAGCTCCCTCTTTGTCAAATATGACCACAACTCGCAGCCATACAATGCTTTAGGTAGGCATATTGTCTGGAACAACTTGAGACTGGTGAGGGGACTCCGTGCATTAGAGTGATAGCCTGATTTGATTAATGCGAATGCTGTAGACTTCATTTTCGAGCAAGCTGCTATTGTCCTGTCCCACGAATTAAATGATTCATGAAGCTCTAATCCAAGATGATTTAGCTCAGACACATTTTTGATTTCTCTGCCTTAGAGGATGATTGAAGTAGGCTGAGGTAAAGACTTCTTGAAGAAGATTATATTGCTCTTTGAGGCAGAAAATGTAATGACAGAAATGTATTGTTCACATGTGTCCGCCATTGTCTGAAGGTTGGAGTTTAGAGGACTTAGCAATGTGATGTCATCTGCTTGTGTTGGGCTTGCCACGTGGACATGAGTACCATTGCCCCTTTCTTTGAGGATGAAAGTTTCTCTAGCAGGCTGTTTATGTAGACGAGGTAGAGTTTTGCACTTCCATGCACTTGGTACAAAACCAGAATCAATGATGCTGTTGGAAATAAACCCTGCGATACAGTGATATAGGTAGCGACCACCATGTTTCAGGAGTTCATAGGTGATGCCATCTATCCCTGGAGCCTTCCTATTCTTCATTCTTTTACAGATGCATTCTAATTCTGACTCAGATAAATGAAGGTCTGGGTTATTGAAAATATCTTTATATTTCCTTTTCAGGTCTTGAACAAGAGTATGAATCTTGCTTTTGAATTCGGAGTCATAATGTTCTTCTTCATTGTCATTGAAGATTTGCTTCATGTGATCAGCCCTAGCCATGGTATAAAACATGGGTGGGCCAGAGGTCGGGAGAAACAGCCGGTCATGGCACAACAGCAATGTTATGCTGCCGCAAAAACTCTGTTGCAACACGTGGAACGTGCGGGCTGGAACTATGCTACTCAAACGGGACGTTACGTCCCAGCATTTGCACAGAGGGTAGAATATGATGTCGAACGATGTCGTCCCGGTAGCGTTCACCATTCAAACTGCCATTAACAATGATGCTGGTGTTCTTCTACGAGTTGTGTTCTCCCATGTGTTCCAATGCCCCGGGATGATGTACCATTACACTCCCACCCCTAAGCTGACGACGTTGAGTAACGTAAGCATCGCTGTAACGTTCTCCTGGACGCCTGAAGACCCTTGCAAAACCATCAGAGCTGTCCAGATGAAACCTGGCCTTCCTTGTGAACAGTCTACTGTCCCAGTCTTGTCTTCTAAACCTTAGTTGATGTCTACACCAAGCTAGGCGTGGCTGACGGGGACGGGGAAGCAAACTTGGGCCTATCACTTGACGTCGGTGCCGCTTGTGGTGTTCCCTCAACCGATTGCGTCCGGTACTTCCACTCATTGGTCCATGAAATGTCCGAGCTCTCATTGTGGCAGTTTATTGTTTTTATCGATTCCGTAGATGCACTAACCGAAAATGGTTGTCTTGTTGATGTGGCGTCACGCGTGGACAACCGACTCATGGCATGTCACGAGCGTTGCTCTGCTGTTGATAACGTCTCCAAAATGAGAAAATTGTGTTTCGATTTCCAGCTACTTCGTTCTGCGCCATTCCCGTTTGCAGCATACCAACGGTGCGTAGATGGTGACATTGCGTAAGCATTATTTACGGTTAAGCGAAAGTGTTTTTATAGCACCTGATAGCTATTCGATCATTGTGTGCTGTTTCACATTAAAAACACATACATGAATACTATGCTCCCAACACTCAAACATGCAAATTATGAATTGCGACCTTAAAGTCGAGATGTCTTTATGAATATGTATTGAAAGATGCATGATATTGTTTCAGAATGAATTTATTTTTATTGAACTTTATGTGAAAAACAGTTACTTCTTTTCCGTTAGTATAGACATTTGCAGTTGTGTATCTACTTTAATATGTTTATGGTGAGGACTACTTTAATTCTTACTCGGCGTAATAAGGTAACACATTCTTGCAAATTAGCATCACAGTACAATAATATTGTGTCTGTATACCTACCCTGTCATGTTCATACCTTGTGCTTTGGAAAGGATCTACATCAGCAATACAGCTCCACATCAGTCTTTCCATGCTGTACTGCTTTCCATCTGGTGATTATATATAGGACCGGTGATTATAAGGCACAGCGTAAGTAAGGTGACTTTGTTATACGAACTGCTAGCTCAGCATGCACCATCGACAACCCGATATCATTCAATCTTGGTCAGGATTCTGTAATCCTGAGTTGGAAAACCAGCAGTCAATCTTTTAACATGCTGTGCAGATTTTCCATCAACACGAACGTCTACAAAATCCTGGGTCGGTACAAGTTCAACAACACCCTGCGGTCAGTGTACGCCACCGTGGAGGACCTGATGGCACACAGGATGGGCATCCCAAGGAACAACTACCTCCGGCTGGACGACACCCTCACACGGGAGATCCTCCTCAGGTGAGACTGGCAAAATAGAGGAGGGAATCTTTACGCCGCAAAAACAAATGTGCTGTTCGACTGTATGTACGTAAATTAGTATGCCAGGTGTCGAGGGGTATGTACAATGTCTGCCCAATATGGTACTGACACTGACAGAATGTGCGTGGCCGCGCGTGTGTGTGTCGTGCTTGCTTCTCAAAGTTCAAGCACCTGCCGTTATCCTAGTGGCTAAAACCACTCGGAAAACCCCGGATGTGATTCCCTCAATTTGAGACACACATTCTTGGTATATGGTGATATATGGCTAGAATATTGCTAAAGGGTTCTAAAAGTCATTCTGCCATGACTTTGGAAAATATCGATTCTTATTGGTCAATCAGAGGTTTCAATGAAAACCTAAATGAAACAGTCGTCAGTATTCAAAAACGATTCGACTTTGCTCAATTGTCCCCGATTTGAAAAGAAACTGCACAAAATACTATTGTTTCGAAAATAGTACACACCTCTGCGTGTAGATGTCATGATGCTCAGTAAAACACGATTGATCTCTTTATTATTCTCCATCCAGAGCTGTCTGTTAAACGTTCGTTTTGGAGATACATCAATCAAAAGTGCTGTTTCGAATGCTTCGCTCACTCGCGCCAAGAATATAGAATCCCCCGCCCTGATTGGCTGACCACAAAGTTTACCTGACGTGACCTCGGGATGATCTTTATCAGAAAGATATCGAATCGTAGTAAAATATCTGATTGAGGTGGCAGGTAGGCATGGTATTGGGGTTGGAGAAATTTGGGTGTGTTGGTGGGCGAGAACGGTTCAGATAAGGCAGGAGATATAAGTGAACCTTTTGTCAACATATTTTGATTTAAAAGTCTACGGTTCTGCAGTTTGTATTCTGTTTGTCTGTTATAAGTCGTGTCAAGTATCTGAAGAATGTGGGTGGATTCCGGGACAGCTTTGCCTACAACGACTTGATGTACGGACTTCTGACCCGTATCACGGAGGCCGTCACTGGGACCTTATGGGAAGACAACATGGTTGAACACCTCTTTACGCCCCTAGGAATGGACTCATCCACATTTGGCACAAGAGTGAACTTTTCCGCGCCAAATGTAGCGACACCATACGTCATTGAGAATGGTCAGATTGTAGCGGCCTCGACCCAGTTTGTACGGTGGGTGTCGTGTTGCCTGTAGTCATGTGTACGGTGGCCAATCGTGCATGAATTACATGATCGTGGGTTCAAATCTTTGATTCACCTTGATTATGTCTCTGGGTTTGACAGCACCGTACCCTTGCTCGTGGGTTCCCCAGTGTAGTAAACATCTAACCAGTGCATCACTTCAGGCTTCCCACCCACTGTTGCTTGACACATGCTGGTATGACTGAAAGTATGTTCAAGCCGTCTGTCCCTGTCTCGCTGTCTCCCTCAATCGTATGTTCATATCACACCAAGAAATATTTATATTTAGCTATGCTTTGTGGTGAATATAATTAAAGGTGGATTCCGGATTTGAAAACGTTGTTAAATGTGAAACAACATAAATCACTTGTTTGTCTTGCCCAAACTGGACTATTATACACCACCACAATATAGCTGGAATATTGCTGACTGCGGTTTAAAAACATTCAAACAATCCAGAATCCAGACTTAATTCTATTCAATTTCACTCCATAACAATTTAATGCAAATGTTTTATATAAGGACATGGCTCCATTATGACAGGCTCCGCCATCATGCGTGATAGCGGAGCTTCAAATTAAGACAAGAGATATTATTGGATGAAATGGTCGCGGATGTGGAGGTACTGGTGGACTACGGCAATGAGCTTAACCCCTGTTAAGCAACCCCAACTGCAGCAACCGCTGCCAAGCAACCCATGTTGCTTACCGATGCAGCATCTGCTGCCCCGCAACTACCGTTGCCAAGCAACCCATGTTGCTTACCAATGCAGCGCCTGCTGCCCTGCAACTACCGTTGCCAAGCAACCCATGTTGCTTACCAATGCAGCGCCCGCTGCCCTGCAACTACCGTTGCCAAGCAACCCATGTTGCTATGCAGCTATCGCTCTGACTCTGACATTAAATACGAAAATCGGTGAGGTTGCCAAGTGGCTGAGGAGTTGAGTCGTTCGTTGGAAGATCCGGGTTCAAGTCCCTACACCAGGCTTGTGTAAAATTCATCCTGGGTGTGCTTCGCGATGACAAGGTGGTTTAAGCGTTTGCTCATCACGACGAAAGCCCGGGTTCGATTCCCGACATGGGTACAATGTGTGAAGCCCATTTCTGGTGTCCCCTGCCGTGATATTGCTGGAATATTGCTAAAAGCGGCGTAAAACCGAACTCACTCGCCATGACATGCCAGGAACAATGCTGACAGCGGCGAATATACATGTCACGTGATTTGACGGTTTGCTGAAGGCATGCGCGTATCTCTATTTCCGGCGGTCAGATATAATTTGAAACGATTTGTAAGAATTCTAACTAATTTTACTTTTCTGAGACAAGTACATCAGAAATCACTTGTTACCAAGCTATTCTCATATATCCATCAGTCACTGGGCAATGTTGGGCGGTTCTGGCTCTGTGGTGAGCAGCGCAGACGACATGACCAAGTGGATGTTGTTCCATCTGAGTGGCGGGAAAAACCGCGCGGGCAACCAAGTCGTGGCCGAAAACCTGCTGAAGGAAACATACAAACCCCGGAACGCTCTCGCCTCCAGTTCCATCAACACCTACTTCAGCAGACCCAAGACGCCGGTGACAATGAGCAACGACGGTTACGGCCTCGGCTGGAAGAGCGGGTATTACAGAGGTGGGCTTACGTTAGTCTTGCTTTCCTTTCGCATCATACACAGCGTACTATAACAAAGAACACACATACATGATCAGAAGGGACCAGCCATTGTATTATTCTGGGATGTTTGGTCATTTGCTCCAGAAAGTACTGTTAATTTTTCGACTCGGTCGTGTCGCTAATACCAATGGTATGGGAGTGAGCGAGTTGGGTTTAACGCTGCTTTGAACAGCATTCCAGTTATATCGCGGCGTGTCAGCTTAATGTGGGTGGAAAGCCCGACGTGATGCAGGTCTCAGTCTTTTACCACTTCGGTGAAACCCATGGTGCTGACAAACCTAAATACATAATCGGGGCGAACCGGGATTCGAACCCACAATCATAGGTTTCTGGCGTGCCCAAGGGACGCAACTCTGCACAGCAAATCGTGGCGCCTTAGACGACACCTGTGTTTGAATCCCGAACTCACTCACCCATTTAACTAATTACATTTCAATTGTCCGTTTTTAGAAGTCAACACATTTAGATAAACATATATCAGGACATGATTAAGTTTCATTGACCAAGTGCCATAAAACGGGAACAAAAGGGATTTCTGTTTCTAAATAATTTGTTGAAGATAAAATTGAAATATTTGTTTTGGCTCAGGTATTGAAAACATAAATGTTTGCGGGACATGCTAGATGCCTGAAGACTTCATCGCGAAAGAAAGCTGTTAGAAAACCCTAGAATTTTAATGTAGTTCGCTTCGTCATCTGAGATGCGGAGTGTGATTCTGTCATGTAGCAACTACTACGTCAGTAACAGTTCCTGACGGGGACAAGTCACAATTATGCTGATGTTGAGTGAAATCGTGTTGCAGGACTACCGATGGTACAACATTCAGGCACCACATTCGGCTACCGGAGTTTCCTAACCCTCATCCCGGACAAAAACCTGGGTGTGTTCCTGGTCATGACGGGCACCGACCCCAACTACTGGTTCCGGGGGTCGCTCAGTGCCTACCTGATGGACGTGTACCTGGGGGAGGCGCCCTGGATCAACGCCAGCACCATCTGCTCCTTCCCCGACCCCTGGCGCACACGGAGACGTTCTGGGCGCCGTAATCGCCCGACAAGGGTCATGAGATACGTAAGTAGGGACACTACAGTAGGCTCGCGGAGTAGAGGTGGACGGGCAGTGCCAAGAACACTCCAAATATACCCAAACTGTTTATGTTTCCATGTGGTATCGCGAGTACCCCTTGTCTCCACATTCCGGGGAACAGTCTTGTTTCCGTCCTTGCCACACCCAGCCCACTTTCCTGTGCTGAATATGATTGGACTATCGCACATATCGATAGTCCAATCAGAGAACGTTTCACAAGTCAAACACCTTCGTATGAAAGTGATTTACCGCTGCCTGTATTTGTTGACACGAATATGTTTTTTCATCTTTAACGCCCCAAATGATTGCCTATGTTTTTCGAAGGCTAGTGGACACGCTTGCCTCGGGAAGATGGTGGTTAAAATGTGTGACCTGACTTATGGTGTGTCATTGTACACGACGATGCGGATTATTGCCCATGCTGGCATCAAGTGAGTTGCCTGGTCCAGACGCGATAACGCTCAGACCACTGTGATATAACTGGAATAATGCTTACAAATATCATTGCCAAAAATAGTCCTCACTCACTCTTGAACGCCATTATTTCCACGAAAAATACTGTTTCAATAAATATGTGTGCCTTGATCATTCACCCTATTCACATCTATCTTTTGTTTTCAGCAGGCTAACCTAGCCCTCCCGGCATACACAGGCACCTTCAGGAACGAGGCCTACGGCAACCTCGTCGTCCACTACGACAGCGCGTCTCATCGGCTGAGGGCTATATATGGTATTGGAAGCTGGGTCCTGACGTCACGCGGTAGTGACACCTTTCGGGCAAACTGGGACAACCCAGCACCAACTCTTAACTTTGACTTCACGTTCCTCACGTCAAACGGGGAAGTATATGCACTGATACCTAGTTTTGAGAAGACATTGCCGCAGATATTTTTCCGCATCGGCAATGGAAATTCCATCATTAGTTGAACACGTGGTTCATATACAGGACACTTGTCTTTTGTTATCAAAAAACACGTTAATCCCATCTTGTGATCTGAGAGGCGAAAAGGTAAAAGGTCAGGAGATGAGATAGAAATGTGTCAAGTAATGACGCTGAACCACTCATAACAATATCAACTTTATGAGATGAGAAATACATATTAATTGAGAAGAAAAGTCAAATATTCTTTCCTTACTCGTATTTGCTGAATGGTAATACATTTCTTAATGATAAACTATGGTTTCGTTAAAAGTAATTCCGGCAGAAATATTTTGTCACTGGATCGATTTTTGTTTCTGTTTTTTTTTTTTAGATAAACATATGTACTGTATTACAAACACCATATTGTAATATGATACTGATATACATCACTAAAAACACAATAAATATGGCGTTTTATGAATTATCGGTTTGTTATTATTTATGTGGATTGTCTAGACGTTGGAAATTACTTCAGTAAATGAATAAAACATGGATTATATAATCAGTATCACGTGACATGGTTGTGCGAGTCCCGGATGTACTGGTCACCCTTTCCACATATGCATATAGTAGACTGGAGCCGTACATACGGCCAAGCCCACATGGCATTTGGCCCATGAAACGTATGGCAATACAGTGGACTATAACGAACTGACGCTGATTGATCACGGTTGCATATTCTGCTGTCCGACGACTACGGGCGTTAGAATGTCATCTGAGGTTAAACAGCATTGCCATGTATCGTTCTACTCCTTTCATCTATCTATAGTACGTCTGTCTCGACTCCAACTAAGAGGTGAGGTGAAATGGGGTTTAACGTCGCTTCCAAGATTATTGCACTTATATAGCGACGTGCATGTACGTGTGTGTGTTTGGGTGGCTGCTTGTACTAGTCCGGACTGATGCCGATTTATAGTGCTAGCTCACTGAGATACCATGCCGCAGTTTAACATGAATATCCCACTCAGACACAGTATACTGACTCCCAGCCGACCAGTCCTTGTTTTAGCCCATTAATGCCGAGCGCCAGACAGGGTAACAACAAGTACCATCTTTTAACGTCTTTTGGTATGACGCGGCCGGGGCGGGCGGACGCTCTACCACTAGACCACAGAGGCGGTCCCCAACTAAGAACATCAGTCATGATGATGTGTTCCGTCGCTCGGATGTAGCCCCTAATGTGACGAGATTTTATAGATCAGCTCACGCTGGTGTTCGTGTCCGCCGCTGCGACTGTCGTAAATCTATGTTAAGTATCGGAGTTACGATCGTCTTAGCACTACGATCGCTTTGTGGAACGGGGCCCTGTACTTGAATACTCATTTAAATAGGTGTTGTGACCGTGTTGTGTAACTGAGTTCAAACCTTTTAAAACACATACGATAGGTCTGGGGTACAGTCCGGAGAGTGCATTACGTTAAGGGGAGATGTATTGTAAAGATCCTCCGTTATCGGAAGGACAGATATGGGACGAACAAATGTGAACTAAATGAGTGAATGTTGTTTTACGGCACTGTCCGTAACCTTCAAGCCTCATCACAGCTTCCTGTGTCACGAATCTAGGCCAAACAAAACTTATGCACGTGATTCCACGCCTTTTGACACGATGACACACAATCAGCCCGCAACGGATGCTTATCGCCGTCGGTTCTTGTGACACAAATGGGGTACTAAAGAGACTTTTCTGCTTGGGGTTGCCACAGAGCCGCGATAAAGTAAGGGGCCTCTTGATAGCAGAGGATAAGACTCGAACCCGGACCTGTCGGGTTGGTGCAGGCTAGCCGCCACTGACGGTTTGTTCGCACCAGGCCTGAACTCTTTCTGGGCTGTGGCACAATATTGTGTTAAATAGTGTATTGCATAAAACAAACAGTTTTAAAATATTTAAAAAAAATCTATTCGGTACTGAAATAAACAAAATAGAGAGAAGGTGGTATGAGATTTCACGGGAAGACCATGTTTTCGAAGAGCGTCATGCGACTCTTGCTAAGAAGTTTCATCAGGGTTATAACAGTCAAGGCATTAGTAAAGATTAGTAAAGTCAGGTCTAAGGCCGATTTAATGGTGCCAGCCCACTGAGATACCATGCCGCATGTATCCCAATTGCGTGTATCAATGCTCATGATATTCATCACTGGATTGTCTAGTCCAGGCTCGATTATTTACAGACCGCCGCCATATAACTGGAATATTGCTGAATGCGACATTAAACAACAAATCAACAAACAGTTTAACATGAATACCCCACTCAGACACAGTATACTAACTCCGAGCCGACCAGCCCGTGTTTTAGCCCCTTAATGCCGAGCGCCAGACAGGGTAATAACAAATACCATCTTTTAACGTCTTTTGGTATGACGCGTCTAGGGATCGAACCTCCGACCTTCCGCTCTACGGGCGGATGCTCTACCACTAGACCACGGAGGTGTTTTGTTTATGATAATTGGAATCGTACACTGGGCTCTGCCTTCAGCAGAGATATCATGGATAGGGAATGGCCTGTTATATCTAGTCGTAAACGACCGTGGGGATTCCGGGTTAGAATTGTCCCCAGTACAGCTACCTGTGCTTGGCCCTTACGACGACTTAGTGGATGGGGTTGGTCAGGCTGCGTGACTCGTTGGCATCGTTCCCTGACGGCGACAGAGTCGCTCATTATATCAATCACTGGTCTGGTCCAGACTAGATTATTCACAGACCGCCGTCATATTGCTGCAATATTGATGAGTGCGGCGTTGAACAACAAACAACTGACGACTAACGGGATCGGGTGGTCAGGCTCGCTGACTTGGTTGATGCATGTCATGGATCCCAATTGCGTGGATCGATGTTCATGATGTAAATCACTGGATTGTCTGGTCCAGACTCGATTATTTACAGACCGCCGTCATATAGCTGGAATATTGCTGAGTGCGGCGTAAAACAACAAACCAAACCTAACCAAAACAACAAACAACTTCAACATAATCTCAACTGAACTTTGCACTGCAATACACTATCAGCGAATACACGCTATTCCTTATCTCCGTCATGAATCGGCCATGATGTTAGGAAGTTCACATCTGTTCTTTTTGTGGGTGACGACGACGGCACTGTGGGGAGAAGTGTATACCGTCGTCGATGATGTTGCAGTGGACGCTGTGATCAACGCGGGGCTGAAATGTCACCAGACACCTGGGTTAGCGGTGTCAGTGGTGAAAGATGGCAAAGTCGTCATGTCGCGGGGGTTCGGTGTCACCGACCTTGCTACCAAAACACCTGTCACGAACACAACTCTGTTTGAGATAGCGTCGTTGTCCAAAGCGTTCACAACGGCGTTGTTGAGTAAGGTATTGCATGATCAAAGTAGGTAAGTAATGAAATATATTTTGACTCTCTGCTGTATTGTTTCTCAGCATCCCCACCCCTCAAACCCCCACCCCCCACCCCTCCCCCTCCATCCCCCGTCCATCCCCCACCCCCGAACGTTTTCCCTCTTGGACGCCAAGTAATTCTCATTACTAATTCTTATTTAGATATTTCATAACCAGATGATTTTTCAAGACTTGCAGCACAACACCCCCACCCCAACCCTATGTCGGCCCCTAACTTAGAACAGACTTTGTCTTGCTGAAGAGTATGAAATGAGAAGACGTCTATTGTAAGCATCGAATTGTAATTCGAACCGGGCTTAGTAAAGCTATGATGGCGAATGGATCCAGGGTATTCATCATAAATAAATCGATGATGCTGAACATATACCAGTAACAATTTTGCATTGTGTTTCGACCCACAAAGCCTGTCATTCCCTGCCTCTTCACTGAGTCTACGATCGGACAAGAAATACACGTTTGATGCTGACTGGTATTCTGTGCATATATCCTCAGTTACACTATCAAGACGAATGTGTACCACCTGTTAGGGAGGAACGGGTTCAACAACTCCCTGCGGTCAGTGTACGCCGTCGTGGAGGACCTGATGGCACACAGGATGGGTATCCCCAGGAACAACTACCTCCGGCTGGACGACACCCTCACACGGGAGAACCTCGTCAGGTATATAAGACTGTTCTAGCCAGTCATAATCACTTCAGGTATATCGCGAAAAGGGTAAGATGTCCTGCTCCAACGGTAGAACCCGCTACTAACGCAATTTACTAAAAAGGGTAGTTGTTTGTTGCCAAACGCCGCAATGCGTACTCCTGCCATACTCATGTCTGTAAATAAACGAGTCAATCCAGTGACATGTAGCATGTTTACTAATTTGTTGAAACTATAAATGACATGTCAACTTTGAATTACATCTGCGTAAAAGTGGATAGTTTCCACTTGTCACAAGTAAAGAGAAACACTTCAGAAATATGTTCGTTTTACAACACTCTAAAGGGCAAGTTAAATGACTCGGTCGAAACATTATTTCTGTATTTGACTTGCAGTTGCTTTAAAGAAAACAGTTCTATTTGAATCATGAAAATACAAGTTGGGGACAAGTGATACTTGTACAAATACTTGCCTCCACCCCCCCCCCCCCCCCCACCCCAACCCCCTGTCAAAAGAATTTACCTACGGCCTGGGAAGAAGGCTTCCAGATCGATAACGAAAACCAATGGTGATTCAGTGGAGGGCGATAGATCTAGAATCCTTACTCAAGTTGGGGACAAGTGATACTTGTACAAATACTTGCCTCCACCCCCCCCCCCCCCCCCCCCCCCCCACCCCCACCCCCACCCCCACCCCCCCCCCCCCCCACCCCACCCCAACCCCCTGTCAAAAGAATTTACCTACGGCCTGGGAAGAAGGCTTCCAGATCGATAACGAAAACCAATGGTGATTCAGTGGAGGGCGATAGATCTAGAATCCTTACTCAATGTTCACATTCACAATATGAATATGTTGCTGTGTCCTGTGACAGCCGGGTGAAGTACCTTCCCAGCACCGGCGGCTTCAGGGGCAGCTTTTACTACAGCGACCTCATGTACGGACTGCTGACACACATCACGGAGTTGCTCACAAAGAAGACTTGGGAGGACAGTATGACTGACAACATCTTCAAGCCCTTGCACATGGACTCCAGCACATTCGGAACCAGAGCGGACTTCACCTCACCAAACATTGCGACACCTTACACTAAACAGGGTAGCAAGCTTGTAACGCCATCGTCTGACTTTATCCGGTATGTGTGTGGCACTCCATAGTCATCTTCCCGAGGCAAGGGTGGAAACTGGACTCTTATAGTCAGTTAACTCCCTTGCCTCGGGAAGATGTACATAGTAGGTCTCATTTGAGGTGAGGGAGTTTTAGGTCGCCTTGATACGTATTCCATCAAAGTTGGAGACAACAAGAATAGGTTTCACCCATTGTACCCATGTTGAGCATCGAACCAGCACCTTCAGCCTTGACAAGTGAACGTTATGATGTTTGTTTGTTTGTTGTTGAACGCCGCACTCAACAATATTCCAGCTATATGACGGCGGTCTGTAAATAATTGAGTCTGGACCAGGCAAGCCAGTGATTGACATCATGAGCATCGATCCACGCAATTGGGATACAACCAAGTCAGCGACCCTGACCAACAAGCATAGTCGCCTTTTACGGCATGCATGGGTTGCTGAAGACCTGTTCTAACCCGGATCTTCACGGGTGAACGTGTCTCCGACGTCAGTGGAAATTATATTTTTCTTAAAATAAAGAAAACATACTATACGAACATCTTATATGACTGGCTAGATACTACTTTCAAATTCAAGGGGGCTCTGGTAAAACCTAATGCTGTAGTCTTCCAGGCTAAGTAGGAGTCCTGTCCCCACGGAGTTGTCTGACAAGGCTGCGTGAGTGCGTATGGTTTAACATAAGCAATATTTGGGGGACACCAGAAATGGGCTTCACAAACTGTACCCATGTCGGGAATCGAACACGTGTCTCCGGCGTGACGAGTGAACACTTTAGCCACTAGGCTACCCTAGCGCCCCTGACATGGCTGATCCAGAGTGGCAAGGGACAGGTTAACTGATTCTGTTATCTTACTGAAGTATCCATGACCTGTTGCTGGTTTTCAAGATACACTCACATTATTCTTCATCAGTCACTGGGCAAAGATTGGTGGTTCTGGGTCTGTGATCAGCAGCGCAGACGACATGACCAAGTGGATGTTGTTCCATCTGAGTGGCGGGAAGAACCGAGAGGGCAACCAAGTCGTGGCCGAAAACCTGCTGAAGGAAACATACAAACCCCGGAACGCTCTCGCCACCAGTTCCATCAACACCTACTTCAGCAGACCCAAGACGCCGGTGACAATGAGCAACGACGGTTACGGCCTCGGCTGGAAGAGCGGGTATTACAGAGGTGGGGTTTCTATAGATCCAGTTTTATGTAGGAGCGGTGGCTGAAAGTTCTGAGCTTAACTACGAAAGGTATATATACTGAACACGAAAAGTTCATGTGACATTGAATAAGATTTAATGCAAAGTTAAGTTTTTTACCAAATCTGAAACAATTTCGGTTTGCAACAGATAAAAGACTCCTGTAGGTGTTTAAATGGTTTAATTTTCCATGCTAACTTCAGAAAATGCGTGATTTCATATAAAAACATGCCAACATGCCTGGTGTCACAGGAACCTTTGTTGTTGAGTATAGTATATCCTTAAGGGTTTTCGTGTATTAAGTACAATACTTTCCATGCTTATTTCGACAGGTATCAAAGTGACTAGGTATTCTCTGTTGATGAAAAATAACCAAATTTGCTCCTTTTTTTCGCCATTGTTAAGAGTTGTGTGAGTGAGTGAGAGAGTATGGTTTTACACCGCTTTTAGCAATATTCCAGCAATATCACGGCGGGGGACACCAGAAATGGGCTTCACACATTGTACCCATGTCGGGTATTGAACCCGGGTCTTCGGCGCGACGAGCGAAGTTTTAGCCACTAGGCTACCCGACCGCCCCTGTTAAGAGGTGGGTGGCAGAGTTCAAGAGGGGAAGAGAGTCTCGAGGAAGACCTTCAACCACTGAGGAAAATGTTGAAAATATACATGATACGATTATGGATGATCGACGACCCTTCACACGCCACGTGGCCAATATAGTAGGCATCTCTTATGAGAGAGTTGAGAACATTCTAAGAAAGGAACTGGGCGTGGCAGAGGTTTCAACATTCTGGTTCATCTCACGTGATAACTTGTTGACCTAGTTGATTTTGTATAGCGATTTGTAACCATGGATGAGTCTTGGGTTCACCGCTATCAGCCAGAAACAACTGTCACTTCAGTGGTATCATCTCCGAAGAAAAGGGAAATATTTTTCCCATCAGCTGGCAAGGTGATAGCTTCAGTTTTCTAAGTTTTCAAGGAATCCTACCGGTGTACTACCTTCCGGGGGGTCAGACCTTTAATGGCCAATATGATGCCAATATTCTCAGGCAATTACGTGAGGATATCAAAGGTAAAAGTCGTGGAAAACCTGCTAAGGGTGTGTTGTTCCACCAGGACAATAAACCTGTGAACAAGTCTGTTGTCGCCATTGTTACAGAGTGTGAATGTTGATCTGAAGTCATTGAACAACATCCGTATTCACCACATTTGGCAGGGTTAGGTTTCCTCTTCTTCCCAAACTTAAAGAAGGAACTGTCTGGCAAGCATTTTGAAAACTTAGATGATGTTATTTCTGCTGTGGAGGATTTGTTTAGACCACCAGGAGGAAGTGTTCAACATCAGCTGGATCAAGACATACAATCATCATTGGTAGAAGTGTGTGGGCCTGGTCGATGACACCTTCCAGAGGCAAGGGAGTTAACTGACTACAAAAGTCCAGTTTCCACCCTTGCCGTACTAGGCTGGTATTATGGAGTTACAGTTTGGCTGGACTAACGATGATCTTACAACAACTCCATCAACACAGCCTATCATAGTAAAGCTCAGAACCTTTCAGCCTCCTCGTAATCCTAGGTGTAGGCTAAATCATTCGCCGCACTCCAGGTATACGATGCCTGTAAATAATGGAGTCTGGATATGATGAGCAAGAATGATCCACGATACCGGAGAGGGGTAACTCAGTTATGAAAACACACAATAGAGTAATGTTCATCATGTCCTCTTCATGTCAAAGTGTATGACACATCAGAAATTAACTGTTCCACTTCAGCACAGGTATTGTGCTTATATGCCTAGGACCAGTATCGGTTCGAATCTGTGATTTGAACATATCACCAGCAGATCCTGACACTGTTGCAGGAATACCGATGGTACAACATTCAGGCAGCACATTCGGCTACCGGAGTTTCCTGACCCTCATCCCGGACAAGAACCTGGGTGTGTTCCTGACCATGACGGGCACCGACCCCGACTACTGGTTACGGGGGTCGCTCAGTGCCTACCTGATGGACATGTACCTGGCGGAGGCGCCCTGGATCAACGCCAGCACCATCTGCTCCTTCCCCGACCCCTGGCGCACACGGAGACGTTCTGGATCCCGTAAACGCTCTGGGAGAAGGTTGACAAGGAGGAGACGTGCCACACACACTGTGAGTAAAGGACGGACGTGTTATTAAATTCAATAATCGCTTCCATTCTGGCTGAAAGAACTTGATGCTTAGTGGTAGAAATACAATGCATGAGCACATTAATGCCATTGTCCAATACGGTCTCGAAGCAACAGCAGCTTTACATCATCTTACGCGTCTTCAGGGCTATTTATTTTATATCTATTTCATTGTGACTTCGTCGAACTCAGGCTGGCCCCTCCACTTTCCCAACATTCGTACGGGCATAACAACATAGGGATTAAGTGACGGGTGTGCCCACTATATCATTAGGGGTTTTGATCGTGGGCTTAGGTCAGATTGTTGGAGAGTGAGTGAGTTTGGTTTAACGCTGCTTTTAACAGTATTCCAGTTATATCGCGGCGTGTCAGCTTAATGTGGGAGGAAAGCCCGAAGTGATGCAGGTCTCAGACGTTTACCACTTCGGTGAAACCCACGAGCACGGGTATGGTGCTGACAAACCTAGAAACATAATCGGGGCGAACCGGGATTCGAACCCACAATCATAGGTTAATGGCGTACCCAAGGGACGCAACTCTGCACAGCGAATCGCGGCGCCCTAGACGACTGGGCCACCCGTGCCCCCAGATTGTTGGAGAAGTGAAATAACTGGAATAACTTGTTTTACATCAATTTTATTACCAATCCCTTTTAAGATATGGATCAACATATATAATACATACATAATACATTTTTTATCAATAGTTTATGGTTTCACTATTGTATATAGATGACATATTTGATAGATCAACATCATTATATATCACATATATTTTGTTTTTAATTCATGTTTTACAACCAACAAGGGGAAAGTCGCGATTTAGTGAGACTGCCTTTCAACTCCTTTGAAGATACCTTATCTTCAAATTCAAATTTCGTGAAAGAGAACAACAAATAAAGTCATGTTATCACTGGCAGTAGTTTCATACATAACAAGTGTATGTTTATCCCCAGGCTAACCTAGCCCTTCAAGCGTACACTGGGACGTTCCGACACCAGGCGTACGGCAACATCAGCATCCACTACGACAGCACGTCCCATCAGCTGAAGGCCACATACGGTATCGCCAGCTGGGTCCTTGCGTCACGTGGAGGCGACACTTTTAGAGGTAGCTGGGACAAACCGGCTCCCAGAATGGATTTCAACTTTACTTTCAAGACGTCAGCTGGACATACTTATGCTCTGATTCCTAGTTTTGAATCCAAATCTCCTCCTGTATTCTATCGAACTGGTAACAGTAACCCTATTATCGGATGACCTGTAACTGTTTCGAATAAACATTAATTGTTACTTGAAACCTGTATCGCCTGTAACTACACCGATGTTGTCATTTGTTAACAGGACAGTCTCCCTGGTCTAGTGGTAGAGTGTGCGCCCGGAGCGCCGAAGGTCCGGGGTTCGATCCCTGACCGCGTCATACCAAAAGACGTTAAAAGATGGTACTTGTTGTTACCCTGCCTGACGCAGTCAGCATACTGTGTCTGGGTGGGGTATTCATGTTAAACTGCGGCATGATATCCCATTGGGCTAGCAGTATGAAATCGGCATTAGTCCGGACTAGTACAAGCAGCCACACACACACACTCCTGTTCAAGCCATCAACAGATATAGCCACAAGCATGGGAGGGGCCATTTGTGTTGAAACAACCTTCTACATCATGTTTATCAAATCAGATGGAAAGAGTTGAAAACCACATAACTTTTTCATTGCAGCCTTACATGAAAACTTCTCCATCAACATGAAAATAATGTCAGTCACATTGTGACCAACTACTCAACTGACAGTAAGGGGGCCACAGGTGGCCCAGTCGTGTCAGGCGTTGCGATTCGCTGTGCAGAGTTGCGTCCCTTGAAACCTATGCGCCCGTAACCTATGATTGTGGGTTTCGAATCCGGGTTCGCCCCGATTGTTTCTAGGTTTGTCAGCACCATACCCTTATCGTGGGTTTCACCAAAGTGGCAAACGTCTGAGACCTGCATCACTTTGGGCTTACCTCCCACATTAAGCTGACATGCCGTGATATAACTGGAATACTGTTAAATGCAGTGTTCAACCCAACTCACTCACTCAACTGACAGATACTCTTAATGGCACACAGATGGAACGCTGCCACAGAAGTGGCGTTGACTCTGGGAGGAGACACTAGCAGCATCATGCTGGTTTGTTTGTTGTTTAACACTGCACTCAGCAATATATCAGCTATAAGATGGTGTTCAGAAAATAATTGAGTCTCGACCAGACAATCCAGTGATTGAAATCATGCGCATCAATCAACGCAATTGGGATACCATGACACGCATCCACCAAGTCAGCGAGCCTGACCACTGGCTGAAACAAAACCCTGATTGAATGCTGCCACAGTTGTGGGGACTCTTGGAGGAGACACATTAGCACCATCATGCTGGGCCACAACAGAGTTTCACCAGCCTTGAACACAGGATGCAGACTGGGAGTCATCATGACTCAATGCATATTTATTTGAGAGTCGCAAGCTCACTATAGCGAGCCATACATGAATTGAAGTGACTAAACAATAAAAGATAATAAAGAAGAAGAAGAAGAGGCAGAAATGATTTTATTTCAGTCGTGAAGAGTCAATTCAAGTTACCATGGTTACAGTCACCATTACGAAAATTCTGTTTGAAACGAGCTGGGTTACCTGTAGATTTAACCAGGCTAAACTTAACATTTCAGACCTCACACTGTGCGCAGTAAATCTACAGGTAACCTAGCTCCTAATTAAGCAATTGATGTTTTTGTGGGAGCTGTTACAAACTGATAATAATATATTGTGTCAAGTATGAATAGATAGGAAGAAAACTGAAACAAATAAGGAGGATTCCTGTGTCTTGTGAAAGCGTGCAGTCCAAGCACCATCCACTCTCACCACCTGCTGGTGCCACAACAGGGGTGCCTGCTCAACACCGGACCTATACAGGTCCCACTCATCTTCCCCAGGCAAGGGCTCCAACTGACCATAAAAGCCCAGTTTCCACCCTTGCCAATCTAGGATGAAATGTCAAGGCTGGATCCTTGCACCACCAGTGGCTATTACGAGTTATGTCCCTTCTATGTCCCTCCTATTGACAACTGAGCAATTGCTTCAAGCACAATGGCTAGTGCCCAGTCAAGGCGATCTGACCAATAATCAAGATCTATATTGTAATAAAACGGGCCTTACCTCGCAAAGTGCATCAAAACACTTGAACACCTTAATGAAAAACATGAAAAGATTTGCAAAATATCTGTCAACGTGTATTTGTGGGTACATATGCTTTGCAAATCCCGCAGTTGACCAAAATCTGCACGTTGAAATCAATGTCTAGTTCGTTGCGCGATTTTGATTGAACTATGCATAGACTTGTTAGTCCAGCCTAGTTTGGCAAGGGTGGAAACTGGACTTTTATAGTCAGTTAATGCCCTTGCCTCAGGAAGATGGGTCCCACTATACACAGCTCTTGCTACACTGATATGCAGGTCCTAAAATATACTGTCCTGCTCAACATGTCCGAGACAATTTGTTGTCAAATAAATACTTAAGAATCTGTTCATTGTAGCCATTATATACAGTTGAGGTGTAGATTAGATATATAGACAATAAAACTTCAAAAATATCACATTAACATCATCAATTTCAATAACACCGGGAAAAACAATATCAACTGGAACAAATGAGAGGAATTTTGATTATCAAATGATTAATACTGATGATTGATACCAGCAATCATAGTAATACAATCAAAACTAATATGCCACATCATTCCATCATTACCATGGTTACATATCAGACAAGCACCACTTCCAATACAATAACATTTGTCTCTTATGGTGGCGGCATTTACCACTGTGCCCTGAACATGCTAAACTGCTAAACTGCCTACAGCAAAGTCAACATAGCTAGTAAAGCCATAATAAGTGTAATCATGGCAGTTATCTCTTTGGTCATTTAACCAGGTGCTAACCACTTGTAAGGATATTACAATACCATTACCAGAGTTCATAGCATGACCAGACTACTGCGTCATAAAACGACAGAAGTATATTGATCACGATGATACAATTAGATTCTTGTGAACACAAAATAAATGCAAATTGAAATACATGTTTCCTCAACTTGTGTCAGTCTTGGAAAGAAGTTGGATAGAATCAGGGCCGAGGTTAACAACACCTCTATCAGGTATCCACACAGTTGGTCAATATTGGTCAATAACATGGTCAAACCTCTCATGATCATTGTCATCCTAGATCATAATGGTCATAATCCCCTGGTGCACTTTCTAGATTTCTTTAAAATCGCAAGAGATAATAATGGGAAGTCCAGTATATATAAGTTTGCATCCCCACTCAACAGAAATTATACCAGTTATTATACTATCGATGAATCATCCCATTCAAGCATGAAGTATACAATGCTGGGAGCTGAATCAAGTTCACTGCATGACAAGCTACCACTACTCACTATCAGATATTGTTAACACTTCTGACTCAGCTGGTTCCGACATACACTGAACCGAGAAGTCTGAGATGGCCATTGACCCCGAGGAACGCTGAACAGACAAAGATAGACTGTCCGATATCTTGCAACCATTTTCCGTGGATAAATCCCCCACAGTGTTGGGCTGTGGGGAGGACTCCCCCTGCAACATCATCTGGAGTTCACTGGAATGCTGCTCCAGCTCATGCTCCTCCAGGTGGGACTCATAGCAGAACACCGCCCTACACACTCCACACGTCACACTCTGTTGCTTGTGCAGAAACATGATGTGGTAATTCAACTCCACCTTGCGCATAAAGGACTTTCCACACTCACTACAGATGTAGTTCTGCCCCGAACAGTTGAGAATATGCCCCTGGAATTCATCCTTCGACACCAACACTTTGTCACACTTCTCACACTTATACCATCCATTGTGTTGGTCAACATGAAGGACGTACTTGTGAATATCCTGAAAAACTTCCCCACATTGTTTACATGTATGAACATCCTTCAACTTGTGAACCTGATCATTAACATGCTGTGAACCTTGCTGTTTCTTGCTGTCTTTGAACTGAAACTGTTGGATGGTCTCATGGGTAATTCGATGCTCATTATGTTCCCTCTTAGTATCAAACACATCTCCACACACAGTGCACTTGTATACTACTGCAGGAGACAGCTTGCTCACATGGACCTTCATGTGCTCCTCCAGCTCCTTGGCCATCATGAACGACTGTGGACAGATGCTGCATCCAAAGGGCATGGACCCAAAATGAACATGCATGTGTTCTTCCAAGAGAGATGTAGATCTAAATGCATTGCCACAAAGTCTACACTGATAGGGACATTCTGTTGGCAGAGCAGATACACCTGAACCAACATCACGGAAGGAAGACTTGTCAGCAGATCTGCTACGCCTTTTCCTGAGGCCAATCCTAAGTGATGCCATTTGTGTTTGGGTTGAAGTTCCGATAGTAAAGGGTTTGGGTCTTATCATTCTGAATTTACTGACCTGTTTAGCAGCTCGGACCTGGGAATGGCTTCTTTCGACTTGGGGTGAAATGTGACTCTGACTTAGAAAATTTGTGGATCCTATTCCAATTGTACTGGTAGTTGTGTCCAAAAGTCCTGACATCTTTGGCGTTTTTGCAAATGGCTCAGAGTTCTCTCCTTCATTGACACAATTCAGCATAGATTGTAAAATTGTAACATTTTGTTTCTTGGGTTCCTCTGAAACCTTTGAAGCTCCTACACTCTTGATGATGTTGAGCAGTTGTTGGCTGCAAGAGTTGACGTTCCGACTCAGACTTTCACACATGTCTAACTCCCGTAGTCCATCAACATTAGCTCTATTATGATTTATTGCCTGCGACAGTGACTCAAACTGGTTCAGTGGGACCGCTTCTGCTGAATCCCTGAGATCATAGTTGGAGGCAGAACTCTCCTGTTTAACTGATGGAGTACCCTGGTCTTCACCAAGAAGGCATAAATCCTGATGTTTTCGTTTATGTCTTGTGTTATATGAATGACTAGGACTGTCTAAATTTGTGGAAGCTTTAACCTCCATCAGTCCGCGGAGAATGGTGTCCTTACTGCCAGAAGAGGAGGAAGAGAGTCTGCTCAAAGACTGCAGAAATGTTGATGCTGAAACTTCAAATTCAGATCCACTGTCATCTCTTGGCCCATTGGTATGACCTTCAGAGGTAACCTCCTTCTTCAAAGCAGCTATCTTTTGACTTAGGGTTTGCTCATAATGTGGTCTTCCCTGTTTGGGTTTCAAGAAATTTTGAAAATCTACATTTTTCGTGGACTGATTATCACTATATTGTGTCCTTTGCTTAAGCATTGATTTTAATGTGGTCTCATCATTCACCAACAAAGAGCGCAAATTTAAGTCAGGAATATCTGAAGACTGTAATTTTGAAATATTCTTTGATATATTTGGTGAAGCATCACCATGACGGCTGTTTGTCCAAGGATCTTGTGGTGTTGGTAACATTGGAGAGATAGGTTCAGACTTGACCTGCATCATTTCCAATGTGCTGCCAAGTGCAAGATCTGATGATTGTTCCACATGGTGAGTCCCTGCTGAATCTAACCTGGCATGGTGGTTTTGTTGGAATCCTTCAGGCTGTGAATGGCTATCCTCCGCGTCTTCTTTGCTTTCCTCAGTTGAATGAAGGTCAGGCTCCTTCTTTATTTTTATGTTTTGATCATAAATTGAATCAGAGTCTTCACATTCCCTGGATGTTGTTTCTTGTGTAGCTAAGCTGTCATCCTCAGCCCCTGTCGTGGGTGACAGAGGTTCCGGCTTAATCTGCATTATTGGATTTGGTATGATCTGTGGAGAACTCTCAGCTGCTGTATACCTACGCCTTGGAGACACAGGCTCAGTCTTTATATTGACCATCTCCAGGTCAGGCTCCTCAAGGATCTGCTGGCACTCACTTCTATCTTTGTCATCATCATCAAGATCACCATCGTCATCATCTGATGTTGCTTGATCTACATACACAGTGTAGCCTTCAAATGTCTCCAAAGAGAGCGGTCGTTTCGTTTCTGTCTTTCCATCAGTGAATTTTGACAGCTCAGATCCTTCACATGATGTTTCATTAGGAGGAACATAAGTTGTCTCCAACATTTTCCTCAACAATGTTGTATCAGTTCTTTGACTTGTGGCATCAGATGTAGACCCTAGATCTTCAGTAAGCATGGACTTCAACACACTGCCTCCATTAGAGGAGCTGTATGCATTTGGAGAAAGGAAACGAGTGAAAGATAAAAAAGAGCCTAATCGTTGTTTCTTCTGGTGTTCCTGCAGAGCAAGGTGCTGCAGAAGGAGGAACGACCGCCCAGAGAGTCCCTCCAGATTCTGCTTGCCACCATCAGTGCTAACTGATGCCACACTGGTTATGCTACTATTTGATGACTGTAAAGGAAAGTCATTCTTTCCTGGATCCTTATCCTGAACAGTTCTGATTAATGACTGGAGGAGCAGACTTGCACTTGGATGAGATCCACTGACCACAGATGACTGAACAGACTCTTCCAAGGCATTGTCTTCATGCAGTATGTTGGCTACTGACTTGACTGTGGCTGCAGAAATATCTGAACTGCACAGAGATGGCAATAGGTTTCTTCCACTTAAAACATTCTTAACTGTCTTCTTCAGAGTTTCATCGCTTTCTTTCTTTACCTTATCAGTAACATCCTGCCTGAGTAGCTTCCTATATTGTCCAAACATGCCTTTCGCTACCAGAGAATGAAGGTTGCTGATGTCTTTTCCTCCCTTAACATTTGATGCAAAGCTCACAACATCTACCTCTCTGAGATTGTACTTGAGTCTGTCAATCCTGCTTTGACAGCTGTCTCTGCTCCTTCCCCTCCCCCTCCCCCTTCCTCTAAAACTCCTTTTCCTCTTTGCACTTCTTGATCCATGTTTGTAATCACTGTCCCAACTGTCACCATCATCCCAATCAGGATCTGGACTCTTGTCATAGTCGGGGTCCAGATCTCTGTCAGAAGCAGTCTCAATTTCCTCCTCATCAGAGTCAACCTGATAGTCCAGATAAGATACTTTCCAGTCCTTATCTTGAGAATCCTCAGAAATGTCCTCAGTACTTTCAATTTTTTCACTTGCACCTGGATCTGAACTGTAATGTCCTTCTGAAAGGATGTATGAAGCTTGTCCAGAGGAGAAGAAGTTGTGATGAAACCTCTCCGTGTCCAATGCCGTTTCTGCTTGCCAACCATCAGGAGCAGGTCCTGGTCCTCCTCTGCTGCCCATAAAATCTTCAATGTTTGCTTCGAAAGTTTCAATCTTGATATTCATGTTCTCACCCATCTTTGATCAGAATCGATTGGCATTTACCACATCTACAGATCTTCCCACACCTATATCCAGACTTTTGAAGTTTGTATGTATTGGAAACTGTTACTCCTTGTGCTGTTGTCTCAAGGATACTAACTCAAAGCTTATTTTCATATCATGTTTATCTTCTTGAAGGCATATTTCCATCTGATGTGGTTTTCCTCACCAGCTAATGTTTACATTGTGTGGTTGCCTAGCTTTGTCCATCTGATTATTCATGGTAGGGAGAAACAAGGACACACCACATCACCATCTCCAACGTTCACCGAGAATAGGATTGCAGCCCATCCTGTTATTACACGTCACTACCTGGCAAAGAAAACAAAAGAAACAGCAATTATTACATGTTCTAAGATCAGCTGTTTTTGTGTATTTTTCTTAGAAACATACATCCTAACACAGAATATTCTCCCATCTCACTGCAAAAGTCCAGTTTCCACCCTTGCCGAACTAGGCCGGAATTTCTGGGTTTGAGCATCGCTCCACCAGTGGCTATTTCGAGTTACGTCCCTTCAATAGTTATGGTCAATAGGAGGGACATACTCTGCCTGTCATGTTTCATTTTAATAATTTTTCTATTTTCAATTCACTGGAACTCTATGACTGACTATGGAAATACAATGCAAATTACAAACAATATCATGAAAACCAAGCATGCCATAGGAAGAGCAACCATGAATATATTACTTCTCATAAACACATGCCCATGGAACTTCTGGGAATAGCAAACACCTATCATTATTACTTTTAACTTATTGAAGCGACCAATTCAGGACTTGGGGCGACCACTGGCACCATCACTGATTTTCAGTAATCCATTCATATAATCTTAACCAGTATTTTGCCCTTAAGGCCCAATCTGTTTTGGCAGATAATCTAGACTGCTTATTCTCAGACATTCACGTTTTATAGTTTTATAGATATTTGCACATGACCAGACTTGATAGAGAAAAAGACATCGTGTTTCTGAAATACCAAAGTGTCAGTTTATATGTATTTTACAACAAATATGTATATTATTTCTATAAAGTCACACCATTCATGCACATCATTCTGATGTTTGTTATTTCTGACATGGTATAGAAACATGAGTGGATCCAGGGTGTGCATGCAAGCGTTACTGCCAGCCTTCAGGCTTCAAACAGCCATGTACAACCATCCACGCATGCCTGCAGCTGATCTACATGTCAGACGTCTGCCAAGTTGGATGGCCTGCAGCTGATCTACATGTCAGACGTCTGCCAAGTGGGGTGGCCTGCTGCTGATCTACATGTCAGACATCTGCCAAGTGGGATGGCCTGCAGCTGATCTACATGTCAGACGTCTGCCAAGTGGGATGGACTGCAGCTGATCTACATGTCAGACGTCTGCCAAGTGGGATGGCCTGCAGTTGATCTACATGTCAGACATCTGCCAAGTGGGATGGCCTGCAGCTGATCTACATGTCAGACGTCTGCCAAGTGGGATGGACTGCAGCTGATCTACATGTCAGACGTCTGCCAAGTGGGATGGCCTGCAGCTGATCTACATGTCAGACGTCTGCCAAGTGGGATGGCCTGCAGTTGATCTACATGTCAGACATCTGCCAAGTGGGATGGCCTGCAACTGATCTACATGTCAGACGTCTGCCAAGTGGGATGGCCTGCAGCTGATCTACATGTCAGACATCTGCCAAGTGGGATGGCCTGCAGCTGATCTACATGTCGGACATCTGCCAAGTGGGATGGCCTGCAGCTGATCTACATGTCAGACGTCTGCCAAGTGGGATGGCCTGCAGCTGATCTACATGTCAGACATCTGCCAAGTGGGATGGCCTGCAGCTGATCTACATGTCAGACATCTGCCAAGTGGGATGGCCTGCAGCTGATCTACATGTCAGACATCTGCCAAGTGGGATGGCCTGCAGCTGATCTACATGTCGGACGTCTGCCAAGTGGGGTGGCCTGCAGCTGATCTACATGTCGGACGTCTGCCAAGTGGGATGGCCTGCAGCTGATCTACATGTCAGACGTCTGCCAAGTGGGATGGCCTGCAGCTGATCTACATGTCAGACATCTGCCAAGTGGGATGGCCTGCAGCTGATCTACATGTCAGACATCTGCCAAGTGGGATGGCCTGCAGCTGATCTACATGTCGGACGTCTGCCAAGTGGGGTGGCCTGCAGCTGATCATCATGTCGGACGTCTGCCAAGTGGGATGGCCTGCAGCTGATCTACATGTCAGACGTCTGCCAAGTGGGATGGCCTGCAGCTGATCTACATGTCAGACATCTGCCAAGTGGGATGGCCTGCAGCTGATCTACATGTCGGACGTCTGCCAAGTGGGATGGACTGCAGCTGATCTACATGCCGAGAGAGAGAGAGAGAGAGAGAGAGAGAAAGAGAGAGAGAGAGAGAGAGAGAGAGAGAGAGAGAGAGAGAGAGTGTTTTCTGATTTTGTGTAGGTGAGAGTTTAGTTTAGTGTGTCCTTTCTGTAATTTGATTTTATTGCCCTTTTATTTTTTATTTATGAAGGATGTTTGCTTTTTTGAGTGCCTTTTGGAGCACCTGGTTTAGATTACAGTTTGATTTCTGATTTCTGATACTGGTTTTGCCACTCTTGCAAATATTCGACCAAAATTAAACTTGAAAATCGGAAATAGCATAAAAAAGGCAATAAAAAGGAGACATGAAATCATCCCCTATACGAAAAATTCCCCCAGTAGGGGGAATCCTCTTACAGGAGGTTAAAACATGTTTCTGCTGCTTGATGTGCGACACAATGTCAAAGATCATGATGATCAGGCCTATGTTCAGTCTGCCTGCTTCTGCCTTGGATGGTTTAATACATGTCTTTTTCTGTCTGCTCTTCTATTTGATTACCGTGTCCACAACTTATGTCACCTTAGGAACAACACTGAAGATGCCTTCAGTTGTTTACTCAGGGGATTTATCCCTAGACAGACATTTATTGTGTGGAATAGGGCCAAGGGCAACTGGTGTTTTATTACCCAAAAAGGATGTTAGTAATTAAATGCTATTTACCAACTGTTAATTGCTATTTTAATTATTCACAATGTCAAGATCAAAGGTAATTTTACACAATGATCAATGTATGCAATGTTGTTATTTTTGTAGGTCTAACAGAAATTATTGTTTGATTATTGTTTAACGCCACACTCAGCAATATTCCAGCTATATGATGGCAGTCTATAAATAATCGAGTCTGTACCAGACAATCCAGTGACTGATATCATGAGCATCAATCCACGAAATTGGGTTACAATAACATGCATAAACCAAGTCAGCGAGTATATGCATAATGGCTGAGAGTCACAAGATAGAAAAACGTTGCAAACCTATCAGCCAATGAAAGCAGTTGTCAACGCTGCGCCAGTAGCTTATGCCATGCCCCCAAACAGGTTTATTTTGGAAGCTGGATTGCAGAGCTTGTTATTTCTGCACTATCACTATGACATTTAAATACTTTCTACGAATAGTTTGAATTTTTTTCTTTGGGAAATTAACTAAATGTATCTAGGAATATTGATATTCGCAACAAAACAGTAAACATCTTTTTCACTTTACTTGCTCTTTAATGCCTATCGTGTGATCTTAAGTAGTGGTGGCACAGAAATGCTGGAGAATATGCAGCAGCTTATTTTGTTTAAAGGCAGGTGTTGTTCTGTAATTCAGATCAACAACCCACTCAAAACAATAGATTCATCCTATGCCGCCTCACTCAACATGCTCAATAAACATTTGCAAAGAGTTTGTGTTTTACTTAGAATAGATATACAGCATGTTCAGTTCTAATTTCAATTTAGCTCTGTTAAATGTACAGGTAACACAGCTGTATGTTGAAAACACAGTAGGTTTATCTCTTATAAAAAACAAACAAAATATGGATTTGATTATGAAAACCTAGGATTAATAATCAACTGATTAGCTGAATTACCCTAGGATAACTTAGGACAGACCCTGAAAACACAAAGCTTTGAAGTGTCCCATTGCTTGGCAATGCTTCCCCTGTTCCATTTCCATAATGCATATTAGAGGGCCTGGGCTTTAGGGACTGACTGCTTCAGCTGGAAAACCCAGATATTTTTTTATTTAAATCTATGAGCCTGAATTATTTATTTTTTTAAAAACACCTTAGCAACAATGTAGTTATTGTGGCAGTCAGTTTCTTTTTCACAGACAATATTTATTTTTAGATAAAATCCTAGGCATGTCCAAAGAATATCACATGGTCGGTCGCTTTGCTGACCAGGATTCTGAATTGTGTCACAGACTTTACACAATAAACACAATAAATGTTACGCAATAATTTAGGAAGTCCTTCCAACTTACAAATTTCGTATTCGATGCTCTTGTCCAGATGCGACACATTTACTGAGAAAACTCAACATGTTTGGAAAAGTGTTCCCACAGAGGCAGAGAAAAGCTTCTATTTAGGATTGAATCAGACAAGAAAACTAACCAGCTTTAACGATGACGTCACCTAGGTGCGCCTAACCAGTGTCCCGTGCCCCGGGAATCGGTAGTGATTCTAGCAATGGTGCATGGTCACAATACACAGCAGTTTCCAAATCTTGAGGCTTGTTATTAAAATTACATTCCACAATTCACACAATACACATGCTTCTATTGAAAATATTTGGAAACTTGGCTCACACATTATGCCACATAGTGTACGCATAGAGCAGGATCACAAAAGCATGTGATTACACCTCGTTTTATTTGCAGCGTTAAAAAGGTAAAAAGCAGATACCTCACTATCATCCCATATTATAAAATAATAGAGCACTGTTGTGACAATTGAGCTATTCTTGAAAACATCAAGTCACTGGTCACTGGATGGGGAAAATGATTATTTGACAAGAAATGACAAATATTCTATTTACAAATTACAGGTATTATTAGTTTTCTGAATTATCTTTTGTACCATGTATACATTTAGTGTCACTAAGGTAGAATGAAAGTCTTAGATTCTATATTTTCTAAACATTGTTTTTCATCACTAAATACATAATATAACTGAATGCACTATTGTAGGTGACGAAATCGTTCGATGAACTCATACACATCAAACAATGACTTGAAAAATAAAATGGAAGAAATGAATTATTTAAAGTGTTTGAAATTAGCATGACAGTCAAGGGGTCCTGGTCATAAAACCAAACGTTAAACGCTACAGATTTAGAGGTCCCTAGCCTTAAGATTTCAAAGAGCACTCTCAATTTCGATCACTGAATTACATTACAATGCGCAAGGACTTGAACAAATGATTTTAAGTGTGGTAGCTACTTTCATTCCCAATACACATGATACAGTAACGTGATCAGGTGGAAACAGGAAGAAACACGATGAACAATAGTCATGCAGTTAATTTACTGGTATAACGAGCTACGGAATATTCAATCAGCTGATCAACAGGAATTATACCTTTGACAGAGAATTTGACATTTCTAGCTCCATGTGAGGGCCAAGTTGAATGGTGTGAAAGTCTGACATATATTACCTAGATATGTATATGTATAGACTGCGACCCTCGTGGTAACAGACTGGCCTTGAACCAGACAGAATTTAATAAATAAAAAACACTCATTGTAATGAACATTTTAAGGGGAAAATTTAATAAAGGCTTATTTCTAATCATTCATATTATTAAAATTACCATAATGTGCATTTAACCTTGTTTTGCATGTAGTGTCATATATGCTACAAATTCAAGGGTATCTATAATTAGAGTGGACGTTATGGTGTGATTATTCAACTACAAAATGAAACCTAAACGTTGGTATGACTGTACTGACATAATATACGGGGCATTTAATTATACAGGGGTATAAAATGAACTGTCACACCTGACTGTAACATGCTTGGCGGACCACATCGCCGCTAGTCGGGAGACCTTGTCACATAATGCAGATATATACCTCGTTATACGCCGAGGAAGATATAAATTATATAATGTGACCCTTATGTGTAACACATTGTGATTATGTATCAGAAATACACGGTACAATCGATAACAACTGATACTGAATTAAACGATTTGGGAAATTGTCTCCTCTTGTTTATCAACACCAATAAACGATGTGCGCCCAACACGGCATCGGAGTGACTGCGAGAGTGAGGAGGTTGACCTCGTTTCTGTGTCGATACTAACAGAAGTCAAAACGACTAAAACACGTCTCTATTACACGCTACAGATCAATACAAGCTACCTAAAGCGTTTTAAACGACTTACCGTGGACGAAAGCTGCGTCTAAAACACAATTTGACCCTTGGCCTTCGAGAGAAAATGGTTCAATTCCCGATAAATGTCAAGGCCGTTACCGGGTTCAAGTGTGGGTTCACATCTAGGTCAGACAGGTCAGAGGTGAAGGGTATGACCGGGTCAACGTGACCAACCTCACCGAACACTGCCTATTTCTGACTGTCGCCTTGTTTATCACTGGTACTTATCTAAGATAGGCTTTGCAGATCTCTTACTCGAATGACGTTTGACAGGACTGAAATATTTGTTTTATAAATGATAAGGTTACTATAATGTTGATGATTGATATCCAAGTATAAATACTGTGGTATCAGACATTTATTACATGCAAAATTATCAGAGAGGATTGCCAGGGTCACCATGACAACTGACACATTTGGAGGGGGAGGTTCGGAAAAAATACAAATTGTCATGAAACATTTGTTTTCATAAACCAATACAGAGGACATTTTCTTATGTTTAGATATTGAATAATCGTGTAATTTTATTATCAACAAAAAGATGATGATAAAAGGTTATAGGTGTATCATAAGGTCAACAAAATACATGGTTAAATTGAAATTATATATAACAAGTAACAATCATGAATTTTGTGTAGCTTTCATGATAACAATTTAATCTTTTGGCTATTTTGTTTGCCAAGTCCATTTTTAGATATCAGTATGTATCTCATGACAACAACGACGTTCAGCATCCATAGGTACCTGACAGCATGCCATTGCTATGTTGGTACCTGGAAGAGATGTTGCCATGTTGGTACCTGGAAGAGATGTTGTTGTCATGTTGGTTCCTGGTGATGTTGTTGTCATGTTGGTACCTGGAAGAGATGTTGCCATGTTGGTACCTTGATGAGATGTTGCTATGTTGGTACCTGGTGATGTTGTTATCATGTTGGTACCTTGAAGAGATGTTGCCATGTTGGTACCTGGGTGGGATGTTGCTATGTTGGTACCTGGTGATGTTATTTTCATGGTGGTACCTGGGTGGGATGTTGTTGTCAGTTTGGTAACTGGATGAGACGTTGCTATGTTGGTACCTAGTGATGTTATTGATTTTTAAGTACTCATAACGATTATATAGTTCTCGCCCTCCGAGATACCATTCCGCAGATCAACATGAATACACCACCCGGACGCCGTATACTTAGTCTGAGATATTACTGTGTTGATACCTGGTAGAGATGTTGTTATGTTGGTACCTGGATGAGATATTGTTACCGTGTTGGTACCTGGATGAGATGTTGTCATGTTGGTACCTGGTTGAGATATTATTACTGTGTTGGTGCCTGGATGAGATATTGTTACCGTGTTGGTACCTGGATGAGATGTTGATACCATGCTGATACCTGGATGAGATGTTGTCATGTTGGTACCTGGTTGAGATATTGTTACCGTGTTGGTACCTGGATGAGATGTTGTTACCGTGTTGGTACCTGGATGAGATGTTGTTACCGTGTTGGTACCTGGTTGAGATGTTGTTACCGTGTTGGTACCTTCATGAGGTGTTGTTACCGTGTTGGTACCTGGATGAGATGATATGTTACCGTGCTGGTACCTGGATGAGATATTGTTACCATGTTGGTACCTGGTTGAGATGTTGTTACCATGCTGGTACATGGATGATATGTTGTTATGATGGTACCTGGTTGATATGTTGTTACCATGCGGGTACATGGATGAGATGTTGTTATGTTGGTACCTGGTTGAGATATTGTTACCGTGCTGGTACCTGGATGAGATGTTGTTACCATGTTGGTACCTGGTTGATATGTTGTTACCATGCTGGTACATGGATGAGATGTTGTTATGCTGGTACCTGGATGAGATGTTGTTACCGTGCTGTTACCTGGATGAGATGTTGTTACCATGTTGGTACCTGGATGAGATGTTGTTACCGTGCTGTTACCTGGATGAGATATTATTACCGTGTTGGAACCTGGTTGAGATGTTGTTACCGTGCTATTACCTGGATGAGATGTTGTTACCGTGTTGGTACCTGGATGAGATGATATGTTACCCTGCTGGTACCTGGATGATATATTGTTACCGTGTTGGTACCTGGATGAGATGTTGTTATGATGGTACCTGGTTGAAATGTTGTTACCGTGTTGGTACCTGGTTGAGATGTTGTTACCATGCTGTTACCTGGATGAGATGTTGTTACCGTGTTGGTACCTGGATGAGATGATATGTTACCGTGCTGGTACCTGGATGATATGTTGTTATGTTGGTACCTGGTTGAGATGTTGTTACCGTGTTGGTACCTGGATGAGATGTTGTTACCGTGTTGGTACCTGGTTGAGATGTTGTTACCATGCTGGTACCTGGATGATATGTTGTTATGTTGGTACCTGGTTGAGATGTTGTTACCGTGTTGGTACCTGGATGAGATGTTGTTATGATGGTACCTGGTTGAGATGTTGTTACCATGCTGTTACCTGGATGAGATGTTGTTCCCGTGTTGGTACCTGGATGAGATGATATGTTACCGTGCTGGTACCTGGATGATATGTTGTTATGTTGGTACCTGGTTGAGATGTTGTTACCGTGTTGGTACCTGGATGAGATGTTGTTATGATGGTACCTGGTTGAGATGTTGTTACCGTGTTGGTACCTGGATGAGATATTGTTACCGTGTTGGTACCTGGATGAGATGATATGTTACCGTGCTGGTACCTGGATGATATGTTGTTATGATGGTACCTGGTTGAGATGTTGTTACCGTGTTGGTACCTGGATGAGATGATATGTTACCGTGCTGTTACCTAGATGAGATATTGTTACCGTGTTGGTACCTGGTTGAGATGTTGTTACCGTGCTGGTACCTGGATGAGATGTTGTTACCGTGTTGGTACCTGGATGAGATGTTGTTATGCTGGTACCTGGATGAGATGTTGTTACCGTGCTGGTACCTGGATGAGATGTTGTTACCGTGCTGGTACCTAGATGAGATGTTGTTACCGTGTTGGTACCTGGATGAGATGTTGTTATGCTGGTACCTGGATGAGATGTTGTTACCGTGTTGGTACCTGGTTGAGATATTGTTACTGTGCTGGTACCTGGATGAGATGTTGTTATGCTGGTACCTGGATGAGATGTTGTTACCGTGCTGGTACCTGGATGAGATGTTGTTACCGTGTTGGTACCTGGATGAGATGTTGTTATGCTGGTACCTGGATGAGATGTTGTTACCGTGCTGGTACCTGGATGAGATGTTGTTACCGTGCTGGTACCTGGTTGAGATGTTGTTACCGTGTTGGTACCTGGATGAGATGTTGTTATGATGGTACCTGGTTGAGATGTTGTTACCGTGTTGGTACCTGGATGAGATATTGTTACCGTGTTGGTACCTGGATGAGATGATATGTTACCGTGCTGGTACCTGGATGATATGTTGTTATGATGGTACCTGGTTGAGATGTTGTTACCGTGTTGGTACCTGGATGAGATGATATGTTACCGTGCTGTTACCTAGATGAGATATTGTTACCGTGTTGGTACCTGGTTGAGATGTTGTTACCGTGCTGGTACCTTCATGAGATGTTGTTATGTGGGTACCTGGTTGAGATGTTGTTACCGTGCTGTTACCTGGATGAGATGTTGTTACCGTGTTGGCACCTGGTTGAGATGTTGTTACCGTGTTGGTACCTGGTTGAGATGTTGTTATCGTGCTGGTACCTTCATGAGATGTTGTTATGTTGGTACCTGGTTGAGATGTTGTTACCGTGCTGGTACCTGGTTGAGATGTTGTTACCGTGTTGGTACCTGGTTGAGTTGTTGTTACCGTGCTGTTACCTGGATGAGATGTTGTTACCGTGCTGGTACCTGGTTGAGACGTTGTTACCGTGTTGGTACCTGGATGAGATGTTGTTAACGTGCTGGTACCTGGATGAGATGTTGTTACCATGTTGATACTTGGATGAGATGTTGTTATGCTGGTACCTGGATGAGATGTTGTTACCGTGCTGGTACCTGGATGAGATGTTGTTACCGTGCTGGTACCTGAATGAGATGTTGTTACCATGTTGGTACCTGGATGAGATGTTGTTACCGTGTTGGTACCTGGATGAGATGTTGTTATGCTGGTACCTGGATGAGATGTTGTTACCGTGCTGTTACCTGGATGAGATGTTGTTACCGTGCTGGTACCTGGATGAGATGTTGTTACCGTGTTGGTACCTGGATGAGATGTTGTTATGCTGGTACCTGGATGAGATGTTGTTACCGTGCTGGTACCTGGATGAGATGTTGTTACCGTGCTGGTACCTAGATGAGATGTTGTTACCGTGTTGGTACCTGGATGAGATGTTGTTATGCTGGTACCTGGATGAGATGTTGTTACCGTGTTGGTACCTGGTTGAGATATTGTTACTGTGCTGGTACCTGGATGAGATGTTGTTATGCTGGTACCTGGATGAGATGCTGTTACCGTGCTGGTACCTGGATGAGATGTTGTTACCGTGCTGGTACCTAGATGAGATGTTGTTACCGTGTTGGTACCTGGATGAGATGTTGTTATGCTGGTACCTGGATGAGATGTTGTTACCGTGTTGGTACCTGGTTGAGATATTGTTACCGTGCTGGTACCTGGATGAGATGTTGTTATGCTGGTACCTGGATGAGATGTTGTTACCGTGTTGGTACCTGGTTGAGATATTGTTACTGTGCTGGTACCTGGATGAGATGTTGTTATGCTGGTACCTGGATGAGATGTTGTTACCGTGCTGGTACCTGGATGAGATGTTGTTACCGTGCTGGTACCTAGATGAGATGTTGTTACCGTGTTGGTACCTGGATGAGATGTTGTTATGCTGGTACCTGGATGAGATGTTGTTACCGTGTTGGTACCTGGTTGAGATATTGTTACCGTGCTGGTACCTGGATGAGATGTTGTTATGCTGGTACCTGGATGAGATGTTGTTACCGTGTTGGTACCTGGTTGAGATATTGTTACTGTGCTGGTACCTGGATGAGATGTTGTTATGCTGGTACCTGGATGAGATGTTGTTACCGTGCTGGTACCTGGATGAGATGTTGTTACCGTGCTGGTACCTAGATGAGATGTTGTTACCGTGTTGGTACCTGGATGAGATGTTGTTATGCTGGTACCTGGATGAGATGTTGTTACCGTGTTGGTACCTGGTTGAGATATTGTTACCGTGCTGGTACCTGGATGAGATGTTGTTATGCTGGTACCTGGATGAGATGTTGTTACCTTGTTGGTACCTGGTTGAGATATTGTTACTGTGCTGGTACCTGGATGAGATGTTGTTATGCTGGTACCTGGATGAGATGTTGTTACCGTGTTGGTACCTGGTTGAGATATTGTTACTGTGCTGGTACCTGGATGAGATGTTGTTATGCTGGTACCTGGATGAGATGTTGTTACCGTGCTGGTACCTGGATGAGATGTTGTTACCGTGTTGGTACCTGGATGAGATGTTGTTATGCTGGTACCTGGATGAGATGTTGTTACCGTGCTGGTACCTGGATGAGATGTTGTTACCGTGCTGGTACCTAGATGAGATGTTGTTACCGTGTTGGTACCTGGATGAGATGTTGTTATGCTGGTACCTGGATGAGATGTTGTTACCGTGTTGGTACCTGGTTGAGATATTGTTACCGTGCTGGTACCTGGATGAGATGTTGTTATGCTGGTACCTGGATGAGATGTTGTTACCGTGTTGGTACCTGGTTGAGATATTGTTACTGTGCTGGTACCTGGATGAGATGTTGGTACCTGGTTGAGATATTGTTACCGTGCTGGTACCTGGATGAGATGTTGTTATGTTGGTACCTGAGTGTGTGTGCGTGCATGTGTTTCCTTTCGGTCTTTAATACAACACCTCGGTAGACTCCAGCTGTATCATGGTGGCCTGTAAAACATAATTGAGTCTGTACCATACAATTCAGTGATTGACACCATAAGCAACGATCCATGCTATCAACCAGGTCACAGAGCCTGACCACCTGATCCATCTTCTGACTAGCATACCTTGCTAGGGTCAGCACGGGTTCCCAAGTTAGGTGCCTTTTACAACTAGCAGTGGGGTGCTAGTGACAAGTTCTACCCAGAATCCCCATGGGGTGACATATCGGTACCTGGATGAGATGCTGTTCATCTATTGGTACTTCTTTACAAATATGGAACTGTAACCCTGACAACTTTGACAAGGTACCAACTACTAGATTACCTCAAACTCGATCAAATGTATCAATATTTCTCTGAACAGTCAAGAACAAAAGATTTTTACATTCAACAAAACAAATAGTTTATTACAAAATATGTTTCAGTCATCCTGCAGTGAGGGAGAAAAAAAGAAATCATGATAATGTTAGCACTTCTTGGACAGACACACCATCTGGATCCACACCGGCAACTGATATAGTGAATGAAAGAGTTTGGTTTAACGCTGCTTTTATCAATATTCCAGCAATATCACGGTGCGGGACACCAGAAATTGGCCTCACACATTGTACCTATGTCGGGAATCGAACCCAGGCCTTTGGCATGGCGACTGAACGCTTTAACCACAAGGCTACCCGACAGCCCTTCAACTGATACAAGCTTACTTGGATACTTTATGTACAGATATATTTATACAGCCAGATTTCATTAAGCCTAATGTGATATCTGACCTACATATAGATCTGTACAGCCAGATAGTCATCGCCTGTACCTGCTATATCCAATGAATACAAACATGTCTGGATATTAACATTATTCTACACATGAATGAAAGACAAGATGCATTAATCACAGTTTGATATTTACAAATTATAGAAAATGATACATCAATGGCAACTTTTATTTATATACACTGAATCATGACAATTCTCATACTTAAACTTGAGCATCATATCAATATTATCATAATATTAAGTCATGTTATGCTTGGAGTTTTATTTAACACTATACAAAGCATTGTCAGATACATACTAATATAAGTAATATGGTAAAAGTTTATTGCACATGAACAGAGAGTGGAACCGAGTCAGTGGGTTTACATAATGGCTATAGTATATACATCCAACATCACATCTGTACTAATGGTATATATTCAATATCACAGCTGTACATGTAGTATATACATTTGTACATTTAGCATATACACCCAAATCATATCTGTACATATGGTATATACATCTCACATAACATCTGTACATATGGTATATATTCAATATCACATATGTACCTATCACCTGCTAATTCACTTCTTTAGTATAATGCCAACATAATAATACTTTTTAGCAATTTGATGAAGGAGCTGTCAATGTCATACATTTCTGCCTGTTCCATTTCATTTTGCATTGAAACTGTTCAAATTTTGGTTGATCATAATTTTAGTTTTTCCAATAGGGCCTGGCCAATTCATAATCCTGTTTGTGAGCCGACCTATTTTGAAAACATTTTCTTTTTGGAAAACATGTTGTTTTTTAACTTTTCAATAAACTTTCAAGGCAAATTTACCTCAAACAACCCTGAAACCTTCTTGCCTCAGCTTCTTGTCATGTTGTCGAAGAAAATGTCTCCTAAAATAAATAACATTTTCCCCTGTGAAGTGAGCAGCACAGCACAGTGATGACAACACGATGTGACGGAAGCAACACATGTCTGAAGCTCTACGACATGGCGACGATGTCTGTCAGATAGTTCCACGAGTCATTCTTCAACATTGAGGTAACAACGTCATTCAGCTGCAGATCCTTTGCTATGTTGTACTGCAACCGTACATCCTTGCAGAACGGCAACAACTTCTTGATGTTGTTCATGTGTTGTTGTTGTGGGGCGTTGTTTGCTGACTGCTGGAACCTGGAAACATAATACACAGGTGATCTTGTTGCTTGCTCTCGTTACTTGTTATCGATTAGGATTAGTTCATAAGAATTGTCTGCAGTTTGAATTAAATAACCTTTAGTTCACATTACCTGGTGACCCAAATGTTGATGCAATCGAGACCCCATCATAGAGATCATGTGTACTACGTTTCTCCAAATTCCATTCATGAATACTCCTGTATTATATAGGTATCACAATACATATCATAATATGATCCAAGTATCGATATAACAGTATCACTACATAAAGTTGTGTATCGTGGAAACAAAGTCTATTGGAAATACATGTAACCCCTGTGCAGCAATGCTGGGGTGTACCTGTTTATGGCCTCCTGTATCATGGGAGCTGTGAGGCGAATGTGTGACCGAAGATCCTGGAGGTAGCGGAAGTCGCCGTTCAGGATGATGTTGTAATAGATGGCCTCAGACCAGTTGGCACGTTTCCCATAAGCCTCACTGACAATCAGGGACTGAAAATAAGAAGCTGCTACATGAATGAGTTTGGCTTCATGCAGTCTTTAGCAATATCCACACCACATCATAGCGGGGCCAAGTAATCAGGCTAGCCCCCTGCCCAGTCTGAATATGAAGTCATTGAAGCAATCTCAAATATTGCACATATATAACGATACACACGACGATAATCACTAGAAAGGAATATGTATGTATATAAACTTTGAAAAATAAAACAAAACAATTTTCATATTTTTCCTAGTCATACCTCGACAAACTTGGGGTGTTGTGAGATGAGGGCTGTCACGCCCTCTGGGGAGAGGTTGACGACCTGGACCCCTGACGACAGGTGCTGAAGTTGTAGCTCCAGCAGACGCGCTTGACGCAGACACTGATGTGCATGACGGAGACAGCTGTCCTGAAAGCAGTAGCAAATGTTAGCTTCTTGGACATTAAAAAGAATATTTATAATTCATCACAATATATAGCTTTGTTTATTTCCATGTTTCATGCTGCACTCAATATTCCAACTATGACGGTTGAAACATTGCTTATCACATGCACTAGGAAATGTGCACATTCAGATGTTAAAAGTCAAAGTTCAAATACAGTCAAACACCGTTGTGTCGAAGTTGACAGGACATACTTCAAGTTATCCGAAGTTCGACACAACCGTAAAATGATGAATAAAGAAAGAATGCGCAGGGACCAAGTTTTTATTTGACATATCAAAGTTTGACAAAATAGTGTTTAACTATATTTTAATGCTGGAATATTATCGTGGATAATATATTTTATTATATAATATAACATTTTATAAGGCATTTACTGATAGATGGTCTGTGCCTAGGAAATAAACGATACTAAAATGAACATCTTAGGTTGGGCTTGACACCATTCTAAATAAAGTTGAGAAATCTGCATTGTGGGGACATGAATAGTACTGCAACAGCTGTTCCACTGCCCACAATAGTCAGTCTCCTTAATAGAACAGACAGCACCATGTACCTTAACGTAGCTTTCAGCAGCATCGGAGAAGTACTGGGCGCTTCTTTTAAGATTCTCCTGGATATCTCGCGTGTTCTCTGTCAGATGTAAAGAAAACAGATTGGTTGCCAACTCAAAGAATCTGCTACTTCTTCAAACAGATGTCAAACTTTTATTGACTCGTGTTGATATATTTAATACCAAGATTCTCCATACATTCTTATCAAAATACAGGCCCGTGTACTGCTACATGGTACATCCTACAATAGATTCAGCTCACGGAGCGTTAAGGTTTCTAAAATTATGACAATTAAACATTTTGATCTGACTAACTGGTTTTGAAGAACGTTGATCTATGTGTCGAAAAGAACTTTTCGTCCATGGGCCACAGATATTGGCAAAATTATTTCAGTTATTCTCTGTGAGCATTAACATGTTTGCTGCATGTTGATAGATCCATTGCTTGCAAAGAGGTTTACAGTAACATGACATCATGTGACCACATTACTGCAAACAATTAAAGATGATGTCATCTTTCGTTCTTTACCTTACAAATGAGACACATTGCATGTATCTGTGTAAGACTTAACATCTTGCAACTTGTGAACACTCGGAACTTACAACATTAAATCACTCAGGACAGATAATACGATAATCCGTAACTCCGTGTAGTCTCTCACTGACACCGGCCCTGAGTACAGACAACGCCTTACTGACTTATCTCCCTTGGGCTGCAGTTGCACCACTTTAGTTTGTAATATTGATGGCATTTTGCACATTTGTATCAAACAGTATGTGGCCATTACTTTTCCTTACATTGGATTATGATATGGTCGCAGTTTTAAGCAATAGAATTTCAAATTTAATGTAAAATACAGTAATAGCTTGAGAGGTTGAGAGCTCCACACTTCACAGTGTGACACTATCACTCGAGAACAACATAAGACTTAATTCAATGTGGTTGAAAAAACGAACACATGACACTTTTATCTCCTGTCATGTGCAAAACATTCAGTGAGTTCAGAAGACAATAGGTGCAGAGTTAACATTTTAGTCTCAGCATGCTTGGACGTTACCGGTAGTTATGGTAAGATCAAATGTCTCTGACCGGCTGGATCCCTATTGACTGATGCAGCTGTAACTCTCAGACAAGTGTTTACATCACAGACAAGAAAAACAGACATAAAACCCTGCACAGCAGCTGCACTCTCTTAACACTATGACGGTAGTTCAATGTCAAGGACATTCTGTAGAGACTTTGAAACCACTGACAGACCTACAGTTGTTTCAAATCATGGACCCAGATGAACGAGACTTTATCAACCTAACCATGTCCCCCTTCCTCCCTACCTAAGGGTTTGTCTTTGAGGGCCTTCAGGTTCCGGCAGCCATACTCCTCCAGCATGTGAGCTATCTCGCGATGCATCATGAACTTGTGAGCCACCATGGTGTAGCTGTCCTTGTCCTCGGGGTGGAAGCGCTTCAGGTAGTCCAGTACTGCCGTCTTCAAGTTGTCGCCCTGGCAGGAACAAACACCAACTCTTTCAGGATTCCCAGATAATGTTTTTACACACAATATAGAGGCACACATGACATCATGATCAAACAGTGGGCAGGGAAGAAGTTTCTGCAGCCTTTCAACAGCATAAATCTGAACTGCGCACGGGTAATAATTTCCGTAGATTTTAGTATAATAGTTTTTGTTTCTTTGTTTGTTCGTTGTTTAATGCAGCATTCAGCAATATTCGAACTATATGAAGGCAGTCTGTAAATAATTGGGTCTGGACTAGACAATCCAGTGATTGACATCATGAGCATCGATCTATGCAACTGGGATATGATGACATGCATCAACTATGTCAGTGAGCCTGACGACCCGATCCCGACAAGCAGAGTCGCCTTTTACGAAAAGCATAATCACCTTTTAAGGCAATCTGTTATGTTGCCTTCAATCTGCTAGTCGCCTCTTACATGAGCTGCTGAAGGCCAATTCTAACTTAGATCTTCTGAGTGAGTGAGTGAGTGAGTGAGTGAGTGAGTGAGTGAGTGAGTGAGTGAGTGAGTGAGTGAGTGAGTGAGTGAGTGAGTGAGTGAATTCGATGACTTCGATGACTTCGATGAATCCAACAAATACAGGTATGGAGCTGACAGACCAAGGGTCAGAATCGCATGTGAATCTGTGTATCAGCAGATCCTGGCATGGCTAAGGACATCCATGGTCCAGATGCAGGTAGATTATGGCTGTGTACATACCCTCTCCATCCCTTTCCCCAGCAGCAGTTCAAACTTGTGGTGGAGTTTCAAGGCATCAAAGATATATGTCATCTCATTGAACCGGCCCACTCCAGTCAGCAGCCGAATCTGAAACAAAGATTGGCAGAGCATGTTGCATTTGTCATCTTGAACAGTGACATTTGTCAGGCATCATCTATAAAAAACTGAAAGATCCTTGATCTCATTAGTTGCTAGGAATGTACTACCCTTGATCTCCTGAAACGCTCGTCCAAAATTAAAATAAGGGGTACAATAAACTACGGCTATAACAAACTTGAAAGGGCAACTATTTTAATTTTGTTATAACCGTAGTTCGTTATTAGCATACATATAGCATATGGACAGGACTAAGAAAACAGTTTGTTATATATGCAGTTTGTTATAAGCGTGTTTGTTATTTATTATTTTATAGTGGAATTAAATCAAGTTTCAAAACACAGTAGGTTTATCTCCTAATTGCAGTTCATGCAGAGATGCCACCATGGCAGCTGTTCTCTGTATTACCATCAGGGAGAACTCCTCTGCATGCGTGAGACTGTCGGTGCAGATGCGTGCAGCGCGCAGCACGTGTGAGATGCCCTCCATGTTGCAGGCCACGGTGTGGCAGTCGTGCGCCATGATCATCAGCTCCGTCTGTATGGACAGGGCTACAAGCAAGACACACAGGTGAGCAGACGGATGTGGGCACCCTAATACAATGTGGTACATTGTATATCTATTGCTACAGTGTGACAGTCAGGGGAGGGCTGTAGGGGATACTGTAAATAGGAGCATTTGCTCATCTCGAACCAGTGGACAGATGGCAGATTTCAAAATGAACACTTGTGGACAAGTGGCCGTATCAAACCTATCAAGCTCCATATATTCTAGGTAATCAGTTCCCATGGCAACTGTTGGATTTGTGTAGGGTTTGACCAATTAGTTATCATTACAAATACATTCACATTGATGATTGGTAGACAAATGATTCACTAATATTTTAGCATAAAATAAACAGGATGGCTGTGACTGAAGGAATCAAATTACGTAGTTACATGACACAGCTTACAGATAATAGTTTTGTTTTAACTCTCATAGCTGTCACACTATCAGAGAGCACTTTGACTACTGTATTTGGATCTTGGGACCCCTAAATCTATCATTAGCACTATGACAGTGAGTGAGTGAGGTGGGTTTAACGCCGCTTTTAACAATATTCCAGTTATATCGCGGCAAGTCAGCTTAATGTGGGAGGAAAGCCCGAAATGATGCAGGTCTCAGACGTTTACCACTTTGGTGAAACCCACGAGTGCGGGTAAGGTGCTGACAAACCTAGAAACATATTCGGGGCGAACCGGGATTCGAATCCACAATCATAGGTTTCTGGCGTGCCCAAGGGATGCAACTCTGCACAGAGAGTCGTGGCGCCTTAGACTACTGGGCCACCCCTGCCCCCAGCACCATGACAAGAGCCCCTTGTCAGTCACCCTTAGCTTGTACACTGCTGAGTATTCATGATACAGGAATAGTTGTCTTACTCTGGCCACTGGAGTGCAGGTCGTCGGAGCAGTCGCCCAGGGCCAGGGAGGCCTCCAGCAGGTTCTCCCCAAGACGGGATGGTTCCTTACACAGCTTGATGAACTGGTCAAACATGGAGATCCTCTCGATGGGGTTGAACATCAGGTCTCGGGGGCTGGAGGCCTTCATACCTATAAGAATTCAGTCAAGTCTCGTTAATCTCACACTCGGCTTTATCTGACACTAATGACAGGAACCGATTAAATCAGTGCTATTTAGACCCCTTAATCTCGCACTCCGACTCCAACACACCTAATTTCATCGAAATCACTCATTAATCAGTCTCGTTAATCCTACACAGTGATCCATGGTCATCTGCCCGCGACTACACAGCCCCGTGTTTTGATGCGAGACGAGTCGGCTGATAGCTACATAGTACAACAGCTGCAGAGATAAACTTGCTTAACAATAAACATTTAAGGCTTTAAATTAACAAAACAGGATTAATCACATGCTTAGATTACCTCAATATCATTAAAATCAGATACAAGTTCTCGCTACCGCTGAGAACATCCAATTACTGATCACGTCAGAACGACCTTTCGCAAACTTTGACCGACCAATGAAATGACTAACAGGGAGTCGACATTAACTGCTAAGAAAGCAGCTTTCTTGAGCTTTGCGGCACTAGTTTCAAACTGGCAACTTCCATTCCAGACTATGCTTTTTAAAATATCTTGAATCAGTCATACACCCTAACTGTAGTTTTGTGTTAAGCTTTAGAGTTTGCATGATTAGAAAATATATTCTGCTAACAATGTAATATAACAATATGAATATTTCATATCTCATTTTTTTATGACAACGTGTTTGCATCCTTATCTATCGTGAAGTTGTCCGATTTTCGATCACGAACGCTGATACAACTTAATTTCGTTTATCAGACATACTCGTTAATCTGACATAATCATATGCAACCAACCACGTCAGATTAACAGGACTTGACTGTAGATTAACTGGTCAAACATGACCTACAACAATATATCAACCAGTCAAACATGACCTACAACAATATATTACATCAGATCTGGAGGGCTGGGGGCCTTTATACTAAGAAGAATATATTACATCAGATTTCTGAGGCATTAGAAAACTTAGAGATAAATTTGGAGATAAATTTGAGAAGTGACAACAAGAACCTAACAAGATATACTATAAATCATTAAATAATGCAAGCATGAAATTAATGTGAAAAAGGTGAGTTCTCCTTGCTCGCAATAATAAAGGAACATATTATTGTCTGGACAGATTGGAGTTCATTTGTTCAGATGTATTACAGCTTATATGAAGTGCTGTGACTCATTAGTGTTTCGACACTCTATTCACTGACCTTGACCTGACTGCCCTCCCATGCTGACCTTGAGAGCCTTGATGATTGAAACAGACAGGAAGCTGGCCACCTTGGACACAACAAACAATGAAACAACAAACATTATCTCTCTCATCAGGACAAACTCACATATTTTAAATATGTTAATTCTAATCTTTGGGATTCCATCATCTTATAGATATTGGTGCATATGTTCCAAGAAAATTGCAAATGCTTCAATCTAAATAAGAAACAATAGTTAGTTTGTTGAAAAAAAATACGAAAATAAAATTGTATCACCTCAAAGTCAATTTGTCGCAAGCTAAAAAGAGAATCCTTTCCAATCCCATGCTTTGTATGTGGCCATGAGGCCAGCTATGTGTGAGTTCCATGTCTCGCCAATAATATAACAATGCCTGGCCTAACTACAAATGAAGCCGTCCAATTTGGCGATGTAATACATATAATAGCAATAATGCAATAGGAATATCTTAACTACCTGGTCATCTGACAATGAACTGGTGCTCAGATAGTCCCTGGCAAGGATAAACCGCTGGGGATACGATGTCCGCAATAGCTCATCCAGGATGGAAAACTCCTCTCTGTTAACGACTTGCGCATAATCCACATCAAGCACCTGTAAACACATCAAGCATTTGTAAACAAATCAAGTACATGTAAACACATTATGTGTTCTTTTTTTATATTAATAATATTCAAATAAAAGAGCTTTAAAAAGCTTTGAATTATGATTGAACCCCTGTTCCAATACATACACATGCAACTTTAAATGCGGTGATTATCCTCAGACAGCACTGTTGCCCATGGTTACAATGCCCTTGTAGCTTCTCCATGACAACAATGGCATCTTCCTTCTCAACAGGCAGAAAGTCCCAAGTTGAGGCAGTTGCCAGACTCACAGCTGAAGTGAAAGGAACATCATTACATTCAGTTAGAGGTAATAGTGAGTGAGTGAGTGGTTTTATCCCGCTTTCAGCAACATTCCAGCAATATCACGGATGGGGACACCAGAAATGAGATTCACACAATGTACCCATGTGGGGGAGATTCACACAATGTACCCCTGTGGGGAATCGGACCTGGGTATTCAGCGTGACAAGTGACTGCTTTAACCACTTTAAGCACTAGGCAACCCCACTGCCCCTCTTGCAGTCTTATTGTGCAAGAGTAAACAAACAAAAGGAAACTGAACTACCCAGCTTCCTCTAGTGGTACAACCTAACTACCCAGCTCCCTCTAGTGGTCCAACTGAACAACACAGCTCCCTCTAGTGGTACAACTGAACTACCTAGCTCCCTCTAGTGGTCCAACTGAACAACACAGCTCCCTCTAGTGGTACAACTGAACTACCCAGCTCCCTCTAGTGGTCCAACTGAACAACACAGCTCCCTCTAGTGGTACAACTGAACTACCCAGCTCCCTCTAGTGGTCCAACTGAACTACCTAGCTCCCTCTAGTGGTCCAACTGAACAACACAGCTCCCTCTAGTGGTACAACTGAACTACCCAGCTCCCTCTAGTGGTACAACTGAACACCACAGCTCCCTCTAGTGGTACAACTGAACTAAGCATTTCTAGTTATTACTTACAACTTGCTGTGCGACTAAAACCAGAAAATGAGCCAAAGCTTGACCTTGACCTTCTGTCTATTGTCAGCAGACGCCTAATCTCAGGCTCCATTGTTTCTCGAGTAACAGTTTCATTACTCAACCGTACACATGTCTGAAACACACAAAAATCAGCACTTTAGAAAAAGATAAACATAAAAAAAACACAACTGCATACTTCAATAACTAGATGCTACTTACATCTGTTAGTTTGTTTGTTGTTTAATGCTGTACTCAGCATTATTCCAGCTATATGATGGCAATCTGTAAATAGTCAAGTCTGGACCAGACAATCCAGTGATTGACGTCATGAACATCGATCCATGCAATTAGGATACAATGGCATGCATCAACCAAGTCAGCGAGCCTGACCAACCGATCCTGTTAGTTGTCTCATATGACAAGCATAGTCACCTCTTATGGCAAGCATGGGTTGCTGAAGACCTATTCTACCCTGGATCTTCACAGGTCTACTTACAAGGATGATGGCAAGGTCCTGGCTGTAGTGATGGAAGACACTGGTCACCTGGCAACTCTCACGAATCTTCCCCTCATCCAGCAACTGGCCAATCAGTGAGTTTAGTGCATCTGTTTCCTGAAACCATCATTGAAGTGCAAACAGCAACCCTATAACACGATGGGAGACCAAGCTTATTCTACTCTGTGGTGTATCAATCTCAGACCTCTGTGTCATAACCCACTATCCATATGACCACCCCTGAATATAGAATAAGGGAACAAATAAATATCGCTTTATGTTGTATTGGATCAGGTGTATGAAATCAGGTGAAGTTAGGCAACGTCGGTCATGGAGAATCCTTGGATGGGTGACTGCGTTTCGGCAGCTTGGCTCCTGAGAGCTTCCAGGGCTTCGGTCCTGTCCCACACTGAAGCACATGCAACACATGTGGTGTCTCCTTGGGCAAGTGACTTTGCATGAAATGTGCCTCTGTTCACCCAGCAGTGAGTGGGTACCCGGTAGGATGAGATGGCAATGTGGTTGTTAACCTTCTAACACCTCACAGGCACCTTGGGTTGTATACTGAGAATGATTTTTGAGTGCACACTGATCCATTGACCAGGGTAATATTAGCACTTTGAGCATGCCCCTGAGTGGTGTGGAAATGTGCGCAATATAAATGGCCTGTTATTATCAGCAATTATATAACTAAGAAACAAAAAACGCTAAGTGTTTGATTATATAAATTGACATAATAGTAGCATACAGTGTCACAAGCATAGTGTGTCTAGGATGAACAAAACAAGGCACCAAGCTACATGATTCATTACTGTACCTCTGTTGAGACATGGGACTGTCTTCTACTGGGTGGCATCTTGCCCAGACAGAGCAGCTCGTACTTGTCTGCTAACCACTTTCCATCCTCTGTTGCCTCCATGACAGACAGGATCTCCTCCACCGGCTCGCTACTCTCCTCGCTCTCCCCCTGTCACAAACAACACTCATAACACCTTCTAACAAATCACTGTGTCTTCACATAAAAAATGGCTGCCGATCACCGAAAGAACAATAATAACTTCACAAACTGCTTATTTAATTATTAAGTTAAAAACACTGTAGACAACAAAACAAAAGACAGGATAAATTGATTAAAAGGCAGAGGGTGAAACAAACATTAGTGTACTTCAATATCATCCAGCCATAGTGTGTCATATGTGTCAGTGTGTATAAGCAGTATACTTGATGGGGGTGCTGCCTCACCCCGCCTGAAAATGGGAGGCATGTTCAGGAGCTGGAACTGGTCCAGGTGGGGTGAGGCAGTAGTGCAGGTGGGGTGAGGCAGTAGTGCAGGTGGGGTGAGGCAGTAGTGCAGGTGGGGTGAGGCAGTAGTGCAGGTGGGGTGAGGCAGTAGTCCAGGTGGGGTGAGGCAGTAGTCCAGGTGGGGTGAGGCAGTACCCCCATCATCTATACTACTGTATATGTTACCTTTTGTTGTGAAATCTTGGCCTGTATCCGGCAGTGCCACATCTGCCTGTGGACCCCATCATACAAGCTGTCAGTGGCCTCATGGCACGTCATCAGTTCCAGACACAGCTGGTAGATTCCGGCCTTCTCACTCATGCTGTCAATTGTTTCTGCTTCCAGCTGAACAGAAAGTCAAGACTTCCAGCGTACGAATACAGGCACGAGGCTCTGTAGCTCACCTGAATCGTTTCCTGCTGGCACCATTATAGATCAAATTCCACATAGGTTGAAATTGAAAAATTGGACTATAATTCTGTGGGCAATTGCTTCAGATGAAGTAAAAACTGAATTGTGTTATAGGACATTAATACAGTTGTCAATATGTTGTTTTTGTTACAAAGAAACAAATGAACTATACTTGTGGTGAAGTCTTTCAAGCAGCCCTGCATTTCAACACTAAAGAGGTTATCTACAAAAGTCTCATATCTCCGTAAACTTCTAATTCTAAATAATTTTCACAAGATACTGCAAAACAATCAAAAGGCCTCATGTTTTATAATGGGGAATATTGATATTTATTCAAAAAACAATGCATGAACACAGGGCACTTAATTTTTGTGAGTTAAGTTCACTTTCTCTTCTCATGATCACTTTGTCTATGTATAGTCGGATCATAGGTTTTTGGGCGGCCATGTTTATCGCAAAAACTTGCGCTATAACAATGGGTGTGGCATCACACAGACATTGTAGATACCCAAATGATGGCTTCTTTTTAAGAGAAAGTCATCTTTTATTTGTTAGTGAGATGTTTTACAGTTGTTCTTGTGATTAGAGAGAAAACTATAATTGTTTCTTAAGCGTCCGAAAACCCATAACACAGGGATACTTCATCATCTCTGTCTAAAGCGTGTCCACGTGTTTCATCTTACTTTGAAGAAATCCATGACACTAGTGGTGGAGACTTGATTAAGTCTAAACTTGTCCGCACATGACCTCCAGAAGCGGGACCTGGCGACCTTCGACCTCCACACCAGAGTCTTCTGCAACATCTCCTTCTCCGTCAACATCTGAAAGGTGAAGCAAGCATGGTCACAACATGGGCTCCAGCTGAAGGCAGAACTAGAGAAGAACTTGAGCTATGTAAAATGACCAATTGTATATCTAAAAGGAATTAACATTTGAAATCCTGAGCCTAGGGGCTGATCAGAAGATCTTCCTCCTGAAGAATAATAATATGACACTCTCAACATCTCCTCTGCTATTCTACCCAAAGGCTTTGCTCTGAATGGGATACAAAGCTTGGGAAGTAGTTATATTTTATCATAATGAATCAATTAGATCAATAAAAATCATTTAACATTGATGTGCACTATTTGCTGTTGTGTTTAAGGAATGCAAAATGTCAGTGCCAGAGAATAACCAGTCTTGATTATCCGACCAAACAGATTCTAGACAGCGTAAAAGGCCAAAAAGAGTTGAAAATCATATATGAATGGATCACTGAAAATCAGTGGTGAGACCAGGATCCACTTGCACAAAGCGATCTTAGCGCTAAGACTATCGTATGCCTATGTTAAAGTATAGGAGTTACAATCATCTTAGCGCTAAGAACGCTTTGTGCAAGTGGATCCAGGTGTTCACAAAAAGGATGATTGAGCCTATGAAACATATGCTTCTTGTTACATGGCTGTTCCCATGCCCTTGCTACTCTGTGAGAATGTTTGCAATGTTTCAACTGGAATTTAACTGTTCATTTGGTTCATGCTTCTCTCTGAAATGTATTGTTGATAAAATATGACCAGTCTATATTGAACAAGCGAATGACTTTGACAAAGCTAACACAAAGCTGATAGAATAAATCTGTTGCTTCTTGAGCAACTGCAAATGCAGAGTGAGGGAGATGAGCTCATCATGTACCCAGGCAAAAGTGTTTTGTCATCACCGACTTTCAGTCATTCATTCATATAATTTTCACTGCTAATTTGCCTTTTAATCTCTCTTGGCGGATAATTGACACTTGTTTGGTGTTACTGACAATCAAAATTAGTTACATGATATACTGCGCCAATCAACCGCAAACTCATTCCAAAATTTTAACAATAGTTATTGGAGATGCAATACATAAACACCGGATTGTCTGGCACTGAAGCGCCCCCTATGAAGCAAACACAAGCGGATGCTACCTCCTTCAGGGTGATCTCGTCACAGGACAGGTTGGTGAGACGGGCGAACTTGTACGCATCTGCGAACGCCTTCCTCTCTATCAGCACATCGATGGTCTTCTCCCTCTCCCTATGGCTGCTGTCGTCCTGCTGCAGAAATTCTGGGAAGGCCACGGTATCCAGGTTGTTGGCGTGTAGGATGCGCACTAACTTATGGAGACGACTGTAGTCGGGCACTGTCATACAGATGAGAACATTGCTTTACCTTTTACGGAATAGCTACGGAGACTGTATCAAGAAATTTGAAATCAGACTAGAATATATACAGGCCTTTAGGCCTTTATGGTAGTAGAATAACATAGAGTGACCTGACAACACTGATATTTTCAGGAGTGTCGCAAACCTTTATCGGGCAAGAACTATTGAATTTTCTATTTATGACATTTTTACTACATGATCTCCATGATTTTACTCTGAAAACCATAGACTGACTGAAGAAGATAGACAGCAGTTCCACATAAAAGTGTTACTTCACTCAATTGAAATATTCACTTCATACCTTTAAACAATGTTATAGTATTTCTTTATAAAATACATAAGTCGATCTTCCATAAGGAGATCATCATTGCCTGTTTCCTGTTCCAATCTTCAGAGGAACAAACGGAGTAATATCTCAATGTTCAAACAACTGAATCCCGAAAGACATCATACCATCAAAACTGAAGACAAGGGCAATATTTTCTTGATCCAATAACTGAACGAATCGTAGTGCCTCATATAGATTTGGAGTGTGGCGCAACTGATGTTGTAGCAGCCGATTGGCTGTCTGTTCTAGCCAATGACAGTTCCCCAAAATTATCAGCTGTGAAGATTCGAATCTTCTGCCCTCACGGTACTGCAATGTTAAAAGATAACACATCTAAATCTCAAAAGTACACCTCACTAAATTCTTGACTATAGAAAAATTCATGTATTAAGCGTAATTATCAATAACTGATACAGTAAACGACGGTTATAAGGAACTCAAATGAACCACTAGTTTTAGTTCGTTATAACCGTAGTTCGTTATAAACATATATACAACATCTATACAGCAAATGGCCGGGACCAAAAATTAAGTTCGTAATATCCATCAGTTTGTTATAAGTGTGTTCGTTATAAACATATTTTACTGTAATTATAGAGTTCATAATGATGCCATTTAATATTTTGCTACCATTATTGGAAACTTGTGCAACCAACTGGCACACAATGGAACAATGAGCACTGTTGTGAGATAATCTACAGACATAACGGCTGATGTACAGTAGCACAGATATATGTTTTAATGGCATAGGCTAGGAAGACTAGTGGTTGACAGCATGAGCAACAATCAAAGATGCCAGGGTCCGATGTCAGGCAATCAGCCGGGACTCTCATTTCAACATCCTGATTCGTCATCAGTTGGCTCTTACCATCCCGGCTTATCCAGCTATGTTCCTAGGTTTGTCAGCACCATGCCCAGGCTCATGGTTTTCACCAAAGTTTGGGGTGGTCGGGTAGCCTAGTGGGTAAAGCGCGTCTCGCCGAAGAACCGGTTTCAATTCCTAACATGGGTACAATGTGTGAAGCCCATTTCTGGTGTCGACCACCTTGATATTGCTGGAATATTGCTAAAAGCGGCATAAAACCATACTCACTCACTCACTCACTCACTCACTCACCAAAGTGGTAAACATCTGAGACCTGCATCACCCTCAGGCTTTCCTCCCATATTAAAACCCAAATCACTCACTCACTCTAATGATAAAGCACAGACGACTGGAGACCAGTTCTGCCCCGGAATCACTTCAGAAACTGTTAATACATAGGTGGATCCAGATAGATCTTCCTTTTGAACCCCAATCCCCTCCCCAGAAGCCCTGAGAGAGGATGTCATTATTGGACCCCTCCCTCTTACAAATGCTGGATCCACCCTAGATTATAATATGTGTGAACACAGAGCTGACACATACTTGGTGTTTATGAAGTGGTGATAAATATGTGTTACTGCATATCTGTCCACCAAGTATTGATTGAATCAAGTGTAATAGGCTTACACTCCCTAGAGCTCTATTGTATACAATTGGAGCATTGTCTTCACCACCACAGCCGCACACAACACAAACCATTATTGGAAGAGAGCAACCAGCATTTGGTAATAATTACATTGGACATTGCATCCTTGAAGTCTCCCAGGAGACGGGTGCAGGTGCTGTAGTTCCTTCCCTGTGTCAGCTCCGCCAGGAACTTCAGGAAGGGAAGCAGCGGTGAATACTGAAACAAAGGGAAGAACACACAGACATTGGTGGAACGAGCTCAGTCACATCGGCTGTCATTCTGTAGGTCAACAAATATTGGTGGAACGAGCTCAGTCACATCGGCTGTCATTCTGTAGGTCAACAAATATTGGTTGAACGAGCTCAGTCACATCGGCTGTCATTCTGTAGGTCAACAGACATTGGTGGAACGAGCTCAGTCACATAGGCTGTCATTCTGTAGGTCAACAAATATTGGTTGAACGAGCTCAGTCACATCGGCTGTCATTCTGTAGGTCAACAAATATTGGTTGAACGAGCTCAGTCACATCGGCTGTCATTCTGTAGGTCAACAGACATTGGTGGAACGAGCTCAGTCACATAGGCTGTCATTCTGTAGGTCAACAAATATTGGTGGAACGAGCTCAGTCACATCGGCTGTCATTCTGTAGGTCAACAAATATTGGTGGAACAAGCTCAGTCACATCTGCTGTCATTCTGTAGGTCAACAAACATTGGTTGAACGAGCTCAGTCATAATTGCTGTCTTTCTGTAAGTTAACAAATATTCGTTGAACGAGCTCAGTCATATCTGCTGTCATTCTGTAAGTTAACAGACATTAGTTGAACGAGCTCAGTCATATCTGCTGTCATTCTGTAGGTCAACAAATATTCGTTGAACAAGCTCAGTCACATTTGCTGTCATTCTGTAGGTTAACAAACATTATTCAACTAGATAGGCTTGACAAAAGGTTTTCTTCATAAAGCTTATATCTCAATGTCACATTTTTTCGATTCTCACTTCTTTTTGCGCCCCCAAACATATGCGAGACCACACGTTTAATGACGTAATCAAGGTAGACGCTTCAAAGCCACTGAAGACATTAAAGTGTCTGCCACTTTCCGCTGAAGTTATGTTAGGAATTAAGCTATGTTAAGCTATTAAGTTATGAAAACATCCCTAAAAACTTACACTTTCACTTATGTCCATTTTAATCAAACTTGAACTGATGATAACTTTGCATCAAAACAATCGTATTCACCGATGATGTATCATCTGCTGTTTGTAAACTTCCTGTCTGTAATGGCATGTGACTGATCATGTGGTGCATCTATTTTAAACTTGACTGTAATGGAATGGCTCCAAATCACGTGATGGTAACAAAATGTCACCTGATTGACTCGTCTAGCTTGGCGGGACATTATCAGTCTTGATTTGACAAGATAAGGTCAACTGACCATCCAAGTGTAAACAGGAATAAATGTTCTCAAAGGAAAGACTTAGTTTTAGTGTACTGGGATTGTTGTGAGACATGTGGTCAGAAATACTTCTTAGGTGCTCAAAAACACAGAACACAAGGAAATAAGTCATAAAAAGTTATATTGAGCATGCTGAGCCACTGTCAACTATGAGTGTACGACAAATCTTTGACATCAAAGTTTTCAAGAAACCCATGATTGTATTCTTAATACTTACAGTCTGAAATATGTCAAATCCTGTAGCAAGAGTATATTCCCAGTGTTTTCCAATGTAAAGGTCAATCAGAACTTCCAGCTCTGCCATATTCCAAACTGAGGCTGACTTCCCATGAGCCTCCAGGAACTGAGCATGCTCAGTACGGTCCATCATTGCTACCAACCATCCACACAGACAGGCAGCCACAGAAGCATCCTGAACATCAAAAGCAAGAAGCTGAAGCATATGTCATCCCATACCTACCATAACTGTGATAAGTCCCCTTGAAATCAGACCTTTCACTCCATTCAATACCTCTGTGCATGAAGAAGTGAGGACACCCCAATGGAAAGTGCATCAGGTGAACTATATTCTCAGTATGAGTGAAGGAAGTACCAGCACTGACTTCTGTATTTTGAAAACAAACCAATAATTCCTTTCCAGAATATACATAATAAAGATGCCGTCGTTATTCTGTGGATATTTTACACAACATGTCGTGTTTCACGCCCAAAAGGGGATACCATTGAAAGCATGTATGTGTCTTGTGTGGTTTTGTTTGAGAAATCAATACATTGGAATCAAGGTGATATAGACATGAAGCCAAATCGCTTTAGAAAGCTGACATCTGATTTGGCTCAAGTACCAACGCATCCTTCATGTAGATTGGGTGGTTAATGATCACTCAGGGTTCACCTGACACTACCTTGTATGGATATGCCCTCAGATCTTCACGCAATAAGGTTTTGTATCATAGTTAAGATCGGATTTTAATGAAATTGAACTGTAATTAGTTTTTAGATTTATATAAAATGTGAACCGAATTTAAGAAATGACTTTATGCATAAGTGTCTTGTAAACAGTTCTTATTTATGTTATTATACATTTGACAGGATTCAAGAGGTCAACAAATAATTCCTCATGTTGTCATGGTTTCCTACCAAGATAAAAATAGTAAAACAATAGAAAAGTTGTCTTGGTGTCCAATTGAACTGACCCCACATTCACATCAGACGACATGCAGAGGAAAACCAAACCTTGGAAAACACCAAGTGAAAGTCTACTCCGCTAAAGCTCCTATACCTGTTGACAAGCAGCTAGTTCAGCAAAAAGGGAATTGCGGAGGACAACGGATGCTTGTAAGAGGGACTTCCAGGGAGACGCTGCGGCCTGGGACGAGAACACCACCTGGAACACGTCCTCCCCCGCCGAGTCCTCCGTGAGGGTCAGGTCCACTACAACAGTCACACAGTGGAAATGTGGGACTAAATTTCTGTGTCAAGTCCTACAGATTACACTATCCAAACTCGTAACATAAAGTGTACTTTATTCAGCATGTACATTTTACCTTTTCTATCTTGTTTGTATTATGGGCCTAAGGTACAGACTAAATTTTGTCTGTCTGCTCTGTCTGTCCATCCATCCGTCCATCATGTATAGATGGCATGGTTAATACAAAATCTGTAATGGCTTTCAAGGAAATGAGCACACAGGTAATATGCAGGGGTGCATCAAACAGATTTATTAGGACATTCCTACTTAAGTTCATTGTCAGAATGGCTCAAACTGTACTAACAAAAACATGCTTAAAATAAGTCAACACAATGGTGTTTCAATATAGATTGACTTCTATTATTGTAATTTTTAATCACTATACAGCTGTGATTGCAAAATTATAGTTAATTTCAAAGCATTATTACTTTTTAAGGCCTCTTAAAGGCTGAAACCAGGCCCATGTGTGACCTTGGATAAAGTTTTCCCTGCTCACCTGGTTGTGACTGATCCAGAGAAAGGGCAGCCCCCTGGGGAGAGTCCAGGCTGAGGTGGTCCTCCTCATCACTGCTCGCGTTCCCTGAGGACATTGTTACCATGGTTAGCTAGGCAGGAGTCACTGAGAGGGTGGGTGGATGAGACGGTAGGTGGGTGGGTGGATGGGTGGATGGGCGGGTTGATGGGTGGATGGGTGGATGGATGGGTTGATGGGTGGATGGGCGGGTTGGTGGGTGGGTGGATGGATGGGTGGCTGGGTGGGTTGATGGGTGGATGGGTGGGTTGATGGGTGGATGGGTGGCTGGGTGGGTTGATGGGTGGATGGGTGGGTTGATGGGTGGATGGGTGGGTTGATGGGTAGATGGGTGGGTAGGTGGGTAGATGGGTGGGTTGATGGGTTGATGGGTGGCTGGGTGGGTTGGTGGATGGATGGGTGGCTGGGTGGGTTGATGGGTTGATGGGTGGATGGGTGGGTTGGTGGGTGGATGGATGGATGGGCGGGTTGGTGGGTGGGTGGATGGATGGGTGGATGGGTGGGTTGATGGGTGGGTTGGTGGGTGGGTGGATGGATGGGTGGCTGGGTGGGTTGATGGGTGGATGGGTGGGTTGATGGGTGGATGGGTGGGTAGGTGGGTAGATGGGTGGGTTGGTGGGTGGATGGATGGGTGGGTAGGTGGATGGATGGGTGGGTAGGTGGGTAGATGGGTTGGTTGGTGGGTGGATGGGTGGGTAGGTGGGTAGATGGGTGGGTAGGTGGGTAGATGGGTGGGTTGGTGGGTGGATGGATGGGTGGGTAGGTGGATGGATGGGTGGGTAGGTGGGTAGATGGGTTGGTTGGTGGATGGATGGGTGGGTGGGTAGGTGGGTGGATGGGCAGGTTAATGGGTAGATGGGCGGGTAGGTGGGTAGATGGGTGGGTTGGTTGGTGGATGGGTAGGTGGTTGGGTAGGTGGGTGGGTAGGTTGGTGGATGGGCGGGTTGATGGGTGGATGGGCGGGTAGGTGGGTAGACTCCAAAGACTAGTGAAATAAGGTTCCACGGGACTAGTCCTAAAAAAAAAGGCTGAATTTCTATGGCTGCAGACATGATACAGACAAGTTAACCTACCTCTCCCCTTTGACAAGCCAATCTTGGCATAAAGGGAAGATCTGACATCCTTTGTGGAGCCTCTTGTCTGAGTGTCAGTTGGCGTCTCCGACAACTTCCTTCGCAACATCACCGACTTGGCATCTGCATTTTCTATGACATAGTGGAGGTGTTCTCGCAGATGTCGACTGCGGAACTGGTGAAGCAGACCCTGCAACTGATCAACACACTTGGCGTCAGTCATCGAGAAGCTAGGGAATATCATCTCCATATCACTCCAAAGTGTGGTCAATAGTGTCCTTTTATAATTGACATTCAAGCTCAATAAGAAATACAAGTTTTTTCAGTGATAAATATCAGTTTCTTGTTTCTGTGACAATTGTCAGGAACTTCTATAGTGACCCCCTACAGGAGAAACACAACAGGCTCCACATGTCATTAGCATGCAAAGTTAGGAATACCTCAACTAGCAACCATCACGGAACAAGTATTGAAGAAATAAATGAATCGTGGTCGTTGTTTATTGTACAATAAAATACTGCTCAGAGAATAAACCATGAGAGGCGACCCTCATGTTTTATTCTCCCTGCAGTGTTTTATTGTTCGATAAACAACGACAGACTCTATAAGGCTGATGATAAAATGTACAAGCTTCAAAAATATTTACTTGTATTTTAATAATGATGACCCCCTAAATAGAAGTCCATTTTATTCACAGGTGGGTATTTCTGGCATATTCTCACAATCACAATGATTACCTGTACCTTCTCTCCCAATACTGATTTTCATATTGCTCCTGTTTTTGGTTGGGATTGTTTGGCCATTGCTCTTACATCGATGGAGAACAACTCACTAGACTATTCCCTCACCAAAAAAACGTCGCGAGCCATGTTCGAATCTCCAGAAATGATGCCATGATAGAACAGTGTTTTATCATGAAATAAACCACACTTCATTCTTCATTGTTCTTTGTAATTTATTGCATAGCTATCTTATATAGATCTACACAAATTAGCTCTCACTGTTCCCTGAACCCAGAGACACACATAGTCGGTTAAACCCTAGTGACATGGTCAGTACTGAGTGTTACACAAATGACATCATCGGTACTGAGTGTTACACAAATGACATCATCGGTACTGAGTGTTGCACGAATGACATCATCGGTACTGAGTGTTACACGAATGACATCGTCAGTACCGAGTGTTACATGAAAGACATCGTCAGTACCGAGTGTTACACGAATGACATTGTCAGTACCGAGTGTTACACGATTGACATTATCAGTACTGAGTGTTACACGAATGACATCGTCAGTACTGAGTGTTACACGAATGACATCGTCGGTACCGAGTGTTACACGCATGACATCATCAGTACTGAGTGTTACACGAATGACATCATCAGTACCGAGTGTTACATGAAAGACATCGTCGGTACCGAGTGTTACATGAATGACACCGTCTGTGTATCATCAGTACCGAGTGTCACACGAATGACATCGTCAGTACTGAGTGTTACACCAATGATATCATCAGTACCGAGTGTTACACGAACCTGTTGTTTGGGGAACTGATGCAGCTGAGCAAACCAGAGGAAGGGCAGCCACTTGTCAGCCTGGGCACACTCCTCCAGGAACACCGTGGACAGAGGCAGGTGGAGCAGGTGGCAGACGGTCACAGTCAGCAGCCACTGGTGGGCAGCATCGAAACTTGTACTGGGCAGGACAGAGAGACAGACAGATGCACGTCTCACACAACAGTAATGATGAGCAGAGCTATTCAGTGTCTTCAAATGTATGTGAAACATTTGTCCACAACTACAGCTTGTTTTAACTTACTTTGTTTGTTTGTTTGATTGTTGTTTAATGCCGCACTCAGCAATATTCCAGCTATATGACGGCGGTCTGTAAATAATCGAGTCTCAACCAGACATTCCAGTGATTGATATCCTGAGCATCGATCTACGCAGTTGGGATACAATGACATGCATCAACCACGTCAGTGAGCCTGACCATCCAATCACGTTAGTCACCTCTTATGACAGGCATAGTCACCTCTTACGGCAAGCATGGGTTACTGAAGACTTTAATTTACTCAAAAGAGTGAATGCTGCTCACAGCTACATAAACTGTCTCTCTCTCCATGAAACAGTTCCAGGTTTTGTTGTGGAGATATGAGGGGACAGTCAGCTAAATTCAGTTTCAGTACAAGGGAAGTAACACACACATGGCGGGGAGGGATGCACAACAGTGACTTTGGCCTTGAGGATGACTTATTTGAGGAGATTGAAAAAAATCCTTGAGGTGGTTATCTTTTTCTTGTAAAGTGTGTATTAAGATAGAAAGACATAGAGAAAACTGAGATAATTGTTGATTGACAAATAATCCCGAACTTGACACAAATGACCTTGTTGGGTCTCCAGCTGCCCAGGTGAAACAAGGACTGGTACCGACCTGTTGATGCCCTTCTTGATGATGCTGTCCGCTGTAGCCCTCTCCAAGGCCTCCACCACGCTGGGGCCATTCCTCCTCCTCCGCCTCACACAGTTCAACAGCAGGTCCACTGTACAACGTAATGGAGAACGAGTGAGTGAGTGAGTGAGTGAGTGAGTGAGTGCGTGAGTGGTGTGTGTGTGTGGGGGGGGGGGGGGGGGGGGGAGGATGATGACACCAGTAATTGCCTTCATTGGAGTGACAAGCGAAGGCTTAAACCACTAGGCTACCTGACCACTTGGAGAAGGAGGTCACATGGACAGGGACTTGTATTGCATGCAGTGCATTGTTGGAAATGTCTTAAACATATCAGTCTACATCAGTCAGAGAATTCAGAATCTTTGCTTTACCGTGAGTGAGTGAGTGAGTTTGGTCAAAGACATAGATCTATATGGTACACGAATTTGGTTTGGTTTAACTCTGCTTTGAACAGAATTTCAGTTAGCTTAATTATTAATGCTGGAGGAAATCCCTTAGTGATGCAGGTCTTACATGTTTACCACTCTGGTGAAACCCAAAAGCATGGGTGTGGTTCTGATAAACCTAGAAATATAATCAGGACAAATCTTGGATTCAAACCAGTTCGAAAGGTTTTTCTGGCACAGCGAAACTGTGCCCTTTGGTGTTGGAGAATATATCTTAAGCTTCTTTTGAGCAATATTCAGCCAATATTCACACATTGCACCAATCTGTATTCAAAGCCAGGTCCTTGGCAGTGTCAGACCAACACCTTACCCACCTATCCTACCGCCCCATATGAAGGGCTCCAGCAACGCCAACTCACATACTGGTCCCTTGCTTTATAGGAGTTGAAAGGTCAAGGTCAAGGGGACTTTTATACTTCACAATCCCTGAATCAGGATATATCCTAATTTCCATTGTCATTTCCATTGTAATGGTTATAGGATGGTTCCATAATTTGGCTTCACACATTTATAAATATATGCAGTATACAGTTCTGATCAGGGCTTGTGCACACTGGTATGCATGTAATATGCACACAGTCAGTGAGGCATCTTGCTGACATTGTTACTACTCCAATAGGGTTTGAGTCTCAGTGTGGTGCTGACTGGTGACATGGGGTTTGTGTTTCAGTGTGGTGCTGACTGGTGACATGGGGTTTGTGTTTCAGTGTGGTGCTGACTGGTGACATGGGGTTTGTGTTTCAGTGTGGTGCTGACTGGTGACATGGGGTTTGAGTCTCAGTGTGGTGCTGACTGGTGACATGGGGTTTGAGTCTCAGTGTGGTGCTGACTGGTGACATGGGGTTTGTGTTTCAGTGTGGTGCTGACTGGTGACATGGGGTTTGTGTTTCAGTGTGGTGCTGACTGGTGACATTGGGTTTGTGTTTCAGTGTGGTGCTGACTGGTGACATGGGGTTTGAGTCTCAGTGTGGTGCTGACTGGTGACATGGGGTTTGAGTCTCAGTGTGGTGCTGACTGGTGACATGGGGTTTGAGTCTCAGTGTGGTGCTGACTGGTGACATTGGGTTTGTGTTTCAGTGTGGTGCTGACTGGTGACATGGGGTTTGAGTCTCAGTGTGGTGCTGACTGGTGACATGGGGTTTGAGTCTCAGTGTGGTGCTGACTGGTGACATGGGGTTTGAGTCTCAGTGTGGTGCTGACTGGTGACATGGGGTTTGAGTCTCAGTGTGGTGCTGACTGGTGACATGGGGTTTGAGTCTCAGTGTGGTGCTGACTGGTGACATGGGGTTTGAGTCTCAGTGTGGTGCTGACTGGTGACATGGGGTTTGAGTCTCAGTGTGGTGCTGACTGGTGACATGGGGTTTGAGTCTCAGTGTGGTGCTGACTGGTGACATAGGGTTTGAGTCTCAGTGTGGTGCTGACTGGTGACATGGGGTTTGAGTCTCAGTGTGGTGCTGACTGGTGACATGGGGTTTGAGTCTCAGTGTGGTGCTGACTGGTGACATAGGGTTTGAGTCTCAGTGTGGTGCTGACTGGTGACATGGGGTTTGTGTTTCAGTGTGGTGCTGACTGGTGACATGGGGTTTGAGTCTCAGTGTGGTGCTGACTGGTGACATGGGGTTTGAGTCTCAGTGTGGTGCTGACTGGTGACATGGGGTTTGTGTTTCAGTGTGGTGCTGACTGGTGACATGGGGTTTGAGTCTCAGTGTGGTGCTGACTGGTGACATGGGGTTTGAGTCTCAGTGTGGTGCTGACTGGTGACATGGGGTTTGAGTCTCAGTGTGGTGCTGACTGGTGACATGGGGTTTGTGTTTCAGTGTGGTGCTGACTGGTGACATGGGGTTTGAGTCTCAGTGTGGTGCTGACTGGTGACATAGGGTTTGAGTCTCAGTGTGGTGCTGACTGGTGACATGGGGTTTGAGTCTCAGTGTGGTGCTGACTGGTGACATAGGGTTTGAGTCTCAGTGTGGTGCTGACTGGTGACATGGGGTTTGTGTTTCAGTGTGGTGCTGACTGGTGACATGGGGTTTGAGTCTCAGTGTGGTGCTGACTGGTGACATGGGGTTTGAGTCTCAGTGTGGTGCTGACTGGTGACATGGGGTTTGAGTCTCAGTGTGGTGCTGACTGGTGACATGGGGTTTGAGTCTCAGTGTGGTGCTGACTGGTGACATGGGGTTTGAGTCTGAGTGTGGTGCTGACTGGTGACATGGGGTTTGAGTCTCAGTGTGGTGCTGACTGGTGACATGGGGTTTGAGTCTCAGTGTGGTGCTGACTGGTGACATGGGGTTTGAGTCTCAGTGTGTTGCTGACTGGTGACATGGGGTTTGAGTCTCAGTGTGGTGCTGACTGGTGACATGGGGTTTGAGTCTCAGTGAGGTGCTGACTGGTGACATGAGGTTTGAGTCTCAGTGTGGTGCTGACTGGTGACATGGGGTTTGAGTCTCAGTGTGGTGCTGACTGGTGACATGGGGTTTAAGTCTCAGTGTGGTGCTGACTGGTGACATGGGGTTTGAGTCTCAGTGTGGTGCTGACTGGTGACATGGGGTTTGAGTCAGTATTTCAGTTATATAATGGCGTGTGAGCTTAATGTTGTTGGAAAGCCAACAAGCACGGGTATGGTGCTGACAAACCTAGAAACATAATCGGGTCGAACCAGGATTCGAACCCAGTCATAGGTTTCTGGCACGCCCCAGGGATGCAACTCTGCACAGCGAATTGCGGCGCCTTAGACGACTGGGCCACTGTGTCGATTGTGTGACATTGCCACTTGCTGGAATATTGCTTTTATTATAGCTAAAATTCATTATTGTGAGTGTTGAAAATATTTCACAGTGACATTACTCTAAAATGAAAGGTATTAACAAGTACCATTACTTGATTAGAACATATAGAAAACATAGAAGAATAGAAGCAATCGTTTTTGTGATCTTATAAACAATAATATTGCTAAGGTGATATTGATGACTTTGTGTGCTTTTTCGCTTTGTAACAGGTGGCACTGCAGCTTTCAATATTTGTTGTGTTAATTCAATTATTTTACATACCACAGTAACCGTGGTAACATGACTGAAACATAATGAAGTTGGAAAATTTGTCATCTTGGAAAAAGGATGTTTGTTTAATGTTTGAATACATCATTTCCAATTCCAACTTACCCACTTCCTCTTCATGTGCGTGCATCACCTCCTTCCTCTTGTCAATGGTACCCATGATGCCATTGTTCTTGTAAGCGAGAATTTCCACACCTATTTGAATGTATGTTCGCAATGGCAGACTGTCTTGGTCGATCATTTCCACAAAAGCTACACATGCACTTGTGATGGCAGCACTTGTGAAGTTCTTCACGGCTATCCATAGCGCCACCCCACACACAGTGTTAATCCTGGAACATGGAGTGATTGCGTAGTGAGTATGATTTTTTTTGCCGCTTTTAGCAATATTCTAGCAGTACCATGGCAGGGGACACCCAAAATGAATCAAACCCAGGCCTTCGGCGTGACAAGCAGCCGCTTTAACCATGAGGCTTCCCCACTGCCCCAGAAAAATGGAGTGCACATCTCATAATATCCACTGGTCTATAGATCATTATAAGCTATAATGCACCAGTCTCTATATCATTAAAAGCTATAATGCACCAGTCTATATATCATTATCAGCTATAATGCACCGGTCTATATATCATTATCAGCTATAATGCACTGGTCTATATATCATTATCAGCTATAATGCACTGGTCTATAGATCATTATAAGCTATAATGCACCAGTCTCTATATCATTAAAAGCCATAATGCACCAGTCTATATATCATTATCAGCTATAATGCACTGGTCTATATATCATTATCAGCTATAATGCACCAGTCTATATATCATTATCAGCTATAATGCACTGGTCTATATATCATTATCAGCTATAATGCACCAGTCTATATATCATTATAAGCTATAATGCACCAGTCTCTATATCATTAAAAGCTATAATGCACTGGTCTATATATCATTATCAGCTATAATGCACTGGTCTATATATCATTATCAGCTATAATGCACCAGTCTATATATCATTATAAGCTATAATGCACCAGTCTCTATATCATTAAAAGCTATAATGCACCAGTCTATATATCATTATCAGCTATAATGCACTGGTCTATATATCATTATCAGCTATAATGCACCAGTCTATATATCATTATCAGCTATAATGCACTGGTCTATATATCATTATCAGCTATAATGCACCAGTCTATATATCATTATCAGCTATAATGCACTGGTCTATATATCATTATCAGCTATAATGGACGGTCTATATATCATTAAAAGCTATAATGCACCGGTCTATATATCATTATCAGCTATAATGCACCAGTCAATATATCATTATCAGCTATAATGCACCGGTCTATATATCATTATCAGCTATTATGCACCGGTCTATATATCATTACCGGCTATAATGCACCAGTCTATATATCATTATCAGCTATAATGCACCAGTCTATATATCATTATCAGCTATAATGCACCAGTCTATATATCATTATCAGCTATAATGCACCGGTCTATATATCATTATCAGCTATAATGCACTGGTCTATATATCATTATCAGCTATAATGGACCAGTCTGTATATCATTATCAGCTATAATGGACCAGTCTATATATCATTATCAGCTATAATGCACCAGTCTATATATCATTACCGGCTGTACTACAGGGCAACCATTCTGGTGTGGAGGGGCTAGGAGTTTCTTGAAATATATAATGTCATAACATAATGTTACAAAAACACAAAGCTGTTCAATGGACATTGTTGGATGTCCTGCTAAAAAGTGTTATGAAAACAAATTTAAAATGCTCCCTTCAGCATTTGTTTGTAGCAGTGACCCAAAACTTATTTTGTCTCTAACCAAACTCCCGCAGAGTGAATAACAACGACATTATAACATTCATGTGTGTATTATGTACACATGAGTCTTTTAAATCAGTCCAACATTCGCACACTCAGGTAATCCCACTTTATGTTACACAGAAGACATGAAACGTCTTATGGATTACAACCTGTTAATTGTCTTTGGATACATTTTAGCGCTACGTCTTGCCCCTTCATCAGGTGAATACCAGATGAATACCAGTTGAATACCAGTTGAATACCAGATGAATGTCAGGTGAATACCAGTTGAATACCAGATGAATACCAGATGAAGGGGCAACAGGTGGTTACAAACAATAAAGAAATTCCTATCCATAAAAGTTACATATCTTCCGATTCTTCTATATTTCCAGTGCCAATCAAAAACAATATTACCTTGATTCACACAGCTCAATCAAGCCAAGAGCTGCCAACACACTTGCAATAGTGCTAGTTTCTGTCCTCAATATTTGGTGTGAGGGCATTTCACTCTCAGGAGCAAGCTTTGTGACTGTATACTATATCTCAATTTACTAAAAGCATCAGGTAGCAGAACTTACTCTTCCTTCAAGTGTCATACTGGTCCAGAACTGAGGTATTCTCAAACTGACAAATAATTTCTAGCAAGGAAATCTTTCTGATTTTGTTGATGACTTCCAAACTAGGTATCTGTAAGACCTACCTCTTGTTGCTTATAGTTGTTGCGCCCGAGTCAATCTCCTCTGCCAGGAAGGAGAGAAAGGCATACGTAGGTCTGCCATGTTTTAGGTAGAACATGTAACGGATCTTCTCCGAGTAGGCGAACTGTGACACCAGGTCTGTCTGGGAGAAGTAGGGCAGCAGCCGTTGGCACTCTGCGAAACAAGACGTGGGACGGAACAGGTTCAACTTATTTGTTTGCTTGTTGTTTAATGCCTCCCTCTGCAATATTTGGTAGCCTGTGAATAATCAAGTCTGGATCAGACTATCCTGTGATTGATGTTATGAGCAGCGATCGTGTGATGTGTGTATTATATCGTTTGATGTGTGTATTATATCGTTTGATGTGTGTATTATATCGTGTGATGTGTGTATTATATCGTTTGATGTGTGTATTATATCGTGTGATGTGTGTATTATATCGTGTGATGTGTGTATAGTATCGTGTGATGTGTGTATTGTATCATGTGATGTGTATATAGTATCATGTGATGTGTGTATAGTATCATGTGATGTGTTTATTATATCGTGTGATGTGTGTATTATATCGTATGATGTGTGTATAGTATCGTGTGATGTGTGTATTGTATCATGTGATGTGTATATAGTATCATGTGATGTGTGTATAGTATCATGTGATGTGTTTATTATAGAGTGTGATGTGTGTATTATATCATGTGATGTGTGTATAGTATTGTGTGATGTGTGTATAGTATCATGTGATGTGTGTATTATATCGTGTGATGTGTGTATTATATTGTGTGATGTGTGTATTATATCATGTGATGTGTGTATTATATCATGTGATGTGTGTATAGTATTGTGTGATGTGTGTATAGTATCATGTGATGTGTGTATTATATCGTGTGATGTGTGTATTATATCATGTGATGTGTGTATTATATCATGTGATGTGTGTATAGTATTGTGTGATGTGTATATAGTATCATGTGATGTGTGTATTATATCGTGTGATGTGTGTATTATATTGTGTGATGTGTGTATTATATCATGTGATGTGTGTATAGTATTGTGTGATGTGTATATAGTATCATGTGATGTGTGTATTATATCGTGTGATGTGTGTATTATATCGTGTGATGTGTGTATTATATCATGTGATGTGTGTATAGTATTGTGTGATGTGTGTATAGTATCATGTGATGTGTGTATTATATCATGTGATGTGTGTATTATATCGTGTGATGTGTGTATTATATCATGTGATGTGTGTATTGTATCATGTGATGTGTGTATAGTATTGTGTGATGTGTGTATAGTATCATGTGATGTGTGTATAGTATCGTGTGATGTGTGTATTATATTGTGTGATGTGTGTATTATATCATGTGATGTGTGTATTATATCATGTGATGTGTGTATAGTATTGTGTGATGTGTATATAGTATCATGTGATGTGTGTATTATATCGTGTGATGTGTGTATTATATCGTGTGATGTGTGTATTATATCATGTGATGTGTGTATAGTATTGTGTGATGTGTGTATAGTATCATGTGATGTGTGTATTATATCATGTGATGTGTGTATTATATCATGTGATGTGTGTATTATATCATGTGATGTGTGTATTATATCATGTGATGTGTGTATAGTATTGTGTGATGTGTGTATAGTATCATGTGATGTGTGTATTATATCGTGTGATGTGTGTATTATATCATGTGATGTGTGTATTATATCATGTGATGTGTGTATTGTATCGTGTGATGTGTATATAGTATCATGTGATGTGTGTATAGTATCGTGTGATGTGTATATTATATCGTGTGATGTGTGTATAGTATTGTGTGATGTGTGTATAGTATCGTGTGATGTGTGTATAGTATCGTGTGATGTGTGTGCTAGGCCTACCTTCTCCAGCAACTGTGTTTCCATTCTGCCAACCGAACAAGCGCCTTGGATCCAGTGGCGCACTTCCCTGAAGCAATAAAAATCAGCAACCATAACAAAATTCTGAAACAATGTTTTCCTTTGTCACACAGAGGCCTGGTATAAGTTGTGAATAACACTCTCATTGTTCCATGTAATACTGTATCACTGAAATAGTTTGTTGTCATGAAAATAGCTGTCCAATTATGTCTTATCTTTAACAAAGTTGGGCATTTTCTTGAATGTCCTCTCATATCACCAACACCTTCACCCATCCCCTCCTATTGACCAACAGCCTAACTACAAGAATCTGCCCAAATACTTAGAAAACTGTTCAGCAAATGCCTTTCGTAAGTGAATAACTATCTGTGTAAACCTGTTACATAGAGAATCTCACCCGAGTGTCTTTTGATATCAATTATAATAACACGAGTTGATAAAAGTGGAAAAAATTCCGAGGCTTGCCGAGGGCTTTTGTCACTTTTATCAACGAGTGTTGATATATTTGATATCAAAAGACAAGAGGGTAAGATTTTATTTATCTTCCAAAATCATTCTTCCAACTTTTTCAATTTGTAGACAGTAATTAGCAGTGTCTTCAGTGTAAAAAGCACTGCAAACAGCTTCAGTAGCAGAGCCATTAGTGATGTGCCATTTGATTGTGACATCATGGTAACCAGTGACGTCACAATGGTCTGCAAACCATTGTGATGTAATTTCATTGCAGCGATATCTACAGTGTAGATATCGCTTGAACTCATCCAAGTGATATCTCCTGTGGGAGCCAGTTTTGGATGATAAATTTATTTCTCATCACAAAACATACATGATAAGTGAAAAGCAAATGATGACTATTACCATGTATTACTCAGCACACTTTCATGACGCAGTCCTCATTTTGATGGGAGGGAGGATGGTCCTACACAACTTAAATAGCAAATATTTCAACAAAACCACAGCAGTAAGACCAGCAATGAGCTTCACACATTGTGCCTATGTGGGGAATAGATCCGGGGCCTTTGGCATGACAAATACAGGCGACCCCACCTCCCTTGCACAGACTATATAGAGTAGGAATTGTTTGAGAGGCATTACTTAGAAGTGGACAGATGACAAAGTGCCTATGTGGGGAATAGATCCGGGGCCTTTGGCATGACAAATACAGGCGACCCCACCTCCCTTACACAGACTATATAGAGTAGGAATTGTTTGAGAGGCATTACTTAGAAGTGGACAGATGACAAAGTAGACACAATTTTATGGATCACAATAAAATTAAAAAAAGTTCTTATCCATGAATTGTGTCGACTTATATAGAGAGTTATATGGACTTTGCACCCAGGTTGTCTACCCACCATGAGCAGTTGGTAGACGTTGACATCGATGCGAGGGGAAGCTATGGAGTCAGTGGGGAACAGAGCCGAATACAGTTTAGGGTACTCCTTCAGCTTGTCCTGCAGTAAATTCTGGTCCATGTTCCCGAAGACCTCCAGTCTCAACACATCCGAGTTCTGAAACATGCACAATGATGTAATAATGTGCATATTGATAATGCACGAATCCACACCTAAAAGCATCCTCAAAGGGCTACATTATTAGCCCAGTCAACGGATTAGTGTGCACTCGAATAATATTCTCAGCTCCCTAGGGAGTATACTACATGAGCTGATGATGACCTTGTGTAAGGATTCAGCACCAGTTTTGGCAAGCTTGATACATGATTGTATTACAAATCATTTAACCTTGTTAACCTTGTAAATAATGCATTATACTTAGATAATTATGTCATGTGATCATTTCATAATGTCCTAATCATGTTAATTCTTTGAAATCATACCTGATGTAAAGGTGTAGGTAGATATGGAAGTGTTGCTACGGCAACATTCACATGGTCTTGTCTAATGAGGTCAGCGAGGGATGGGTCGTTTATCTTCCAAATACTGGCGGCACACATGAGACTGGCCTGATACACAGCTTCTGAATCTGGAAAAAACATGCCGCACATCGTACCAAAGAGTGGCTGTGTGAGTTGGGGCTTACGCATCCTTGAGGTGAGGTGAAAGTGAGTTTAACATCGCATCCAAGATTATTGCACTTATATAGCAGTGTGCATGCACGAGTGTGTGTGTGTGGCTGCTAGTGCTAGTCCGGACTAATGCCGATTTTATAGTGCTAGCCCACTGATATACCATGCCGCAGTTTAACAGGAATATCCCACTCGGACACAGTATACTGACTCCGAGCCAACCAGTCCTTGTTTTAGCCCCTTAGTGCTGAGCGCCAGGCAGGGTAACAACAAGTACCATCTTTTAACATCTTTTGGTATGACACAGCCAGGCATCAAACCCAGGACCTTCTGCTCTCAGGTCATACGCTCTACTACTACGCAGCTTTGAACAACATTCAAGTTATATCATAGCTGTATGCTTAATGTGAGACATTTACTATTTGGTAAAACCCAGGAACACGGGTATGGCGCTGATAAACGAAGAATCATCATCAGTGAATCTGTGATTTGAATGCATAAGGGGTGCAACTCTTCACGGGAAGCTGCAGCACCTCAGAAAACAAATTCATCCCTGCCTCATACTACCAAACACTGTACTCTTTATGCTGTACAAGCCATGATCCAAACATCCCCAGATGGATTTCAATATGTGCTCAAAACTTCCCCAGAAGGATTTCAGCATGTGCTCAAAACATCCCCAGGTGGATTTCAGTATGTGATCAAAACATCCCCAGAAGGATTTCAGTATGTGCTCAAAACATCCCCAGAAGGATTTCAGTATGTGATCAAAACATCCCCAGAAGGATTTCAGCATGTGCTCAAAACATCCCCAGAAGGATTTCAGTATGTGATCAAAACATCCCCAGATGGATTTCAGTAAGTGATCAAAACATCCCCAGAAGGATTTCAGCATGTGCTCAAAACATCCCCAGAAGGATTTCAGTATGTGATCAAAACATCCCCAGATGGATTTCAGTATGTGATCAAAACATCCCCAGAAGGATTTCAGCATGTGCTCAAAACATCCCCAGAAGGATTTCAGTATGTGATCAAAACATCCCCAGATGGATTTCAGTATGTGCTCAAAACATCCCCAGATGGATTTCAACATGTGATCAGAACATACACACACATTACACCAAACATCATTGAAAACATATGAAAATGTGAATGCCCTGACCATGCCAACTCGTCTTGCTGAACATCTCACAATGGGAAACAGGTTCTAATTTGACCACTGCTATTCAAACGTGAGTAAATGTTATTTTATGCATCAGTTTGCAATATTTCAGCCATATCCAACAATAACAAGTTTGGACCAGGAATCAGTGACAAAAATCATGGTTACGGATCCAAGTCACTGAGCCAGACCATTCAATCCATTCCATCCGTGTTCATTTGTGCAGATCAAGTGTAACAAATGCAATATGATTGTTACCATCTGGGTTGCGGCAGATGGTGAAGAAGTGCTGTAGGCTAGTCAGCCATGTCTTCAGGTCTTGGCTTTCAACATCAATCTTGTCCAGCTGCAGCCTACATAGACAAACACACACATTAAATACCTACACATCGCTAGTCATTCAGTACCTACACCTCGCTAATACCTACAGATCGCTAGTCATTCAATACCTACACCTCACTAATCATTCAATACCTACATCTCACTAATCATTTAATACCTACACCTCACTAATCATTCAATACCTACTCCTCGCTAATACCTACACCTCACTAATCATTCAATACCTACATCTCACTAATTATTCAATACCTACACCTCACTAATACCTACACCTCACTAATCATTCAATACCTACTCCTCGCTAATACCTACACCTCACTAATCATTCAATACCTACATCTCACTAATTATTCAATACCTACACCTCACTAATCATTCAATACCTACATCTCACTAATCCTTTAATACCTACACCTCGCTAATACCTACACCTCCCTAATCAGTCAATACCTACACCTCACTAATCATTTAATACCGACACCTCACTAATCATTTAATACCTACACCCCACTAATCATTCAATACCTACACCTCACTAATCATTCAATACCTACACCTCACTAATCATTTAATACCTACACCTCACCTATTGAGCTGTCATGGAAGCATATGTCCTCCATTGTATCATGTCATCACGTCACTATAACCTTCAAGAGTGAAGTCATGTCTCTCTCTCTCAACTAATGTATATTAGACAGAACCAATCTGTGACAGGGTTTAGTTAAAGCAACTGAATAAAGTCAACAGACGAAGCTGAATGTAATGTTAACACTATTGCCTAGACAAGTTACACATCGTTGAATGCACCTAGCCTACGGCCTCTCTGACTAGGCTTTGACGACAAGACCCTGTCTGCAGTATTGACTTGATTGGGACTAAGTGTTCTTATTCTGTAATGCATAAAGTTCATCTGACAGTCATATGCATTTTCATATATAAATACACATGTACACTGAAATAGAGCAGACAAGACTTTAATATGGTCAATGATGAAGTCTACACACAGTATGCTTTTTGGTTTTGTTTGTTTGTTGTTTCAGCCGCACTCTGTATGTCTGTACCAGACAATCAAGTGATTGACATCATGTGCATCGATCCGCACAATTGGGATACAATGTCAGCGAGTTTGACCACCTGATCCCGTTAGTCACCTCCTACAACAAGCATAGTTGCCTCTTACAGCAAGCATTGGTTGCTGAAGACCTAGTCTACACCCGATCTTCACGGTCCCCTCACACTGTGTGCACACAAACCTGTGTCTTGTGCAGTATCTCCACAGCGGCAGGACGAGCTGGTGCCGGGCACAGTAGGCCAGGAAGTGGTGGTGGAAGTGGTGCACCGTGTGTTGATCCAGATGCTGCAGGGGGTGGGGGGAACACACCACCCCTCCCACCCTCGACAGGTGCTTCATCAGGACGGGGAAGTCAGACAGCATCTCACTCCAGATAAAACCTTTCCTGTGAGTACAATAGAGACTAATATCACAATAGCTACAACATTTCCTGTAAGTACAAAATATCTATATATCATTCCAGATAAAGCTTTCCTATGAGTATGAAAATACACAGAGATCACTCAGGATAAATCCTTTCTTGTGAGTATAAACACACAAATATCAATATATACCAAACCACAAAAGAAACATCACCATGAAAAGATATATGACAAACCTTATTTGTCAAAACACTGTAAACATACTTTGAGACATATTCAAAAGATGAAACTTGGCAAAACTGATCATCAAGGTTGAAATTAAAGTGTCAAATGTTCTTAAAGTGAAACACGATGCTAGTCTCTGAGAAAATGGCATTACAAGTCAGTATCTTGTGTGTCCACCATGTGCATTGATGACTGCCGTGCAACATGGAATGGATGAGGCGGTAGATGAAGGCCATAGGCACTTGAGCCCACACTCTGAGGAACACTTGACGCAGTTCAGCTGCAGTTGTCGGCCTTGGTCGGACGTCATTCAGCCGTCTTTGAATCTCGTCCTAGGTGCTCAATGGGATTTAATTTGGGACTGCAGGCAGGCCACTGCATGGTTCTGATGCCATTCTGCTGGAGGAAGTCTCTTGTTTACTCGCAGTGTGGGTACGGGCGTTATCATGCTGAAACTCATGGGTGCGACTACGTGCCAAATGAGGTATGGCGTGTGGTCTCAAGACTTGATCAATGTACCGAGCTGCTGTGACAGCATTGCCTTTCCCTGGACTGATGTTCTGGAAGACCACAGGGCCGACCCTCTGTGCAAGACCAATTCCACCCCCCACCATGATGCTTGGACCACCGTTGCTGGAGCCTGTATACGGTCCTTACGTGGACTTGAAATGCATTGTCCAACTTGCAATCGTCCAAGGGCTTGGTGTCGCTGATTTCTTGTCAATCTTGGCATGTGGTAGCAATTCTTTTTTTTTTTTTTCTTTTTTTTTCTTTTTTTTTTCTTTTTTTTTTTTTTTAGAAAGACACACCTGTTACATAAATGGGCTTCCGCCCAGGGTAGCAGAAAGCCCATGACATAAAGCACAACTTATCAGTACATCTTGCTTTGTTGTTTTTTTATACAGAAAATAACATACTTCTCACTCACACATTCACTCTTGTTTATATATCATATTGCAGTTTAGGAAAGTACATGGTCTCAAACATTAAAATCTTGAGTACAAAACTAAAATTAAATTGAAAGCTGCTCCTCATTTTCGAAAAGTTGATGATACAGCATCCAAGCACCATAGAATTTCTGTTGATTACCTGTCTTGAAAGCAATATCTTTTTCAATGTTGTATCGTGAAAAAGCTTCCTTTTTATAAACATGAAAATAAGGTTTTGTATTTTGGAATTTATGTGGTAGCAATTCAATAACATATGAATGTTATCTGATCTGGGTGGATTTTTATAGGGCAAGAAATGGGGGAACGCATGTGCATTACCATTTGCACTGAACTCACGTGCATCGGGTTACCATGGCCATTGCCATGATGCATTTGGGCGATCGGTTTTATTGTCATCTGCTTTGTTTTCTTATCATCAAATTTCATTTTTCCAGACAAGGTAATGTTAAATTTTTGAAACTTTGACCAAAAATACCCAGGTATTTGAATGTGCAAAGTTACTTGGGGTAATGTTTCTTTTGCAGTTCAGTATAGATAAAACCTTTCTTGTGAGTATAAATACATAAATATCAGTATAGGTTAAACCTTTCTTTTGAGTAAAAACACACAAATATCACTATAGGTAAAACCTTTCTTGTGAGTATAAATACACAAATATCACTATAGGTTAAACCTTTCTTGTGAGTATAAACACACAAATATCACTTTTGGTAAAACCTTTTTGTGAGTATAAATACACAAATATCACTATTGGTAAAATCATTCCTTTGAGTTGACATACATCAATATCACTTCAGAATAACAATTACCTGCGAGTAGAAGACATCGATACACCAGATACAATATGTATGACCTTCCCTGGGACCGAGGCAGAAAATAATATTTCCTTCTTTACACATCGGAAGTAAAACATATAACTGATACAATCTGACATAGCCTTGACTAATCTTAGGCACCAGTCTAAACAGTCCTTTCCTGTTGGTGATAAATATTAGACCCTTTCGGTTCCTGTTTCCTTGTTGTGTTAGTGGTTGTCTTCAGTGAACTTATGTAGGGCATATTTAGCTTCAGGAAGAAAATATCATTAACAATTCACTGTTATATGTCAAAATAGTGTTGATATTTTTCTCATGATTTTTCTTCAGTTATATATGTAAAGTTAGTGTTTGTGTGATCACATTAGCAAATATCAGTGTAATCTGTATTCTGTACATTGCTCTACTTATCGCACTACTCGGGATTGTTTTCACTTACTTCATGAGACGTAAAGTAATTTCCATCTGCATTGATTCATTGCAGAGGTCAAGGTCACTGTAAAGGTCAATAATGCAGTCCTGACGTTGCCTGCAACTGCTACCATCTTCAGTGACCTCTCTGATCATTAGGTCAAGTAAGGTCAGTGCATCGTCATGGCGATTGTGGCTCAAGAGGTACTTCCACAACAATTTTCTGTTTGGATACATTTCCATGATGAAATCTGAAAGAGCAAAGTTTGATTCAAATTTGAAACTGAATTTGATCTTTTCATACCATGGCCATGACAGGTGGAAATATGTGGACAATATACAATACTGAGTGAGTGAGTATGGTGGACAACATACGATACTGAGTGAGTGAGTATGGTGGACAATATACAATACTGAGTGAGTGAGTATGGTGGACAATATACGATACTGAGTGAGTGGGTATGGTGGACAATATACGATACTGAGTGAGTGAGTATGGTTTTACACCACTTTCAGCAATATTCCAGCACTACCACACCAGAAATAGGCTACACACATTTTACCCATGTGGAGAATCGAACCCAGGTCTACAGAATTACAAGAAAACACTTCAACCACTGGGCTACCCCACCGTCTTAATATACCACAGATGTGATATATAATGTACTTTCATCCTGTACCTATCACCGTGACACCCTTTATAGTGACAGTTTCACCTGTGTTAACAATTAGTAACAATTGTTAACATTGTTTACAATAGGGTGTCACAATACATCTATCTCGGATATCAATTCATATAAAAATTGATTTCAATATTTTGTTATAACTTCATAAACACTGATAAATGCAAAAGAATACTGAAGACAATTCTAATAAGTAAATATGTCAGCAATAATAACTTCACAGTCTGCTTATTAAACCATTAACACACAAAAAACTGCAGGAAATAACATGACTGAGTACAGTGTATAAAATTCCCCAAACTTTTAGTCAGACAACCAGACTTGGAACATTGCACAGTTACCAGACCAGATAAAATGTTGCCAGTCCAGAATTTTCTAGGATAACAAAAGGGTAAACATAAGAATAAAACTGTTTAATGATAGTTCTCAGAAAATAACAAGAAACTGGTGGATTGTCAACTTAGTAACTTTAACAACCTAACATCGGGTGTGCAACTTTTCAGAACTGACTGTCCGTCGGCAACATAGACTGTCACTGACTGTCGGGCACATGGGTATTTTAAACACTGTTCCGCAATGGTATTCAGCGCAATAATGTGACACATACCCTGCCCACTCTATAACTATAACCAGGAAACAGTATACGATAAGTTGGTGTGGCCTATTCATGTTTGGAGTGAGTGAGTTAGTGAGTGAGTGAGTGAGTGAGTGAGTGAGTGAGTGAGTGAGTGAGTAAATAATCGAGTGAGTGAGTGAGTGAGTAAGTGAGCGAGCATGGTTTAACACCATGTGTGAGTGAGTGAGTGAGCGAGCATGGTTTTAGACTGCTTTTAGCTTCATTCCAAATACAATTGCATGGTTAGCCAATCAAATGTCACAGAATCATTTGCACCTTATTTTTATCGCAATGCTTGAGGCACTTCTCCATGTTCCATGCGACTCCAGTAACAGGAAGTTGCCGCTAACAACCAGTTGGTGTTTAACTGACATGACATGGTAGCGTTATGTAATCAGATTTCGTATTTTGTTTTGAAAGAATATGGTAGTCTGAGTAGTCCCCAAACAAAGCTTTTATATATCACATTCAGAGAGTAAATACAGAACTAAAACATGAATCAATACAAAAGTATGCTGATTGTGTCTCATACTGTCAGGTGTCCATTCATGATGAATCGATACATTGGTGACTCGTGGCTCCCCAGTCAACATCTAATCCACAATCATATTTGCATGTGATGCTGTTGTCAAATCTCTTATATAAAATTCCATGATTAAATAAATGACAGTGATTTATCTAGACTTGAATACAGGTCAATATTCAGCTCAAACTCGACAGGAAAGGTTAGTAAAAGTTTCTCAGAAATGGTGCGTGCGTGCATGCATGTTTCTTCAGAAGAACATGACACTGGCTCCATGACAATCAGAAGAGCTGCATTGTAAAATTTCTTAACATATATATAAATCCATCATAGCTCATGACAGGCACCACTTACTTTTAACAGCACTATCCTCAACAGTAGTGTACAGATACTGTGGACATGAGCAAGTTCTGTTACCACTTTGATGTATCACCTGTGCTAAGCGGGTGTAGGTTTTCTACACAACATTGAAAGTGTTCTTTATATAAATATCCTGTTTGTCTAAAAATAGGGAACATACACTATTGAAGAGGCTGCCCATTATCATACAACATCCTCCACTCTAATTTCCATATCCTATCAGATAATCCAAGGTTCTCACCATCTTTTCCAATCTGTGCTTCTAACAGAGTTCTCTCCCTTGTTTCTTGGTCCCAAGATCGTATCCATGTTAGAATGACCTCTGCATATAATCCATCTGGACTGCCCCCTGACCCTTGCCCACCAATATCTCCACAGACACTGTTCACCTCGTGACTAGTTTTGTTCATTAAAGATGCCAAGAGAGTCTCATCTGACCAAGCACTGCAAATAAGGCACATGATTACCTTGACACCTTTGTGTTGTATATATTGATAGTGAGTGAGTGAGTGAGTATGGTTTTACGCCGCTTTTAGCAATATTCCAGCAATATCACGGCGGGGGACACCAGAAATGGGCTTCACACAATGTACCCATGTCGGGAATCGAACCCAGGTCTTCGGCTTGACGAGCGAACGCTTTAACCACTAGGCTACCCGACCGCCCCGTATATATTGATAAGGGAAGTGGACATGGGGAAGGAATTCTCATATCTATGGCATACACAATTTTGAAGACAAATAATAACTAACAAGGAAGCCTCGGTGCTGAGTGGGATAGATCGCTGACTTTGTGTGCTGGCGATTAGGTGCCTCACTGGCAGTGTGGGTTCAAATCCCAGATGGGACTCAACCCCCAAAAAGTACGAGAATCTGTACTTTACTCTGAAAGTGTTATCCCAAATATAATATTTGTTACATTTGAGCACTTTCTAAATGACAATGTGTGTTCAAATAATAACTACATAAATATAAATGATCATTTTCTATAAATGGAATAGCAACCATCAAAATAAGTAAAATATTTATCCCAAACAGTGTCACAATCAGAAAAACAAGAGCAAGTTTGATATACTTGATATATGGAGATAGTATTTTGTACCAGAATATAATCCTATGATCATAACAGTATTCATCTTGAATTTTTCGAAAATCAATTGCTAATTTGATGTACCTGTTATCACAGCCACGAACATGTGACACTAGCTTATATCAACATGTCATGGTAACTTTAGTAACTATCACATATTCAGCTGGAACTATTAATCTACTTTTTCTAGTTTTAGTAGATTAAAATCTGAAAAATCAAAGTACGAATAAAGCAACATAGATGTTCTATAGCTCATCTTGATACTTGGCTATATTTAAAAACAAGAACAATAAATTAAAGATGGCATTAGGAATCTAATAATAATCTTACAGAATAGAACAAACTATATCATCAAATACAGATTGGATGCTAGACTTTCTGCTGAACCACACCCTTCAGCTCTGACAATGCTGACAATGTGGGTCACTACCTGCGGCGGTGCCCCGTTGTGGTGATCATGGCGTGGCTGAAGGCGTTACACGGGTACAGCTGATACAGCCGCTGCAGGAAGGACACCTCACTGGCCTCCTCGGGGGTCAGACTTCCACTTTTGTGGAGCTCCGATGTGATGAACATTTGGAGGTCGCGAGACTTCACACGCTCTGCTAGGCGCCATAGTTTGGCAGAGACATCAAAACCCTGCAGGCAAAGTAATACGTTCAATTTCCGTGAAAACAGCAGTCGTTGAATCTGAACTACCTGGGTTATGAGTCAGATATCCATCCACAAGCAGAAAGGTTTTGTCCAAATTGAAGCAGATAGACAAGCATATCTGATTTATGTATCTTGAAACCAAAGTAGACAACCACGTCTGAATGTGGATAATTATGGCATTGCCATTATATTGTTTGGGATATTACTTCAGTCAGTAGTTTCTGAGCACAATTACCGTATTCGACGTAATAAGCGCCCCGCCCTAATAAGCGCCCACAGCGATATTTGCTAATATATTGGCAAGCGAACAATCCCAATTAGCACCCCTTCCGATTGATCAATGTACGCAAGACTTATTTATTCGTGTATAATCATGATAATACGCACTCGTGTGTTATATGCACCTTTAGTCATGGGTAATTAAATTCTGGATAAATATATCTGTCGTCTATAAACAGTCAGGCCGTCAGCATAAACCATGAAATTTATCTTTCAACTGTTTTTTCCACCAAAATAATATTCTAATAAGAGCCCCCTGTTTCTAGTTTTGAGAGCGCCCTGGGCGCTTATTACGTCGAATACGGTAGTCACAATTAGTTAAATTGAATGAGGATTGAAAGTTACTTTGACTTACCAGATTAGACAGGAGCTCCTTTGCTTTGCTCATATCTCTGTTGCCAAGGTAGAGGAGAACCTGGTCCATACAGTTGTTAACGAGTTGCTCATACCTGGCGACACCTGTATCACTGCTCGTTAATAGGTGGGACTGCAGGAGAAGAAGTCGGTTCTTCAGGGTGGCTGCCTCTACCGCATCCTGGAATGTAGATTGGTTACCATGGTTACAGTAGTCATAAAATCCTCAACACAACATCACCTTGTGTTGCAAAGATAAAGGAAGACGCTTGTTGGTATATTGCAGGGGTTTATTTAGACCTATTTAGAGGCCGATTTTCGGCCCCAAATCTGCAGCAAAAAAAGTCAGTAAAAATGCTTGTCATAAAAGGCGACTATGCTTGTTGAAAGAGGTGATCAACGGGGTTAGGTGGTCGGGCTTGCTGACTTGGTTGATGCATGCCATCGTATCCCAAATGTGTGGATCGATGGATCGATTGGATTGTCTGGTCCAGACTTGATTATTTACAGACCGCCATCATATAGCTGGAATATTGCTGAGTGCAGCGTTAAACAACAAACACACAAACAAATGTAATACCTCTGAATTGAAGCAAAGAAGGACTCTTTCCAATTTAGGGACAAAACATATGTTTTATGCTCACCAATGGCTCACATAATATAATTTCTATTCCTAATATATCATGCTTATCACACAAAGACACATTTGGCTATTAACCTCTTTATCAGATATATTGTAACAAGAATCCCACCTCTGCTGTCAAATGTGACCATTCAGAGTCCTCTACGCTGTCGTCAGTGGTAAGTCCATCAGGTGTGTCTGATGCCTTGATGATCAACTTGCCACGAGCTAATGTCAGACACTGGCGTAGTTGAGCAATATATCCCATCAACAGGTCAACGGCCTTCTCAAGGTCACCTTTCTCCTGCTGGTCACACTGGGTCTGACCTAGACCCCCATGAACAGACAGACCATTGTGGACAAGGCCATACAGAAACTCCAAGGTCAAGGTCAACAGTTTGTTGGCAAAGTCACGTGACTGCTGATCATTCACATTTTCTCTGACAGCTTGGACTAGGAAGGAGAGGGCAGACTCTAACTGCTGCACACTGTCGTAGTGGCAGAGGTGGGATGTCCACAGCATGGACTCCTCCCCAGCAGTCACGGGGGACACAGAGGGCTTCTCCTTGTTGGCTGTGAACACTGAAACATCAAGATGACTCGTGTTATACAGGGATCTGAAATATGTCAGCCATAAGTCATTGACACGTAAAACAGCTTGACTTAAAATCATCATTTTGTAGAAAACATGTATTCTAAAATAGGGTGACAGAGTTGTTCCCCTTAGACCACTGTTTCAAATTTTGCCTTGAGGGAGTTGTCACCCATGACCATTTGGGGATGCTTTCATTCCAAGTCTCACAAGCAAAATGGCCATAGTCAATTTAGAAAATTGTTTTGATACTAAGTGTTGAGTATGAAAAAGCGCCGTAAGACGTTAGAGGCAGTTGAAACAAAAGTGAAGAGAAAGGGGGCAGAGGCGAAGATGCCTGAAATTATGGAGGAGTTGAGATTGATTCCAGTTTTACGGCTGCAGCCACCCCGGGAAAAACAGCAGCACAAGCTGTCTTGCTGTTGTTGACTTAAAACAACACGTAAAAAGCCCAATGCTTGGTTAAGATTATTTCTGATGTCTGACATTACAATAAAAAGATACTGTGTGTTCTGTTCATTCCACAAATGCATTAAAAATATAGTACCATTTTACATTTTATGCGTAAAAAATGTTATATTTTCCCCATAATCTTATTATCTACAACTGAATTTAATCTATGTGTAAATTGGCTGACTTATTTGTAAAAGTTGTCTTGAGTCGATGACATGCAAAGGAAACGGCTGCATTCACTTTAAATACTCAATGTTCAACTATTTAATTATTCAAAAAGACAAATGTTTCAGTATGTGTATTAAGGTGAAGACCGACATGTACATACAGTTCTCCTTGCTCTTCAGAAAGAAGGCCACAGTGTCAAGTTGCCGATGTTGTATCCCGATTTGTAGCGTGTGAACAGGCACCGTGCAGCGCCCCCACTTGTTGAAGTCACACAACATATCGGCAGAGGTGGCGCCACCATACAGCATCAGCTACACGCAGATATAATATATATATATTTATAGAAATGTTTCTATTCATAAGGTCTATTATCAGAATCATAAATGTATAAATATATAAAAAATAGGGATGGGTATTAGATGTTTAAAGTGTATCACAATGTTTTTCTATGTACATGGTCGTATTGCAATACGTATCACAATATGTTGTATAATTCTAAAATTTGAATTCAGAAGCAATTTGAAACATCAATGTTATAACTGAAGTTCATCAATGGAACAAAACAAGATGCTGGAATAGCATAATGTTTACTCATTTAATAAATACCAAAGATGCACGCTCCAGGACAGTGATGACTTGGTGTTACACCACTGCCACAGAAGAACTCCAGAATGCGAACTTGCATTTTGGAATTACAGAACATTTCACGGTACATGTATTTGGCAAGTATTATACTGTATCACATGATCAAAATCGCTATTTGAAATGACCCTAAATATACTGAGCATTAAAAAATGATGTTGTGATTCGTATCGTGGAAATAATGAACCTCAATTTACCGATATACTGGTAATACCACGCACCTTATATATACAATACCCAAAATGTTTGAAAGTTATAATCAAAACGGTACAGTATTTCGCCATATTAAGTGCCCAGCTTCACTGAGCATCCTGTCCAACTTCTTGACTGATAAGCCTCTTCCAAATATGAGTTCTAGATTCAAAATTTCAAATTCTTATATATATTCTAAATATGCAAAAGGTGCTATAGACAATATATATATTCTGGCATCGATTCAGCATCAGCACCTTTTCAGACAAAACATTGCCATGTGGAGTTGTTACCTTGCTCACGAGGTCCTCCTGTTCTACATCAGCTTCAGTAACAATGTGGAAGACGAAGACATCGCTGAAGACGAGGTGGGTATGGCCAGGTGTGGAGGACAACACGATTCTCTGACTACCGGAAATGCTGCAACCACACACGAACACAGATTAACAGTTTCAGAGTAGCATCTAGCTAATCAACTGCTCAGCACTTCATGAATTGCAATAGAAACATCTTTGACGATACAATTACAAACTACATGTTTGGGGCACTACTAAGTCAACTGTAACAGCCGTTGACACAAAGTGATCGAAGCATTACAGTTATATATGTTGTAAGTCCACTTTAAACATTGAAGTTATGATCGCCAAAGTGCTTCCACAGTTGTAAATCTGTTAAATAATATAAGCTATGATAGTCAAAGTTCTACAGTAGGTGTAAATATATGTTAAATAGTATAAGCTATGATAGTCAAAGTTCTACAGTAGGTGTAAATATATGTTAAACAGTATAAGCTATGATAGTCAAAGTTCTACAGTAGGTGTAAATATATGTTAAATAATATAAGCTATGATAGTCAAAGTTCTACAGTAGGTGTAAATATATGTTAAATAATATAAGCTATGATAGTCAAAGTTCTACAGTAGGTGTAAATATATGTTAAATAATATAAGCTATGATAGTCAAAGTTCTACAGTAGGTGTAAATATATGTTAAATAGTATAAGCTATGATAGTCAAAGTTCTACAGTAGGTGTAAATATATGTTAAATAATATAAGCTATGATAGTCAAAGTTCTACAGTAGGTGTAAATATATGTTAAAGTAAAGGAATTACGGCAGTCATAGTTCTGTGGTAGTAGTAAATCTTTGTAGGGAATAGCATGAGTCTATCAATGTTTTTAGTCAATGGGACTCACACTAAGGCTAAAAAAATAATAGTCTTGGTTCTCAGGCACCGCCCGCATCATCATTTAGTCCGGTGCACATTTCGTTATTATTTCGATTTTCATGTAAACAAAAACATTGTAATACTTAAAAATAATGCGATCCAAGATAGCACACAGTTACTTCCCTTTACATGTGCACTGCTGTACTGTGGATCTTGTGTTATGGTCATGGCGGCAATATGCAGGGAGGCCCTTTCCCAGGTTGATGGTACACAACTGTTTATGTGGTTACATACTAGTTTGAACAAGCAAAAAAAAACAACCACCGCCACCCTGCACTATATTTTCAAAAGTCATTGCCTGAGAACCATTTCTTTTATTTTTTAAGCCTAATACATTTCGAAAATCATTATCTGAAAATGATTACATCTAGGCTTCATGGTATTCGATGAGGAGACTTTATTGAGGCAAAGACGTATATATACACCTTGGATTAAGAATTACCTTTTCATAATAATTTGGTGGAAGGCTGCATCTATGACACATATTGCCTTGCTGCCGCCAGCTGCCCTCTCAGCCAATGAAAGAGTCAGAGCGAACCTGCTCACTGCCATGTCGACTACCGTGTACTGGCGTAGCTCTGACGGCAACTCATGGCTATCTACAATTGTTTCACTCGCCACTCCACCAACTGAAAATCTAGATTTGAAACCTGTGACATTCTTCCTTTGGCGTTTTGTCTCACTTCTTGTTTTACTCTGAAAGTATTTTCCACTGCTTTGTTTGAGGTGTTTTTCTTCATGCAGATTTAATAACTCTTCTCTCCATGTAGAATCGCCATGGCGACAAGTAGAGTGGTTTGGTCGAAATGTTCGTTCCCTGTAGGGGTGGAAGACTGATGACTCTACCTTAAGACATTTAGGATAAGCTTTGATGTAGGCATCAAGGGCCAATGTGTGGAGCATCCAGTCCTGGCCAATCAGAATGAGTCTGTGGAAATCATGTGATATCCTCCATTGCATTTGATTGGCTGGATCAAGTTTGGAGAATTGTAAATCCACATGACACCACAGGTGACCAGCACCAATGTCAAAGATGTCTAAGTTACACTTAAGGAACAACACAAGCTTAGGGCATCTCATTCCAACCAACTTGTGAAACAAAGAAATTTGACATGGTTAAAATACAAACTTTATTGCTTGGTGACCAACTATTTGCTTTTGAGCTCTTGGAAGGAGGGTTGTGAAAATAATAAATTGTTGTGAATTTTCTTTGCTTCATGTTACATGTTTTTATCAACAACAACAATTATTCACCACAATCATAGGAAGTCATGCACAAAATGTGCTAAAAAATTCAAAATAAATAATGTTTTCCCAGCTAATTCTTCACACAGAAATATGTAAACAAAGAAATGTTTGGCCTGAACATCACCTGATCCAAACATTTCATTGTTTTGTTGCTATAACCAACTCCTACTGAACACGCCTGTAAACATGTATCTACACTTTTGTTTGTGATTTCTTCCATGTGTATGTTATTGTTCAGTTTACGTCATCTTCCTGAGGCAAGGGCATTAACTGACTATAAAAGTCCAGTTTCCACCCTTGCCGACTCAGGCTGGAATTCCGGAGTTACATTTTGGCTGGTCAAACAACTCTATGCCTAGTACAATCAAAATTGTGACATCCAGTTTGTAAGAAAACATAGATTTAAATGTGCAGATTTGGGTCAACTGCAGGATTTGCAAAGCATGTGTACCGTCAATTGGGCATCAACAGATAATTTGCAAATCTTTTCATGTTTTTAATAAAGGTGCTGAAGTGATTTCATGCACTTCACTGGGTAAGACCTGTTTTATTTATTACAATCTATATCTTGATTATCAATCAGATCGTCTTCACTGGGTGCCACCAGTTTGTTTGAACCAAATGCAAGTGATATGAGAGATTCAATCTGATTGGTTAAGAGGGGGGACATTAAAGGGACATAACTCATAATAGCCACGGGTCGCGCTACGATCGAGCCCAGAAATTCCAACCTTGTTCAGCAAGGGTGGAAACTGGACTTTTTTATAGCCAGTTAACATCACTGCCTCTGGAAGTTGAGTAAATATATTAAATGTGCAATGTGTTATACATGACAACAGATGATCATATGTCACAATAAAACCCATCTACTGATGGCAGAAGAAAGGATACAAAGAGTTTCAGTCTTCTCTGCAAGAACCACCAACTGATCTGCAACAATCTGAAACAAAGGTAGACAACTGTGACTTGCTCCAGGAATAGTCAAGGTGGCCACATGTTTGCAGAGTCCGTCATCCAGTAACTGGATGGAGACGAAGACGCTGGTGTTGACAAGCAGGAGGCATGCTGTGGACGTGCAGTGAACGAGGGACAGTGTGTCTACTGTCGACAGCTCAGCTACTGAAACATAAAACAGAATAATTGGCCTACACGCATGATACAGACTATTGATGTGGACAGAACTCATCACCTATTCTCACCCTACATTTTTCTAGATTTAAGACAAAGATATTTATCACATGTTTATTAGTAAACAATGTTCGGTTTTCAACCACAAAACAGGCTGGGAATCAGTCCAGTGTCCATGGAGTGGTGACACAGGACATACAAAATCATTCAGTGACTTTGGCCAAGTACAAAAAAAACAAACATGTTTTGTTGTCGGAATTGAAAACGCACACTTTCAAGAGGTCACCATGGCTGGTTATTGCATGCAGGTAAGGCTTACATGTGTCAATATGGATGATTACAGAGGTCATCAGAACAGTGTTCCTAATATTGGAACATGTCTTGGCCCTCAGCGGATATTCCTAGGAGATGTAGATGACAATGCAAACATATGGTTCAGATATATCCCAGGTCAAGGACTTGATCATCGTTATATTTTCTCCAGTTTTAAAATCAACCTTATTCACTCATTGTATTTATGCAGTCAGAATTCCAAAACTTGCATGTTTCAGGAAGACCAAAAGCTAGTTGTCAACCATCTGATCAAACATTTGATAATTTTCATACCAATATTTTCTACATCAATAATATTTGACATTTCCATTGGGACCAAAAAAAACAAAACGATTATCCTACCCCCTCCTTATTATGTTTATCACATCATCTCCTTATCATGTTTATCCTACCCCTCCTTATCATGCTTATCCTACCCCCTCCTAATCATGTTTATCCTACTGCATCCTTATCCTGTTTATCCCAACCCCTCCTTATAATACCCCTCCTTATCATGTTTATCCTACCCCCTCCTTATTATGTTTATCACATCCCCTCATCATGTTTATCCTACCCCCTCCTTATTATGTTTATCACATCCCCTCCTTATCATGTTTATCCTACCCCCTCCTTGTCATGTTTAGCCTACCCTTCCTTATCATGTTTATCCCAACCCCTCCTTATCATGTTTATCCTACCCCTCCTTATGTTTATCCTACTCCTCCTTATGTTTATCCTACCCCCTCCTTATCATGTTTATCCCAACCCCTCCTTATCATGTTTATCCTACCCCCTCCTAATCATGTTTATCCTACTCCTTTCTTATCATGTTTATAGTCCCTCCTTATCATGTTTATCCTAACCCTCCTTATGCTTATTCTACCCCTTATCATGTTTATCCTACCCCTCCTTATGCTTATTCTACCCCTCCTTATCATATTTATCCTACCCCTCCTTATCATGTTTATAGTCCCTCCTTATCATGTTTATCCTACCCCTCCTTATGCTTATCCTACACCTTTCTTATCATGCTTATCCTACCCCTCCTTATCATGTTTATCCCAACCCTCCTTATGCTTATTCTACCCCTCCTTATCATATTTATTCTACCCCTCCTTATCATGTTTATAGTCCCTCCTTATCATGTTTATCCCAACCCCTCCTTATCATGTTTATCCTACCCCCTCCTAATCATGTTTATCCTACTCCTTTCTTATCATGTTTATAGTCCCTCCTTATCATGTTTATCCTAACCCTCCTTATGCTTATTCTACCCCTTATCATGTTTATCCTAACCCTCCTTATGCTTATTCTACCCCTCCTTATCATATTTATCCTACCCCTCCTTATCATGTTTATAGTCCCTCCTTATCATGTTTATCCTACCCCTCCTTATGCTTATCCTACACCTTTCTTATCATGCTTATCCTACCCCTCCTTATCATGTTTATCCCAACCCTCCTTATGCTTATTCTACCCCTCCTTATCATATTTATTCTACCCCTCCTTATCATGTTTATAGTCCCTCCTTATCATGTTTATCCCAACCCCTCCTTATGCTTATTCTACCCCTCCTTATCATGTTTATCCTACCCCTCCTTATCATGTTTATCCTACCCCTCCTTATGCTTATTCTACCCCTCCTTATCATGTTTATCCTACCCCTCCTTATCATGTTTATCCTACCCCTCCTTCTGCTTATTCTACCCCTCCTTATCATGTTTATCCTACCCCTCCTTATGCTTATTCTACCCTTCCTTATCATGTTTATCCTACCCCTCCGTATGCTTATTCTACCCCTCCTTATCATGTTTATCCTACCCCTCCTTATGCTTATTCTACCCCTCCTTATGTTTATAGTCCCTCCTTATCATGTTTATCCTACCCCTCCTTATCATGTTTATCCTACACCCTTCTTACCATGTTTTTCCTATACCCTCCTTTCAGATGTTTTCTTACTCAATGTCCTAAGTTTCAAACCAGGAGTGGCATATGCTTTATCAAAGCAAACATAGAAAGTTATTCTTTAATTTTAGTTCAAAGTCTTGTAAAATCTCTCATAAACCCTTGTACGTTAAGAACAAAATCAAGTTAAAAAGACAGTGAAACACAAGTTTGACTCAAGAAGCAAACATATTCAGCACAAACTTTGAAAGTACTTCTTGTTGCTCATGGGAACCACTTTTGGACTTACCTCTTGTGAGTATTTCTGTCTGTAGTTTGTGGAAGGTCCAGCGGTGGGTGATTGTGGGTGCTGGTCCATGCAGAGAGTACTGGGCTATGGTCATCTCACTGTCCACCACACACAGACCGTCTCCTGGAGCTGGTTGCCATGCAAAGCTGAAGTAACCATGGTAACAGTAATGGTACATGACACAGTTTCCATTTCTTAAGGTTTCTACTTCTCAATATATCTCTAAATAGGTCATGAAGAGACAATGCCATTTTAAAAGTGGTCAAATGTAACAAATGTTATGTTTGGGATAACACTTTATAAGTAAAGTACTGATTCTAGTACATATTTGGGTTGAGTCACTTCCAGAGTGAGGCACCCAATAGCCAGCAAACAAAGTCAGCGATCCAACCCACTTAGCCACCGAGGTTTCCAAAAAAATTGAAAGTCTGCCAATGGTAGTCTAGATCACATACTTTGTGTACCCCTCTGACAAAAGTGAGGGTTAGAATCTGTACTTTACTAAGAAAGTGTTATTCCAAATATAACATTTGTTGAATAGGTCATATTCCAAACATAAACTTCATTTGGTCCTATGGAACATACTGTCAACATGGTCAATTAAGTGACAATGTGTCAGTACAGTTCTAACGTGTCGGACAATGTTTTCACATTTGAAGGATGGCTTATACAATTTGTAACAAAGGGAGTTAGAGGTGGTTGGCTCATAACGTCACCATGGTCACAAGAATAAGCAAAGTCTGCAGGTTGACCAGAGTCTGTTCTTTAATGCCGCACTCAGCAATATTCCAGATATATGACAGCAGTCTGTAAATAATCAGGTCTGGAACAGACAATCCAGTGATTAATATCATGAGCATCGATCTGCACAACTGGGATACAATGACATGCATCAGCCAATACATCGAGCCTGACCACCCTATCCCGTTAGTCGCCTTTAACGACAAGCAGGGATTGCTGAAGACTAATTCTAACTCGGATCTTGACGGAATTCATGACTAAGAATTCATAGCCGTGTGACCTTGTGATGACGTCATCTAGTGAAAGCGACACAATGTCAAGTTCCTTCAACTTCTCCAGAATCATCCAGGTACAGGGAACTACAGTAGCTAACCTGACGTTTATATTTTATTTTGAAACCGTTGTCTATAGAAGTGAGATGCCTACTGTGTATATGGAGCTCTGGTTAATGTTACCAAAATGGCGACACTCTAGCGATGGGCATATGTTTTATATCGGTGGGTTATCAGCTGTCTTTGCTGTTCTGTAATTATGGATCTGAGATTTCAGATATGGATGAATCACAGTTGGAACTTGATGAATTTGTCTTGCAAATTCTGGACTGGACACATTTTATCTGGTCTGGTAACTGTCCAAAGTTGCCAGTCCGGTTGTGTGACTTAAATTGGGGGGGATTTTATACACTGCAAAAACATGTGTTTGCTTCAACAACGCTAAATGTATGTAATTGGTATCAATATCATGACAATATGCATCCTCCTTCGGGAGATCCTTGTTGACTGTGGAGGACTCTGCGTTTATTGCACCTCACACTTCCTTGAAGCACCCATTGCTTCCTCATGCTGACAACGTCATACACCTACCACTGGGACATGGCAACGTCGTACACCTACCACTGGGACATGGCAACGTCATACACCTACCACTGGGACATGGCAACGTCGTACACCTACCACTGGGACATGGCAACGTCGTACACCTACCACTGGGACATGGCAACGTCGTACACCTACCACTGGGACATGGCAACGTCGTTCACCTACCACTGGGACATGGCAACGTCATACACCTACCACTGGGACATGGCAACGTCATACACCTACCACTGGGACATGGCAACGTCATACACCTACCACTGGGACATGGCAACGTCATACACCTACCACTGGGACATGGCAACGTCGTACACCTACCACTGGGACATGGCAACGTCGTACACCTACCACTGGGACATGGCAACGTCGTACACCTACCACTGGGACATGGCAACGTCATACACCTACCACTGGGACATGGCAACGTCATACACCTACCACTGGGACATGGCAACGTCGTACACCTACCACTGGGACATGGCAACGTCGTTCACCTACCACTGGGACATGGCAACGTCATACACCTACCACTGGGACATGGCAACGTCATACACCTACCACTGGGACATGGCAACGTCATACACCTACCACTGGGACATGGCAACGTCATACACCTACCACTGGGACATGGCAACGTCATACACCTACCACTGGGACATGGCAACGTCATACACCTACCACTGGGACATGGCAACGTCGTACACCTACCACTTGGACATGGCAACGTCATACACCTACCACTGGGACATGGCAACGTGTTTGGACAGAGTTCAGACTCACCTATAGTCAATGACAAAACTTGAGAGTTAAAGATATGCCACCTAAAACAGCACAACCCAACATTTGGATATAATGGGTTTTCATTGTTATATTTCTTGGAACATGTTTTTGTGACCTTGTAATTAGCTGCTCACAGTCATATTGCACAGTAATATGTGATATCAAGGATATCTGAGATCAAATAAATTAATTATGATTATTTGTAACATCCAGAAAATATATAACTTAAGATCTTACAGTCAACACTGTCAAATTCATGTAAACTGACATTCAGATACATCTAACATTCTAAATGGTTATCTAGAAAAGAGTATATCCCACATCAAACCTTTTTTATCAAAGCCCCTCCCTGACCAAATAGCCCAGAAGGTGGAAGTGTTTCTGTTTCATACAGTGACTAACAGCATAAATACAACCAAGTGTTGAAAGTTTTTGATAACGGCACCTAATGAGATCACCAACATGACCAAAGACCATCAAACTTTGTATCAACTTGAATGACAAAACTTGGATACCACAAAATTAAAGGCTCCATAATCAGATATAAGTCAATAAATGATTTTACGTTTTCAGGACTATTTCCGCTGGCTGGGGCATTAGAAATGAGCTTCACACAATGTACCCATGAAGCCAATCATAGTATAACACGAGACTACCCTACCATCCTCATTCCAGAGAATGAAGTAGAGAAACTTCAAACAGACTGGCATTAGGCTAAACGCCCGAGTTCGTTTGTCTAATGTTCAGGTATCCCGAGGACTAGTAGACTTTTATGCTTTTTAGGCATTCTCCTTACAGTACACTACGATTATAATGAACTCAAAGGGACTACTAATTTAATTCATTATATAAGTTGTTCGTTATATGCATATGTACAGACTGTACAGTATATATACAGCAAACGAACGGAACCAAGAAATAGTTTGTTATATCAGTTATAAGCGTGGTTGTTATAAACATAGTTTACTGTATATGTTATTCCTATGGTGTGGAGAGTTGTTTTCAAGAAGAGGTTTTTTTACTTACATTCATTGATAAAGGACAGATGGATGCATGGACAGACAGACTTAAGGACGGCAGAAGTAAACTATTTCCATAAGTTCAGATTGATGGTGTCACATGTGAAAACATCAATGGGCACCACACATGCCAAAAACATGAGTCAATATGTCAATGAACATTTAATCAGTGGGTCGAAATATTTTTAAAAATTGAACAATTATTTAATTTCGTACTACATTTTCTTTGTGGTGTATCTAGATGAAGACGACATATTTTGCACAGGTTGTTGTATGAAAGAATACTTGGAAGGTTGTATTTGGATTGAACTGAATAATATTCATTTAATAATCTTCAAAGCCCCGAGACCCATGAAGATCCGGGGTAGAATAGGTCTTCAGCAACAAATGCTTGTGGTAAAAGGGGGCTATGCTTGTCGTAAGAAGCGACTAGCGGGAATGGGTGGTCAGGCTCATTGACTTGGTTGATGCAATGTCATCGTATCCCGATTGCTTGGATCGATGCTCATGATGTCAATCACTGGATTGTCTGGTCCAAACTCGAATATTTACAGACCACCCCCATATAGCTTGAATATTGCTGAGTGCGGCGTTAAACAACAAAAAACAAAGCAAAGCACTGACTTATACTACATATTCATTAATCTCATTTACAGAACTTACAATCCACTGGCAGTGTAGAATTAGCCAGGGTTCTGTTATTTCTGTGGTTCTCAGATTTAGATAAATAAATAAAATGTATTGGAGTATCATTTAACACTGAAGTCAAAAGACCACTGCAGAAACAAGTGTGTAGATAAACATAGTAAATAGACCTTTTTATAACATTTGAGGATGCTTCTGGCCTGCACATGAAGAGGGTGGATTGAAAAGTTAATATCCTAACGATGTATGACATATGATTTTTATTTCGCTGACAGATGAAACTGTGAGAGCTGTTGACATCAAAAGACAACTGATGCAGACAGTTGTGAATTTGTTATCAAAGATGATGTTCTAGCCATCCTCTACATCTCCAGGGCTCGCATTTCGGTACACCTACACTAACCAATCCTGTGGTCCTTGCGATTTCCGTTAACATTTTACCGACCAATGAATCGTCGAGATGAAATTCTGACAGGTTGATGAAATCAAGGCCGGGTAATTTGAGATCGTGGGAACCACGGGAATAGATGTGACATAGTGACATTTCTTTGCACTGAGTTTCCCTGGAGTTGTCTCCCCCTAGACCATCAACTTGAAGATCCTTACACCTACTGTGTTTGATCTTGTGTGTTGTATTCAAATTCTAAAATTAATGACATATGTGATAGTTAATTTCAAGAGCTGTTTCCCATTTCACAAAACCAACTGTAAAACATCTCACTCACTCATAAAAGTCGACTTTATCTTAAACTTGGACCATCATCTGAGTATTCACAATGTCTGTGTGATGTCACACCCCTTGTTATAGCTCAAGTAATCGTGATAAACATGGGGTTATAGCGAAAATGGCACCTCAGCAAAACGTCACAGGGTGAAAACGGCACCGATTGGCGAAAACGGCACCTTGACTCAAGCGAAAACGGCACCTCGACTCGAGCGAAAATGGCACCTTATTTCATTTTTTACCTTGGTCAAATAAATGATATGAAACTAACATTGTAACTTGCAAAAGCCAACAATTGTGCGTGTTAAAACAAGTCTACATTAGAAATTATCCTCTACTCCAACTATAATCCAACTTAGCTTATACGCAACTGAACTTATTGTGAAAACATAACATGCTTTGAAGAAAAATAATAGAAATTAAACTCACATCGTCTCTTACAAACACAAATAATTGTGAATTAAAACAAATAAGAAATTAGCTCCCTACTCCAATTTACTCACCGACTCTGATTGGGAAGCGCAGTTAACTAATTGTGAAAACACTATACGCATTGAAGTTTTAAGTACCTTTACTCAATTTAAGCTGAAACTGTATTTAAGAGGCCAAACATGGTGCTGTCCCGTGTGCGAAATACGCTACAGTCGGAAAGCGCACGTTAAATCTCCTATATCAGTCAGTCAGTCAGTGCTGTTAGATCACAATTATTCACAATGGCCTTTCGATGTGTTGCATGCGAGAAGAATGTCAGAAAAAATCAACATGCTGTATCATGTGATAATTGTGGGGTGCAGGCTAAAACGGCACCTCAGCAAAACGTCACTGATTTCTCTGGCGAAAACGGCACCGCATTTGGCGAACACGGCTACTATGTGTCGGGCGAAAACGGCACCTCTATTTCTAATAATGATAAGAACGATTTATGTACAATGTAGTAGTATATCTGATTTATGTTATTTGTTACATATTATTTGATGTATTTACATGTTATTTCCAGTTGTTCACAGATAATTACATACATTCACATATATACAATATATATTTTATGGCCGCTGTCAATACACTGAGAGGAAAGGCCTTGCGAGCATGGTATAAGATCAAAAGTTCACTGAAATCAACTTCTCATCTCCCAGCAGACATTCTCATTCTCATCTCTAATTGTACCCATTGCATCATATGGAGCCGAGGTATGGGGCTGCAGTCTTCTAAGACCCCCGCATGAAATGTATCATAACTGGTCTAAACAACTATGTAATGAGATCACTATCAAAATAGCAAAGCAGATTCTAGGAGTTCTTTTTGTACTGTCCAAATTATCAGAATGAAAGACAGATACTTCTTCGAAGACTAGACTTACAAAACTGCTAAAATGATAATAAAATCTTAGCAAATATCCTGAACCCCTGTCCTGAAAGAGGAAAATATGTTTCACAAATTATCTCCGACATGTTTATTAAAAGAACCTCTCTTATAGACAACATCTAGATATGACCTTATTTTACTTCAAGGCATGTTATGTTTTCACAATAATTTGAGTTGCGTATAGGCTAAGTTGGAATATAGTTGGAGTAGAGGCTAAATTCTAATGTAAACTAGTTGTAACATTTCACAATTATTGGTGTTTGCAAGCGACCATGTTAGTTTAATATCATTTATTTTATCAAGGTTAAAAAAAAATAGGGTGCCGTTTTTGCCAGGCAATAGTAGCCGTTTTCGCCTGAGGCGAGGTGATGTTTTCGCCAATCGGTGCCGTTTTGCTGAGGTGCCGTTTTAGCTATAACCCATAATTTTTGACCAGTGGACCCATTGCGTATGTGGAACAGAACTCTCTGTGGCCCGTTATAGAGAAATTTGCCGGACTGAAGAAGACCCAAGAAAACCCAATATTTACTTATCTCGGAAAAGAGGAAATACAATGTAAATACATCACTAATCAAATACCATGTAAATAAACCCTACATATTACTACAAAAATCGTTGTTATCGATATCAAAAATAGAGGGTCCGTTTTCACCTGACACATAGTAGCCATTTTCACCAAATGCGGTGACGTTTTCGCCAGAGAAATCGGTGACATTTTGCTGAGGTGCCATTTTAGCCTGCACCCATAAACATGACTGTCCGAAACCGTATGATGTCCGAAAATCTATGATCCGACAATGTATGAAAGACATAACGTTAAAGATGAGAGGATGGTGGTCATAATGTTGATTTTGTGAACTCGGCATTTGACATAACAGCTGAAATAGTGAGGCACCATAAGGGTTAAAGTTTGTTGAGTGGTTAGGGTGGGGGTACATTCATTTTGTAAGTACATTTTGTTTCTGCAAAGAACGTCGCCGTCGAGGTTTAGCAATAAAAGTTGTATTCCAGTCGCCCACCTTTCTTTTTGCTTCTTGTATAAGTGTGTAAACTTGGCAAAATACTATATATAATGTTAATATTAGGAAGATGGCGACAGATACACTCCCCTTCTTCTCTCAGTCGGGTGTAATGATCTGAACGAATGGAAATCTTACATACGTGAACATACACAGTACGTACCTAGTCACATTTTGGAGGGCGAAGTGACTGACGCCTTCTTTTGATTGTTTGTGGATTTTTGTCACGTTGAGACAGTTGTTGTCATCAAATACGGTAAGCCATGAATTTTTCGGACAAATACACAACTTTGCATTTTCTTTTAAATTAATCGGATTGCACAACTTGCACAAACGACACTGTAAACATGTGTTGTTTGACACACTGCCTTGCGTTACAGTCGCCATTTTGAACTGATCACATGACAGAAAGGGGAATTTGTTTTTCAGGATTTGACATAAATTGCAAAAATGTATTTGCATTAATCATTTTAATTGAAAACAATGTAATAACATGTAAATGATATGTATAGAATGCTATTATCTAAACCGTTGAATAAAATTTTGTAACAGTTCGTTAAATGACAAAAATGTTAACACACACAAACAGTTTTCTTGACGCTGCTTATGGGTTCCTAAAATAGATGTCCTATGTTGATTGGACGAAAAGTTGATTTGTCATTTACTTCCTGGTAGTACCCCAAAACGTGTTGCGATTCTTATGTGATGACATACCTTTGATGGATACTTGTTGTAAACAATCTGGTTGGAAGTGATCTAATAGCATCTGTCTGTAACAGATATGTCATAATAATATCTGCTAGATCTATAATAAAGGTAAGATTCGGCGTATTTCTGTTTGGCGTCTTTAACCAGAATTGTTTTTGTATAATTCCTATTAACTATGAAAAAGTTAAGCAATAGGTATTTGTTACTTCTACTTTCCCAGTTGTTGAAAACAGCTCATAGAAATGGAAAGGAATGTGTAATTAGAGAGACTGATTGTGATCAAGTGATAATGAATGGAGAAACACTTATATTTATATGTAAATTTCGGCCAAATAGCCTATATCCTGTTGTTAGTGGTAACATCCATCATGTTTGTTTTCATTTAACCATGTACAGTGGCATTGTAATACAACATTAGGCATGTTGCACCCTCATGGTTTATTCTCCCTGCAGTGTTTTATCTGTACGATAAACACCTCCTATGTGTTGTTTATTTCTTATGTGAGATATCAACATTTTGTACAGCCTCTTTAATGATGTTAATAAATTGTACAAGCTTTAAAAATATTTACCCATATTTAGATAAATTTAGATAATGATGAGTCCCTGAATACAATCTGATGTTGGACAAGTCCATTTTCGCAGAGGTGTGTGTGTGTGTGTGTGTGTGTGTGTGTGATATGTTTGGTATTTCCCGTCAATTATCTGCATCTTTTCTCCCAATATAGCACTTGTCATGTATCTTCAAATCTTGCATGCGATAGTTCGTCCAATTTGCATTCATCTGTGTTGCCAAGCCACATCTATGGGGAACAACTCACGAGACACTTCCCTTTCAGAATTATGTTGTCCAAGTTATGACGTCATCAAGTTGCAAGTGCATGTTCGAATCTCCAGAAATGATGTCATGATAGAAAATGTTTTATCATGAAATAAACCATTTGTTCATCATTGTTCTTTGCAATTTATCTCATAGCTGTCTTATGAAAACAGATAATTACTTGATTCCATGACATCAATTATGATAGATTCTTTAAATCTTTTCAAGTGAAATCATCTTGTCTTTTTGTCGATGGATACCATTTAGAGCACAGACCTAAATAGAAAGACCAGTGTGGATTTACAGATTATGCTCTGTCCGTCAAACATAAAATTTACATTATTTTTAGTGGACATCGATAATAAGTGTTGACTTAAAATTACATCACAGTAAACATGATAGGGAGGCCAAGCTTTGATGGTGATCTTCCTTTGTTTCCTTGTTGACATACGATCATTTTTCATATGATGGGGTAGGTTTCTCAGCAGGATGAACATGAAACATGATAGCATGGTCCTTGTATATTGGCGATCAAGTCAGAATTAACCAGGGTTGTATGCACCGCACAATTGTGTGTCCAGTACACACAAATGTTTAGAATGGACGCAGAAAGAATATACTGCGCCCCAAAGGACTCTCAATAATATTCATTATACCTACAGCGTATCAAGAGCAGTTACAGGTGTCTGTTATTTCATGCATCAATTATGATGTCTGTCCACGTGATCATTGATTCATTCTCTAAAGTAATTATCTAAACGTACAGTACACTGAACCATGTCATCACTTTACAGGACCCTCATATTACCTGCAAGGACAATTGAAATTAAAATATTGTAAGTCAAGGTAAAACCATGATAAACCATCATCGATCTGGACAAACTACAGGGGTAATCAAAACAATACTCTAACATACATAAATCAGTGTCTAAGAGTCACACAGCTGAGGCATTTTACAAGTTTGGAAATATATATTGCAAAACAATTTCGTGAGGACACTGACGAAATCAGTTCCCTATCTGGGCTTGTGAATCTCTGCTAATTGGGGTCTTTTCCCCAATTTAAGACAGTTAGCTTTGTTTCCTGGTTTCAGTTTATTGTTGTGTGGACATAAGACTGCATTTAGTAACATCATGACAGGCCAGGCAGACTCTAAGATAATGTGATGTCTTATAGATTAGAGTAGCTTCCCTTTGATAAAGGCAACCTACTCAAGTGGGCAGGCAGGCCAATGGACTTCTGCAAAAGGCAAGTAGGATAAATATGTGCACACCGTAGGCACTTCTTATTTTGCCTATATGTAGCTACGCCAGTGTCTAAAAAGAAACAGGTTTCCTCTGGAACTATATCAAAGACAGAATTTAAGAATGACACTAAATGATAAAGAGGTTATCACACTTGTGTATTTTTGGATGGTATATATCCTGTATTAGCGTAACAACCTCTGTATATGTACTGGGTATGTGTAAACTGGTTGTATATTCTATTGTTTTCACATGTGTACTGCCTTGATAACTATAATATCAACAAATAATTTACACTGCATGTCCATGGTATGCAAAAAAGGTATTGAAGTTTGAATCCTTTGAACTAATTTAGTTGTAGCCATGGTGGCAAGCACATAACATTGTATTCCCTATGTTATGATTTTCTTCACTCAAATACTAAATCTGGTTCAGGAAATCCCCATCCTTAATAAGAGGAAGACTTCACAAATACTTCCACATCAGACTGACACGCCGTGATATAACCAATCTCATTAAAATCAGATTTTAGTTCTCACTATCGCTTAACTAAGATCTGAGGACATCCAATTACAGGTCACGTCAGAACGACCTTTCATCCAACCAATCAGAGTGTCGCTTACCAGATCATGAAAGTGGCAGACAGAATGTGTTTTCTAATCATGCAACCTCGAAATATTTAACAGATGGTACTCCGATAGACAGTTACAGGTTTTATGATTATGTCCATACAATCAAGAATGTTCTTTTTATCGGTTTTAAATTTTTGAACCGTGAATACGTCAAAATATGTTTCGAAGCGTAGTCGCCAGTTTGAAACTAGTGTCGTAAAGCTTGAGAAAGCTGCCTTCTGATTGGCTAAAGTCGATTTCTTGTCAGTCATTTCATTGATCAGTCAAAGTTTGCGAGAGGTCGTTCTGACGTGACCTGTAATGGGATGTCCTCAGATCTTTGTTTAGCGGTAGCGAAAACTAAGATCTTATTTTAATGAGAATGTGATATAACTGAAATACTCCAACATCAAACTGACACACCGTGAAATAACTGAAATACACCAACATCAAACTGACACGCCATGATATAACTGAAATTCTCCCACATCAAACTAACATGCCGTGATAGAACAAATACTTCCACATCAAGATGACATGCTCCGATATAACTGAAATGCTCCCACATCAAACTGACACACTGCGATATAACTGAAATACTCCCACATCAAGCTGACATGCAATGATATAACTGAAATACTCCCACATCAAACTGACATGCCATGATATAACTGAAATACTCCCACATCAAGCTGACACGCAGTGATATAACTGAAATACTCCCACATCATCTGACATGCCGTGATATAACTGAAATACTCCCACATCAAGCTGACACGCTGTGATATAACTAAAATACCTCAACATCAAGCTGACTACCGTGATATAACTGAAATACCTCGACATCAACCTGACTTGCTGTGATATAACTGAAATACTCCCACATCAAGCTGACACGCAGTGATATAACTGAAATACTCCCACATCAAGCTGACATGCCGTGATATAACTGAAATACTCCCACATCAAGCTGACACGCTGTGATATAACTAAAATACCTCAACATCAAGCTGACTACCGTGATATAACTGAAATACCTCGACATCAACCTGAATTGCTGTGATATAACTGAAATACTCCCACATCAAGCTGACATGCCGTGATATAACTGGAATACTCACACATCAAGCTGACACGCTGTGATATAACTAAAATACTCCCACATCAAGCTGACACGCTGTGATATAACTAAAATACCTCGACATTAAGCTCACATGCCGTGATATAACTGAAATACCTCGACATCAAGCTCACATGCCGAGATATCACTGAAATACCTCGACATCAAGCTGACTTGCTGTGATATAACTGAAATACTCCAAAATCAAGCTCACATGCCGTGATATAACTAAAATACTCCCACATCAAGCTGACACGCCTTGATATAACTGAAATACTCCCACATCAAGCTGACATACCGTGATATAACTGAAATACTTCCACATGAAGTTGACATGCTGTGATATGACTGAAATACTCCCACATCAAGCTGACATGCAGTGATGTAACTGAAATACTCCCACATCAAGATGACATGCCGTGATATAACTGAAATACTCCCATATCAAGCTGACACGCCGTGATATAACTAAAATACCTCGACATCAAGCTCACATGCCGTGATATAACTGAAATACCTCGACATCAAGCTGACTTGCTGTGATATAACTGAAATGTTCCCACATCAAGCTGACACGCCATGATATAACTGAAATTCTCCCACATCAAACTAACATGCCGTGATAGAACAAATACTTCCACATCAAGATGACATGCTCCGATATAACTGAAATACTCCCACATCAAACTGACACACTGCGATATAACTGAAATACTCCCACATCAAACTGACACGCTGTGATATAACTGAAATACTCCCACATCAAGCTGACATGCAGTGATATAACTGAAATACTCCCACATCAAACTGACATGCCGTGATATAACCAAAATACTCCCACATCAAGCTGACACGCCTTGATATAACTGAAATACTCCCTCATCAAGTTGACATGCTGTGATATACATAAAATACTCCCACATCAAGCGTACATGGCGTGATATAACTGAAATACCTCGACATCAAGCTGACTTGCTGTGATATAACTGAAATGCTCCCACATCAAGCTGACACGCTGTGATGTAACTGTTAGAATGTAAACTTAAGTAACCGTGTGTTGATATTTTATGGACGTTTTATTTGCACTATTATATGCTTTATACATGTATGTTAACCGGAAATGATGATCAGATTTAACTGCCCCTGATGTTTGAATATATGTGTCTGTTGACATTCATGCATCGTCGATGTCAGACATGTGTACGGCTCTGTGAATAGATCTTTCATCCAACGAGAGTAGTTGAAGCCTCTATCAAACAAAAGGTTAGAAGTATGGCGAATTCAACAGGTTATGGGCCCAGGCAACGTTTGCTGTTTGATGGAGATGAAACAAAATACGAATTATGGGAAGTAAAATTTCTTGGACATATGAGATTGCAGAAACTTTATAATGTGATTGTAGCACCCGAGGAAGGTTCGGGAACAGCCGCTAAAAATGCTGATGCTTTCGCTGAGTTGGTTCAGTGTTTAGATGACAGAAGTTTGAGTCTGATAATGAGGGATGCAAAAGACGATGGGAGACGGGCGTTGGAGATTTTACGGGAGCACTACCTTGGACGGGGTAAGCCACGAATAATATCATTATACACAGAGCTTACGTCGTTGAAGATGGGCGACATGAATGTGTTACGGACTATGTAGTTCGAGCAGAAACTGCATCGACTTCATTGAAACTGGCAGGAGAGACAATCAGTGACAGTTTATTGATAGCCATGGTTTTTAAAGGACTCCCTCCCTCTTTCAAGACGTTTTCAACTGTGATCACGCAGAAGGAGAAGCAAGTGACGTTTGTCGAGTTCAAAACGGCTCTTAGAAGCTATGAAGAAACGGAAAAGATTCAACCTACACCGAATTATGAAGACAGTGTCATGAACTTTAAATGTTTCTCATGTGGGAAGCCAGGACACAGGGCATTGGAGTGTAGAAGTAGAAATCAAGGTTATGATGGTGGTAAAAAGAAAGGTTACCGTTGACATCAGAAACAAGACGTTTATCATAGTATACAGAAGAAACACGCATCAAGTTACAGTGGACAGAAGAGATTGGGTAGGTGGTGTGATGTTTGCAAGAACTCTACCCATGACACCAGGGTCTGTCGTAGACGAGACTCTGCCAAGACTGCCTGTGATAAAGAAGAACAAGAACATTCGTACTACGTATTCAAGGTCAGTGTTGATCACATTGCCAGTGTAAGTGAGGACAGTGTGAATACTCTACTCGTGGACTGTGGGGCAACCGCCCATATCATTACTGACAAGTCCAAGTTCTTGACATTTGATGACAAAACACAAGATCACTGCATCGAATTCGCTGATGGAAGCAGAACGAATGGTATTGTACAAGGAAGAGGGAGTGCTGACGTCCTGTTGTGTGATGTAAGAAACCGGCAACAACGTATTGTGTTGGAGAATGCTTTGTATGTGCCATCCTTCAACCAAGACATTTTTTCAGTGCAAGCAGCTACAAGTAAAGGCGCATCAGTTCACTTCAGTCCAGAGAGTGCAAATGTCAAGACTCCAGGTGGTACAACGTTTGACATCCACAAGCATGGGAAGCTGTACTTCTTGCACAATACTGCTCCATCCCAAGTGTGTTGTGCATTCAGCCAACGACTGGCACAGTATCCTTGGACATTGTAATATGAAAGATGTGATGAAGCTTGAGAATATTGTAAAGATACTGAGCTATGTGACACCTGTATCCAAGGGAAGATGTCGCAGTGGAGAAATAGAGATCCAGACAGAAGGGCGACAACTCCACTTGAAGTTATTCATTGTGACTTGGCGGGACCTATTGACCCAGCAGCTCGAGGTGACCTTCGATATGTATTGTCATTTGTTGATGACTATTCTGGAATAATCACCTTGTATCTCCTGAAGCAGAAGAGTGATACTGCCGCAGCAACGGCGAAGTTCCTTGCAGATATATCACCTTTTGGAAAAGTTGGAACAATAAGGTCAGACAACGGTAAAGAGTTCACATGTGAGAAGTTTAGAAGTATCCTCACAAAGAACAGCATCAGACATCAGAAGTCTTCACCATATTCACCACATCAAAATGGGACTGTTGAACGTGCCTGGCGTTCACTGTTTGATATGGCGAGATGTCTGCTGCTAGAAGCCAAATTACCCAAGTCGCTGTGGTCCTATGCTGTTATGACAGCAGCATACATCAGGAATCGGTGTTACGACCAGAGACTGAACATTACTCCTTTCGAAGCAATGACAGGTGAGAAGCCCAACCTGTCAAATATGCATGTGTTCGGTACAACGTGTTTTGCATTCGTTCAAAACAAAAAGAAACTGGACGAACGGAGTGAGAAAGGCTTCTTTGTTGGATACGACAGAGAAAGTCCTGCTTATCTTGTGTACTTTCCTGAGAGAAATGAAGTAAGAAGAGTGAGATGTGTAAAGTTCAGAGAAAAGTATGAAGAAAGTGTATCTCAGCCTGAATATGAAGAACATTTAGTGTACAGGAAGAATGAAAATGGAGAGGAAACTGAACAGATTCAACAAAATGAACGACAGCAAGAATGTGTGCAGAATGAAGTCCAACAACATGGTAACAGAGAACAGGAAACAAGAAGATATCCCAGGAGAGAGACCACCAGGCCCAAGTACCTGCAGGATTACGTCACAGGGTCTGACTTGTCAGGATCTGAGACGGAAGATAGTTCAATGTATACTGTGGATTACTGTTACAAGGTGGCTGGTATTCCTGGATCATATTCTGCAGCAATGTCTTCATGTGATGCACCCAAGTGGCAGAAGGCAATGCGTGAAGAGATGGACGCTCTGAAAGAAAATGAGACATTTGAAATCACCACATTACCAGAAGGTAGCTCTACAGTGGGGGGAAGATGGGTGTTTGCTGTGAAATCTTGCCCCGATTCTGAGAAATACAAGGCAAGGTATGTTGCAAAGGGATACTCACAGGTGCATGATATCGACTATAAAGAGACTTTTGCCCGACTGCTAAAATGACGTCAATTCGGACTCTGATACAACTTGCAGTTCAGAAAGATATGGTGGTTCATCAGATGGATGTGAAGACAGCATACTTGAACGCACCCATAGACTGTGAGATATATGTGCAGCAACCAGAAGGTTTTAAAGTTAAGCCACAGACTGGGGAGAAACTTGTTTGGAAGTTGAAGAAATCCCTGTACGGCCTAAAACAAAGTGGAAGGAATTGGAATTCCTTACTTCACACATTCCTGGTTGAAGATCTTAATTTGAACCAATCACTTGCTGACCCTTGTGTGTACCACGGAACGACTGAAGATTCATTCGTAATTATGGTAGTGTGGGTCGATGACATCATCATTTGTGCTGAAAAGACGGCCATACTTCATGGGATAAAAAGATTCTTTGTGTCAGCGATTCAAGATGAAGGACTTTGGGAAGCTGTCATGGTTTCTTGGACTAGAGTTCAAGTGGAAGAACAACAGTGTTGAAATGAACCAGAAAAGACATATTGAGAAGATGCTGGTGAAGTTCAACAGGATGGACTGTAAACCCAAGACAACTCCATGTGATCCCGGCGCTAACAAAGAAAGGGAGACAACTGCAATTGAACTGGGCGATCCCAGACTCTACAGAGTGATTGTTGGAAGTCTGATCTATATTATGACTGCTACGAGACCAGACCTGTGCTATATTGTGACCAAATTGTCACAGTATATGGCTAAACCCACAACAACCCATTTGGGCATGGCAAAACACACTCTGAGGTATATCAAAGGTACAGCTGAACAAGGACTGACGTTTCTAAAATCATGTGATCCTCTACAACTTGTGGGATTCTGTGATGCTGACTGGGGTTCATCTGCAGACAGGAGAAGCATCACTGGCTACGGATTCCAGTTGAAAGATAATGGACCCTTGATTTCCTGGAAAAGCAAGAAGCAGACGACTGTGGCATTGTCAACGTGCGAGGCAGAGTACATGGCAATGGCTGCAGCAATACAAGAGGGGAAGTTCCTGCGACAGCTGTGGAGAGATATGACTGGTCAGTGTAAAGGTGTAACATTGATGGTGGATAATCAGGGAGCAATAGCACTCGCCAAAAATCCAGTGACTCAGCAAAGATCAAAACACATTATATCATTTCATCAGAAATGAAGTCCAGAACAATGTGACTGAACTGAAGTACATTGAGTCAGGGTGCAATGTGGCGGATGTGTTCACAAAACCAGTGTCATGTAGCAGGATGAGGAAACTCATCAGTGTGAGCGGTGTATGAAAATACAGTGTTTGTAAATATGGAGAGAAATGCAGTGTTTGCAAATAGACACCATATGTGTATATATGTGTTTATTGCCTGTAGCATGTTAAATAAAACAAAAACAAGTTACTGACTTAAGTTTAAGTGGGGGTGTTAGAGTGTAAACTTAAGTAACCGTGTATTGATATTTTATGGACGTTTTATTTGCAATATTATATGCTTTATACATGTATGTTAACTGGAAATGATGATCAGATTTAACTGCCCCTGATGTTTGAATATATGTGTCTGTTGACATTCATGCATCGTCGATGTCAGACATGTGTACGGCTCTGTGAATAAATCTTTCATCCAACGAGAGTAGTTGAAGCCTCTATCAAACAAAAGGTTAGAAGTATGGCGAATTCAACAGTAACTGAAATACTCCCACATCAAACTGACACGCAGTGAAATAACCGAAATACTCCCACATCAAGCTGACATGCCATGATATAACAGAAATACTCCCACATCAAGTTGACATGATGTGATATAACTGAAATACTCCCACATCAAACTGACATAACAGAAATACTCCCACATCAAGCTGACATGCTGTGATATGACTGAAATGCTACCACATCAAGCTTACAATGACATCCTATAAATTTGTATTTGCTGTTGATCATTGTTGATAGATTTTGATTCAGTGGTAACTCATTTTCACGTATGCAACAGGGATGGAAATTATCACTCGCCCACTAACCATGCTAACACAGTTTGGTGATGTTAAAGGTATCCTTAGGGATTGTAGAATTTCAAATATTTGGGACAGTATTGTAATATTTTATCACTATTTGAACTCGTAGAAATCTTAGGTAATTTAAATCCTGTGACTGCAACCTCCCAGAATGGTTACTCAGAGTCCACAGTAAGCCAAATAGAAATAGGTAAATACCCAGGAATTAACATTACCGTTAACACTTATTAATTTTTTTTAACTTTTTATTTTATTGCATGTTAGAGTTGCTCACAATTACAAGATATTATGGTGATATTTATGAAAAACGTAAATGGCAGCTTTGTCTTTCTTAGTAGCCAAGTGATGACTGATTAATAAATAGCGGTTATGACTTTGAGCAGCTGGATATCCAAATTACTTACTTTTTTGACAGCCCCTGAGTACTCTCAGGTGGTCATTTGTACATATAACGGGATACATGATGTCTTCTTCTACTCATAGCGATTTCTTTGAAGTGTATCAACTGTTGTTTCACAAGGATTTGGACAACATTTGTTATTTTAAACCAATATTTGTACCAAGTGGAGTCAGAGGTCTGTGTTTGCTTTTAAGAGCAAAACATTTCAGTATCTGAAAGGCTGGGTAGCAGCATCACTCCATCCAGTGAGCAGGTAGTGCTGTCTGCCTGTTGCAACAACAGATACTCAGTTGCTGAGTGCAGTGTTAGCAGCAAACATCAAACAGATGAACTGGATCAAGCCAGACATGGAACTCTTTTAGTCAATGACAATCACTCTTGTTTGACAATGGTTAAAAGAAATGTCACTATTACTGTTTAATAAAGAAGTTGTTATCCATATATTGTGTCTACTTTGTAGATTTGGGCATAATTACTATTATCATTAAGATAAGATCATGAAGACAATGATAGTTAACATGTGTTAATGTGGAAGTATTCTGTCGCAGCTACAAGATGACACTTCGCGTCCCGGCTAACGACAATATCGGCAGCCTCAATGGGAAGGTGATGCTGCAACTTCGTGATGACCTTGACACCGCCCCTGAATCACAGAACTGGAGGGCCTTAGCGGCAATACTCAGGAAGCCCTATGTTTTCAAGTAAGTCAGTGAAGTACAGGTTTTACCTCAGTCAACATGAACAGACACAAAGTTTTTTGAATGAAAGAGTAATTGAATTAATTTATGGATTCAGCCAACACTATATGTGGAAAAAAGTGTGAAAAGCAATATTTTGTTATTATATGTTGTTTGTATGAGGTGACTTAATGGACTCAGTGACTTGGTTGGTAGGGTGTCGACATACCCTGATGGCGTGGATTGTTGCTCATTATGTCATCCACTGGATTGTCTGGTCCAGACTTGATTATTTACAGGCCATTGTCATATAGCTGGGATGTTGCTGAGTCTGGCATTAAACTATAAACACACAAACTGGTAAACTGGTGAAGCATATGTAAATAAGTGAGATTACTCCTGTTTAACTTGATAAAGTGTTACTTTGGTGACAAGAGAGCCTCTCAACTTTGAGATAATTCTTAAGAAGATGTGAAAAGCTGATATGCATTGTTATTTTGGTCTTGAAAACAGAGGGCATTTTGAAAGTGGAAGAAAACGTGTCGCCTCTGTAATCATGGGAAAGTTATCATGAAATATGCAGGAGGAACAGGCTATCTCACAACTCATGTGTGCTGATGTAGCAGGCTCAAATCAATCCCTTGAAATTTCACTCTTAAGGGCTTTTAGCCTAGGCTGAGGTCACTCCCCTTTGCTAGGCCCAAAACACTCACTCAAGGCTGAGGTCACTCCCCTTTGCTTGTCCCAAAACACTCACTCAAGGCTCAGGTCACTCCCCTTTGCTTGTCCCAAAACACTCACTCAAGGCTCAGGTCACTCCCCTTTGCTTGTCCCAAAACACTCACTCAAGGCTCAGGTCATTCCTGTTTGTTTGGCCCAAAATACTCACTCACTCAAGGCTCAGGTCATTCCTGTTTGTTTGGCCCAAAATACTCACTCACTCAAGGCTCAGGTCACTCCCCTTTGCTTGGCCCAAAATACTCACTCACTCAAGGCTCAGGTCATTCCTGTTTGCTTGGCCCAAAATACTCACTCAAGGCACTAATCAATCCCCTACTTTTGACGTCTTCTGCATCCTCTTTATCTCCAGGGCACGGAGTTTGGTAAGTTTACACGAACCCCTGAATCCATTTCTGTGGTTCATACAGCCTCAATTTATCCCAAGGTGTACCTTGAGTGTATTGCTGGATTATTGCTAAAAGCAGTGTAAAACCATACTCACACGCTCACTCACTTATTGAAGAGAATATGTCTGTGAAATTTCTGTGTTTGTGTTTTTTTGCCAGTCAGTCAGAGATTGAGAGGTTTGCCATGCAGATCTACAGCAATGGAAGCCCATCCACCCAGTTGTTGTTATCCCTTGGAGCACGCGGAATGAAAGTCACGGAGCTTGTGCACTATCTGGATCAGCTCAAACTTGAGAAGATTCTCAGGGAGTTCAAAAACTATGGTTTGTTCTTATTGATTTATCTGGCAGTTCAACTACCTCATTGCAATTCTGTTTACTTCAATATTGAAGTTTAACCACAATGTTTTTGATCATCTGTTGTAGACAGGGGTGGTATACAGGGGCGATATACAGGGGTGGTATACACAGGTGGTATACAGGGACGGTATACGGGGGCAATATATACAGGGATGGTATACAGGGTTGGTACACAGGGCTGGTATACAGGGATGGTATACAGGGGTGCTGTACACGGATTGCCTACAGGGATGGTATACATGGATTGCCTACAGGGATGGTATACAGGGGTGATGGTAAACAGGGGTGGTGGTATACAAGGGCGGTGTACAGGTGTGGTGGTATACAGGGGTGGTTGGATACAGGGGTGGTGGTATACAGGTTGGTTGTATATAGTGATGGCGGTATACAGGGGTGGTGGTATACAGTGGTGGCAGTATACAGGGGTGGTGGTATACAGGGGTGGCAGTATACAGGGGTCGTGGTATACAGGTGTGGTAATATACAGGGGTGGTATACAGGGGTCGTGGTATACAGGGGTGGCATACAGGGGCAGTATACAGGGTTGGTGTACGTGGGGGTCGTATACAGGGGTATGCAGGGGGGGTATTTAGGGATGATTTTCAGGGGTTTTGTTCAGGGTTGATATACAAGGATGGTATACAGGGGCACACCCATCATTAGAATGGTTTACTAATCATTTAGAGTCTTTAGCCTTGATTCCTCTTTTAAACATTTAGAATTCTTATGCTGTATATGTTCAGCTAAAATAATCTACCTTGTGTACAATAGCAGAATTTTGATATTACTGGATCTATCAGATTTTGACATTGTGTCTCTACCAGAACCCATAGAGATCCAGGATCAGCCAGAGAGCCAGCTGAAGCTGTATGGTGGTGAGAAGCTGGTTCTGCGGGTCAGAGCTACCGGCTTTCCTTACCCCCGGTACCAGTGGTTTAATGGAGACTCCATCATCAACGGAGCCACAGAGAGCACGTTCACAATCAACAATGTCCAGTAAGGTTATATTGGAATCACACAAAACAGTTTCATGAATACATGACACTTTAAAGGGATATCAACTTTTTTTATTCTTTGTAACAATGTTTTGGAGCTACTTCATCAGGAGAAATACTGAGTCTATATATATAAAAAGCCACTATATATATAAAAAGCCACAATCGATCACAAGCCAAATAGATCCTGCTGCAACAAATTTATCTTACTGACATGTCTTAAAATGACAAACTCAGAATTTATAGAAAAAGCGGAGGTTAGCTTGTGCTATGTCACGTGACTTTCATTTGACTCAAAAAAGCAGGCAGCTTTTTGCTTGGAAGCAGGGTATAAGGGATTTATTCTGCCTCTCAGAAATCCATGTGCATCCTGTCTTGCTCATGGCGGGGTATAAGAGATTTTTAATATAGCACATCGTTACAAAGAATCAAAGAAGTTTTCCATAAAAAATGTCATGCATTCATGTTCTTCCAACTTCTAAATGCCTGTCAAAGACTTTTAAACCATTTCAGCTTAAATCCAAGTCATAACATGGAAGTCCATGTTGCCAGTGTGTCAATATGAGAGTGCGGTAGGGCTGGGAGGATGGTTGGCGGGTGGGAGGAGTTGTTGTAGTATTGCATATATTGTCTGAAGTAACATGGTTTTAGTAGACTACAGCTGGATCAAGAGCAAGGTGCTTCAATATTTTCCTGGGTAATACATTTTGTTCCCGTCCCTCCCAGCCCTACAATGGCGTCCTTACATTCCTGGTTACAACAAAGTAACTGGGTTTTATTTTATAAATATCAGTCCATCTGATCCACGATTCTGATGATGAAAATACAGCCATTACTTGACTGTGATATTAGACGTGACGCTATAACAAAGAGGTGCATGTAGGAAGAGGTAGCAGTTGCACCAATCAGGAGTGCAGCGTTCATATCTTCAACTCGCCCAGGACGTCGTTCCACAAAGCGATCTTAGCATTACGATGATCATGAGCCTTCTTTGAAGTATGGGAGTTACGATCAACTTAGCACTAGATCACTTTGTGGAACAGGTTCCAGGTTTATTTTAGACACAATCGTGTCATGTTTAATTTGGATGTTTTTTCTCCAGAGAGCAGGACAGTGGGGAGTATATTTGCCGCCTTCACAACAGTGCAGACAAGAGTCAAGTCAAATTTTCGGATTATGCCAGTATCGAAGTTTATACAAAAAGTCCAGGTTTGTGTATTTCATTTGGTAATGTATGGGTATCCTGGGAACTACTACATCCCTTGTAGTACCAAAGCTTGTCGTAATAGATGACAGAAAGGGATCTGATGGTCAAAATGGCTGCTCTTTATGGGGAGTGAGTGAGTATGGTTTCACGCTGCTTTTAGCAATATTCCAGCAATAACCCGGCGGGGGACACCAGAAATGGGCTTCACACATTGTACCCATGTTTGGAATCGAACACGGGTCTTCGGCATGACGAGCAAACACTTTAACCACTAGGCTACCCCATCGCCCCTGCTCTATGGGTGTTATTGAGAGTTAGTCTTTGGAATGCATCAGGGAATCCTCCAATCCCTGATAACCATAGTAACCACTGATCTCCCCAGGGAGCTGAGAATGAAAATCGAGTGCACACTGATCCATTGACCAGGGTAATAATAGTGTATCTTGGAAGCAGGGGACAGTGGACATCAACGTATTGTCTTAATCAAAAGTGGAGGGCCGGGCTACCTGACTACATTTTATTCTGCCAGACACCCTATCCCATGAGTCAATGCATGGGGAGCATCCCGCTACTACAGGGAGCAGTCAGTATGCAACAATAACCAAAATTTGTTCTTTGATTCAAAATGACTGCTTACATCAAATGCACCTGTGATATAGAGTTTATTGTGTTGTGTTCAGTGCTGGAACAAACAGACATTCCCATGGGCAAAGGCCATCACCATCAGCCAGCAGTCCACGCAGCAGGCAAGTGACTCCCAACATTTCCGTAGACGTGTCCTTCCCATAAACTGAAAACATAGATAGACGGACTGATGTATCTATGTTGTTGCCCAGGACCCACGTGCACAAAGTGGTCGTAGTGCTAAGACGATCATAACTTCCATACATGTCGTACAAGCATCATTACACTGTGGTCACTTTGTGCACCTGGGCCCTCATGCCTTTGTGCAGAAACACCTGGGTTGAGAAATGTGGAGTTAATTTCATGTAATAGAAGAAAATTTTGGCAAATTGTTGGCTTGTGTGAAGATTCTGTCATAAAACTGTACAATAACACTTTACGTACTCGATTATTTCTTCCAATAGGTTGAATTTCTCAACATAAACGACTACTTGAAGTTTCCAAACTGGTACCATTTTGCAAAAAATTAATTTTCTTCGTGGATATGTACTGTTTTGCTTATGTCTTGTTATAACTGATCACACTGTTGGGAGTGCCCTTTGATGAATTTCTCTTTTTCAGCAGAACAAGGTTATCTTTTCCTAATGTGGGTTGTTTGATCTCACTTAAAAATTTACTAAGATTCTTGTAGTAGGAAAAATACCTGGGAACCTAATATTTCAGTTTATGGAGTTAATATATTCCATGAGGTTTGTAAACAATAATATGCTTTTACCTATTTTATTATATGCAAAACTAGTATATGTAATATTCACTGTGAAGTTGAATATCCATAGAATACTATGATGTGACAATTGAAATGATGAATGTTTTATTTCAGAAGAGCAGTGTCTTCTTCCAGTGATAACCGGTCACCCAAGGGACAGCTATATCTTCAACGGCCATTCCTTCTTTCTGCTGTGTGAAGCCAAGGGGAGACAACCAATGCGCTACAGATGGTTTAAAGAAGACCTGTTCTACAAAGAATCTCTATGCCCCTATTTCCAGGTAAAGGACCAAACACTGGATAGAGGCTGGGCATGGGATATAAACAAAATCAAGAAAATACTGAGGAAATATAAGAATTTTGCCTCACAAATATTTGCTAGGGATGCTGAAAGTCTTGAAAAAAAATGATAATAATAACTGATCTGCTTCACTCAGAAGCATTGACTACAAAACTAAACTCTCTCACAGAAATCTCAGGTACCCGCTTCCTGGTACCAAATGGTCAGTCCCTATTTTGGGTCCAATCTTGACTGCAAAAAATACCTAGTTTCTGAAGTAGTATTGCCAGCTCTCATTACATGCAGCTTCACCAGGAACTCTGCTTGCTTCAAGTAAGACATTTTGCAATTGTTTTGTTTTGTTTTAATTATTGACGTAATGTTGTTCCTTGTTTAGGTTGAAAGTGCTACTCCTCGTGACAGTGGGAGGTACAAGTGCCAAGTGATTAACGACTTCGGTGAAGCAATCAGCATTCCTGCTGTCATAACGGTGGCAAATGGTAAGCCAGTGTCAATATACCCCTGTCATAATGGTGGCAAATGGTAAGCCAGTGTCAATATACCCCTGTCATAATGGTGGCAACTAATAAGCCAGTGTCAATATACCCCTGTCATAATGGTGGCAAATGGTAAGCCAGTGTCAATATACCCCTGTCATGATGGTGGCAAATAGTAAGCCAGTGTCAATATACCCCTGTCATGATGGTGGCAAATGGTAAGCCAGTGTCAATATACCCCTGTCATAATGGTGGCAAATGGTAAGCCAGTGTCAATATACCCTCTGTCATGATGGTGGCAAATGGTAAGCCAGTGTCAATATACCCCTGTCATGATGGTGGCAAATGGTAAGCCAGTGTCAATATACCCCTGTCATAATGGTGGCAAATGGTAAGCCAGCATCAATATACCCCTGTCATAATGGTGGCAAATGGTAAGCCAGTGTCAATATACCCCTGCCATAAAGGTGGCGAATGGTAAGCCTGTGTCAATATACCACTGCCATAATGGTGGCAAATGGTAAGCCAGTGTCAATAAACCCTCTGTAATAATGGTGGCAAATGGTAAGCCAGTGTCAATATACCCTCTGTAATAATGGTGGCAAATGGTAAGCCAGTGTCAATATACCCTCTGTGATAATGGAGGCAAATGGTAAGCCAGTGTCAATATACCCCTGTCATAATGGTGGCAAATGGTAAGCCAGTGTCAATATACCCCTGTCATAATGGTGGCAACTAATAAGCCAGTGTCAATATACCCCTGTCATAACGGTGCCAAATGGTAAGCCAGTGTCAATATACCCCTGTCATGATGGTGGCAAATGGTAAGCCAGTGTCAATATACCCCTGTCATAATGGTGGCAAATGGTAAGCCAGTGTCAATATACCCTCTGTCATGATGGTGGCAACTGGTAAGCCAGTGTCAATATACCCCTGTCATGATGGTGGCAAATGGTAAGCCAGTGTCAATATACCCCTGTCATAATGGTGGCAAATGGTAAGCCAGTGTCAATATACCCCTGCCATAAAGGTGGCGAATGGTAAGCCTGTGTCAATATACCACTGCCATAATGGTGGCAAATGGTAAGCCAGTGTCAATAAACCCTCTGTAATAATGGTGGCAAATGGTAAGCCAGTGTCAATATACCCTCTGTGATAATGGAGGCAAATGGTAAGCCAGTGTCAATATACCCCTGTCATAATGGTGGCAAATGGTAAGCCAGTGTCAATATACCCCTGTCATAATGGTTGCAACTGGTAAGCCAGTGTCAATATACCCTGTCATAATGGTGGCAACTGGTAAGCCAGTGTCAATATACCCCTGTCATGATGGTGGCAAATGGTAAGCCAGTGTCAATATACCCCTGTCATAATGGTGGCAAATGGTAAGCCAGCATCAATATACCCCTGTCATAATGGTGGCAAATGGTAAGCCAGTGTCAATATACCCCTGCCATAAAGGTGGCGAATGGTAAGCCTGTGTCAATATACCACTGCCATAATGGTGGCAAATGGTAAGCCAGTGTCAATAAACCCTCTGTAATAATGGTGGCAAATGGTAAGCCAGTGTCAATATACCCTCTGTAATAATGGTGGCAAATGGTAAGCCAGTGTCAATATACCCTCTGTGATAATGGAGGCAAATGGTAAGCCAGTGTCAATATACCCCTGTCATAATGGTGGCAAATGGTAAGCCAGTGTCAATATACCCCTGTCATAATGGTGGCAACTAATAAGCCAGTGTCAATATACCCCTGTCATAACGGTGCCAAATGGTAAGCCAGTGTCAATATACCCCTGTCATGATGGTGGCAAATGGTAAGCCAGTGTCAATATACCCCTGTCATAATGGTGGCAAATGGTAAGCCAGTGTCAATATACCCTCTGTCATGATGGTTGCAACTGGTAAGCCAGTGTCAATATACCCCTGTCATGATGGTGGCAAATGGTAAGCCAGTGTCAATATACCCCTGTCATAATGGTGGCAAATGGTAAGCCAGTGTCAATATACCCCTGCCATAAAGGTGGCGAATGGTAAGCCTGTGTCAATATACCACTGCCATAATGGTGGCAAATGGTAAGCCAGTGTCAATAAACCCTCTGTAATAATGGTGGCAAATGGTAAGCCAGTGTCAATATACCCTCTGTGATAATGGAGGCAAATGGTAAGCCAGTGTCAATATACCCCTGTCATAATGGTGGCAAATGGTAAGCCAGTGTCAATATACCCCTGTCATAATGGTTGCAACTGGTAAGCCAGTGTCAATATACCCTGTCATAATGGTGGCAACTGGTAAGCCAGTGTCAATATACCCCTGTCATGATGGTGGCAAATAGTAAGCCAGTGTCAATATACCCCTGTCATAATGGTGGCAACTGGTAAGCCAGTGTCAATATACCCTGTCAAAATGGTGGCAAATGGTAAGCCAGTGTCAATATACCCCTGTCATAATGGTGGCAAATGGTAAGCCAGTGTCAATATACCCCTGTCATAATGGTGGCAAATGGTAAGCCAGTGTCAATATACCCCTGTCATAATGGTGGCAACTGGTAAGCCAGTGTCAATATACCCCTGTCATGATGGTGGCAAATAGTAAGCCAGTCTCAATATACCCCTGTCATGATGGTGGCAAATGGTAAGCCAGTGTCAATAAACCCTCTGTAATAATGGTGGCAAATGGTAAGCCAGTGTCAATATACCCTCTGTCATGATGGTGGCAAATGGTAAGCCAGTGTCAATATACCCCTGTCATAATGGTGGCAAATGGTAAGCCAGTGTCAATATACCCCTGTCATAATGGTGGCAACTGGTAAGCCAGTGTCAATATACCCTGTCATAATGGTGGCAACTGGTAAGCCAGTGTCAATATACCCCTGTCATGATGGTGGCAAATAGTAAGCCAGTCTCAATATACCCCTGTCATGATGGTGGCAACTGGTAAGCCAGTGTCAATAAACCCTCTGTAATAATGGTGGCAAATGGTAAGCCAGTGTCAATATACCCTCTGTAATAATGGTGGCAAATGGTAAGCCAGTGTCAATATACCCTCTGTGATAATGGTGGCACATGGTAAGCCAGTGTCAATATACCCTCTGTGATAATGGAGGCAAATGGTAAGCCAGTGTTAATATACCCTCTGTGATAATGGTTGCAAATGGTAAGCCAGTGGTAACGTGGAATGCAAAGGTAAATAACTCCATAATTGCAAAATGTGAAGGTCACTAAAAAAGATGGCCAATCATATAACTTGACAATTGTACAGTATTGTATGTCAATCTATGGCTGTCTACCACAGAACCCCAGCCCCATGCGGGATCCCTTCCCCAGATCATCCAGCAGCCGGTCAGCTGTCAGGCCGTCTGTGGCGGTGTTGCCATGTTTGTCTGCGAGGGCTGTGGACAACGACCTTTACAGTATCAGTGGTTTCAGGATGGCCTCCCCATCCCAGGTAACAAGCTCATCAAGTTGTCTCCAGATGTCACGCCCTCTATTGGGCCCTCTATTATGAATGCTATATCTGAAATTGGTAATACCTGTCTGTGTTTTGATCTGAAAATGTACAATTCAAAATGTAATCAGTCCAATGTCATTTACCCTGTATTTCTTGAAGTGTTGTAAAATATAGCAGGATCCATCAGTAATGGTGTTTTACTCATGGTCATGGTCAGTGTTAATTCTACAGCCATCAGTAATCTTGTTATAAGTAATGCAGACTGACAGAGGGAACTTACCCCTCTTCGCTTAAATTCTAAATACCTAATAATCAAATTTTTCACACGAAAACCTATAAAATACATAATGAAAGGGTGAGATTTGATGTTAACTTACTGAAAAAATATAAACAATAATAATAACAATAAATGAATTTTTTACGTACACCATTATATTTTTTTAAATATAGACTCTGTGTACCAATAATAATTATATTTGAGTCCCATATACCACACTGCTGAGTCTGGAATAGCCTGCATATTGACCGCGGAACCTGCATGCCAAAAAGGGTTGGTCGTCTCTGTCCACACTGCTCGTCCTACACAGATACTAGGACTTCTTCATGTTGAACAATCACACCTATTTTTTAATGAATTCCAGCTTTGGGAGAAAATAACATTGCTGTGGATATAACTGTTACTGTTGGTTGTTGCTAGGGGCAACAGCACCACAGCTGGCTCTCCCCCACGTGCAGCAGGAAGCGGTGCTGCACTGCCAGGTGTCCAACAGATGGGGGCTGACCTGCTCCAACACAGTCTTCCTCAGAATCACGTCCCCGTTGCCACACACGGTCGGGGGATACACCGGTCAGTGGCATCACTATATTGTGTCCTCCTTAACACACGTTGCACACAGAATGTTCCTTCAACTCTTCCCTGACACATACGTCCCCAAATTCTTCCCACCCTCTGATGCTGTCTCGACGCTCCCAAAACAATCCAAAACACCCTGCACTCCGTCTAGACTGTCCCCTCACCAATGCTCCCCAATTGATGATAACCTCCGTATTTACCCTCACACCCCTGCCATGATGCTCCAATGTTCCCCCTACATCCACCCATCCCCGACAAACCAAGTCCCCAATGCTCTCCCAAGACTCGCTCACCCAATACTCACCCCTACTGTTTGGAATGCTCCTCCTAATCTCCCCCCACACTGCACCAACACTCTCTCAATGCATTCTCCACACATTCCTGAACCTCCCCTGACCTTTGAATAATCTACTTAACAAAAACCATGCAAGTAGATGCTTATGTGAAGCAAATTGTCAATCCAGACATAAATTTTAAGAAGTAAAAGGTAAGATAAGAATAAAAATGACTTGTTCTCTGCTTCCTTGGTAGCATCTTGTTATTCACTTTAAAAAGTCTGGCCAACACTCCATGATGAAACTAGAACATAACCATCTTCTGCTTCAGCCACAGACAAAGTAGCTCTTCTCATAGGGAACTACAACTACCGGTGTGAAATTAGTCTCAAAGCTCCAAAAACAGACATTCAGATCTTGACCGATATCTTCCGGAGACTTGATTTCAAGGTCGTATCCTTGTTGAACTTGACCTTGACTGAGATGAAGGCAGCTGTTGATGCATTCTGTGAACTTCTGGGCGATGGGGTGTACAGTGTGTTTTATTTCTGTGGCCATGGGTTTGAGGAGAAGGGTCACTGCTACTTCGTGCCAGAGGATGCTCAGACTGATTTCAAGGAAACCGATTGTCTCAGTGCCGACTCTGTGTTGGACTCCATGCAGCGGAAGAAGCCTCGGATCTGCACCATGATCCTGGACATCTGCAGGAAGAGGTAGTACCTTTACTTCATGAATGTGTACTGCAAGTTGATTGGTTGAAAAACATTGCTACATGGGATTGGATCCCAGAAATCTTTTGAACTGCATATTAATACTTTTCTTGATACGCTCCTTGTCTTCTCAATTCCAAATTTGAAATAAACATGCCATTCAGCTGGCAAAATGGATATCACTTTGATTCAATAAGTTTGATCAATGTTTGTTGCAGAGGCATGTGACATCATCTATTGTCTCATAACATCGAAGCATACCAGCGTGACGTCATGTCTGTCACACAAATGTGAGAGTTCACATAGACAGAGAGTGGGAAATTACTGATATCCTTCATGTTTTACAATGTTGATAAGCATGGCTAACACCATCGGTTCCAAATGACTTTTCCTGGCATTGAATACTTTTCGAGACATGCAATTCTGAAAACATATCATTTATTGACTACTTGTTATGAATTCCAGCTTTCTGATTGGTTACATAGCTGGTTCCCCATTGAGATTCCATGTTAGAACTAGCCTCCAGCAACCTGTGATCTGTAAGAGGCGACTTAATGGATCGGGTTGTCAGACTTGGTGACTAGATCGCATGTCATCTAACTCTGATGGTGTGGATCATTGCTCACAATATCAATCACAAGATTGTGTAGCCTTGGTTTAATTTTTTGTCAGGCTGCCATGATATATACTCACTGCCAAAAGAAATGCAAATACCATAAATGTTGGTTAATATATGAAGACTTACTCATATTCATGAGATATTAGATTGGTTCAATGCACAAACCAGTGTACTGGTATATCCGGTGAAGCCATGCTCAACAATGCATCAATTTGACGTCATGGATCCATGACTCGAGAGGCACCATTTGTTTCGTGTAGGGTTTATAGCGTGTTAAGTTTGGAAAACACGAGCAACATATCGTGAAAAGAACAGACACTCTGTGGTAGCACTTGACAGATTGTTAGTTTGTCATTACGTGGTACACACTGGAAACATCTCTTCTTAACTTACATACTTCTTTATATGTTTTATGGTTCACATTTCTTTTGGCGAAGAGTATGGCAGAGCATGGTGTTAGATAACAAACAAGAAACCTAGCCAGCCTGTACTGACTTCATGATGTTGGATGTGACTTCATGTGTTCGCCCTTTGAAAAGTCATGTGTGGACCATTACAAGAATCTTATATACACACATTGTATTTCAACAAAAATACATCTTTGTAACTCAATGCCAAATTTGTGAGATGTCATTAGTGAGATGTACAGGATTCATGAGCTAAATATATACTGACTGCCACAGAAACATATAGAGAAGTATGTACGTTAAGAAGAGTTGTTTCCAATGCGTACCAATTAATGACTTTATTCTTATCACGATATGCTGCACATGATTTCCAAATTGCACAAGACAAATGGTGGATCTCAAGTCATGGATCTATGACATCACATGTGATGGGATCATGAGCTTTCCCAGATACCTTGCTTTGTTAGCAACATACCATGCTTGTAGGATTCATGAAAGGAAAACTTTTAAAACCTGCACCCCTTTTGGCTTTCCACACACAAATAACTAAGTTGAATTTCCTTGTGTCAATGTTCAGTTGTGTTTTTCCAAGTAATGTGTTCATGCCTAGCTACCTTGCAGTCACAGCAGATGGAGAGGTTGTCTTGTCGTCATGGTCCTGGTTGTCTGATTATCATTCTGACATTTCCAGAAACAAGAATGGGCCACCAGTGGAGGAAAACGTTCGTGTAGCCCCAAGGGCCAACTCCGAAGGAAATTCCTGCATTTGTTATGCAACGTAAGTGATCGAGAACAATCATATTACCTATTCCAGCAATGGCGGTGAGATCACTGATTGGTAAATCACCCTTGTTCCAAAGCACAATGTTGTTGTCACTCGCTGTGAAATGTCTGGGAAAATGCAAATGGCCACTTCACAGTTTACATGGACTGGACATGCCAGGACACAGCATTTTGGACACGTGCATGTCGTGATCACAATGTTTAGAAAGATAAGTTCTTGAAAAAATTGTGTTTGGTAGTTGTTTTATTTTCCTTGAAAACGTCACAAAATGAGTCTGTCTTAGATGACCTGTATAAAACTTACAATGTGTGGATGTATGATTCAAGAAGGCGGTGAGCTTATTCCTGCTTGGATCTTCAGCACATTAAGGAAACAGTTACATTTGAACTACATTCAATTTGCAAATAGATCATAATGGGATAGTTGGCCAAAACTGCACCAAGAACTTGGTGAATGGAAATAGTCCTGAACGTGATGTGTCTGTCAACAGGTGTGCTGGCTTGGCAGCCTACGAGATCGGGGAATCTGGCATCCTGGTGAAACACCTGCAGAAGTACCTCAGTCTGCCCATGAAGATAGAGGACGTCTTCTCCTGCATGAGACATGGTCAGTTGCTGCAGTCATTCATTCATCCCCTGGCAACCATGCTTGGTGTTGGACAGGACAGGACAAGTTCCCGGTCATGACTCTCTTATTAGGAGTAGGGGTGAAACGATACATCATGCGATGATATAATACATGATACGTTTTTCTTCTGTATCGATACAAGACAATACATCTGCTAAAATATATTACTTACTACTTGTCTAATACCCCCCCTCCCCCCGCAATTTTGTCTGTCTAATATTGCAAAATGTGTGTAAATAGCGTTCGAAGTTCATGACTCAAAATAGCATCTACAAACATACAGCTAGCTTTTCCTTTAGAACATGCTATGAACTATTTATAGTTAAGAAGTTTGACGTAAATGTGTTTATCGCAATTTATCATCCACTGTAGATATCGCTGCAATGAAATGACATCACAAAGCTTTGCAGACCATTGTGACGTCACTGGTTACCATGACGTCACAATCAAATGACATCACTAATGGCTCTGCTACTGAAGCAGTTTGCAGTACTTTTTACACTGAAGACACTGCTAGTTACTGTCTACAAATTGAAAAAGTTGAAAGAATGCTGTTGGATGATAAATAAAATCTCACCCTTGTGTCTTTTGAAGTGTCTTATCAAATATATCAACACTCGTTGATAAAAGTGGCAAAAATCCTCGGCAAGCCTCGGAATTTTTCCACTTTTATCAACTCGGGTGAGATTCTCTATATGTATTGTATCGTGACCTTGCTGTATCGTTTCACCCCTAATTAAGAGACAAGTAAAATTGGTACGGAGCGGTTTCAATGTTTGGCATTGTGCCCCAACGTTGCACAACTAGTTTTCCATTTCTCGTCTGCCATGATATAGCTGGAATGTTGCTGACTCGGCATAAAACAACATGCACTTGTTAAAATGTGACTGAAAGTATAGTGATTAGCTTGGTGAACATTTTGAAGGAGAAACTTTCAGCCGAACACTGCGTACTTATGTTAACAGTTTACCACAGTGTGTTAGACTGATTCCTCCAAGCATGGTTTACCAGCACAAGCCCTTTCAGTGGGTTCAATTTTAATTTCAAGATTGTATGACATGTCTATATGGCAGTCACTCTGTGTTGTAATGTGAGGGCAGCATGCCACTGCTCCCCAGCATAACAGTTTGCCCTCATTAAGTTTCTTGATTTGTCAGCACCTTCTGAAATTCTGTTCCAAGCATCATATAACCCACCTCACTTGCTGATGTTCATGCAATACATTGACAGACATAGGGGAGGAACAGCTGGTTATTGGAAAACAGATTCCTGAAGTTATCACGAACATCCTCCAGCCAGGACGCTCCTTCACTGACCGAATTCAGTATCGCAATGGCTGGACTGAGGCCTTCAACAGGCGCCAAGTGGCCTGGGAACAGGCCCACAGTAAGTTGTGTGTGTCAACAGTTAGCCTGGGAACTTGCCCACAGTAAGTTGTGTGTGACAACAGTTGGCCTGGGAACTTGCCCACAGTAAGTTGTGTGTGTCAACAGTTGGCCTGGGAGCTTGCCCACAGTAAGTTGTGTGTGTCAACAGGTGGCCTGGGAACATGCCCACAGTAAGTTGTGTGTGTCAACAGTTGGCCTGGGAACATGCCCACAGTAACTTGTGTGTCAACAGTTGGCCTGGGAATTTGCCCACAGTAGGTTGTGTGTGTCAACAGGTGGCCTGGGAACTTGCCCACAGTAAGTTGTGTGTGTCAACATGTGGCCTAGGAACATGCCCACAGTAAGATGTGTATGAGTCATGTGTGATCTGGTAACATGACCATTTTGTGTGTCATGTTCATGTTGCCATGCTGCACTGAGGAGTCGTGTGTAACTGGGTGTGTTGTGCTGCACTGCCGAGTCGTGTGTAACTGGGTGTGTTGTGTTGCAGAGGTGCGAGTCGTGTGTAACTGGGTGTGTTGTGCTGCACTGCCAAGTCGTGTGTAACTGGGTGTGTTGTGCTGCACTGCCAAGTCGTGTGTAACTGGGTGTGTTGTGCTGCACTGCCGAGTCGTGTGTAACTGGGTGTGTTGTGTTGCAGAGGTGCGAGTTGTGTGTAACTGGGTGTGTTGTGTTGCAGAGGTGCGAGTCGTGTGTAACTGGGTGTGTTGTGCTGCAGAGGTGCGAGTCATGTGTAACTGGGTGTATTGTGCTGCACTGCCAAGTCGTGTGTAACTGGGTGTGTTGTGTTGCAGCGGTGCGAGTCGTGTGTAACTGGGTGTGTTGTGTTGCAGAGGTGCGAGTCGTGTGTAACTGGGTGTGTTGTGCTGCAGAGGTGCGAGTCGTGTGTAACTGGGTGTGTTGTGCTGCACTGCCAAGTCGTGTGTAACTGGGTGTCTTGTGCTGCACTGCCAAGTCGTGTGTAACTGGGTGTGTTGTGCTGCACTGCCAAGTCGTGTGTAACTGGGTGTGTTGTGCTGCACTGCCAAGTCGTGTGTAACTGGGTGTGTTGTGCTGCAGAGGTGCGAGTCGTGTGTAACTGGGTGTGTTGTGCTGCACTGCCAAGTCGTGTGTAACTGGGTGTGTTGTGTTGCAGAGGTGCGAGTCGTATGTAACTGGGTGTGTTGTGCTGCAGAGGTGCGAGTCGTGTGTAATTGGGTGTGTTGTGCTGCACTGCCAAGTCGTGTGTAACTGGGTGTCTTGTGCTGCACTGCCAAGTCGTGTGTAACTGGGTGTGTTGTGCTGCACTGCCAAGTCATGTGTAACTGGGTGTGTTGTGCTGCACTGCCAAGTCGTGTGTAACTGGGTGTGTTGTGTTGCAGAGGTGCAAGTCGTGTGTAACTGGGTGTGTTGTGCTGCACTGCCAAGTCGTGTGTAACTGGGTGTGTTGTGTTGCAGAGGTGCGAGTCGTGTGTAACTGGGTGTGTTGTGCTGCAGAGGTGCGAGTCGTGTGTAACTGGGTGTGTTGTGCTGCACTGCCAAGTCGTGTGTAACTGGGTGTCTTGTGCTGCACTGCCAAGTCGTGTGTAACTGGGTGTGTTGTGCTGCACTGCCAAGTCGTGTGTAACTGGGTGTGTTGTGCTGCACTGCCAAGTCGTGTGTAACTGGGTGTGTTGTGCTGCAGAGGTGCGAGTCGTGTGTAACTGGGTGTGTTGTGCTGCACTGCCAAGTCGTGTGTAACTGGGTGTGTTGTGTTGCAGAGGTGCGAGTCGTGTGTAACTGGGTGTGTTGTGTTGCAGAGGTGCGAGTCGTGTGTAACTGGGTGTGTTGTGCTGCAGAGGTGCGAGTCGTGTGTAACTGGGTGTGTTGTGCTGCACTGCCAAGTCGTGTGTAACTGGGTGTCTTGTGCTGCACTGCCAAGTCGTGTGTAACTGGGTGTGTTGTGCTGCACTGCCAAGTCGTGTGTAACTGGGTGTGTTGTGCTGCAGAGGTGCAAGTCGTGTGTAACTGGGTGTGTTGTGCTGCACTGCCAAGTCGTGTGTAACTGGGTGTCTTGTGCTGCACTGCCAAGTCGTGTGTAACTGGGTGTGTTGTGCTGCACTGCCAAGTCGTGTGTAACTGGGTGTCTTGTGCTGCACTGCCAAGTCGTGTGTAACTGGGTGTGTTGTGCTGCAGAGGTGCGAGTCGTGTGTAACTGGGTGTGTTGTGCTGCACTGCCAAGTCGTGTGTAACTGGGTGTGTTGTGTTGCAGAGGTGCGAGTCGTGTGTAACTGGGTGTGTTGTGTTGCAGAGGTGCGAGTCGTGTGTAACTGGGTGTGTTGTGCTGCAGAGGTGCGAGTCGTGTGTAACTGGGTGTGTTGTGCTGCACTGCCAAGTCGTGTGTAACTGGGTGTCTTGTGCTGCACTGCCAAGTCGTGTGTAACTGGGTGTGTTGTGCTGCACTGCCAAGTCGTGTGTAACTGGGTGTGTTGTGCTGCAGAGGTGCAAGTCGTGTGTAACTGGGTGTGTTGTGCTGCACTGCCAAGTCGTGTGTAACTGGGTGTGTTGTGTTGCAGAGGAGCCGACTTCTCAGACCATCGTGGCCAGCAAGGAGCTGGGGATCGTCCTAGAGCTGGAGTTTCAGTCTATCTTCTCTAATGTCCTCCATGTGTTCGTCACCGTCAAGGACAAGGGCCAGACTGATGAGTGCACCGCCTGGATTTCTCGGATCCCAACAGTAAGTTATATGATGAGGACCAGTATATGAGATCAGACAATCTTGTGACTTGAACCGCTAGTCAGGGTGCAATGGCATGCAATCTAGTAAAAGCTGACAACTGATGTATTAAGTCACGTCTTCATTTTTGACATCATGAGTCAACTCAGTAAGAAGGGTAACTACAGCATGAAGGTGCACATCTGTGTGGAATGTGTAACTGGAAGCAATGTTTGACTGCTTGTAACGACTAGTTGTTGCATGTAACCAGAGTTCTTCCTGCACAGGGGTGGTGGGGTAGCCTAGAGGTCGTCGCGCCGGAGTCCCGGGTTCGATTCCTGACATAGGTACAAATTATGAAGCCCATTTCTCGTGTCCCCCGCCATGATATTGCTGGAACATTGCTAAAAGCACTGTAAAACCATACTCACTCACTCTTATGTCCAGCCTGACAACCAATGTATTAAGTCACTCTGTGTCCAGCCTGACAACCGATGTATTAAGTCACTCTGTGTCCAGCCTGACAACAGATGTATTAAGTCACCTCTATGTCCAGCCTGACAACCGATGTATTAAGTCACTCTGTGTCCAGCCTGACAACCGATGTATTAAGTCACACTGTGTCCAGCCTGACAACCGATGTATTAAGTCATTCTGTGTCCAGCCTGACAACAGATGTATTAAGTCACCTCTTTGTCCAGCCTGACAACCGATGTATTAAGTCACTCTGTGTCCAGCCTGACAACCGATGTATTAAGTCACTCTGTGTCCAGCCTGACAACAGATGTATTAAGTCGCCTCTATGTCCAGCCTGACAACCGATGTATTAAGTCACTCTGTGTCCAGCCTGACAACCGATGTATTAAGTCACTCTGTGTCCAGCCTGACAACCGATGTATTAAGTCACCTTCTGTGTCCAGCCTGACAACCGATGTATTAAGTCACCTCTTGTGTCCAGCCTGACAACCGATGTATTAAGTCACTCTGTGTCCAGCCTGACAACCGATGTATTAAGTCACCTTCTGTGTCCAGCCTGACAACCGATGTATTAAGTCACCTCTATGTCCAGCCTGACAACCGATGTATTAAGTCACCTCTTGTGTCCAGCCTGACAACCGATGTATTAAGTCACCTCTATGTCCAGCCTGACAACAGATGTATTAAGTCACCTCTTGTGTCCAGCCTGACAACCGATGTATTAAGTCACCTCTATGTCTAGCCTGACAACCGATGGATTAAGTCACCTCTATGTCCAGCCTGACAACCGATGTATTAAGTCACTCTGTGTCTAGCCTGACAACCGATGTATTAAGTCACCTCTATGTCCAGCTTGACAACCGATGTATTAAGTCACTCTGTGTCTTGCCTGACAACCGATGTATTAAGTCACCTCTTGTGTCCAGCCTGACAACTGATATGTCCAACACAAGTTGCTGGAGACCTATTCCTACCTGGGGCTCCAACAGTGAGTGGGTGACAAAACAAGATCTTGTAGTTTGATCTCATTAGATTTCTTCTCTACAAACAGAACTTCTCTACTTTGGGAATTATGAAAAATTTGCAGTGCTTCAATTTAAAACAGTAACTAGCACTGTTATGAACTGTTATGGTAGTTTTGTTCATTGATGACTTTCGGCAGAGTGAAATATTTCTTATTTTGTCAGACTGTCTCAATTGCTGAACAGCCTACAATTGTGACTGAGGGGAAGACACGCAACTCGATACAGGACATACAGAAACTGAAGGTACGATCAAAGTCCTGCTCCTCTAGAAACACTCCTACACAGTAACCTTGCTCACCATCCTAAACAGTAACTTTGACCACAGCCTACACAGTAACCTTGAACACAGCCTACACAGTAACCTTGACCACAGCCTTCACAGTAACCTTGAACACAGCCTACACAGTAACCTTGACCACAGCCTACACAGTAACCTTGAACACCATCCTACACAGTAACCTTGGACACAGCCTACACAGTAACCTTGAACACCATCCTACACAGTAACCTTGACCACAGCCTACACAGTAACCTTGAACACAGCCTACACTGTAACCTTGACCACAGCCTACACGGTAACCTTGACCACAGCCTACACCGCAACCTTGACCACAGCCTACACAGTAACCTTGAACACCATCCTACACAGTAACCTTGCACACCATCCTACACGGTAACTTTCAACACCATCCTACACAGTAACCTTGAACACCATCCTACACTGTAACTTTGACCACAGCCTACACAGTAACCTTGACCACAGCCTACACCGCAACCTTGAACACCATCCTACACAGTAACCTTGCACACCATCCTACACGGTAACTTTCAACACCATCCTACACAGTAACCTTGAACACAGCCTACACAGTAACCTTGACCACAGCCTACACAGTAACCTTGACCACAGCCTACACAGTAACCTTGAACACAGCCTACACTGTAACCTTGACCACAGCCTACACAGCCTACACCGCAACCTTGACCACAGCCTACACAGTAACCTTGAACACCATCCTACACAGTAACCTTGCACACCATCCTACACGGTAACTTTCAACACCATCCTACACAGTAACCTTGAACACCATCCTACACAGTAACCTTGAACACAGCCTACACAGTAACCTTGACCACAGCCTACACAGTAACCTTGACCACAGCCTACACAGTAACCTTGAACACAGCCTACACAGTAACCTTGACCACAGCCTACACAGTAACCTTGAACACCATCCTACACAGTAACCTTGAACACAGCCTACACTGCAACCTTGACCACAGCCTACACAGTAACCTTGACCACAGCCTACACAGTAACCTTGAACACCATCCTACACAGTAACCTTGAACACCATCCTACACAGTAACCTTGACCACAGCCTACACAGTAACCTTGACCACAGCCTACACTGTAACCTTGACCACAGCCTACACAGTAACATTGACCACAGCCTACACAGTAACCTTGGACACAGCCTACACAGTAACCTTGAACACCATCCTACACAGTAACCTTGAACACCATCCTACACGGTAACTTTCAACACCATCCTACACAGTAACCTTGAACACCATCCTACACTGTAACTTTGACCACAGCCTACACAGTAACCTTGACCACAGCCTACACAGTAACTTTGACCACAGCCTACACAGTAACCTTGAACACAGCCTACACAGTAACCTTGACCACAGCCTACACAGTAACCTTGGACACAGCCTACACAGTAACCTTGAACACCATCCTACACTGCAACCTTGACCACAGCCTACACAGTAACTTTGACCACAGCCTACACAGTAACCTTGAACACCACCCTACACAGTAACCTTGACCACAGCCTACACAGTAACCTTGACCACAGCCTACACAGTAACTTTGACCAGAGCCTACACAGTAACTTTGACCACAGCCTACACAGTAACCTTGAACACAGCCTACACAGTAACCTTGAACACAATCCTACACAGTAACCTTGAACACCACCCTACACAGTAACCTTGAACACAGCCTACACAGTAACCTTGACCACAGCCTACACAGTAACCTTGACCACAGCCTACACAGTAACCTTGAACACCACCCTACACAGTAACCTTGAACACAGCCTACACAGTAACCTTGAACACAGCCTACACACCACAGCCTACACAGTAACCTTGACCACAGCCTACACAGTAACCTTGACCACAGCCTACACAGTAACCTTGGACACAGCCTACACAGTAACCTTGACCACAGCCTACACAGTAACCTTGAACACCATCCTACACAGTAACCTTGGACACAGCCTACACAGTAACCTTGAACACCATCCTACACTGCAACCTTGACCACAGCCTACACAGTAACTTTGACCACAGCCTACACAGTAACCTTGAACACAATCCTACACAGTAACCTTGAACACCACCCTACACAGTAACCTTGACCACAGCCTACACAGTAACCTTGACCACAGCCTACACAGTTACCTTGACCACAGCCTACACAGTAACCTTGACCACAGCCTACACAGTAACATTGACCACAGCCTACACAGTAACATTGACCACAGCCTACACAGTAACCTTGACCACAGCCTACACAGTAACCTTGAACACAGTCCAGTAGTTACCTTGAACCTTTTGTTCCTCTGCTTTTTGTCTTTAAATTTGGTTAAGATAATTAGATGGCAAGCAGTTACAGAAACAACGCAGAAAACAGATGTTCCCATGACTTTATGAGTACTGCTTTACATTTTATTACAGCTACATTTTAATACTAATCAGAACAGTATATAGAAAGCATATCCAGGATATACACCTTACACTTTCCATGCAAATATCATTCTTAATAAGTCCACAGATAACTGTTTACTGTTGCACTTTCCACAGAATGACCTTGACATCACACTATCCGTCAAGTACCACGTAAGGTCTGAGGCACCCCAGATCCTGTACCCCGACAAGGTGAACTTGGGCATGCCACTGGTGGCTCAGCTCAAACTATGGGAGCCCAGAAGTGCCAAGTCGTCTCTCAGAGAGCCAACAGAACAGACTGAGGAGGTGGATGCAACCAGTGGAACTCACTCAATGTAACTGCATGATGGTACATACATGTTGCTGTAGTCATGGACATTGACAAGTGGCCGTCTTCACACAAGTAGCAATGGACATGTATTGACGATACTATTTGTGTCTACTTCAGACAAGGGGTGACGGAACTGGATGGTTCTATCTTGGCAAATGTTGGTTCAGCCATATGGTTCATCTTCTTTCTGTGTTTGGGCGTTTGAAATTAGAAGATTTCTGGGTGTTTTTCTACCATCTGACAGTCCTATTACGTATATTCCAGATGACACTTGATGTTTTTTAGTGAAATGTCTGTGGGCAATATCCTATAGCATACAGGTCTGGTTTTGATAAGTAACAAAACTGGTCATTATTAAATATGACATGCCTTTATGAATAAATTGGCCTAGGACTTGTTTCAAAACAATAACTTGTACAAATACTAACAGAATTAGACACTATTAATTTGGTAATATGTCAATATCAATACAGATTAGTGTATTTCCTAGCAAATCATGGACTATTAAGATGAGTGAGTGAGAGTATGGTTTTATGCCGCTTTTAGCAATATTCCAGCAATATCATGGCGGGGAAAACCAGAGACTATTAAAACGATAATACATGACAATTACAGCAAACATGTAAAGATAAAACAAGTTGTCATTGTCAATAGTATTCACTTTTGACACTATCCCAAACAGGAAAGAAATGAGGTTTTCCTGCCTTGTGCATGAGGTACGGGTAGCAAGACACTATTACTTGCACAGCTAATTTTTGAAAGTTGACAGTCAAGTGTACTTCACATGAAAATCTTGAGATTCTTTTTAAGTGTGATGACAGCCAAAAATACCTGATTTATGGCAACGATGAAATAGAGGTAGGGTATTCACAAGAATTATATGTGTAGTACCTAAACTGGTCACAAGGGAAAATGTTATGTAACTGACATGGATTCATTGTTCCCATATTCGTTTCCATCAGCATTGGTCAAAGATCATATGACAAGAACGAGAAAGGGCCTGAGACTTTCTTTTGATGATAGTCTAAACAACCAACTGCTTCTTTAAATAGAAACAAAATTTTGTGATGAACAAAACATGTGAGTATAAAAGTAGGTGAGTTGCATCAGAACATCAGACCGGTCACATATCAATACAGGGGCCATCACATGATGGTGTCGTCGTTCACACAATCAAGCCAGTTGAGCACAGATCCAAAAGGATTCCCGAGTCATTATGATTTTCTTCTCAACTTCCAGCTAATAAATTTAAAACCTTAATCATGTTTTATTTCATGCTCACAGAATAAATCGCATCCGACAACCAGCGTGTATGGCGTGTATGGGAGAAAGAACCAGTGTACAACTGGCCATGATATAATATAACACTTCCGAGTTTCAACGATGTGCAGAACTGTCTGTTTTGTCTTGAATGTGACACGTCCCAGCTTTTGGGTTCCAGGATCTTTTTATTTTGTTCAAGAGTTTTGGGAGTGTGGGAGTGATTAGGTTTTAATACTACCTTGACTAGTATTTCATGTCTTCACAATTTAATGAGGAAGATAGCCCAATACTTTGGTGAAACCAACAAGCACATGTATAGCGCTGGCAAACCAAGGAACACAATCATGGATTCAACCCAACAACCAGTTGTCCCATGAAACCTAGTGATTCATTGCTACCTTGAATAAGACTGCACTCACAACTAAAACATCACAACTACATGGATAGCATTTACCATCACCAACAAGGCAGAAGCTTCCATGCGGCCAAGAATCTTGCTAGGAACATTTCTTCAAGATACATAACAATTTTAATGTGTCTTTTGACAAACAATTTAACAGGTTGGTTTGACTGATCCACCTTTTTTTTTATTGAAGTAAGATATCAGTTCTGCTGCTCTCTATAGTGAGGACGAATCCCTGGTTGCTAGCCCAGTGGTCTAAGGCACAACATAACATGTCACGTTGAATATCATGAGTGGGTCAAGGTCACGGGGGCATGAATCCCCACAACATGACATGTCGTCTTCAACATCATGAGGAAGGCATGGTCACTGGGTCATAGATTCTTTTGTTGATCAAGTAGACCTACATTTCATGCAAAAAACATTCAGAAGATTTGTTACAATGCAAACAAGAGAAGAAACAAAACAGGACAATCCATGCTTCTGTTTATACATTTGTTTATTTCAGCTTAGATGTAAGACACTGAAAATTAAGGTTATGTGGCAGGAATGCATTAATTGTACTTAAAAGTATGAACAGGTTAAGAACAGAAGTAAAGTTAAAGAGTATCTAAAACAGAGCATAATGCACAAGAAATTGGGTTGCATTTCTACAAAATTCTTAACACATTTGTTGGCATATTTACCAGATATCTGAATTGACCATGAAGACCAAATTTGCAACACATTTTAATATTTCTGGTCGAAGAATAGTCTTGTATAAACTAAAACTAAAGAAATATATAACAGTAAAAGGTTCTTCTGCTAAAATAAACAATCCCAATTTCTTCCGTCAAAGACATAAGGAAACTCTACAACATCTATAAATACATCCTAAAAATGATAATGAAATTCAATAAGAAATAAGATGATGCACCATTAGCAATGCACTCTGGATTAAAAACAAAATCAACATGTACTCCATAACTTCAGATGTTTGCTTATTCCTTCAATGTAACAGAAACAAGAGAAACTATAGGGTAGAAGTATTCTCCCAAGAAACCAATTTGACCAACAACACACCTGCAAACATGACATTCACGATAAAAAGAGACATAATAATGATATTCATTGATGACTCACAGAATTCAACCACAAGCCTTATATCTAAAGTGAATACTTCTAAAGTTTCACATCTTTGTATTTCAATATTTTCTAAATGTCATTCAAATGAAAATTCTTTCTGATGAAAAGGATTCCCCATCACTGGTAAGTGGGTCCGTCAAATGTTGCATACAAATAGGATCCATTCAGTTGATCTTTTTCTTGAAGAAAATAATACGAGGTAAGATTGTTAGGATGTTGGTTATTTTAAACCGAAACATCTGAAGAGCCATTATTATGGACTAGATATAGCATGGTAAGCTGCAGGCAAATATTGACAGAACGTGCTGTGATTGGTCCCCTGATGTTCCTCACAATATGGTCTACCCTCTTGCTTCTGTTACAGCACCACTTGAACTGTGCTAAACTGATAAAAAACCTTCACAAGCTTTCAAAGGCTTGGCACAATAATTAGAGGTTTTCATTATCCAACATACAACAATAAAAAAAATTAAGTCTACATCTATAGTAAGAAGTTAAAGCATAAAACATCCCATCCCTTTCCTATGAAATGGCTTTCATACCATGTGTAATGAACGGGAGCTTCAACAAGGACCACCCTCATAAACCAGCTGTTCCCTCCAATGTCAAGACCGATGGGCACAGCCATACCAGGATCTTAAGTATGCAAATCTACTCATGGAAAGGGATGGAAAGGGATGGAAATGTCTATGAGCAATTTACATGATACATCATAATAGAAATTCTTATTCACCAAACACGAAAAAGAAAAAGGTTACAAAATCTAAAGTGACATTATTAACTCTGGTAGCACTTCCTTGTTTTACAAATGATAAAGTTTACCATATAAAACAAAAGTCAACAACTCGTGAGAAAGACACGTTCCAATAACAAACTGCTGATATTTGTTTGATAAAATTAATACAGACTGGCTGATAACCATTCATCATATTGATCGAATTGAGCTTTAAGCAATGTAAGTGCTCATGTGCAGTATTTATGAGGCTAGAAATCTAAGTGATTTTCTTTCTTTTCAACTGCTATATAAACAACATTTCATATCAACGTTTACGAACAAATATCTTTACATTTGATACCTAACATGCAGGTTGACATGTCTCGAATTTTGAGTTCTCTAAATATTTGAAAATCAGAATTTGATACAAAACACTTTTGACGAAATCGCGTAATGTAAATTGAGAACACTACTTTGTTACCTCAAAGCATGAACATTATCACAATTCAGATACTATACATGGTTGTCATTCATGTTTGAAGTAATCAAAGAAGTTATTGTGCTAACTTCCAGTCTAAGTCTCTATTAAAAGAAAAGCATTTAAATGTCTTTTTGCCATGGCATGCTACAGACAAGAGATATACATATGTTATACAATACTAATCAAAGCATCAGCATTAGCTACACACAAAATACATCTAGGTTAAAAATGAAGCTTTACAGACTAAATCACACCACAGTTTGATATTTGTACCATTACACAAATAAGTATCAAAACATTACAGTGACTGAAACAAAACAATGACAGCTCAAGACACAAGTCGCACCTGCAAAGTATACAATCTGTGAAATACCATACTTGAACTCTCGCAGCCATATTGTGTCTACTTCACACCAGCATCCGTGGAGCTGAGATCAACTTCTACGTTCGAGTACACATTGACAGGTGATGGTCTTCTACACGACAATACAAAAACTGATCTGGAGATAATATCCTAACACTGCCTAACCCTAGCTAATGATGTATTACTTTTAGCACTAAACAACACATTTTTCGCCTTCCATGTGACCAATAGCTTTTTTTGCAAAATGTTGTTATTAAAAGAATGTATTTCAAACATGTTTTGGGTTTGGTTAAATCATAAACTTTGGTAAATAACAAACACTATCATAATCAACAAGCATTTTCAAAATATCTTACACTGAGAATATTCTTAATCTATAGCTATTTTAATCTTTTTTGCTATATCTATATGTATTATAGAAAATCTATTTTAAAATGCTAATTCTGGTCTGTGAGTATCATGTAACCTCAATTATACAATGTCCAGTATGGTATTCCTAGACTGGGAGCATCTGTTGGTGCCCATGTGTGCCCAATATCTAGTCCTGCGAACATCATGGAAATCTCAATGAATGGTATTGCTCAAGCACTTTCATCTCCCTACAAAGTCATAAAGCTTTCATTTAATAAACAAGGAAACCACATCTAGATAAGACTTAAACGCTACACACATCTAATCACAATAAATTATTGAACAAAGCATGACTCCATAAAGGATTTTAGGAACATCTATCAAGAGACAAATGGACAAATAAAAGACTAATTCAAGATAAACATGGTGATAAAACAATCTTCATTAACATGAACGTTACTGACAGCGATCTCCGAGTATACTACTCAAAACAAGTTAATGAACAGCCAGGACCGGTTAACTATTGTCAAAAAAAATCAGGCGTTCTTTATCTTCTTTGAGTGGTATATTTATCAAAGATAAACATGAGCATCTATTCCTTCTGTAACTGGGCAGAGTGACATGGGAAGCCTGGAAGTCAGGTGACACGAGATGAATACTTCCTGCCTGTGTAGCCTCCGAATTGGCACAGGCTGAGTCTTAGAGCAGCATCACAGGCCAAACAAAGGCATGAAACTCAAAATCACTGATGTAAAACTTTTACAAATAGACGACTTCAAATATATTCCTACTGTATTGTTTGGAATAGATCCAATCCTTTCATTTATCATTATTGTCCATGAACCATGATGATATATATACTTGAAGACGTTACGTCAGTAAAGAAATGAAAAAATGCATGGTGATATATCTTGACTAGAATGACACATCAATCAAAAACATCACAATGTCATAAAATATTGATATGTCCTGTCATTTTCTCGTTGAAGTGTTAATGCTGACCAAATGTGTTAAGGATTAAGGATTCAATGTTGTATAAATAACGTACACTTCTGTCATGTTCATGTAACCAACCTGGATAGGCTGAGCTCAAGTATTGGTTAAATTAACACTGAACTTGTCAGCATTTACACTTTATTATCTCAGTACCATTAACAATCAACACTGTACTAGAGCATCACTTTTCCCAGTAATAAGACCAAACTCCCAGCATGGAAATGGAATAGTTCATGGTCAAATGTGAGCTTAAGAGTGTTTTAGAGACAAAACATAAGAAGGTCTATTTCTTAAATGTGACCTAAGTTAAATTTCAAAGTAATCAATGCCACAAATAATAATCATGCAAAAACTAAAAACATTTAAACAAAAATTAATTTTGCAAGAGATATGACACAAATGTTACTGACAAAGCAATGGTCAACAAAGATCAGAAAGACCTCCAGTGACCAGCTAATACACTTCAAGATGATAGATATTCCTGTGCAGGAAGAGTGAGTGAGTGAGTGAGTGAGTGAGTGAGTATTGTCCAGCTATATCACGGCAGGGGGACACCAGGAATGGATTTTACACATTGTACCCATGTGGAGAATCAAACCCAGGTCTTACCACTAGGATACCCCACCGCCCCTGTGCAGGAAGAACTCTGGTTACATGCAACAACTAGTCGTTACAAGCAGTCAAACATTGCTTCCATTAACACATTCCACACAGATGTGCACCTTCATGCTGTAGTTACCCTTCTCACTGAGTTGACTCATGATGTCAAAAATGAAGTTTTCACCACAGAAAAAAACATGCCAACCATTGGCAGACAATCAACAAACTGAACATAATGAATGATAAATGACATAGCATATTCAGTGCAACATATGTAATGTGACAATGACTGACGAGACTAGTTCCCCTCGATGATTATGCTGCAGTGATATGTAATGAAGTTCCAAGTCCATATTACAAAATCCCGTGCTCGAAAACCAATGTGAAAATAAGTTTAAAAAACCTTTCCATTATCATACTCATCATCAGCTTCATTATCAGGAGCATGAAGCATTAGATAATGAGTACCCAAGTCTATCAGCTTGGAACACGGCAGCCTTGGGTTGAGTCATTATTTGTGGGGCAGCTTCATAAGCAAGGCCATGTGGATGGACAACTGATCCAGTGAACACCTAGCATCTGGAACATGTAGGAGAGAATATTGCTTTCCAGCTACTCTGAGTTTCAAGTATGGAAGGACATTCTGAGTTGTGAAAATTTATCTCTCAAAAAGAAAGGATGAGGATGAGAATGAGGGTACGACGTCTGTCAATGATGTCCTGACAGAAATGAGGGATGGGGAAGGATAAGTTAGTCACAGAAGAGGTGTTGATGAAGTCCAAATCATAATGTTTAATGTCTTGAGGTACCTCAGGTGTGCACATCTGAATGTGAAGCTTATCTACATAGTGAGCCAAACATGGCCTGGGTACAGCTAAATGTCACTAGTTCCACTGGGTGATGTCTTGCATGTGCCATTCAGTATACAGATGATACACACGAAGAATGGCATGACTGATAAAGGATCGCCTGTACTAGTACCTTTGTGGGTACATGATAAGCCGATTTTGGCAAAAGTGGTAATCACAAATTGTAAAGAACCCCACCAAAACTATAAACACATATAAACACATACAAACAAAAAGACAAGTCCTTAATCATCTGGTAGCCAACAAAAGACAAATAAAACAGTTAACAATAAAATACTTTCACTTTAAAAAGTTTTCTGAATAAATCTGCCTTTTTTGCAAACGGTGCAAGTCTATGTAACTAGACTAGATCAAGCATGTCAAGTGGAAGCATAAAACAGCACAGCATTAAATGTACTGAATGGACAAAACAGTGGTAAAGAGGTGTCTGGTAATGGAAGGGTCATCCCCCATTCATTGCACACCCAGATTCATTGCCTACACTACCTTCCATTAGCTTCCCAGGATGTTACATCAGCCAGAGATGTGCCTGCATTTTTACATCAACCTCATTAAAATCAGATCTTTTATTCTGATACAATACCTCTCTGCGTGAACATCAGGTGAACTTTCTAATCCACCTCGCCATCGAGGCTTCTAAATTCTCAGTACCCAGCATATCTGATTTCTGTATCTCAAAAACAAACCAAAACAACTAGTTCTGAAATGAGGAATATTAGGTGTTGCTCCTATTATGTTGGGGATATCTTATACATCCTGTCCATGGCACCTACAGCCAAAAGGGAGTACCATCAAAGGAATATTTGTGCTGTGTGAGGGTTTTCATTTGCACAAATCGAAACTTCAAAATCAAGGTGCTTAAAAAACAAAGAAGAATCATTCAGGAACAAGAGCCCATGCATCTTTCATTTAGAAAGCTGACATCAGATTGGCTCAAGAACCCATGCATCTTTCATTTAGAAAGCTGACATCAGATTGGCTCAAGAACCCATGCATCTTTCATTTAGAAAGCTGACATCAGATTGGCTCAAGAACCCATGCATCTTTCATTTAGAAAGCTGACATCAGATTGGCTCAAGAGCCCATGCATCTTTCATTTAGAAAGCTGACATCAGATTGGCTCAAGAGCCCATGCATCTTTCATTTAGAAAGCTGACATCAGATTGGCTCAAGAACCAATGAATCCTTCATTTAGAAAGCTGACATCAGATTGGCTCAAGAACCCATGCATCTTTCATTTAGAAAGCTGACATCAGATTGGCTCAAGAACCCATGCATCTTTCATTTAGAAAGCTGACATCAGATTGGCTCAAGAACCCATGCATCTTTCATTTAGAAAGCTGACATCAGATTGGCTCAAGAACCCATGCATCTTTCATTTAGAAAGCTGACATCAGATTGGCTCAAGAGCCCATGCATCTTTCATTTAGAAAGCTGACATCAGATTGGCTCAAGAACCAATGAATCCTTCATTTAGAAAGCTGACATCAGATTGGCTCAAGAACCAATGCATCCTTCATTTAGAAAGTTGACATCCGATTGGCTCAAGAACCAATGCATCCTTCATTTAGAAAGCTGACATCAGATTGGTTCAAGAACCAATGCATCCTTCATTTAGAAAGCTGACATCTGATTAGCTCAAGAACCCATGCATCTTTCATTTAGAAAGGGTGGTCAAACCTAACTCACTGTCTGCCTGATGCGACCTTCTAAGGACACGTCCTTAAAACTTAAAGCAGTGAGGTATCAGAGTAATATATCTGAGATTAATGAGGTTGTTATTACAGGATATTTTTTTATATGCAATAAAAACGACTGCTTGTGGAAGTGACAGTGTAGGTAATCAAACTGATCTCTGAGGATGGATGACGATATGAGGACCGGAAGTTCATAAGTAAAACAACTTGCGACATATATGGTAACTTCATGTAATACAGTAGTAAGAGATCATTGGAACATACGGTGGATATGTACAGAGTGCCGAGCTTGAGAGATTGGATCCTCCCTAACCTTGCGCTAACAAGGAGAACTTACACAATATCCTCTTCCTACCAACACATCTAAATCATCAATAAGTCATTGAAATATGCATATAGAACATTTTAAGAATATATCCACAAAATAAGTAGACCCAGCGTCAGTGTCTCAATTTGACGCAATTCGTGTTGTGTGAAGAAAACATAAGCCTCTTGTCACCTGAAAGGGCTGACATGTGTCAATGAGCTAGAAGGCAGTAACCTTTCAGCTTCAATCATCTGTTGTATAATAGTCCTGACCATTTTATTAGTTCTTTGGCTTATATTTTCTTCATGCAAGAAGACACTGATATGCACATGACAAGACCCTCTGGACTTCCTCTTCATAGTTATCCATCACTATTACATGTACATTTAAATATATGCACATCACAAAAATCTCTAACATAACTCTAAGTCAAAGAGCTATCATTAAAATAGATGAGATAAAAAAACCTCACAGATAGACACACATGATAACTAGAGCTATGGTCTTCTGTGAACAACAACTTCCCTCAATATGATAAAACCAATTGCAACATATGGCCGAGTCGGAGCAAATACCCTAATAACATAGCCCCATAACTATGTCAACAGGAAAACACTACATCACTTTGAATACTCTGTACAAGTGACATATTTCACTGCACTTTAAGGCAACATGTTTTGATTTTGAGTTGATGAGCAAATGCCCATTGCCATTTTAGTCACATTTTATTCACATAATTACCTTAGTTTGGTTACTTGTCTTTGATGCATCAAAGGGAGATACTTCTCCCAAAGCATTAGCTGCCAGAACATATGCTACTCATAATGTGTCATCACGTCACCAAAACAAAGCAATGAAACAATGACAGTTTGAAATGAATTCCTATTGTCGCTGGGACTCATGGGAAGTGAAGATATTGATTCCAGAACGGTGTCATTACTATCATGTGAAAAGGGTTGAAAAGGATATTTCTGAACAAGTACATTCATTGAAAGAAACAAAGATTGAACATTTTGACATGATACATCCCAATGGCTACACTATGAGTGGGTGCCATCCAGCCAGGCATAATCAAGCATAGTCTATACCATGAACACCCTACTGTCAACAATGTTAGCATCTTAACAACAGTCCTGGCCTAGAACTCCTAGAGGCATCGAGTCCTCACAGATCTAACCTGCTGCCATCAGTCACAATTAATACCAGTGTTATCTGAAATGCTAATCTTTGCCTCCTCAGTGTGTACCTGTGGCCCTGGTAATCTATATATTTGTATGACAATAGCATCAAAGACAACATATTTCATGTTTATAAAAATTGTAAAGACACACAATACCCATACAAAATGTTCTCATTCTGTGTTTTGCCCCTAGTGACTGGATGATATCATGAACTGCTACAAGACTTGAGGGTCCATCCCATCTTCTGTGGCTGGTTAGTGAATAGGCGGGTTGTACATTACACCGACATAGAGATGACATGGTCTGCATGAAGTCAATGGGATACTACAATAGTAAGCTTCTAGCCAATGTCCGTTTACAATTTTTCAACAAGCAATACTCATCACATAATGGCTAGAGTTATTGATGAGAAAAGCCAATCCGATAAACTTTGTATCACGATCCAATAAATATACAAATGAAGTACTACTTTCAAGTTCCATACATCCATGCAATGCATTCTTTCCCAGGACACTACTGAATAACGTTCCCAACAAGTTCATACAAAGTTTTCAAATGCGTCTATGTTTCTGTTGACAAACTTGGCTACCAGCCATTTGATACTATAACATAAATTGGGCGCTTCACTCAATCATTGTATTTATACATGGTTTCTAAAGCTACTTCAGGGAAATAACATCTCAAACATCAACTATTTTGAGAATGACAATATGTAACTTATTACACTCAACAATGCTCATGTTTCCGTATCATAAGTACACATATCACATATCTATAATAGATATATCTAAAAAAATAACATGTATTTAACTTGCCAAAGGCTCGCACAATACTATTTTATTCCTAATATATGATATTTACGATACTGAAACACGAGGGTAATGAAGGCTCCCATTATTCACTGTTATTCCTACTTCCTGTGTATATTTAGGATATAGAAACATACTTGGCAAATACACTCTATTTTGCAAACTCATTGCTTGTACACATCCTCTGCTGTACTGGTCGATCTGATAATACACAAAATGTTTCTTTCAGGGCCCATACTGTTCTTCTAAAACAAACACAGCACTTCATTGGTGGAAGTTGAATAGCTAGTAGGCTATGACCACACACAGCCATGTCTGTCCTGCTTCACCCTTAACCTGAGGCGCGTGTCTCACATTCAGTCCACAATTACGTGGAATCCAACCTTCACATTTCCAGCAAGTACACTTCTCATCAGGCAAGTTAACATGGCAATGACTCAGCTCTTGTGACCTCAACATTCATCATTCATCATTCATGTAATCAACAATGTGACTCATATACAAACTGACCAAAGAATATTGCAACTGTGCCAGCAATTTTGTAAATACAAACATGGGGAACGTTCAGTCTTTTCCACTAAGCATGACACTGAAATTAAAGCAAAAGGCACTGGCATTCTCCACCTAGGTATGCATGAGCATTTATATGTCAATGAAAATATTCATAGAATACGACACCTATGAACATGATGAATTGTAATACACACACCTGACAACATATTTTTTGTCTTATGATAACCAGCTGTAGAGGCTATCCCATCGTAGTTGTGAACAAGCTTGGTTACGTTTGATTTGACTGATTGAAAGACCCATGAGTCAATAAATCTAAGACACTACACCCTGACAAGCATCAGGCACCACCATGCACATACGAACATGTTACCGTGGTTACATACCTACATCTGTCAAACACTTGAACCATACCGTAAGTCAAACAACACCCATCCAGGTATGAAATGTAGATTAACACAGGACACCTGGTAACTAAGCACCAACTCTTACAGGCATTGATGAAAGCGTCCATTGCTGACAAGGTATTGGGCATGTTGCTGCCTGTCACTGAACACAAAGGTTCAATGAAGGACATTTACTTGGAACACCAGGTCATCATGACCCAGTGCCTCAGTCATTCAACCCTCAGCACACCACGGTCTTGTCACAATTGTCTTCCTCAGTTAATGCCTGGTATTCTGCAAGTTTGGTTTCTCTAGCATTTAATCAATCACTTGTTTTCAACCTTTCACTCATATATTCAATATGTCACATAAATATTCAAAGTTCTCCTTGGTCCCTACACCCTCAACTGTTATTACACTGACAAGGGACACATAGTCATTATCCCTTCAATGTTAATTACAATACTCAAATCTAGGTTGGAGGATGGAGGAGGTGAGATTGTTATTATCACAGTTTATTCTGCCTAATAATAATACCTTTGGCAAGATATTTTTAAGAAATTACTCTTTCCTTTTCTGATCCTGATTGTATTGTGATAATATGAGACCCAACTTGAAATGCAGAAACGCGTGATTTGTTCATGTGTTCCCATAGATGGTGGAAATATTCCTGGGTCACGGCAACTAGAGTTGCCATTGAGAGAGTGGAAAGAAACTGGCAGGACCAAGGAGCCAAGATAGCATGTCCAGCACACTCCACATTTTAGTACATAAATATATATATTTGTGATAATTCATCCTAAAATAACATTCTACACAAACCATGGAGCTTCAGTGGCCACCAGGACCTACTATTGACAAGACAGAACAAGCAGGTTGCTGTCTGTTCTGTACATAAAGCTGTGTTCTGTTCAATAAGCCAACACATGTCAGCTGTACATGCAGTAACAGAGCACTGATCTCATTTCTTCAGTGATCATGCTTCTCTTTTAGAGTTCATGATCAAAATGAGTTCTGGAACACATGAGTTCTTCCAACACTTTCTTGTGTAGCAATTCCCTTTCCTAAGAAGGTCTTGTCACTTCTTTCATCTTCTTTGAAGCTGGATGTCTCAAGCTTTCAATACATTTTCTTTCAATACAACGACATCAACTATCCTCCATTGCCATGGCTGTCAGGATTCCTACTTGGAAAACGTGTCACTCTAAATCTAGTCCATACTATCCTTAGTACATGAACATGGCAGTGGTCAAAACAAAATAACTTCAATCAACGATGAAGTTCAAAACAGTACAAGCAATCATAAATCTACAAACAAATCGAAATGTCACATGGCTTGCTTATCTGTCATTAAAAGAAAACAATTTTTGTCTACTTTTTTTTCAATGCCTGTATATAAAGACATCATTTTTTTGTAAAAATATTGAGAAATCTTTCACAAATTGCATATACCTCAATCACAGAATACATAATATTCATGACTCCCCCAAGAAATTCATTTTCAAAGTTCCAAACATCACAAAACATGTATCCACAACATACTGAAGCACTCTCCTTCCATCACTTACATACACAACAATTGTAGCCTTCAAAACAATACTGCATAGGTGGCTCATGCCATCAGAATACATACATCAGTAAAACTGAACATATTCATATTGATAAATATTTTTGTGTGTTTTGTGTTAATGTAAAATATAGATCATTTGCAAATATGAATATGTTCAAGGTTCTGCTAAAAGTTAGAATGGTGAAAATAGTCAAAAGAAAATGAGTCCCTCTACAATATTGTCTACAAAATGGTATAGTTATTCAGTTGCTAAATGTGATATTTTGGCATTTTCAGAGCTGTACAAGGATCAAATACATATAAACTATCGTACACATGTGAAACTATTTTTGCTCGACCGAAAGTCTCAGATAAGCATTTTTATAGTGTGGTCACTGTCTGTATTCACAAGACCATGATCAGCAGATTCCTTCAACATGCAAGCTGTACAAGGCTCATTGAGGGCATTCAGATAGGCTGTATATAGAACAATTGCTACAATATACAACTGATTGATTGCAATTCTTAACCTATTTTTTGCTCCAGAACATAAGCATCTGATTCTGGAATATAAAACAGATATAGTCTTGTCAAGCTGACTCTATTTCTATCCCACCTTAACAGAAAAGACACTTTAAATTGTAATTTCTTTTGGCAAACTCCATCTGCAAAGGTGTGAATATCCTGTCAATGATAACTTACCTACTGTTTCTAGAGGCATATAAATTTGATAAAAGGACCTAGTAACCAAATTTTGTTTTGGACTGTGTTTTACAACTGTGGATTTCTATAACCATGATTGTCTATTGTGGTAAGCTACTAACTGCTGCTGTTTTCATTCATTTTTTCCAAATTCTGCTTGTTAGAAGACACACTGGAATTATTTGGTTAAATCACATTCTGCAGAATCAGCGGTTCCGCCATTGTGCTGGAACCATCAATGGCAGAGTGATTACCTGCACCAGGGCCAAAGACTCATACACACTACAACAGAGAATGCATTCTTGTTTGCTACCACAAAGAATCCTTGGATATTGGATTGTGTTAGTCTTGTGAAGAAGCGTAGGTCTTGTCAGTGATCAAGATCTGCAAAATTCCTTCATTCACAAGAGAGATTAATAAGTGATTGTAGCCCTGTATATCCTATTGTTCAAATCTTATCAAACCTAAACTTTCTATAAGTGATAATACTTTACTATTCCATTAGATTGTGCAATTCCTGAACAGTTAGCCAGATTCTGAAGTTCTTGGACAGATGAAAAAAATAATAACTTAGAATTCTAATGTCATTAAGCATCTGCGATTAGGAACATATGAATAAACTTGTATCTATTATATAGTAAAAACATGCACAAGCACATTTCATCTATGAAGATATTGATTAACCTAGAACATACATTGTATGGATGTGTGCTATACATCAACAGTATACTTGACACACCTCAGCTGGGCTGACAAATATACACTTTATATGATCAAAACAAAACTAAGTTTCATGTTGTGGAATCAATGATAAGGAAACAATGTAGTGGATATATTACATACATCACAAGCACTTGAATAACAAATATACCGGTTTAGTATTCTTAACTTGACACATAGCCTCATAAATAGGAAATACACCACTACACTCCATGTGGCCATGATGAACATATTGTTGAGAAACAAACAGCAGTAGTTGCTGAATATCTGAATATATGTTGCACCACCCTAGTGACATAAATGTTGGTCACGACAGATATCATGGAATGTTCCAATATGAAGTACATTTATATACACTCCTTATCATACAATGGGTCAGATGGTAAAATTGCCCACAGTAACAATAGTAATGGTCTCGGCTATTCATGTCAATATTCAAATCAAAAATGGCATAAACTGTACACAGAATATTCCGAAATAATCCAAACATTGTTAAAATATATCACACATATCAACATGTTTAAATAAATCAACATTTTGTTAGTTAAATTCAAATGAAAACTTCCAATTAGCTGAACATTCATCTTCATATTTCTACTTTGAACGGGAAATTCATTATCTAAAAGATTTTGACATGGGTTAATCATTGTGAACAAAGGGACCTGTGGGGACATAGAATTCAAACAAGATAAAACATGTTCCAAATAAGTTACAAAACATGACAAATATATTTGTAGAAACTATCACATTTTTTAACAAACTGGCATCAGAATTTGTGTTCAGCTAATTGATAAATGTTAAAGGGTTAAACAACAGTAACCCATATTCTGTTTTCAGAATTCATACTGTCAGCAGAACATGGGTTAAAGCAAAACCAAAATTGTTAAAATGATAACTTCAATGACAAGAGTTAAAAGATAAAGTGACTATTGCCTTTTCCCTGTTCAGAATAACAACAATATTTGGAGGTTTGTCAAACACATGAAATGTCAAGATCGTATGCTTAAAGACACCGACATGTTCCTATGATGAGAAACAAGTCAACGTTCATCACAATAATACATCTTATGTTGGATGTCAGTGTAACCTCCTCTTGGGTCAATAGAAATACATCATTATATGGCACTGGTTACAAAGTGATTCATCAATAAGATTTCTCCAACCAACATTAAGCAATGCTTTCAGGTAGTCATTATTTAATAGCATTGAGTTATTTAGCAGTTTGTATCAATGATTGTTCTAATGAATATAATATCATCTGTTTATGAGACAAAAGTGTGTAATACTGCCGCTCAAAGATCAAAATAGAATCCACAAACTGCATACAGAACAGATGAGCATCCATTTCCGATATTGATAGATAGTGCTATTACCATGTCACATAATCTTGCTTAATGGTAATAATACTTTTTACATGTAAATCTTCCATCATGAGATAAAATAGCAAACACTGAACTCTGAACTCTGAATAGGGCTGAATTATTATCACTGTTGTTCATTTTGATAAAATATATTCTGATTAATAGTCTGTCTTGACTGTACAAAATACATGTTTTGAAAGTAAAAAATCCCATACTGAGGAAGAGAATGAACAGTCTCAGCCAACAATGAGACAGGACCTGCATACCCTATTCATGTGTTCAGATGGCAGGGACAGTATTGTAGGTATCAGCTCATGTGTTAGTCACAATTTATACAGCACCATAAATGCACAAATACACTGAAAGAGATGAACATGGATAAAATATACAGTCATATCATCTCTTTGCCATAGTGGTTTATAAAACTAGTCTATTTTAGATTGGGACTCTCAAAGCACTTAGCATTGTTTCATAGCGAATCACAAGGAACGCCAGAGTAACAAGTTACCCTGAAGATTCAGTCAGTTCATGTACAGCTGTCCACGTATTTGGTATGTCTGTCATACATCTCCTAGAGTGTTAATGTTCCCTGAAAACTGAAGATATGCACAACCATCAGTGGTGAAGGTAAAACATGTTGAGGGTCCAGCTGTTGGAGACAGCTGTGCATGTAAGTACATAGGTGTGCAGTGTCCCTATTATTGCACATCGGCAGTTCCACGCTACCTCCTTGTCAATCATCTTCTGTGAAGTGGAATAACAAACTTGTGACTAAATGGTGACACATAACGAACACCTGATTCAACAAACACCTTCTTGGGCAGACCAAGATCACACAAGTACATCTGACTCGCTGCACTCTTCAGGCTCAGAGGAAGACATATGCCCAGGCTCCATTTTGAGTCCAGTGCAGCTCCCTCTATGGGTGGGTCAATGGCAAGACAGGGAGCACGCTTGTTGCGAGCCCACTCTGTCAGACTTTTGTACCACGACTGGTCCTTCAGATTGGGGTTCTCATGGCTGTCAAGGGCATTCACTATCATGTCGGGCATGGTGGGTAGTTCTAAATAGAAACAAACAAATATATATTCCTACAGTCAAATAGAAACGGGATGAACATTTTAGTATTATCAACATAATTTCTGCAATAGAAATTAGCACTAGTCCTCTAGTCCTAACCAAACTGCTCAATAGTTTAGGTATTATATTAAAGGACCAGTAGAAATTGGCCATTTTAAAGAGATTGCTATATGCTATCATCATAGGACTAGCAGACGAAAACTGTTAGTTTTGACGGCTGCATATTCTGAAACAGGGCAGCAGCTTAATTGTATGAAAAGCCTACTCGCAGCCAGAAGATATTGGCTTGAAAAACTGACTGACTATTCTCAGCAGTTGTCCAATAGTTTTAACACTCAGGCAAAGCATTCAGATAACAATATCTGCATCATAAAAATACATATACCTACAAAAAATACCCAAAACAAGTTAAAGAACACCCACTTTCGGAAGGATGTGTGTTGCAAGTGCAATACCCACCAGCTATGACTGATTAACTCTAGTTATATGAAAACATTGGGTGTTCTTTTACACCCCCAAGACAGAATATGTTAGTCCTTAACTAATTAAATGTTAGTCCTTAACTAAATTCAATGTGTATCACCTTTGGTACTGGAAGTTTTCTTCCCATCACAAAATTCAAAAAGCTGGAGCTCCTTCTCCAGAATTTGGTTCATACGGACAAAATTTGGCACAAAAACAATTGTTTTAACATTGTGGTTGGCAAGATGCCTTGCACAGCTGATGCCCTGGGCTCCCTGCGTGTGTGGTCCACACAACACGATCACAGTTGGCAGCTGGTGGTCGTTCTGGGGATTTAGTCTGCATAACCAAAACAGTACTTCATTCACAACATAATAACAATGTTAAGGTTACACTGAAGATAACAAAAACAGAGATAGTCTAATCATTCTGACTATGTTGAAGCCAGTGACCTCCTCTGCAATAAATATACAATCGTGAGTCTGGTTAAATGCAGCTGTTTACAGTATATGAGTTATGTCATGACAAGTTAATTTAACATGGGAGGAAAGCCTGAAGTGATGAAGGACTTAGACATTTACCACTTTGTGGAAACTCACGAGGATAGGTATGGTGGTGCTGACAAACCTAGAATCATAATCAGTTTGAATCTGGCAACTTGAACCCATGATCATAGAAAGGTGCTTAGCATATGAACATGTTAACAAGTGTTTATGCTCAGTGTCATCCTAAATATCGACATTTTCCATCAAAACAATGCAGGGAGTGGGCAGTTGAAACTTGAGATGGATGTAAGCTGATTGAGTGAACGTTGTTTTACATCACAGTGTGAGACAATCCAGCTACATCACAGCAGCTTGTACATAAACAAGTCAAGGATAGGAATAACATGAGCCACGATCCACACACAAACTGTCTGGGTATGATGGCACTCAATAAGGTAGACCACAAATTGAGTGAGTGAGTGAGTGAGTTAGGGTTCAAATTGAAACCACTGATGCTCAATATTTGGGTTTGGTGTGCAGGCTGTAGTTAGCACAAGCAGATGAGGCGACCATTCATACATTTTCATACTGAAACATCTCTTTTGTTGCGGCCAGGAACAAGAACAAGATGTAGAAAAGAAGACTAATCTGACGTACATGTAGTTGTAAAGAAAGTTTGTAAATGAACATCCTGAGGCCATGACATGAGGTCACAAAGTCACATTGATAATGTCAAGGCGCTGTACTACTTTCTTCACTGACAATGCTGACACATGTTTACTTGTCACCTGTTATCAAGTTAATACTTCTTTCAGGTAACTAGAACTACTGCCACTCATACCCTAGGGCTCCATTAGACAGACACTACAACCTACCATACCTACCCAGTGTTCAAAATTAGGAGGTTCCTTAGGTCCTTGACATTTAGTCCTGTAGTATTTGAATCCAGAGAGCCTAAATTTGTTCCTTTTAACACAAGGGTTATGATGAGATCTTTTATAAGTAATTTCTACCACTGCTACTGCGGAATGTCAGACGCACCTGTGACTTCCCCCCAGCAACTGAAGCACCATCTCACTGGCAGACCTCCCAACCATCTCAATCTGCCTGTCCACACTCAGGCCACACTGTTCAGCAGTAGACAAGATCTTGTTTCGCAGTTGATATGTCACACTCGGCACCACCAAGCCGGCATCTGGGTCATCACCACATGGTGTTAATAGGTCAAAGAACAACATGTGTCATTCATAGTTTGTTTGTTTTTTTCTAATCGCCTCACTCAGCAATATTCCAGCTATATGTTGGCGGTCTGCAAATAATCGAGTCTAGACCAGACAATCCAGTGACTGAAATCATGGGCATCGATCCACGCAATTGGTATTCGATGACATGCATCAAGCAAATTAGCAAGCCTAACCACCAGATCCCGTTGGTCGCCTCTTACGACAAGTTTAGTATCTACATATAAACTCACACAAAGTATCACAAAATACATCAAAAATTTATTTTTAAGAGATATGACAGTAAATTTGAGATATAGAACATGAATTTTGCTGAGTTCAGAAACAATTGGGCTTTTTTCTGTACGAAATGAAAACATTCAAAGAACATTTTGAATCGATGTGTTGGCACTGTTGGCAAATCAGTAGAACTGTTCAACACTGTGTCTCTCAATTCTTAACACCAATTATAGCTGATAGACTTAACCCACCTACATAGGTCCATGCTGATCAATACGATTCATTAGCCACAATGACGTATGCCTACCTGTGACAAAATCTCCGCCCCCTGATGCTGGGACATGGATCTGACTAAGCTGCACAGGGCCAGACTGCAGGACATTCTCATCACAGCGGTACTTCTCACTCTTCTTGTCTGTCACACGCACAACCTCAGGAAACTGGTTTTCTATCTCCTCAAATACAGCCTTTTTGTCAAACAAGGCTAGGTTTTTTTCAAAGTCAAACTCTTTTGACAGAAAAGATTCTACTGGGGCACTGAAACAGTCTTCACGTGGTGTACTCTTCCTGATGTTGTTGCGTCCATCAATCTTCCGTGGTGTGGTAGACTTCCGGCCTTTAGAGTCAGAGACTAAAACAAATATGTATCAATAACTTCATTTAAATGTGTTAGTTATACAATTCAAATAACTCTGCATTGAATCATACCATAATAGAAATCCCCTTAAAAATATAGGGAATCAGAGTATTCCCCTTATTTATATACTTATATCCCACCACAACAGTATGCAAGGATGCCCACATTGGCTCTCCTGCATGTTTTGTCCTTTCTACGGAATGATTGCCTCAACTCAGTAACAATGGTACTACGTATCATGAGAGCAACTATGGGTCATGATCTTTCGAGTACCTCCAGTAGCAGTGTCCAGTTTACTGGTAATTACCAGTTCTTTACCTGTTAAATTAGGCTTGGATCGGTAATCCATGTGACTGCCAGTCCCTGTGGACTGGCAAATATAACAACTTCATATGATGCATAACATGCATATCCTAAATATCCTAAGTATCCTAAATTTTAATACACATCATATATTCAAAGTTAAGAAGGATCCTTGATAACACAAAGGTTAAAGTGAATGTGTGAGTGAGTTGGTTCTTCAGCATTTTCACAGCAGGGGACACCAGAAATGGACTTCACATTTGTGCTCATGAGGGGAATCAACCCAGGCCTTTGTTGCAATGATCAAACTCTTTAACAACCAGGCTATGCATGTATACAGTAGAAAATCTCAAGGACCCCAACCACGCCAACACTTCTTTTAATTTCTGACACTGCTGATCAAGATAAAGTTGACTTCCCTTAGGAGTATACAGCCAACCGATTAAGACTTTACTCACACGAACTGCGTCTCGTTTTCTGCTCACCCTGTTCCCTGGTAGGTGTGTGTCTGGCACTTCCACTTCCACTATGGTTATAGTAGAGACCATTGGAGTCATGATAGTCCCGGGTAGGGGTAATTCTCTGTCCATTAGCACTATGTCTGCCATTGTGATAGCCATTTGTGTAAATATGATTTGATGGTTGAATGACCTTGACTGGAGAGGGACAAGTTGGATTGACTGCCTCCTCAACTTCTTTGGATAGTTTTGATGGTGTGGCTTGCTTGTTTAACAAGCATCTTGCCTCAGATGGAGACTTCAGAATTTTCAGATCTTTTATGTCTCCAGCACTGAATTAAAAGAAGATTCCAACTGAATGTGTTTACTACGATGACTATGATTACATCATATTGGCGGCCATAAGAGATGTGATACTATTGGGCCATAGACGTACTTGTGTACAAGATCTGGGCTACAACTGGTCTTCAAAAACCCTTGCTTATCGTAAGAGGCAGTAAACGGGATCGAGTGATAAATGCATGTCAGCATATCCCATTTGCATAGACTGATAGATGTTCATGCTCATGATGTCAATCACTGTAGATTAGAGTAAGTTACAAACCGCCGTCATATAGCTGGAATACGGCTGAGTGAGGCGTTAAACAACAAACAAACCTATGTACAGCATACAGCTTACATCTAGTTGGTTGACAAAACAGTATCAATGACATTGATAACACATTTTACAGGTGTGTATGTCACAACAAAGATAACATCACAGGCTAATGATCGTCAACTTGCTTAACGTGTTCAACATGTTCAAAGAACTTCAATATGTTCAAATATATTCATACATGTACACCAAATCAAACATCATGATCACATATGTCCATATATACCATTTTGTTCATATTTTGTCTCTGCAAAATGTAGAACAATTCAACAGTTTCAAATCAACATCAAATACGACAAACGCATTAAAACCCATGAGAGACTGCTAACTTACTTGATTGTTAGCTCTGGGACTTCACACCTGAGACCATTCCTGTAGGCTTTGAAGATGGTGAGAGCCTGTGTGGCATTGTCGATTTTTCTCACCTGGCCTTGATATGTTCCTAGAGCCTCTCCACAGTCCAGAGACACAATGCTGCCCACCCATTCACAAGTCATGCCTGCATGAAAACATCATCCACATAACATACATAATTAACAATCATAATAAATCATATACAACAACTGCACCTTGTTGTGCAATTGTCAAAATAGCAAAATATAGTGTCCAGGCAGGCAATAATTTTGTGTCAACTTTCATGTTTGTATTTAGACCCCTTTTTCAATGAAACGAACCAGAAATGTTTCCGTAACTGACATCAGCTGATTAGAATATTAGAGTTTCTGCACATTGCTGGAATAGATAGCATTTTTTCTGAAAGCATTTCAGTACAAACAGTAAAATATAGCAAAAGAAATGTCAGCAATTAATATCATAACCGTATTGGAGTATTGGTAATCGTTAATACATTGACGAGCATGTGAAATTGATAAAATTTACTTTTTGAAATCATTTGATGTTAACTCTCTGAGAGAGACTTATCAAACCACCAAACAACGAATGCAGTCATATTACGTGAGAGTAAACAGACGAGATTTCAAAGCACAGATTTTAGGAGACAAAGGGACTGATGCATTTTCCTTTTTTATCTGTAAAGCAAGGCCGTAGAATTAATTAAAAGATTCGTAAATCAATCACCTTTGTTATTTGTTGAAATATTCCGATATGAAGAGATAACTTCGACAATATTTCCTAAATTGCACCACTATCCCACTTGATATCAAACAACAAACATGGCTTCCAATAACCCATATGTCGCTTGTGGTTTAGATCAAATATAGATAAAAGATAGTCCTATTTTATTGGCGTTGAGAAATTAACCACCAATAACATATACAGATTAAATCAAAACTAAATAAGACAAATCAAAATCTAAAATAGGTGTCATGTGTTGCAAACAGTAGCAAAACATTTCATTGTCAATGATGTAAGCGATAAAAACAAAAGTTCCCGACCGACACCAGTTACTTCCCCTTCACCTTATTTTTCATTTTGTTTGCTATGTTCTGTAGCAGTGTCCTTGACCTGATTTCGACTGAAACAGCGCCTAATTGTTAAATATTGCAGTGTGTGGGGCTTTCACACAAACACCGGTGACGAATGTTTTGAAAAGTTGCTTCTTCATAACAAGTTTCTATTGGCCATTATGGTTAAACTATAATTGTGACAATGGCATATTTCAAAACATATTTCATTACAGGTATAGAATCAATGGTCTGGTTTAAGTTGACACTTTTATCAAGCGGATCCGTTGACCCCATCAAAATAAAATGTGAAAATACTTTGAATAACAGACTGTTCGTTCATCATCATCATCATGGATGTAGGCCATCAGCCCATATATGTTGTTTTTAATACAGTTTCGATCGGATACAATGCAGCCAACGAGTAATGAATTACATGTTAACACGTTTCTTAATTATATTGCATAAAATACAAACATTGACAGATGTCTAACGATTTCAATATTATCAACAGACATTATATTTCTGTAAAGTGGGATTACATACTATTACTTGTGAAGATAGATTTGACGCAGATCTGCAAAAGCCTCACTAACAAGCAAATAGAGAAACTGATTTCCTACATATCCTTAGTTACAATTTATAATTTCATTATCATTACAATTTCCTTCTTCTCTTGGTTTTATTTTTGTTTAATTTATGGGAAGTGCACCGAAACTATGCTAATGCTGGACGAAACGTATTTACCGCGATATACCATACATACATACATACATACATACATACATACATACATACATACATACATCATACATACATACATACATACATACATACATACATACATACATACATACATACATACATACATACATACATACATATAAGGCTCCACATAGATTGAAGTTTGAAATTATAATTGGAACAATGTTTTAGAACCACGCACCTGTTAGTGAGGCACGCCAGTCCTGTTCACATCTACATTTTAGTCGTATCACTAACTCTGTTATAAAACTATCAATATACTGTATCTGCTGTTTTTCCCAAATTTCAGCAAAAGCTACTCCACACAACAACCTTTTGAGTTTTGAAGCCCAAATAATATTATCATGAGACCTGTCTAACAGCATCATATTATAACAAGTTTTGGATAAACGTAAATCTGACATATATACTTTTTTATACCAGTACTTATCTTTACCTGAACTTTCAGAGTAACAGGTTGAGTTGTCCGTGGTTCATCTGTGTCTCGTCCTTCGGAACCTCTTAGTCAATCGCCATTCTCCTCTAAAACCATAAAGAGCCTACCAAACCTTCCAAGGATGATCCGACCCGTGAAGGTCCGGGTTAGAATTGGTCTTCAGCAAACCATGCTTGTCGCAACAGTCGAATATGCTTGTCGTAGGAGGCAACTAACCGGATCGCTCGTTGACTTGGTTGATGCATGTCATCTTATCCCAATTGCGTAGATCGACGTACATGATGCCAATCACTGAATTGTTTACTCGATTATTTACAAACCGCCGTCATATAGCTGGAATATTGCTGAGTGCGACGTTAAACAACAAACAAACAAACAAGGACGATCCCATCTTTGGCAACCATAACATGCGCTTCCAGAGATCCGAGCCGGTTTGAAACATATATATGACAGTAATGGACACATTTGCCCTCTACTCCGCTGTGTATTTGCATGTGTTATTGTGGAATTTGAAAATGCAATAAGTGTGTGCTGAATGACGTATAACATTACACACTAGCACGCACACATCAGATTTTCTCGTCAAGGCGAAGACCCGGGTTCGATACCCACATGGGTACAATGTGTGAAGCACATTTCTGGTGTCCCCGCCATTGCTGGAATATTGCTACATGCGGCGTAAAACGATACTCACAAGATTTTCTGCAGCTCATCTGACACCGTTTGGTTTATGCCAAGCGGGAATGTTGTGTGTATGATATTTGCAATGGCGAATCTAAATGTCTCAAATTTAACCATGGCTGCCATTGTAAATGTTGTGTTTGCCCGGTAGTGGTCGAAATGTCCATGGAAGAATGGTCAACCTGACATGTATTATACATGCGCTGTTTATGTTCGAAGTTTATGCAATTTAGATTTGATAAAGGAGATTAATGTAGCAATATTTTGTTTTATTTAATCCTTACTTTGTGTTGTTTATGTACCAAATTTATGGATGGAATCACACACATAACTATATCATAAAAAAATATATGTTCAGATGATATCGATGATATATAATATAGATGTGCAAGACAATGGCCATTCCTCTTTTTCCCATTTTCTGTTTTGGGTACTTACCGTTTTGAACCTTTTTATTTAGACCTTTTAATCAGAAGTACATGTCATTGAAATGAATCGTCATTATGATTTTGCCTATAAGTCATATCTACAGCCCCGTGAAGAACCATGCCTATCGTAAAAGGCGAATACCGAATACCGCCAACCTGAGTCATAATGAGGAATATATATTGACTGAGTTCGAAGCCCTGCATCGGATATTATTATTATTGTTGTTGTTGTTATTATTATTATTATTATTATTATTATTATTATTATTATTATTATTAATATTGTTGTTGTTGTTTTGAACATTGTGTACTGTACCCCAAATTGGGAGATGTTTTCTCGGAAACCGCTATGAATACAGGGATGACATTAAGCATAAATGATAAAGGAATAAATATGATGATCGAGTTTGGAAACCATCATGGAAAAGCACATGTTTTACAGAGTTATGGACCTTGTGGTTGGTCCATTGAACATGGTGCACAATACTCCCACTAAAGATGACAATTTGGATACATCATTAAGTGATGAATAGCACGTTTAAAATCAGCCATTAAGAAGCAAGATCTTTCTTTTCTTTTTCTTTTGTTTGTTCAAATGAGGGTAGGGTTTGATTCAAGAGGATAAAATGCTAGTATTATAATCGTTTCGTATGTCGTGTGACTGTATACACATGAGGCTTTTCTGGCGTGCCCAAGGGACGCAACTCTGCAAAGCGAATCGCGGCGCCTTAGATTGTGGGTTCGAATCCCGGTTCGCCCCGATTATGTTTCTAGGTTTGTCAGCACCATACCCGTGCTCGTGGGTTTCACCGAAGTGGTAAACGTCTGAGACCTGCATCACTTCGGGCTTTCCTCCCACATATTAAGCTGACACGCCGCGATATAACTGGAATACTGTTAAAAGCGGCGTTAAACCCAACTCACTCACAACTCACTCACACATGAGGCAAATACTGAACTAGTGCTTTGATGTTCGGCATTATGGCTTTTGCTTTCACATAAATCCAAATTATTTGTTTACAGATGTAAGCATGCGAGGATGGCGGGGGACATGCATGGATGATCCCGTCTTCCTCATGTTCTCAGTATGTAGGAAGAAAAACAAATTAATATCAATACTGACAGCATCTTGTGTCAGCGGGCTGTCTTTGTTGACAGTTTTAACTGTTGACTACATATCCAGGTGAGCTACAGTGCCATGGCTCTATTTTTATTGTTTAGTTTAACGCATTCTAAATACATTTCTACAGCGTATGTGTTGTTCATTGAAGTATATATTGTTCAACAAGTGTTCAACAAAGTACAGTATGTATGGTTCAACAACGTATGTATGGTTCAACAAAGTTTGTATTGTTCAACAAAGTATGTATGTTTAACAAAATATGTATTTTCCAACACAATATGTATTGTTCAAAGAAGTATGTATTGTTCAACGAGCACGTATTGTTTAACGGAGAATGTTCAACGAAGTATGTATTGTTCAACGACGTATGTATTGTTTAACGGAGCATGTATTGTTTAACGGAGTATGCATTGTTCAACGAAGTATGTGTTGGTAAACGATTATGTATTGTTCAACGAAATATGAATTGTTGCACGAGTGTGTATTTTTCAGATGTAAACATTGCTTGTATGTGTTTACATTCTAAACACACTTTTAACAGATGAGTGTATTTATTGTTCATTGAAATCTGTATGGTTCATTGAGCATGTATTGTTCGACACAGCATGTATTGTTCGACACAGCATGTATGTTCGACACAGCATGTATTGTTCGACACAGCATGTATTGTTCGACACAGCATGTATTGTTCGACACAGTATGTATTGTTCGACACAGTATGACATTGTATTGCTTGGCGAAGTATGTTTTGTAAAATGAAGTTTGTTTTGTTTATCGATGCATATATTTTTCGGCAAAGTCTGAATTGTTCAACGAAGTATATGTATTGCTGAACAAAGTATATATATATATATATATATATATATATATATATATATATATATATATATATATATATATTATTCAACGAAGTTTATATTGTTCGACGAAATAAGCACGTACTGTTCAACGAAGTGTGTATCATTCACCAAAGTGTGCATTGTTCAACGAAGTATACATTGTTTCAACCAATGTATTGTTGAGCGAAGTGTGCATAACAGCTATATAAATGATGACTGATTGCAAAACCTTCTCCACAAGACTTTATGACAAGAGGGATGACTTCAACTGTCCAACAGTCAACTTTCCCTTCATGTCGAGCAATATTCCATTTACATTTCACAATTTCTTAGATACAATCGCGCATGCTCTTTCTACCAAGATTTCAAAGAGCGTCATACGACTCTTGCTCAGAAGTTGTTTGATCAAGATTGCAACATTCAAGGCCTCAGCAGCTTTCAAAACGTTTTATGGTAGTCATATGGAGGACATTTCCAAATTTGACGCATCAGTGACAAGAATGATCTCCGATGCAATTCCCTATTTTGACTTGTAGTATTTTGCCACCGTTTTATTCAGGTGAACAATTGACTTGCCTTTGCATGCGTTTGTGACGGGTGCCACCGGTGGAGCAGGATACGCTCCTCACCTTCTCGCGAACACCTGGTATCATTACTATTTGATAGTGATTCATAAACACATGCTCATGATATAGTCGGAATCGTACAATCGACTCTGCTTTATGCAGAAATTTCTATTGGAAATGGAAAGGGTTTTGTCGCTTTATTCACTGGAAAACCCGGTGTCATTGAATATTGTATCACGGAAACAATTTTTTAAGGTGTGGCCTGGTAAATGAGTACTGCTTCAAAATACGGAGATTAAAACATTGGATGAAATTAGTGAAATATATTCCTGTGTGGCTCCCTGGTGGACCTGCAAGCGGCCGACACACACCGAGTCCAGTGAGACACTCAGCACGTCACCCCACACAGGTAAACACAGACGCTACTGGTGTGTCAGGCACATTAACCATGAGTCATCAAACGGCGAAACAGTAATCAAACGCCACACTGGAATGGCCGGCGGTGTGGACTCACCAGGTAGCATTGTGGGAGTTTTATAAGTTGGTTATAATGTAGCACTGCAAGATGGGACGGAAATGTGATGACTCAGTGATTTATATAGTGAGGCCGTAGACGCAGTGGCAGTACGAGGGTTCGATTATTTTAAATTCAAGTGACCTTGGACAAAATGCAACCTTATATATATAACAAACACAACACACTTGTGTATTGCTATAACACACAACTGTAAGAGGTTAGCACGTGTTTCGTTGCTTGACAAAACTGCCACTATGCCTTTTCTATCTAATGCCCGAAAAACGAAAATTGAAAATAAGGCATAGACAATCAAACAGAGATGTAAAACCATTATCAAAGTTGCATTATTGATTCTGTGTTATTAATAGCAACAATCGAAAGTAATTTCCCTGATGCATAATCTATCTATATATCTGTGTGTGTGTGTGTGTGTGTGTGTGTGTGTGTGTGTGTGTGTGTGTGTGTGTGTGTGTGTGTGTCTAGTTGATAATGTTCATTAAAATGATATTATTCATAATTGAATCAATACATGCAACTATTTAGGTTGCTTACCATGATACCGCGGTCAAGGGACGTCAGTCGGTTATAGGCAACTGAGGTCAAGCGAAGTATGAGGTAAATAATATATTTATGAACGAAATCCTCTTCCACATTGATACTGTTTTGCCAAAGGATATTATAAGTCGTTCTCTTGGCTGTCCCAAAAGCTGCTATAAGGTTATCGTTCGAGTCGAACTGGGTTCAGGCCAGAGCTTTATTCCTGTTTGGGGACAGATGGAAGTCTGAAGGAGCTGGATCAGGAGAATAAGTTGGGTGCTGAAGTTCAAAGCAACACTTAAAGATTGTAGCGGTGGCAAAGACTGTTTTGTGCGTTAGCGCAGTGTCCCGATGGAAGAACATCCCTTTTCTCAGCTTCCCACGTCTCTTAGTCTCACTATCATCCCGTGTTTGCCTCAAATTGCTCCCTTTATTTTCTGGCCTTTTCTGAAAGACAGTCCACCACGAAGACACCCTCGGCATCCCAGAACACGGATGCCATAACCTTTCCAGCTGATGGGATTGTCTTTGCCTTTCCTAGATGTAGGCGATGCCAAATGTTTCCCATTTTTTGATTGTTTGAACTCAGGTTGGAAGTTGTGAACCCAGGTTTCATCCACTCTCACAAATCGTTGCAAGAACCTGTCTGGATCGGCTTCAAACAGCGCTACACTATCACGAGACACGTGCCGGGTACTTTTTGATCAGATGTCAGAAGCTTCGAAACCCAAAGAACTGATACCTTTTTCATTGGCAACGTTTCTGTGATAATGAAATGCACTCGTTCCTGGGAAATGCAGACTGAACTACCTGTCATTCGCCATGCTGTCATCGCCAGATCAGGGAGATTTCCGGTGTTGCTGAAGAGGGCCGCCTTCAAGGCTCCCCGCCACGCTTTAACTCTGCCCACCTCTTTACAGTGGCATAGGAAGGGGCATCTTTCCCCAATACTGTCATGGGTGGATGTGGTGTTAGACCTGTTTCTGCAAGTACCTCACGTTTGTCCATGTAGTTCTTTAGTCACCTAGCATGTAGATCTTTAGTCACCTAGCATGTAGTTCTTAAGTCACCTTACATCCAGTTATTTAGTCACATAGCATCTAGTTCTTTAGTCACCTAGCATGTAGCCCTTTAGTCACCTTACATCTAATTCTTTAGTCACCTAGCATGTAGCCCTTTAGTCACCTGGCATGTAGCCCTTTAGTCACCTAGCATGTAGTTCTTAAGTCACCTTACATCTAGTTCTTTAGTCACCTAGCATGTAGCTCTTTAGACACCTAGCATCTAGTTTTTTAGTCACCTAGCATGTACTCCTTTAGTCACCTTTCATGTAGTTCTTTAGTCACCTTACATCTAGTTCTTTAGTCACCTAGCATGTAGCTCTTTAGACACCTTTCATGTAGTTCTTTAGTCACCTTACATCGAGTTCTTTAGTCACCCAAAATCTAGTTCTTTAGTCACTCAAAATCTAGTTCTTTAGTCACCTTACATATATTTCTTCAGTTTTTAGTTCTTTCGTTCTTTAGTCACACAACATCTATTTCCGTATTTACCCAACATATGCTTATTTATATGTGCATGTAGCTTTTTAGACACCTAGCATCTAGTTCTTTAGTCACCTAGCATGTACCCCTTTAGCCACCTTTCATGTAGTTCTTTAGTCACCTTACATCTAGTTCTTTAGTCACCTAGCATGTAGCTTATTAGACACCTAGCATCTAGTTCTTTAGTCATCTAGCATGTACTCCTTTAGTCACCTTTCATGTAGTTCTTTAGTCACCTTACATCTAGTTCTTTAGTCACCTAGCATGTAGCTTTTTAGACACCTAGCATCTAGTTCTTTAGTCACCTAGCATGTACCCCTTTAGTCACCTTTCATGTAGATCTTTAGTCACCTTACATCTAGTTCTTTAGTCACCTAGCATGTACCCCTTTAGCCACCTTTCATGTAGATCTTAAGTCACCTTACATCTAGTTCTTTAGTCACCTAGCATGTACCCCTTTAGCCACCTTTCATGTAGATCTTTAGTCACCTTACATCTAGTTCTTTAGTCACCTAGCATGTACCCCTTTAGCCACCTTTCATGTAGATCTTAAGTCACCTTACATCTAGTTCTTTAGTCACCTAGCATGTAGCTCTTTAGACACCTAGCATCTAGTTTTTTAGTCACCTAGCATGTACTCCTTTAGTCACCTTTCATGTAGTTCTTTAGTCACCTTACATCTAGTTCTTTAGTCACCTAGCATGTAGCTCTTTAGACACCTAGCATCTAGTTCTTTAGTCACCTAACATGTACATCTTTAGTTACCTTTCATGTAGTTCTTTAGTCACCTTACATCTAGTTCTTTAGTCACCTTTCATGTAGTTCTTTAGTCACCTTACATCTAGTTCTTTAGTCACCCAAAATCTAGTTCTTTAGTCACCTAACATTTAGCTTTTTAGTCACTGTACGTCTAGTTCTTTAGTCACCCAACTTCTAATTCTTTAGTCACCTTACATATATTTCTTCAGTTTTTAGTTCTTTCGTTCTTTAGTCACACAACATCTATTTCCGTATTTACCCAACATATGATTATTTAGTCCATCTAATAAAAAGGGCACCTAGCATATATCCCAAATGTTAGCATGTCTACCTTAAAAGGTAATATATTTATGTAAATTTATTTACTGGGAGGATCTTTTATCTGCAGTCAAGGAAAAGAAACGCTTCTATAAATTGCTCAGCCCACCTGTTGTATGCCCTGACATAATCTAATCCGCTGTAATCTTGGGGTAACTGTGCCTTTCTTAGTTCGTTGCACCATTCGTTGTGTACCTCAGCATTCCCATCAAGCACACTCCAACTGCGCCAACATTCGCTGACGATGTTGAGAATTGCGGCATGTTCCGAGCAGACAATATCTCTCCCTATATGGGCCCCACTCAACTGCCGCATCCAGCCGTCGTATTGACAAATTCTACACGCATGAATCGTTCAACCCATTCGTTATCTTAACATGGACGCGTATCATAGCACGGCAACAATCGTCAAAGGGTTTCAGTTTGGATAACGAACGACTGACGTTTGGAAAATCTGGCTTGCCCGCTCGTAAGTATATGCACATACGATTTCAACTGCAGAGGCGAGCGGACTCCTCTCTCGTGTTACGCAGTGTTCAATGCCACTGCACAGTCATTCCAACTGCTTCTCAGTCTATACCGCAGTGTCTGATTTCAATCCTCACGCGACGGTCGACCTGTATTACAATTGGGCTGACAGTGTAAAAGCTCGATTTGGGATACGCGCCAAATGACTTAACAAAAACGTACTTCCTTGATGACAGTGTAACGTTTACAGGAGGGCATGTTGTTATTCGCCACACAGGAGTCCCGCAGTGGTGTTTACACCTACACTCACAAGGACGTCAGTGGCGACATTACAGCATGTCTAGCCCAGGCTGCAGTGTTGTGAACGAAAAACAGCTTAACCGAACGAGAAGTGGCAGATAAAGAGTCACTACTGTCTACACGGAGATATTGTGAGGACAGGCTTTATATTATTTGGAGGAAGGGCCCTGACGATTAATCGATACTGACGCGGTAAGAAGACCAGGCGCGGATATTTCAAAGTTTCATGGTTGTTCAATTGGAGAGTCGATTGAGGAATTACAGGAACATATTTCATTTCGTGTTGAAGAGTTCACTGTCCATCTATGTACGTTGTTGGCGTTTACAGTGAGTGTGTAGAAGTTTGTACAGTGTCTGGTTGTGTTTTCTTATTTGATTGTGGCGTTCATTGTTCGTGCATTACGTGATCCTCGTTGTGGAATTGTCGTCTGCTCGAGAACATCTGGATCTATTTTCTACCGAGTTAAAAACTGGTGGCAACTGAATGACCCGCTAATTCTAGGCCAAGGCCCTATTTGTATGAGGCTGGTGTCAAAACCTAGAAAATCTTATCGAGGGCACAGTTTTCCTCATTCTGATTCTGTATATTTCGTGCATCATTTACTGTGGATTAACTGAGGATTCGCGGGTGTCCATGAATCAACCTGGTTGAGGTGATCAGTTCGTTATCAGTTGGATCCTGCTTGTACAGTTCATACCGTTACTCCAAGATGAACCGAGGACCGCATCATAGAACACAGTCTGTGCCCAACCAGAGACGACGTCGTGAACGACCAGTGATCCGACACAACCGCTCCTTCGATGTCCCCCGGCACATGGGATCGGGCCGGCAGTCGGTAGGTGCTTTAACCCCGTCGTGGCACACCATGTCACACCATGTCACACCATTGTCGATCTTCTTATACATGCATATACACTATATAGGTATGACACTATATAGGTATGACACTATATAGTTATACAACTACATGTTTGTGTTTACAGGTACACACAGAATGCACACAATAAATGAGTATGTATGAAGGCACTTGCTGCATCTATGAATACTATCATGTAGACATGTGAGAGACGAGGTTCAACTATATACGTAGAAGTATGTGAAACATCTGTTTAGGTAGACATGTGTTGAAGCTGTATATATTGGTAGACACGTGTTGAAGCTGTATATATAGGTAGACACGTGTTGAAGCTGTATATATAGGTAGACACGTGTTGAAGCTGTATATATAGGTAGACACGTGGTACATCGGAATGTAGATAAACGTGTCATAAAGCTTTATACATGTAGACACGTGGTACATCTGTATATATGTAGACACGTGGTATATATGAAGGCACGTGGTACAGCTGTATATATGTAGACACGTGGTACACCTGTATATATGTAGACACGTGATACATCTGTATATAAGTATACGCATGGTACAGCTGTATATATGTAGACACGTGGTACATCTGTATATATGTACACACTTTACTGCTGTATATTTGTAGACACGTGGTACATTTGTATATATGTAAACACGTGGTACATCTTTATACAGCTGTTTTTTGGTAGACACTCGACGAAGCTGTATATAGGTAGACACGTGATGTACCTAATACCCGGCATTTCAATTCACAAGCATCACTATTTTATTTTTTACGATTGTTGCTGACCACCCAGCTGAACATTCAATAAAGCATTACACGCTTGTTTGTACACATGAAACCTACGCCATTTTACTGTACCTTCATGAAACCTACGCCATTTTACTGTACCTTATGAAACCTTCGCCATTTTACTGTACCTTCATGAAACCTACGCCATTTTAATGTACCTTCTGGAACATTAGCCCACAGTGATATCGACAAGGTACACAATGCTTAACATTGAATATTGCCTTACATTGCTCACATGTGTATTTCCTTGACCTGGTGACGTTCTCTGCCTGGCCATGTACAGGGTGTGTAAGTAGTGTGACTAGCGATCGTGATCTACTCACACGAAAGAGGCCTACTTCAATTACACATTTGCACACTTCAGTTCAGGCAAACATGGTACAGCATAATTAAGAATAGTATTTTCTACGTTGCATGACTACAGGATTATGGTGGTCTATGGGTGCCTACCTGGTTGGTCATATTTTTCACCTGTCTCGTTATGTGCAGATATCACCTTTCATAGTTTTTTAAAACACCCCTTTCAGAAAGCAAACAGTAACTGTTGGCAAGAAACCAAGCCCCGTAACACAAGCTAGGTGTTTGTGCTAGATCCCTTTCTAAAGTTCTACATGGGTACACATGGGTTATATGGGTGAGTGAGGGAATGTTGGGTCACGCCGCAGTAAGCAATAGTTCAGCTATAACGCGATGACCTATAAAAATTACCCTGGGCCAAACAAACCACTGATTGATAGCATGAGCAGCGTTCCGTCGGGATACGATGTCATGCAATCAACCGAACCCGACCACCCGATCCATTTTCGCCCTGTCTCACCACAAGCAGACGTTTCTGCTGGCTGCGCCCACACTGTAGTCCCTACGGGGATAGTTGGGGAGTAACATGTAAAACGAGAATTTGTTCTGAAAAAAGGAAAACCAATTCTTCTAGATGTTACAAGACCTGATCTATTGTATGCGAGTTCTTCTCAACGTGTGAAGCTGCTCTTGCTTCTACTGCCGGTTTGGAACGCGGTGTCTGAGGCAGCCGCACAGCCCACATCTACATCTGTGTGAGTCATGCTATCGATCTCCGCCGCTTGTGTATGGTCAATAGTTTACCAAGCGGAGCACCATGGCGAACACTGGAAATCTTTTCCCCATGAGTGAAACCAATAGAAGCATCAATACAGACTTGGGAAGTAGCCGAGTGCAGTAATAGAGTCATTTGCGGAGCTGTAGAGACAAGAGAGTTTTTATTCAGACGACATACATTTTGTTTATTTATCCTTTGGACATGATTGATAGGGTTATGGTATATATGTCTCTTATAAGTCAGATAAATAAACTCAGTGCCTGTCAAACACGGTGATCCTGCTACTGTGTTTGTCCCTATACTCTACTGTACGTGGCCTATGGGTATTCTGTGTGTCCGGCAGGGGTCGAGGGAACTGATGGCTTGGACATGTTGCCATACGGACAGTTCTCGCCATTGTCATTCAGTTGTATTGGCAGACCTAGACGGCTTAGAAAGCACATTTTTTTAAAGCAGATGTTTTTTTAGGGCTGTTGCGGTATGAATATAAGAGTACGCCTATGAATGTCGAGTAGTTTATTATTTGCTGCAGAGTTACGTTCCTTAGGTGTACCCGAAACCAACGATCGTGAGTTCGAACCCCAGATTTGCTCTGATCACGTTTCTAGGTTGTCAGCACCATACCCGAGCTCGTGGGTTTCACCAAAGTGGTAAACCTGTAAGACCTGCATCATTTCGGGCTTTCATCCAACATGATATTCCTAAAATACTGTTCAAAGGCCGGAGGCGTCCAGCATGACCTCCCATTAATGCTGACATGAAGATGGAACGTACAACGATGTCTCGTATGGCACCAATGTAAAGAAGGTGCCAACAGCCAGCCGTTCTCTCAGTGGGTGAGGCGTCCTGTGCACCGACTCTGAGTCGCAACATTTCGGCGACAGGACATGATGCACACTTTCTGCTCGTTTTGCACGTCTTTGGCAGAGCATGCATCATGTTGACAGGATCGCACATGTTATGTTGGTGGGTCTCTCACGCACTTAGTCGTAAAACATTTCACTAGGTCAATAAGCCCGGTTTATTTCGTTAAACCGTTCATCAGTCCATTCAGACAGGTGTGTTTCATTAAACCTTCCACAACTTAAAAAAGACAGGTTTGTTTCGTTAAACCATTCATCAGTTCAATCATTCAGGTTTAGTTCACTGAACCATTCATCAGTTCAATCACTCAGGTTTAGTTCACTAAACCATTCATCAGTTCAATAACGCAGGTGTATTTCACTTAACCATTCACAAGTTCAATCACATAGATTTCACTAAACCATTCACAAGTTCAATCACACAGGTTTATTTCACTAAACCATTCACAAGTTCAATCACACAGGTTTATTTAGTTAAAACATTCAAAGGTGCAATCACGTAGGCCTATTTTATTAAACCATTCATCAGTTCAATCAGACACGTGTATTTCGTTAAACCATACTCCAGTTCAATCACGCATGTATGTATCACTAAACCATTCAGTTCAATCACGCAGTTTTAGTTCACTAAACCATTCATCAGTTCAATAACGCAGGTGTATTTCACTTAACCATTCACAAGTTCAATCACATAGATTTCACTAAACCATTCACAAGTTCAATCAGACACATGTATTTCGTTAAACCATACTCCAGTTCAATCACGCATGTATGTATCACTAAACCATTCAGTTCAATCACGCAGTTTTAGTTCACTTAACCATTCACCAGTTGACCGACGGTGGGTTCGATTCTCCGCAGTGTCGAGTGGGTTGTCTCGGGAAACTGTAAAGGAGTCTGATGCTTCACCATGAAGTAGGAGTCTCCGCTATACCCTGACACTGCCCACACACAGAGAAGACGGCCTTGTCATATCAATGACGTCAACAAGATTAGTTGCAGCTGCACAAAAGTTGTTCAACGTCTCCCGCTGGCCAACACGTCTTTCTTGAATGTAACCCCAGACCTATGTAGCTGGTGTAGTTAGGCCTTCATTTTATTCTTGCCATTCAAGTTAAAGTTCTGGTATTAATTTCCAATATAGTACCAACTCCCATCTCAGAGACCACGTACTTCCATCAAATGTTTTCTTGGTGCATTTCTTCAATTCAATTCAGGATATCTTTAAAACAATTGAAGATATCTGTAATTCCGTAATAAATGTGAAAACGGCTTGCCATACGTTCACCAGGCACATAGAAAGGAATTGTCTTATTATACAACGCGCAGAGTAAAGCAACGTGCTCATCACACTTAGTTCACGTTGGGCCCGTCGTGGTTATCACGTGGCGGTACTGAAACATTGTATAAAACAGTGTGTGTGTGTGTGTGTGTGTGTGTGTGTGTGTGTGTGTGTGTGTGTTCTGTCATCTCCATGGTTCCGTGTGTGTCCTCGCAACCAGTGTGTCCCCTCGCTACCACAGTGTGTGCCCCTTACTACCACAGCGTGTCCCCCTCACTACCACGGCGTGTCCCCCTCGCTACCACAGTGTGTCCCCCTCACTACCACTGTATGTCCCCCTCACTACCACAGTGTGTTCCCCTCACTACCACAGCGTGTTCCCCTCACTACCACGGCGTGTTCCCCTTACTACCACAGCGTGTTCCCCTTACTACCACAGCGTGTCCCCCTCACTACCACTGTATGTCCCCCTCACTACCACAGTGTGTTCCCCTCACTACCACAGTGTGTTCCCCTCACTACCACAGCGTGTTCCCCTTACTACCACAGTGTGTTTCCCTCACTACCACAGCGTGTTCCCCTTACTACCACAGCGTGTTCCCCTCACTACCACAGTGTGTTCCCCTCACTACCACAGCGTGTTCCCCTTACTACCACAGTGTGTTTCCCTCACTACCACAGCGTGTTCCCCTTACTACCACAGCGTGTTCCCCTCACTACCACAGTGTGTTCCCCTCACTACCACAGCGTGTTCCCCTCACTACCACAGTGTGTTTCCCTCACTACCACAGCGTGTTCCCCTCACTACCACGGCGTGTTCCCCTTACTACCACAGCGTGTTCCCCTTACTACCACAGCGTGTCCCCCTCACTACCACAGTGTGTTCCCCTCACTACCACAGTGTGTTCCCCTCACTACCACAGCGTGTTCCCCTTACTACCACAGCGTGTTTCC